TGTGGAGAACTTTCTCACGGATTCGCCAAGAAGACCTGTAAGGTTTGATATCTTAAGCTTTGTGAAGTTATGAGAAATAATCATATACTTGAAAGTAGGATTTTGAGAAAACATGATCGTCTTCCTTCTTCACATCCTGAAACAGATTGAAAATTGCTATTAGAAGAGATAACAATGTGATATAAAGAAGTGATTTAGTGTAATTGCCTCATACGTTATTTTGATCTATGATTTGCATCCCTCTTCTTCTTCATGTAGGTGATGAAATATCTGTTAAAAAGAGAAGATAGTTTTTTATTAGCAAAACGGATTTATAATAGAAAAAAACTGGAAGAAAAAAGCATTGAACTGAAATCAAAAGTCATCTATGTTTGAGTATTAGTTTTTCTAAGGTTTCTTCTACTGTATTTATAGTATTTGTGATGGGAGGGTTTCTTAGGGTTTCAAAATATTAGCACACGCATATTCTTTTGGAGGGATATTCAATCATAAATATTGCATAGATTGTGGAAAGACTCCCGTGATTTTGCTTGGAAGAGAATATCTTTTGATTACTGTTAGTGATATCTTGGATTCTACATTTGTAATACACCGATAGTTTTGGAAAGATCGAGCTGGAATACTTTAAATTCGAAATTTATGAGGAAAGTTTAATACGTTTTGTTTCTTGACCTAAATTGCCAATTTGTTTTTTTTTAAATGAGCTATACGCTAACACAAAAAAATAATGCTTATGGAGACTGTTTAGTTCTCCTTAATCAAAAAATGTCAAAACAATATCTAATCTTAGAAATCTAATATTCACAAATTTAACTAACTCAAAGGTTAACAACATCACGGGCCAGTGCAACATTCTTTTAGATTCGGGTCTTTTCGGAAAAACATAAAGAAAGAACGGGAGTGAGAAAAGTGAAATTTTTTAATCTTGACTTTGAGAAAAAAGAAACGAATCTAATCAAATGTGAAAGTTTGTAATCTTGACTTTAACATGTCTCACGAAAAATTTACAACGAAGAAAGAAAAAAAAGAATGGATCTACGAACAAGAGTATCGTTTTCTTGACCTAAATTGCTAATTTTTTTTAAGAATGATATTTACACTAACAACAAAAAATAATGCCGATGGAGACGGTTTAAGGTTAGCAACATCACAGGTCACTGCAACATTCTTTTAGATCCGAGTCTTTTCGAAAAAACATAAAGAAAGAACGGGACTAATAAAGGTGAAAATTTGTAATCTTGACTTTAATATGTCTCATATGAGAAAAAAACGGATCTAATCAAATGTGAAGTTTGTAATCTTGACTTTAACATGTCACATGAACAAATTTACAAATGAAGAGAAAAGAAAAAAGAATGGATCTACGAACAAGAATATCGTTTTCTTGACCTAAATTGCCAATTTTTTTTTTTTAAATGAGCTATACGCTAACACAAAAAATAATGCTGATGGAGACTGTTTAGTTCTCCTTAATCAAAAAATGTCAAAACAATATCCAATCTTAGAAATCTAATATTCACAAATTTAACTAACTCAAAGGTTAGCAACATCACAGGCCAGTGCAACATTCTTTTAGATTCGGGTCTTTTCGGAAAAACATAAAAAAAGAACCGGAGTGAGAAAGGTGAAAATTTGTAATCTTAACTTTAATATATCTCATAGACAAATTTATAAATGAAAGGAAAGAAGAGAATATTGGATTTACATACTCTTTTTTTATATGATATCTAATATTCACAATTTTAACTAACTCAAAGGTTAGCAACATCACGGGTCAGTGCAACATTCTTTTAGATTCGGGTCTTTTCGGAAAAACATAAATAAAGAACGGGACTGATAAAGGTGAAAATTTGTAAACTCTACTCTAATATATCTCATAGACAAATTTAGAAATGAAGGGAAAGAAAAGAATATTGGATTTACATAACTTTTTTATAGGATATCAAATTGAAAATATATTATTTTAAGTGTTTAAGGAGACTTACTTGACTTATTACAAGTTTCCTTTTCATTTTAATTGTATAGAGCATAGCTACATATTAAAATGAATCAATGCAACATCACGGGTCAGTGCAACATTCTTTTGAATCTGGGTCTTTTCGGAAAAATATAAAGAAAGAACCGGACTGATAAAGGTGAAATTTTTTAATCTTGACTTTAATATGTCTCATATGAGAAAAAAGAAACGAATCTAATCAAAGGTGAAAGTTTGTAATCTTGACTTTAACATGTCTCATGAACAAATTTACAAATGAAGAGAATAAATTGCCAATTTTTTATTTTCAAAAATGAGTTTTACGCTAACACAAAAAATAATGCCGATGGAGACGGTTTCGTTCTGTTAAGTAAAAAAATGTCAAAACAATATACAGTCTTATAAATCTAATATTAAAAAATTTAACTATTAGCAACATCACAGCCAGTGCAACATTCTTTTAGATTTGGGTTTTTTCGGAAAAACAACATAAAGGAAGAACGGAAGTGGTAAAGGTGAAAATTTGTAACCTTGACTTTAATATGTCTCATAGACAAATTTATTAATGAAGGGAAAGAAGAGAATATTGGACTTACATAATTTTTTTTGATATGATATCAAATTGAAAATATATTATTTGAAGTGTTCAAGGAGATTTACTAGACTTATTACAAATTTCATTTTTCATTTTAATTGTACAGAAGTACATATTAAATTATTCGAAGATTTTTTTTTGTTTATTAATGAACAGCTGATCCGACGGATTCACCAAATTAATTTCATATCAGAAGACTAGATATCGAATCGAATTAGAGTTGAGTACGGCTTGGATGAATCCTCCCCCTCGACCCGGGAAGGGGAGAGTGGCCGAGCGGTCAAAAGCGGATTCGATTTCTCCCATACCCCAAGTTGTGCGACTTTTCGTATTGCGCAAGATGTTAAACAAACGGTCTGGATGCCACAAATGCGGATGTTAATTTCAAACAAAGAAAATATGCGAAATGAACTTATCCATTATCCATTTTAGGGCTATACTCGAGAAGAATTATTACAACCCAAATATTTACCACTTAATTTATCACTTTTTGTCTTATTATTGATTCAATAATTTATTTAACCCCAAATTAAAATTTACACCGAATAACTGTGTAACTCAAAAAAATAAAATCTTCAAAAATCGTAACATCCCGTGCTTCCCAAGCACGGGTCAGGATCTAGTATATTGTTAAGATATGACTTGAGTTTTAATTTGTAGATCTCTATCTTGCTAAATGATAGAGTAGGAAACCAAAAAAGATGCGTATTTAGTAATAGAATCACAAACATGTCTCATACCAAAGTGACAAAATTAGCCTGAGCCATTTATTTATGTTTTCTGCTAAACAATGCTTGACTACGCTAATAAACTACTTTTGTGTGTATAGTACTTGTGATTTGGAGAAATGTCAAGTTTACATATCAAGTCGGAACATATCAGTTCAGTTCACATCCCCAATCAGTTGAGGTAACTATCTCTCACAATGAATAGATTTTTACTTTCAGATGATCGCATGATTTTATATGTTCGTCATATTGGACATAATTATAAAACATAAGATTCAAACTTGAAATCATCCAGAAATAATAGAAACAGTGCTGCTCATAGTTAAGTTTACAAAATAGATATAGAGAGAAGTAGGTAATATTAGAATGGCAAACATCTTCTGAACACTTGACGTGATTTCCAAACTTTCGGTACAATCTTCAACCATCCATGAGTTCAACGTCACTATCATCGGATGTGGGATGAAGGCTGTATAATGTACACATAATATTATTGTTAGCTAATATTATTATAGGGAATAACTTGGTAAACTTAGAAACAATACATACTACTAAAACTTACAATATATTTTCGAAGTGTTCCACCTCTAAGTGACCGGTTGGATGAAAATCAAAAGTAGAGATACCATGCACACTTTCAACGTTTATACCACCTACATGTATATCAAATAAACAAACCAGAAATGTAATTTAAATCTGGAACATCTTAGAAAAACATGCTAATAAAAAGTTGAAAACAAATCTCAAACAGATTACCATCTGATCCAACCAGTCGCCAATCAGTTAAGAGGATGATATTTGTTCCTGTGTAACCATAACAAAGCCAGAAACATTTGAACTTATCTGCTAACTCTCTTTTCGCACGAAAGTTAAGACCAGTGCCACTTAAAACATGAAAAACAGGTAGTTCAGTTTCGTATTACTCACTTCCAAGCAATCTATACTATTAAAGACAATAGGTTTATAGAACTGGTATACTTACTTGTTGTCCAGAAGCATAAAGTCAATCTTGCTAATATATTTGTTATGCATGTTCCATATATTCCTAGGAAGGAAAGGATCTATCATAGTGTCCAACTCCCTCACAATATGTATTTGACCTATAAAATCTGTAATGCCAAATTAGATATCACTACACAAAGTATTGCCTCTAAAAACAAATCATTTTCCGGTTATATAAACAGAAACTACAAATAATTCAGCAAATTACCTCTAAGGAAAGATGTTCCGTCTTGAACAGTTGAACGATAAACATCTCCAAATGGAATAAGATCCAGAGGAATAAAACCATTACAATTGTCAGAGTAAGAAACTTGGGTATCACGCGTGAGAACAATTTCTTTCCTCTGTTTGGTCAATCGAATCTCTGTATTAACTAACTGGACTTTGAAACCAGTTATGCTCCTGATATACCTCTAATTTACCACTTTTTATACTGTTTTAGCATTGTTTTCTAATGGTTTTTGGCAGGTTTTCTATCTAAAAAGGTAGTTTTACTGTGTTTATAGTGTCTAGAGTCTAAACAGGTGAAATGATGCATTTTGGAGCAAAACCATAGGATTTGCACTTCAAGCGCTCCATGCACAAGCACCAACTTTAAGAGGGCCCAGAAAAAGATATACTCAATGGATTTCATCAAGACCAGTTCCTGCGTGCTCTGATTGAGTTAACTTTCCAACGCAACTGGAACGGCCTAATTTGGATGAGTAGAAACGGAGTTACAACCAAAAGAGTGAAGACTGCTCCAGACGGCTCTATCGAGAATCAGCGCCCAACCGCGCAGTCCGGCTGGCCGAGGAACGAACGTTCCACGCTCGGCCAGAATATCGTCCGTCCATCTGAAGTCTCGGCCAAAGTCCAAAACAGTTCGGCCGCGCGCAAATCACGACCCGGGAAAGTATTGCCCGCGGTCGGCCACGCCACAACCGCTCACGCCACAGCCGCGCACGCCGCGCGAGCCGGGGAGTAACTGATGTACTTGCATTTTACATAGTTTTAGCACATCTTTTATGCATCTTTTGCATAGTTTTAGCTTCCATTTGCATCATATCTTGTTCCTTTTCTCTTCTTATGCATTCATGTTAGTTTTAGGTTGCATTTGCATACATATGCATGTTTGGTCCTTTGAAATAGGTCTTTTGGAGCATTCTGGAGCATATGGGACAAGGAGCATGGAGGGACTTGGCACATGGAAGCAGCTCAACTGGATACGCAAAGGAAGAAGGGAGAAGCCATCTTGAAGACCAGCTCGACCACTCGACCAACCGGTCGAGTTCCTCAACTCGACCGGCCAAGCTTCAACTCGATCGAGCTGAGAAGTCAAAGTCAAACCCGAAAAATGTTGCTTCCCCCTTGACTTTCCTTTGACCCTAAACCTAATCCTCTTGTATTTAAAGGCTCTAAGCCACGAAAAAACCACCAAGCTTTAGATTATTTTGTTTTAGTTTCTTTTAATTTATTGTCTTTTACTTTTTAGAACTAATCCCATCTTTGTGTTCTTGAAGCTCTTGCTTCTTGAATCTTAGATCCTGGATTAATCTCTTTGTATTTGCACTTGCTTATTTCAATAAAAGTTGTTTAATTTCATCTCCTCTTTCTTATGATGTCTCTTTTATTGCATTTGCTTGTGTTTACATTCATGTGTAGTGAGTAGTTACCCATTAGGGTTTGAGATGGGATAGATTAGAGGTTTCATATGCTTAATCCTTCTAGCTTATGGTCTTAATCTAGATTCTCTCTCTTTTGGATAGATCTTAAGGCTACATGACCACTACCCCTGGCTTGTAAGTCCTTAGGCGACTCCCCACACGAAAGTGATGGCATTCGCTGGAAAAGATCCACTAAGAGCTCCAATATCTCTTGCTCTAGACAATAGAGGTCTAAGGGGTTGGATGGATTAGTTTGGGCAATGATCCTATAGCCTCCAAGGTTTGATTCTCACTGGCTAACCCCCTGTTTCTGAGATCATTCCTTGGTTGATAGCCTTCACCTTGGGAAAGGGTTGGCTAGGCATTGAGAAGCCCAATATCAAGAGAAGCCTTGATACAAGGAGTTTTAAGAGCTAGATTGATTAAGTGTAGATTCCTTTGATTGCAAAACCCTGTCTTGAACCCTAATTCTCTCTTTATCTTGTTAAAGTCGTCACCTTTAGCTTTGTTTGTCTCAACTCGTCCCTAAACTCGATCGAGCTGGTACTTTGCTCTACTCGACTCGAGCTCTTGGTCGAGCTGACACTTCACTGCTTTGTTTACTTTTATTGCACTGCTTTTCATTTTTAGGTTGTTAGTGTTACTTCAAATCTCTTACTGCTTGCTTGACTTCTGGTTGTTTCATATTCTCATAGAGTGACAAGTTTCCCATTTTGGATTGATAACCCTTTGTACTACATCAACTATCATGGTTAAAGGGAATTGTTGACTGTGTTTGTGTTTGCATCTTACCACCATCATATACCACTGATTGCATTCCACTCATCTCATTTCATTCTTTTCACACACACACAAAACTCTTGTCATCAGTAACGCCTCGCGGCCGCGCAACTCGTCTCGCGTACCACGCACGAACGCGCCGTCCGAGCCGGGAAACTACGTCCCGCGTCCGACCGAGATTTCATCGGCCAATCTTCATCCGTCCGACCACAGCGGCCGACCACGAATCCGTCCGGCCACGACCGTTCCGACTCGGCCACGACCCGATCATCCGGCCGATCGTCCCGACCGACCGTCCCAACGCCGCGGTCGACCCGAAGCCCGTTTTGAAGCCCGATTTCATATTTTCAAGCCCGGCTTAACCCTAAGCCGCCTCAAAAGACCTAGCACTATATATATAGCTTTTTAGCCTCTTGTGAAAAGAGAGCCGCCCTGTATTTCGATTTCCTACTCTAAGTTTTATTGCAATCATGTTTTCTTCATCTCTATGTGTGTTTGCTTTGATCATGTCTGAGTAATCCACTAGTTAGGTTGCTAGGGTTACTATTCAATGAGTTGCTTGCATGATCTTTGATTTCAATGATTAGCTAGGGATTATATTAGAGTCTTTGTCTCGTCTTGTGCACTTAACTAATGCTGATTGCTTTACCGCGCATCTAGTAATCCGATCTTAGGTTGATTTGAGCCTCGACAGTGTTGTATCATTCGCCGGACATATTCTTTGACAAGCTAGGTTTCTTAGACTGCGAAAGTTGATCTACTATAATCTAGTGAACTGTATCAGAACCTATTCATTCTAAAGCTTGATTTAATCACCTAGGGACATACCAAAAGTTTAGCGACTAGGTAGATTAACAAAGGAGCCGGAGCCTCGAAAGTGGAATGGTTTTATATTCGTGATCTGTGTTCTAGACGGTTCTTAATATCCCAACATCCCTAATCAATTCATCTATCATTGTTTCATTGATCATTGCTTGCTTCTCTGCGATAGCCCCTATGACCTAGCGCTTTTCCTTTATTGATTTACAACCTCGTTATACTTGCTAGTTCGGTTCACCATTACAACCTCAATCATACTTTTGTTTTAGCTTGATCCAAAATCCATAGTTTCAAAGTGTACTCAATAGCCAGTCCTTGTGTTCGATACCCATACTTCCGCGATCTGTGCACTTGCAGAGGTCTAGGAGTTTGGTAAAACCTGACTCCACATCAGCTCCTCCAATCTTCTTCATGAAGTAGTCCCCTGAATCTCCGTTTCTGATCTTCTCTGTCCACATAAGCATGCATCTTCGTGCCCTGACAAATTTGTAGGAAAGATTAACGCAAGAGATAATATAGTTAGTATCATCATGTATCATAAAATAATCTTTACTATGAAAACACATTAAGTTCTAATTACATCATCATCAACAAAGAGGAAACTCAATCCTTCAAAGGAGTCCACATCAAGGGTATCCCAGATCTTTAAAACTTTCACAGTGATCCGTAAATCATCACGGTCTGGTGTAACTGAAGCGAGTTTAGTGTTGTTCATTGTTTGAAAAAAATTTCAGATCTAACTTTTTACTGGTTTATGAAGTTTAGATTATAAGGGTTCCTATTTATATATTTTTCATAAAGTATCTTTGCGTTAAATATATATAAAAGAACATTAATGGGCGTTAGCTTGATGGTGCACGCAATATATTGAGATTTTGTTAATTGATTCGCTATGGATATCTAAACTGACAATTTTGTTTCAGTGTCCCGTAAAATCAGGTTCATACTGTAGTTAATGCTACTGTAAATATACTGAGGATTCTCTGAATATATTCGCTTTTTCAGAAAAATCTTATATGACCAGTCTGAATTTTCTTCGTAGGTGATTATTATTCAAGCAAGGAATCTTGTCAAATTTCACGGGTCAAAAAGATAAGTATTTAGCTACGGCCTATGAATTTCTTCTAGTCCTTTGTTCATTAGACTCTAGATTGAATGGGCCAACAATTGTGTAGGCCTTATAAACACACTCTTTTAGAATCAGAGAGTCTCAATGTTCACAATTTCAAGTAGATAAGTCTTAGGTGTCATAATTGATTGTGAAAAACCATATTAGGCTCCGAAGTAGATAATAGTATAGATGTAAGATAGTCGATATAAAGCCAAATGAAAGTAGATAATTGTACTCAACTTATTAAAAAATCCAAATAATATCTCAAATACTGAAAAACGAATTTAAAAGCTAGAAATTTCTTAAACAAATCAAAACAACAAAACGATGACAATGCTGACTCATTATTCCTTGTGACAGTTTGGGATGCACTACTCGGTCAACGTCTTCACATCCACACCATTGCTTTCGTCTTCTAGGCTGATGAGCTTGGTGCACTGTTTCTTTGAAGTGGAAGAGAGCTCACTTCTTATGTTGCTGTCTTCAATACTACGCTTAGGAGATGGTGTCATCCCATTGCTCTTCACGACAGAGGCCTGAAATAAAAGGTATGTGATGTCAATAAGGTTAGCTCTCGTACTATGATTATGACTGGAGTATCTACACAAAATGAATGTCCAAATGTAAACATCACATACCTCATTGTCAGAATGAATTTGAGAGAGATCATCCTCAACAGTAATGATCTCATTGGCTGAATCAGAATGGCACGTGATATATCCATTTTTTACTTTGTGAGCCTTGTAGGTGTCATTTCCATACATGATGTGCTCCTTCTCTACACCCACCAAGAAATCGAAAGTGTTCCCAACCAAATCTTTGATGGAATCAGGAAGAAGTTCCGGGTCTTGAATCTACACAGGTAAAGTTTTCAACATTTGTATATTTTGTAATAATACTGATATTGTATATTACTTAACAATTGGATTCGGTAGTACCTCATCAGTAGAACCATTAAGTAGGAATGCAGCTGTCTTGTTGACCATCCCGTTAGCAACAGAATCCATCAGCATTATCTTAGTCTCACCAGAATCATCTTCAATGATTAAATGTAGCTTAAATCTATTGAAGAAAAATAAAAATGAGAATTGTAAGTAAAACACTAAGTAGTTGTTCGTAAAGTAGATTGAGTTTCAAACACTTACTTTGGTGAAACCGCTTTGATGTTTGTCTTGCAGTTATCACAATACCAAATAGGAACAACTGGTCGTGGTCTGGTGGAAGACTCCTTTTTCAAGTCTTTGAAAACCCGATGTTGACATTTAACGCAACCAAAGTAATACCATCCCCAATCAGTATCAATGGCAGTGACCTTTGCACGGATTCTATATTTCTCAATCTACAACAATAACATGAATAGTAAGCAAAATCCTACTCTAATAGTCATATACCCTATTGAAGTTCCTTAGATCTATACGAATTTCCAAAACAGAATCATTACCTCGGTAGAACTCGTGACATCATAAACGGACTTAAGATCAAGCGTTAACCACTCATCCGCCTTTTGCTGTTTCTGAAGCTGCACTAATGCATCGTCGACTTTCGGGTTCAATGCAATTGCCAATCCATCATAAGGTAAACTACAACATTCATTTCAAGTTTTGGTAAGAATAATTAGATCAGAGTACTGTAATCTAGATTACAATATACAAATCTGGTTAAAACTAAGACAAAATATAGATTAACCTCTGCCGAAAGTGGTCAGCCTCATGACTGGATTGATAATGAGTTGAGATGTATCATAAGCATTGGTAACTTGCAAATCTCCTATGCAATGTAATAATGTTGAGATGAAGTTAACTTTAAGCAATACGGAAAAATCAATTAAGTTCTGTTTAGGTTAATTTTTGTATGCTTGCCTAATAGAAGTTTATCTTTAACCGCATCTTCTCCTTCACAATTTCGGAACGGCTCTTCCGCTCCCGAGATCTGCCTGGTCACCAATTGATCAGAAGAGAATGGCGGTGACGGCAGAAGAGAATCGAAATTCAACAATGGGGATTTCCGGATTACGTTTCATGTATCCATGAATAGATGGCCATCCAGCGGCGGGATCAAAAATACTAATCGACGATTTCTCTAACAAGCTCAATTGCTCTCCTCTTCGGATCTAATGGCGCGGTACATGAAATTCGTTATCCATCTAGCTTGAAATGTGTGTGTATGGGATCTGAATTTGAATGGGATGGGTGATTGAAAACAGGGAAAACGACGATTCTGAAGATATTGGGAGGGAAACACATGGTGGAGCCGCACATGGTTAGAGTTCTGGGTCGATCGGCGTTTCACGACACTGGATTGACATCTTCTGGTGACCTCTGTTACTGTTATCTCGGTGGAGAGGTTCGTTATGGATTTTCAATTCTCTGTTCTCCTGTGAATGTGATTCGGATGAGAATTTTAACGTTTATATGGATTAGAAATGCTGAAGAATCCATTTTTAGCTCGATTAAAGAATTTGTGTTTTTCATCGTATCAAACCCATCAAACGAGGAAATGGATGGGCTAATGATAGTAATTTTATTGACTGAGAACAACTTTTTTCCTTAGTTTTTTCCAGTCGAGGCGTGCTGTCGCATTTGCAGGATTTGAAGTTCCAATAGAAATGGACATCTCGGCATAGAATATGATCTTTGGAGTGGCCAGTATTGATCCAAAGAGAAGAGATGAATTGATCAAGGTGAGTACAAAAATTCTGAACCTCAAATTTATTGAGATAGTGATGGTTCTCTCAGTTCTTATCTACATTTTATAATGTGAAGTTTCGGAAAGGATTTAAATATTAATCTTTGTCACGTTACCAAACTTAATAGCATTTTAGCCTCTTGAGGTATGATAATTCTGAAATGCATTTGCTTGCCCTTACATCAAATGCAGTGATTCTTTACCTCTCTTTGCATCTCATTTTGGTTGGTTCAGGTGTTGGACATCGATATCTCATGGAGCTTGCACAAGGTATCGGATGGCCAAAGAAGATGTCTCCAGATTTGTATGGGACTCCTCAAGCCAGTTAAGGTAACCTTTTCATATGTCTTGAGTAGCAAAACCTTATTACAGATAGGAAGGATTTTTCAGTATGTGAAAATGGTTTAGGACTCTTATCAAAAGGACTAAGATTATAATAGGACCTATCTTCACACATATGCAGGTACTCTTGTGATCAATTTCGTCTTCTCTGTTTATAGTGCCAAGAATTTATGCATTACGATCGTTTCTGAAATTGCAGAATAGATACTGCAAAAATACACTAAGACAATCAAGCATCAAATATGCTCATCACTGACAAGCTCATAGCCAAAGTGGCAGACTTTGGATTTACTTAGCTTCTCAAGATTTAGAGGCTACTCATATCTTAACTCAGGTCAAAGGATCTGCAGGATATGTGGATCCAGATTATCTAAGGACATTTCAACTAACTGACCTGAGTGATGTTTACTCTCATGGTGTTTTGCTCATTGAGCTTCTCACCGGAAGATGTCCCATTGAGTTCAAGAACCACGAGGTTATTAGTAACTTAACCACAACCTATTAGAGAGAATCTTGAAGTTCAAAGCATGAAAAACTTGTTTGCTATTGTTGCAGGCGTTAAAGAGACTCATAGACGATGAAGCTTTTCTTCGACCCGTTGCTGAAGAGAAACAGAGCTGCTATTGAAGTGGCTTAGAAGATGCTGCGACTGGCGTGCGAAGATCTAGACCACGCATATGATATCGTATCAGCATTTTCTTCAAGGAGAAAAAAAGAAGACGCAAGTTTTCAAGCAAAAGAAAGCATAAAGGAAGTAAGGCTAAGGTTAGACCTTCACATAACCCATGCGATTTTGTACTTTCTGTTTCATGCTTCAAGAGATATTTGTACTATTATAAGGCTCGACGAAATGTTGTCAATGACTTAGTTCTACGTCACCTGCAACAATTACAATTGTCGAGGTTTCTTAGTGTGTGAGAGCTCCTTAGGTGTACACAGAGTTTTATTGCTGCAATGTTAAAATACTTTTTAGTTTTTACTTGTGAGAAGTGACGTAATTTTGACGAGAACTTCTGTGTCATGTCACTTATCTACTTAGGTCATCAATTTGCTCAGAACTTTAGTTTCATGTCACTTATCTCCATCGGCCAGCATGCGTTGACATGAGTGCAGAGATATGCTGCATTTGGTTCATTAGGGGATTCAATGTCAGGATTTTGAAACATTGTAAAGAGAGAACCTGTATTGGATGTTCCAACGGGAACAAATTTCACGAAGAGTTATGTGTTTTCTCAACAATCTATATGCTTATATATATAATATATGTTCTTTGTCTCATGTGGATGCAGTTCCTTATTTATGCATATCAATATTGCCTTCTGATTATTCTTTTCTGACTTCTTTATGTATTTAAAGCTACAACATTCACAGTTCCTCTCACTTTGGATTTAACTCCTACAAAGGTTTTAGTAGTATTTTGCATATACGATCATGCTATTACCTTTGCATGACTTAAGATTTTGATTTTCCTTTGCAGTTGAAGGGGAATATGACGCTGGTAAGATAAGGATGAGATTAGCCAAGAAAAGGAGAAGCAACGAAAAAAATGAATGTTTGTTAATTTTTTCGGTAACTTTTGTCTTGGTGCATATACCATATACAATTGATGTATTTGCATTAAAGTAAGAGTGCAAAAACTAGGTTTTCTCACGTGAAAAAAAGGGGAAATATGCTCCATCTACTCATTTATTTATTCATGTAATTGTATTTTGTTTTGTTAAATGATCTATGTATGGTTTATGCTCCATTAGAAAATCTTAAATTATTTTTTGACAAACCGTATTTGGCGCAGTTTAGTGGAGTAGAATTCCATTAGAAATTCAATCTAACCAAAAGAAAAAATAAAATTCTTAATTGTGAAAACATAGTTGTGGGTTAAATGAGATACGAGTGCCTGTATGTCAAAGCAATCGTGAGCCAGGTCTGGTCTTATTTTATTAAGTAGCAGGTCTTCATATTTTTTCACTTTAGTTAATGTGGGAATCTGATTGATAAGCCCTGGTTCCTCATTTGCATATGATATAACGCGTTTTGAAACTACGTTTTGGTTAACTGACATTAGCACTTCAAACCAACTACTGTGTGTCTGTGTGGGTGATTAAATGGACCACAATATGCCCGACTGAAAGGCCAAGATTAAACTTTTTAATGAACATATAAAATACCAACCTGGGCAATTTATCTGATAGATCCGCTTCCATCCGTTCTATGCTTTGTTTCGATCCACAAAATCCGGATAACCGATACAAAGAAAAATAAATATTAAAATTCAATACCTGCTAAAAACAGAGCAAATACCAAACTTTAAAAAAAAAAAAGGGGATATCCGCTCCGCTCTGTATATCATAATGTTTACTTATATATATATATATATATTATATATATTATAGTATTTTGTTTTTTTTCTTTCTTTAGAAACATACAAATCAACAAAAATACTGTCTTCATAAATATAATCCACTCTTTTTTTTTTGTCAACATATAATCCACTCATTTATGCAGTCAAATTCCATAACGTAATAATTACTTTCAAATTAGGAATATTGTGACTAAATAAAAAAATAACAAAAAATATGTATAAAACTTTACAATTATGTGTTTATATAGTGGTGCCGTTGTGATTTATTAATTTACGTTTTTAGAACTTATTTTTAAAAGCATATTATAATTTATGAAACACTAATATATTTGGGGATGTATCTATATAATTTTAATTATTTTTAATTACTCTATGTTTTTAGTTATTCTAAAAAAAAACATTCTGATCGGATATTCGTGGATATTTAAGTTTTTAGGGTTATACGGAAATTTTTGGATCAGAGCAGATCACAAAATCAAAATTCCAGATCATACGGAGCGGATCACATATCACATAAATTTTCCTGATATCCGCTCCGTGCCCAAGCTACATATTACAAGCCAAAAATTACACTGAAAGATTATTTTATACAAATTCATATTTTCTTTAACTAATCACAAATATATATATATCAAAACATCCCGCGCGTAGCGCGGACTCACCCCTAGTTATTATAAACAGCTTATATGGATTGGATTAAAATTATTACAAATTCTTATAAACAGCTTCTACGCTTTTTCAAAATGAGTATATGTACACAATGATGTCGGCAATTATATAAGGCATAGCAATAAATAAGGGAAATTCTTGTGGTATAGTTGTAAATAGTATAAGAAAGAGAGGTTTATTTTTAGATGATTGTGAGAGTGTGGCAAATGCTGATACATCAATAATGGCACAGTTGAAATTAAGTGGAAAACAAAGGTTAAAAAAGTTTTCTCTTTTAATATATTAGGGATATTGGGTAGAGCCAAATCGAATGGTTAGATAAACGTCTTGTAATAGGAGGAGTAGTTATGAACCCTGTCCACCATCTCCATGGAGATGATGAAGGGAGAGCTCCAATTGATAGAAAAAGACTCATAACTCTCTGGGGTTATCCTGCCCTGGAAGAAGAATTAAAAAAAAAAAAATGTAGTGAGATTTTTTATTTTTTGTTGCCGTAGTAAATAAGAGCTTTTCACCTTAAAAAAGAATAGGAGTTAATTACTGTGACACATTTACTTAATTTTCACCTCTTATAAAATTTCAAGGACATGCGGAAAATGATAATAAATCTCTTCATTAATTAAATGAAATAAAAAAACTGAATATATATATATATATATAATTTTTTTTAGTGACAGATAAACTTTATGATAAAGAAGAAAAAGAAGAATTATATACCTCCATATATATTTTAGGACAATATATATCTATGTCTATCCACAAAGCACATAATTCTCTGGGGTTATCTTGTCCTTGGAAGAAGAATTAAAAAAAAGGAGAAAATTTAGTGAGATTTTTTATTCTTCGTTGCAGTAGTAAATAGGAGTTTTTCGCCTTCAAAAAGAATAGGAGTTAATTAACTGTGACACATTCACTTAATTTTCACCTATTATAAAATTTCAAGGACATGCAGAAAATGATAATAGATCTCCTTATTAGTTAAATGGAAAAAAAAACTGGATATATATATATATATATATATATTTTTTTAGTGACAGATAAACCTTAGATAAAGAAGAAAAAGAAGAATCATATACTTCCGTATATACTTTAGGACAATATATATCTATGTCTATCCACAAAGCAAGGAAAGTAATTGATCAGATATATGGACGTTCCTACAAAGAAGCACTTATGATAGAGAAATTGTAAGAAATACACCTCTTGAGGTGCAAATTTTCAAAATTACACCTATAGTGAAAATTTTCAAAAATACACTTTTTCTAATTTTAATATATATGTTTGGGTTCACTAATCCTAGATTAGGGTTTAGATTTTGGTTTAAATTTAAGGGTTCAATGTTAGATTTTAAGGTTTTGGATATATATTTTAGGGTTTAGAGTTCTTTTACTAAATGAAAAAAGTGTAGTTTTGAAAATGGACAACATAGAAGTGTATTTTTGAAAATTTACACTTTAAAAAGTGTAGTTTTGAAATTTTCCCCTTATAATATTAGAACTTATGCCTTATGGAAGATGATATCCTATTTTTAAATTGGTTTATTCTACTGCAACAAATGCTAGTCACAATAAGGGTTTCAAAGAAACCAATATAGTCGTTAGTAAAGCTGAAGTGAACCAAGAAAAAAAAATTAAATTTATGTCTAAATATCGTGAAAAAGTTAAATTTATGTCCAAATATCTTTTCAACATTCTCTTCGTTACCCATATTATTTTTCATGCGTTGTCACAACCCGAATCAGAGAAACAATTAAGAAAAACAACACTCCCAAAACTGTGAGAAAACAAATTATAGTGCAACATAGATTAAGATTCGGTATAGATCTGTTGTAGCGAAAAAGGATTAACGTAATCGAAAAAAGTGGTTCTTGAACATAAATGAGATGATAGGAAAATTAGGATTTTTTAAAGTAGTGTACGGTTCTTCTACAACCTTTAAAATCACGAAATTCTAGCTCATATCTAGCAAAACATCACTCAAAATGAGATCGCAGAACTATTCTCAACAATTTTATTACAAATCAATATTCGAAAACATATCTGGGTATAATCCAATTAAGGAGTTTTTTGTTTCAACTAAGGATAGATTAAAAATTAGGAAAAACATGAAACTAGTGTTTTGAAAACCGGACCGACCTGGTGGTCGGACTGGGTTCGATCATGAACTGGATATATGACCGGGTTAGGTTTCTGGTTTGGTTTAAAAACAAGATGAATTAATTAATTATTTTCGTTTATAATTATTTTAATCTTTAGTAAATATTAGATTATATTTATATTTATACCCATAATAAATATTAGATTATAAATTTAATTTTATAGTTATTTCACAAAATCAATTTTTAACTAATAATATTTTTATTTAAAATTTTATATGTTTAAAAATAAATATAACATAAATTATTATGACCCGGGTTCAACCCGGTCAAACTAAACTGAACCATGACCCGGATATTTATCCGGTTCGTCTTCCGATCTGATTTTAAAAACATTGCATGAAAGGGATAAATCAGTTTTTTTAATCGACATTTTAAGATTCAACAACGTTTTCAAACTTCCGTCTGACACATTAACCGAGGTTGTAAATGCGATTGCAAACCTACAAAATTGGAAAGTCCGAGTATTAATGTAGGTTCGCAAACTAGTTCACAAATTAATGGAGTTAGATATATTTTTGTTTCAAAATTAGGTAAGTTCGTGTAGTTTTCAGAGTTTTTCATCCTATACTATAAAAGATGCTCATCTCTTTCCAGCTGACCGTCACGTCAGCACGGGAGAGATGGACACGTGGCGTCCCCAGATAATTCCTACTTGTATTTAATATCTAAATCTAATAAAACATTTTTTATCGTTCGAAAAACGTTTCATCTCTACTCTCTCTCCTCCGCACCTTCGATCAGTTTAGCCTCATCTCGCCTTGCTCATATGAGTCATCTCTCATCCCTCTCCTACTCCCCGTGAACCATATATCGCCGGAATTTTTGCTGCCCCTGCCATGCTCCGTCGCCTCCCCAAATAATAAAAAAAAGAAAAATATTCCCCTTTTTCAAAACCCTCGCCGCGATTCCGATGAACATTGCGCCGGTTGGAACAGCGGAGATATCTTCTTGGGGGCTGACCAAACCTGCTGGTTTCTGGTGGACTTATCTGAAGAAGAAAAGCATGATAACCGATATCTTCGTCACGCTCCGTTGCTTATCGAAAAGGGTTATATCAAGGTTTATGTGCTCATAACTTTTATTCAACCAGTGTGATGAATTGAGAAAGGTTCGTTGTATTGATGATGACAGAACATTGGTTTATGTTGTTTGATTCAGGAACCATTCATCTCACAGGAACTTCTCCCCCTGCTACAGGCTTTGCTGTGATAACCTCGACATCCTCTATGCGAGAAGCTAGATTTGCGTCACTGGTACCCTCGATCAACTCCGTAGGTTTTAATTTCATCAACTCGGTAGTGTTTCGTAAGTTAGGTTCTCGAATTCTTTGGTTCTGGCCTTCTGGGTATGATTAAGGGTTACGCAGAGATGAGTTTCCAATTTGTTCAAAATATGTTCATAACACAATCTTCGTTCTTTTGCTCTGCTCATTCTCTGTTTACCAAGCAATTTCGGCTCCTATTTTCAAGTAAGTTTTAAACTGTTATCGATGACTCTATGTTTCTCTGGTTGTCAGGAATATAGGATGATGACAGGGATGCACACCGTTGTCGATATTTACTGTGTCAAATTCGGCTCTTGTGTTGGATGGAGATATGTAAGAAAACACCAAATGTTTACTTTTTGGGAGGAGGTTCTGCATTTTGGTTCTTCCTTTGCTAATCTAATGTTTCTTGGTTGTTTATTTTTGTAATTTAGGAGGTTGCTTTTGAGAAGAAACAAAAGTACAAGGAAGGAAAATCGGTTCTTCAAAGGCCAGTAATCGATTGATCGTACTGGCAGGTACAAGGCTTGGGGTGAGCTGAGATGATGAATTTTGTTTTTCTTTTGACAGTTATTGTTTTGTTTTCACATATTTTTTAGCTGAGATGATGAATTTTGTTTTCATTTTGTTGGCAGGTACAGTGTTTGGGGTCCAGATGGGAACAATTACTGGGTGGCTCAAGAAGTCGAAGCCGAAGAAAGTGATACTGATCATGCTTGATGCTCTCAATATTTCTCATCTCATTTGTACAGTCTCTCCTTACTCTTTCATCTTTCTTCTATACTTTTCAATGTGTTTGTTTGGATCATTTTGTGAACCATCGAATGTGCATTAGGACACCTTCTTCAGAGATCAACTGTTTGTTTGTGATGAATCCAAGTAGCTTTCCTTTGCGAGATTCTTCATAAGTACAATCAATTGGCAGTAGACCATTCGGCCCCCAGATTCTGAAAAATCTTCTTACGCTACTCTTACCGTTAAATCACAAGATTGAGGTCAGAGATGAGTTTCCAATTTCTTCAATTTCTTATATATTTCAAGGAAATATCGTGTGCTGAATCTTATTACTAAACAAAATTTGTTTTTGAAACCAAGGCGGGTTGATGCTCTCAAAATTATATATAAGGCCTCTTTTATGATCACCTTAATGACAAAAATTAAATCAATGTATGCTTTCTCCTATGAAGAATATTTCGTCGGAGCTGTGGCAGTTTTTTCTCTGTCTTTTGAAAAGCATAATCATAAGCTGTTTCTTGATATTGGCGTTCAGTGAGTTCTTAGAAAGCACTGGATTGGTTTTTCTTTTCTGTGCAGCAGAAGTTTTAATGTCCTCTAATCTCAATCCCACTAAATTATATCACTTTTTCTAGAACAGGAGATAAAGTATAACACCTTTATTCCCAAGATTAACAAAAAACGTTTTTAAAACCTCCTAGCTTAAGATAGGAGGATCAAGCTATGAATTTTATTGCTCTCATGATGAGTTCACGAGACGGTTGGTGACTAAGGCGACTATGTATCAGATGAGGAATAAGAGGAGGATACTTTATAATACGAAAGCTGCTTATGCAGTCTATGGACCAGAAATTCGGGTAAGTTGCTTTTATATCATTTTACTAAATTCTGCAAAACCATTTACGTCCTCATCAAGAGAAGATTGATTTCATTTATTCAGAGACAATGGAGCTTTACGGAGGGGTTGGCTTCTAAGGCATTTTTACAGAGATTAGGACCTCCTCTGCTCTACTATTTGAATCAGAAGATATGGAGGAGGCGTTTACCCTACCTATTGATATCCTCCACAAGATCAAGTGCTTATCATCAAACGGTTTTTACATCATGCTTGTCCAAGCAATAGGTTTTGTTTTATCTCTCTATGTTTGGTGGCGGTGGGTTTGTTTTGCTAAATGGTTTTACCATCTAGAAGCAGTGTTAGTCTGGTAGATAATTCTCCTAAGAACCCACTACCCAGCCCCGTCATGTGGCTCAACCATGAAGAGATTCCGGTGAGATTCCCACTCTCATCGGTCTAAATAAGGTAGTTACACTATTTTTATTCCGAAGGAAAAAACAAGTTTGAATCTGAAATGCGAAATTGCCTGTCACCCATCTTGCCAACTTTTCTCCTACACATGGCAAAATAAGCTTAGTTCAAGTTAAACGGAAACATTGATTATTCTATTGCTTTAGGATATATATATTTTTGGAGTGTCATTAGTCATTACTAATGGCGATCGTTTCTCTTCGCTTACCTAATAGAGAGTGCATCGCTGATCGAATGGGGAGGAGAAGTTATGGACTCGCAGTCAGATGGGTACCACATGTCCACACAAATGGAAAGTGGTAAGTGGTCACTTCCCATAAGAATGTTGCAGCAAAGCAAGTTACTTTAGGAACATTCAAGTAATTGATAGATCTAAAAACCTCAAAGCAGCATCAAAAGGACTCAACACTTTTACCAAGAAGTCAAATTGGTATGATGCTCAAACGGGGAGCACTGATGACTTGGGACATTACTTCTACTACGGTGGTCTTGGTAAGAAGAAGAACTGCCTTTAACGCATGCATTTGCTGTAGTGTACTAAGCTTTATGTCTCTTTCAGTCTTGCGAGTTTCCTTCTACTTCTTGGGTAGCAGGCTGTAGTAAACAAAATCAATTAGTGATGCTATTATATAAGCTTTTTATTAAGGTAGTGGGAAGTTTAGAGGTTTGTCTAATTTTCAACTTTGTATCAAGCTAGGTGTTTGTAGAAGTATTTACTACTATAATATCAATCACTTTTATAGTTATGATATGTTTACTCTTTGATCACTCTATCCTATACTAGAAAACTATTTCTTCTATCCCCTTCATTTGAGTTTCCTTAGTTAAAGCAACCGGTACATATTCCATTTGCAGAGCATTGGTCTTTCTTCAACTTCATTATATCAAGCTCTGTTTCTTCTCCGCATTGCAACACCAAATCTGACTTTGTGGTTCCACTCACACCAAATTATGCTCTCTCTACCTAACACAGCTTAAAAGAGAAGGTAAAGTCAAGGGTGAGAAACGTTGCTCTTAAAACAAAACAAAAACGCAGAAAGATATACCACTTTCACTTGGGCTTTAAAGTAACTTTTTCAAATATATGATTTTGGATTTACCTTAGCTAAGCAAGCCCCTAAGACAAGAGATGATAAGAGAGCACAAAAGTTACAAAGATAAATCAGAATATCACAATAAAAAATATGCATAAATGAGGTCAAAATCCATAAGAGGGTTTCAGCTTACGCCCACACAATCTTCTTATTATGAGTCATCATGATACTAACAACTTAGCACTTTGAGCTCATTCATAGAAAAATAACACCCATTAATTTACATAGCCCATAATAGGTTCCATTCTTCATATGTTTTAACTGCCGTTTAATCGGATAGCATACGTTTATTCACACATGACAAGAGATGCTAAACAGTGTAAAACACAAAAAATGTGAAGAATTCTTTTCAATTTTAGTTAAGATGTTGATTTAGCAAGTTGTTAAGCTTTCTACGAAATAAAAAGAAAAATAAACAAACCCGTGTAGTAAGTTGTTAGTGATGTAAATTTTCTTTAAACTACAAATTTGAAAAAATATGAATACCTAAGCAAAGTACTCAACTACTTGACATGATAAGTGCAAAATAAACTTTGTTAGCATAAACCTGCGCATCAATTTGGAGTATTGTAATAATTGGTGAACTATCGGGCAAGTGATTTGCGATATAGTATGAGTGAGAAACAAATACGAACAAAAATTATGTGATGATTACAAGAACAGTGATCAAATATTTATAACTCTCAAAAATAGCACACGATCGTCAGAGGCTCATATGCAAGGCGTGGAGATCAATTGGTAGGAATAAAAGGGGTATTACAAAAACGTGAGAGTCAATTGTTAAAATATGATTTAGTGTTGTCTTTTTTATCTTATAGATATATGACAAAGAAGAAGAACGAAATTTAGCTACAAGATTAATCACATTGACAATTGTACTCTTTCATAAAATAATCAAAGTAAAAGTTAGCTGGGAAAAAACAAAACAGACATAAATGAATATTATAGATGAAAAAGTCAGACACAGATAAAAAAAAATTTCAATGCATTTTTTAAAGAGTATAAAATTAAAAATTAAAAGACAAATATATCATTTTTGGTGCCAAATAAATTGTGAATATATATATATATATATATAATTTCAATACACATACAAAACTTTTAGTCTCTATAAAAAGTATGGTATCACATACACAATGACATCATCAAGGAACGAGATTAAGTCTGGGACTTTGGGTATTCGGATCGATTTTGGGTCGGGTTCGACCAGTTATGGGTCTATTAGATACGTGATGTCTATACTATATAAGTGTCTAAATGAATTTTAGTTCACTATCGGTTCAGATATATTATGGTCCAAATCTGGAGAATCTAATTATACTCAATTTTGGTTACTGTTTGATTTCGATATCCTAACTATTTATCACCTAAAATATATCCAACAAACTGTAAAAATACCTACAAACCCAAAAAATATCTGAAAATCTGATATTGTTTTCAGAAAACAAAAAATGTAAATACTCGAAATATATCTGAAATCTAAGAAAAAATCAGAGAAGCCTAAAACAAATTAATATCAAAATAATCAACAATACTCATAATTCGGATACCCAATCGGCAATCGAATATTACTTTGGTCTGGACATTACCCAATAACCACGGATATTAAATAGTTTTTCTAATGAGTAATTTTATTTATACATGAAACTAATTGGGTATAGATATTTCGGGTCGGTAGAGTTTGAGTTTTTGAGTTTGGGTTAAAAGTCTGAGATAACAAAGTTGACAACTTATCCAACTTAGTTTCCTTCAAATAAAGAAAAAGATAAAAGTAATAGCTAATGAAGCATTTGACCATTGTACCACTTTCACTTGACTAACTCAGTTCAAAGTTTAAAATGATTAATTAATTAACTGAATATACCGGAGTTTAACTTATTTGACACTCAATATTATTCACATAGTTCTGTATAAGTTATAAAAAAAGGAAATAAATTCCTTAATGAAGTCGTTGCGTTATTTGAAAGGTGGAAACAAAAACTTGGGAAACATTATGTTAGAAATCATATAATAAAAATATATAAAAAAATAAAATAATAACACTATCCGCGCGAGCGCGGATTTGAACCTAGTTTTAAATAAAGTTAGTATATTTTTGTTTCAAAATTAGTTAAGTTCGTATATCGATTTTGACACGTGTCCAACAGCGTAAAATTTGTTCGTCAGATTAGACTCTCGTTGGACTCCTCAGTTCTCTCCTCAGAGTTTTCATTTTAAATAAAAACTTTTGTTGTTTATTTAGATTATTGCATGTCTGACACCTGTCCAACAGCGTAAAATTTATTCTTCAGATTATATAAGTCCCGTCGGACTCCTCAGTTCTCTCCTCACTCTCTACTCTCTCCTCTCAATCCTCGCTTCATCGCCGTCCTTTCCCCTTCCTCCCCGTTTCACGCAAGTTCCAGCCAAGGTTTCTTCTACTCTCTGTGAAATTTCCCAATGAGTTTTAGAATCCTGTTTCCTCTTGGCCGCTCGTGATTTCCCGCCTTTACTCACTTCATCTATATAAACTATTTGGATTTCGTTCGGTTCCTTCTCTTGCATGCGTGAATACGATAACAGATTTTGTCAGTGCTGTATCAATTTCCTCTGATTTGATCTGATCTATATCCGAAGTTGAAAATTTTGGGTTTTTCTTAAGCTCATTCCTTGCCTTAGGGTTTCTTCTGCTCTTTAAGAAATTGAGTCTCTTTTGGGCTTTTCCCATTAGTATATCATCATCAAACTTTGCTGCCAAGTTTAGCTTTCTGATCTGAAACACCCTCTTGTTTGCTTGTTTAATTTGTGTGTTTAGGTAAAGCAGAAGGTAGGATGAGTCATTCATCTGATGAAGAGGCTGAGATCAGCGACTCAGAGATTGATGAGTTTTCCGAAATTCGGTACGAGCAAATACAGAAGGGGAATTACAAAGTTAAGGTGAAGGGAAGGCTGAGATGCCCGTTTTGTCCAGGCAAGAAGAAGCAAGATTACAAGTACAAGGAGCTGCTCGCACATGCTTCTGGGGTTTCCAAACAGAAGGCTAATCATCTCGCCTTGGCAAAGTATCTAGAGATCGACCTTGCTGGTGAAGCAGGGCCTCTTCCGGTTCCTTGTGTGAACAAGCAGCCGGAAGCCAAACTTTATGTCTGGCCATGGATGGGGATCGTCATGAATCCCTTGAGAGAAGCTGATGGCGACAAGGAAGCTCTACTTGATTCAGGTTATTGGTTGAAGAGGCTTTCTAGGTTCAAGCCTGTTGAGGTGAATGCGTTTTGGGTCGAACAAGATTCGGCTGTTGGGGTTGTTGCTAAGTTTCACAGCGACTGGAGAGGGTTTGGGAGTGCAACAGAGCTTGAGAAGGAATTTGAGAACCGAGGCTGCAGCAAAAGGGAGTGGATGGAGAAGAGAGGAGACTCAGAGGCAAAGGCGTTTGGTTGGTGTGCACGTGAAGAGGACTATAACTCTGGAGGGCCAATAGGGGAGTACCTCTCCAAGGAGGGAAAGCTAAGAACTGTTTCAGATATTCTCAAGAAAAAAACCAGGATAGAAACATGTCCTGGATGAACTTTCGAATACAATAGATCTGACAAATGAAGATCTGAACAAGGCTCAATACAGCTACCGGAGTACGGAAATGTCACTGAGAGGGTCCTACGAGAATAAAACCTTGCAGAAGCTTATGCAGACGGTATTTTAACTGAAACACACTTATTGTTTATGATTCACCTCTAGAATGTTGTGTTACGGTTTCTGACTATTGTTTCTATTTTATCTCCTCAGAAACAAAGAAGCTGCAGCAGATTTCGCTTCAGAATACCAAGAGGATCCTGTTAGAAAAACAGAGGCTAAGCGATGAACTAGAGCATGAGATTGCCGACCTGCAGGATAAGTCCAAAGAGTTGGACAAGAGGTTAGCACTTACTGAATTGGAGAGACAGAAGCTTGATGAAGACAAGAAAAAGGTACCATACATAGGAATCAATCAGTCTGTGTGCATTTATGTTTTTCAAGGTATTTATTTTCGTGGTTTGGCAGAGTGATGCTATGAGCAACTCCCTCCAGTTAGCCACCCGTGAACAGAAAAAGGCTGACCAGAGAGTGTTGAGACTTGTACAAGAGCATAAGGTATATTCCATACTTCACAACTCAAACTCAAGATTGAGGAAAAAAAAAAGCCTTCCCTCGTTTGTCTCTTGAGTTTTAAACTCTTTCCTTGTCATGCATTTCAGAGGCAAAAGGAAGAAGCTTTGGGCAAGATCCTGCAGCTTGAGACGCAGCTAGACACCAAACAGAAGCTGGAAATGGAGATTCAAGAGCTAAAGGCAAATTGCAAGTGATGAAGCATTTGGAGGATGATGATGATGAGGCGGTCAAGCAGAAAATGAAGGAGATGAATGACGAGCTGGAGGACAAGAAATCTGAGTTAGAAGAGCTGGAGCAGATGAACTCAGTCCTGATGACAAAAGAACGTCAAAGCAATGATGAAATTCAAGCAGCCCGGAAAAAAATGATTGCGGTACGAAATTTTCTAATGCTCTAGTGTTTTTGGTCATATGCTGTAACAAAAAACTCTAGTTTGTTGGATACCTTCACTTGACAAAATGAACTGATTAGTTAATAAACCTTTTTGAATTGTTCTTATCTAACTAGATTACGGTTTATGACAGCTGTAGGGCTCTGATAAATTCCCAGATACTTGCCACAATATCTTGTCTAGAAACTGCATACTGCATGTACCAACAACCAAAGTTGGATTAATTGTTGCCGATGTTGTTTTTTCAGGGTTTTACAGCACTGATAGGCACTCAAACAGATATAGGGTCAAAAGGATGGGAGAGCTCGATGAGAAGCCCTTCCTGAATGTTTGCAAGAAGAGATACTCTGCAGACGAAGCTGCGGTTGAAGCTGCCACCCTTTGCTCTAAATGGCAGAGCAAGTCAATGATTCAAACTGGCATCCGTTCAAACTTGACAAAGCAAAGGTATGCTCTTTCTTACTGTGAATTGTTGGTACAAGTGTTGTGTAAGTTGGAAGTAATAGTGTTGTTACATGGTTCTGGTTACAGGAAGTGGTAGACGAAGAGGATGATCAGCTGAAGAAGCTTAGAGGAGAGTGGGGAAAAGAGGTGCACAACGCTGTTAAAACAGCTCTGGAGGAGATGAATGAATATAATGAAGTGGTCGCTACCCTGTCCCAGAACTTTGGAACTTCAAAGAAGGAAGGAAAGCAACATTAAAGGAAGGATTACTTTCATATCCAAGGACATGAAAACTGTGAAACGCAAAAGAACCTGAAGGTATGCTTTATAGAACTTATATATATATATATATATATATATGTGCTAGTTTAAACTTGCAATACAGCTTGGTTAGGTCTAGAGTAAAAACTTTTCAACAAATACTGAATGGACATGATCTCGTTTGTTGAATCCAGTTGAAGAATTTTAGTTTTGATCTGAGGAATCCACTGGTCTTCTACTTTGGTTGCAGGACGGAGGAGGATGAAGAAGAAGATATGTCTATAAGTTAAAGTTATAGACTGTCTGGTTTTTGTATTTTTGTTTAATGCTTAATACCCACCCCATAATATGTTACGTGGGCAATGAATTTATTTTGTTATCTCTTATAAGAACAGTCACTGCATTTTAGGAATTTTTCAATCTTTTGATATGACTTGAAATTCCTAGCTGGTCAGCTTTTATTAACATGATGATTAAAAAAGTTTGTGGGTTTGGCAAGTTTAAATTATCTTGGCATTTAACAAAAGGGGAAAATCACATTTTTAAACACTCAAGGTGACAATTACTAACACTTTTTTTGGGGTATTTTGGTTATTGCCTTTTGTGTTAACTCATTCTACTTGTATAATATACACGGCCATAAAGTAAGAAAACAAGGCACCGAAAATTTAGTGTAAACAAAAAAGGTAATATATAAATTCATCAAAAATACTGCTAAATTTTCAGATTCTAAACAAATACACAACGACAAAGACAGCTCCTACTATTTTCATTCAGACTAAACCAGAAAACAATGTTAAACTAAGACAACGTAGATTAGATATGTGAAGGTTCCTTTTTTCAATTCTTGGCCTTCTTCTTTGGCTTTCGTTTCTTTCTTGACTTGTTAAACCCGCCTCCGGTCTCCTGTAATACAATAGACTTCATATGAGTTCATTCACAGAAGAAGTTTTTAAGTATAAACAACATCATTAGCTTCATTAAGTAGGTGCTTACCTTTTTGTAACATTTGTATGCACTTTTACCAGAGAACTCTTGTCCGCTTTTAGATATATAAACCTACACCAAGAGAGCAAGAAAACAATCAGAGACTAACAAAGTTTCATAGACTCTTGTGTTTATGTGTTCTGTAACAAACCTTCTTTCCTTCTGCGGATGTGAACCAGTGACCAGCAGAGCCAGTGCTAGCTGAAACACGTCTCTTGCTCGCATCCTTTGGCGCTGCAGTTTTCGTAGCCTTTGACTTTGTCTTCTCTCCAGGTTTAGAGCTCTCTTTGCTGCTAAATTGGTTCCTACAGTGGGCATTGGAAAGAGTCAAGTCAATACCATGAAAAAACAGAAGATTGTAAGTGTCAATATATAAGAGTGTGACACTCACATATAATCAATAAGGGACACAGCCTCCTCTCTACCCTTCAAAATTCCCAGAGGCAAGAAGTTTGGTAACCGCTTTCTAACTAAATTCTGGATTCTTGGATCACTGTGCAAGAAGAAACGATGAGATGGTGGACAAGGGAGGGAAAGATCCAAGAACTCGTCAGTCTGCTTATACAATCCGCTACTACTTGCAGCAGCAATGTTTGCTTTCTGAGCTGCTGCTGCTGCGTTACTCGTACTCGCCTTGTTCTTGATCGAGCTGAAATAGTCCTGACAAACATCATCCAAAGCTGGTGTTTGAATCTTTGAAATCTTAACCGGTGAAAAATCTTTCCACAGATCTACACTACATTGCTTTCTCTTTGATATACTTGCAACAGATGGTTGATCTCTGTTGGTGGATGGTTGGTCATCTTCAGAGTCTGAAATTATCAGTTGGATCTTTCGTTGAGATGGTGTTTGAATCTTGGAAGAAGTTGACGCCGGTGAAAAATCTTTCCACAGATCCGCAATACATTCTTTTCTCTTTGGTTTACTTGCTGCAACAGATGGTTGTGGATGATTTGATTGCGTTACTCCGCTTAAATCTCTGTTGTCATCGTCAGAGTCTGAATCTAGGAGCTGGAACCTTCGTTGAGCTGGTGTTTGATACTTGGAATTTGACGCCGCCGGGGACAAAACATTCCATAGAGATCCATTACAAGGCATAGTAGTTACAGGTTCCTTTCTCTTTGTTGTGGATGATGGATAGTCATCTTCAGGATCTGAATCTAGTAGCTGCAACTTTCGTAAAGGACTACGTGTTGTTGAGCTGCTTTTAAACAATGGTGCAGCAACAGAAGTAACCCCAGAGCCAGTAGATGCTGGAACATCAATCCGCTTTCGTTTCTCTCGACTCTGAGAGATAGTACAAGGCTGTTTAGTCAGAGCTCCATAAGCATGTAGTGAGACCTTTGAGCTGCTACTAGAGAATTGATTTCTTGTTGAAGCAGCTGCAACTGCAATGTAGCAACACAAGTGAGTGAGTAAATCAAGAAAATATTGGGAACTTTAAGCCGCACAAGATCAGCAAATGCAATCTTCAAGTTTTCATCTTTGAGCCATAAGACATCATGTGTACTATCATATATGTTAATGTTAATTCATGGATCACTATCACATAAACATGTTATATCATCTGATTTCTGAGTGAGAGCTAAGGAGACGAAAGGGTTTGCATCTTCTTAAAATCCATCAGTATTTAGATTAGTCTTTCAATATTCAATGTATCTAAGACCCAAGAAGCTTAAAGTTTCACAACGAAATTACCTGAGAAACTCGAACAGATTAACAGAGAAGATGCTCGAAATTGGCTAATTTTACTTCATCAGAGTGCTCGAAATTTCAATTCCAGCAATTTAAGCAAAGGCACAAATTCACAGATACAAGAGGAAAGAGAAGGAAAGCTCAAAAATTGAATTTACTAATTACCCTCTGGAGAAGAGAACTGCTCGATGTCGTCGTCGTCGTCATCATCATCATCTCGAACCTCCTTGAAACTTAATGACTCGTTTGTATCAACTTTCGCAGAAGGCTTGTTGATATTACGAATTCCCCGCCGCAATCGCTTGAGAACTGGGCTTGAAAAGTCTGGTTCGAGCTCCGGTTCGGAATCTGGGACCGTGAGTCCCGGTTCTTCTAGGTCGTCGTCGTCTCTGATTAATCCCGAATTGGGATCCGACGGAGCGTCGAAATCAAACCCTAGCGAAAACGATGGTGGTTCGATTGCATCCATGACAAGGAAATTAGGGGTTTTGGAAAGAAGAGGACGCGTATTGGAATGGCACGTTGTTCAATGAGTAACAAAGAAGCTCCAAATTTAAATTTTCAATTCGAGCGTTGTTGGACTTGGATGTGATTGCATACAACGAAAGCTCGAAATTCCCCCCCCGCCTCGCAAACAATCAATTTCAAAAAAAAAAAAAAAAAAAAAAAAAACCGATATTATATGTTGGTTGATAATCACATATATGTTGAGCCTAGATTTCATCCATGAAATTCGGCCCGGGCCCATCATTCGGATCCAGTTCATTCAAGTCTAAAAGGATAACCTCGGGTCCACTAAGACTTTGAATGATAACAGCAATCTAAGGATATAAGATAAAAAATACTCTCTCCATTCCATATTATAAACAGTTTAAAAAAAATGTATCTGCAATTATGTGGATGTATTTTAAATCCAGATACATTCAATAATTACAGATACATTCTTCGAGAAAAAGAGAGTAAAACGGATCGAGACGGATTTAATAGGACTATAGGAGTAACACAATAATAAGACTATAGGAGTAACACAATATAGTCTACTGTTTGAAAAAGAGTAAAACGACATGAAAGCCCAGGCCGCCGCCTGTCCCACTTGATTCAGAGATTCTCAAAAGGCTTCCCCGGATACTCCGGGATATGCTCCGACTTGGAATCAATCTTTCTCAGCTGATGGCTAAGCATATGGGACTCCATATGAGAAACTGAAAGTGAATCTGCTCTTTCCGCTACAAGCTCTAAGTAAAGTGGTTCTTGAATGAAAACTGATTTTGGATAGCTGGCTTGATCAAATTGGTAGTAAGAAAAGATCTTTTGCAAGAAGGTTAGCTAGGGAATTCTTGTAAAAACATTAGCCCTGCTTAATTGACGCTGATAACAAAAGGATGAAGAAGGTAATGAGCAAAGCAGACCAAGAATGTCACATTTTGGAAGCGGTATTTAATGTCACATGACAAGGAATTAGGAATTTTGGGACGAAGTGATAAAGTATTGAAATGGCATGTTATTTCAATAAGTAACGTCATAAGAAAATAAATAAATCATGGCATGTTTGGAGCATTCCACATCAGTAGACAGTAGGTCCTCAAAGAGTATCCCTCAACATTAAAATAATATAAACAAAAAAAATGTATAACTTTTGAAATACCCTTGAGAACCTCTAATGCCACATGTCTCATTTTCATGTTTTTCTTAAGCGAAAAGTTAAACACATAGTTAAACTATAATCAATAGTTGTATTGTTGAGATACCCATAAGAGGTTCTCTTTATCTATAGTGATTTGGTTATCCAAATAAACCCTTTAATAAAACTGATAATTGTGCTATTACTTATATAATCTACACGGCTATAAAGTAAAAACAAAGCAGGTTTTCATCAAAAGAGTTTTGTTTGCACATACACAGTCCATAAAACACACCGAGTGTCATAATAATAATCCAGTGAAAAAGCTACATTAAACAATAAGGTTACATTACAAACGCATTACTCATAAACACTTGGTAGAAGATTATTATTATCCCCTGCATAAAGTAACATAATTAGCCTCTAAACAAAAACCATAAGAAGCTAACCTCTCTCTTTTTTTTCTTTCTTTTTTTTCACACAATTCTCCAATCCATTAGAATCCACAAACCACGAGTTACAAATTACTTGACAATCTCACTGTACACTTAAAAAAAAAAAAAAAAACAACCTCAGAGACACAGTGCGAGACAAAGTGACTCTACGGACTGTGCAAGTTCCTCAACTGTTCAACGACATCAAGAGTCTTGCTCAACTGTTGACAATCCGAGCGATGAAGCGCGTTGATTTCCCCCGAGGCTTTGCCTTGTTTCTTCGCGGATCCACCACGAGGACAATGACGAACACGTATTCTATGGTTTCTTGTTTCCGTAGAGAACCTTCCATGAACGACTAGGACTAATATCACTTCCTCGTCTCTAGTGTCTTCGCACCACGAGTTCTGCGCAACACCGTCCACAAACTCTTCCACTGTTGGGAAGTCTTCGAGGTGCACTGAAACCTCCGCTATTTGGTTTGGTTTGATTATCCCAGTTCCTGGAGATACCTGTTTAAAGCAAAAGTCAACCATTTTAGTGAAAAATCGATTCCAAGAATTGGAAGTTATACGGCATTAATATGCTTACAACCCGAGAAACTGGAATCGAATTTCAGTTAATAATGGTTTAGGTTTAGGGTTTAGGGTTAGGGTTTAGCGGTTCAAACATTCGAATTATGCAAGAAAATGATAACACACATCTTATATGGCTAACATGATTAAGGTTATACTTATAAAATAGCTGTAGCTATGATGTCTATCCTAATATTTATCATTATGGTAACAATTATTGCGAGTTATACTTTCTTAAGACAGTGAGAACAAACTAACCTCGAGCCACTGAGGAAACCCGAAAGAGCCTCTTGCACGGTGATCGCGAGCCTGACCGTCTTCCTCAACGTTAGAATGGCCCTGACAAATTATTCTGAAGAAAGCAATGTGCTTCTCGCTTTTATTCGTAACACGAAGAATAGTTGAATCGTGGTTTTGAAGAATGATGTTGTTAGTGCTGACGATTGTTTCTGGAACCTTGCTTAACTCTCCGAGAATGACTCTGATCTTCTTGTTCGTGTTTATGATGTTCCCGAATTCTTGTCTCCTGACTGATTCATCGATCCGAGCAATCTTGACGTTAAATATACACCGAACTGGCTTGTGGTCACTGTCTGTCACTTCCATGCACGCATCATACCTTCCAAAAAAAAAAAAAAAAAAAAAGAAATTGTAAGTCTTAATTCCTTGCTTAATATCTAGTTTCTACTGTTAACTGAAACGAAACTTGGAGTCAGAAGGAAACAAAGTGGAAGCTTACTGTGATACAGAAGACACCACTGGACAATCCAAACAGCAGTCAGCTCCAGAATGATTCTTGCTATCGCGATATAGAATCCTATCACACCAGGCAGGAATACGCCTCTTTTCCCCAGAATCATATCCTGCAAGAAACACAGCTTCAATTGCCAAGAAACTCATGACCATATCTGATACGATAATAATATCTATGAGTTCTTAGTGGTTTTGTTAGTTTTCCTTTTAACATTAGGCTTAAGTTTTGGTATTTTTACTTATTCAGTTTTGTTTAGTCGGTTGTATGAGGATCTATAAAAGGATCCTCAAATCATCAATAAGAATTAACTTCCAAGAATTAACCTTAAAACTCAAAGAGAGTTTAGGGTTAAGAGGAAGCTTAGCTAATTATCTCTTTCAATCTCTTCTTCTCTTTGAGTTAACGATAGATTACTTAGGTCCAATCACAAGAGCTAGGGCTAAAGAGTTGGCTCGTATCAATTTGGTATCAGAGACTCTCGATCCGATGACGGACAGCACAGCAATCGCGGCGCAGCTTGCACTAATCATTGAGCGTTTGGACAGTCTTACAGCGGAGACCAAAGCTCTTAGGGAAGACTCGGTGAGCCAAAAAGATACTCTTGACAAGCTAGTTGCAGCTCAAGAGAAAGAACCTGCGTCTCCTGGAAAACAACAAGCAAAAAGTGACTCAATCCATGGTCCAGCGGTGAAGTTTACCACAGAGGATCTGTCTGAAGTCGAGTTCTTTAGCGGCACCAAGAAAAACAGAGGTGTTTCTTCTCACGCTGCAAAACCAGGAGGCGCCTGGCAGAATCAGTTTCAAGGTCAAGAACAGATACATCGACACACAGATGGTGGTGGTGATTGGCAGGTTAAGCCAATTGGAGTCGAATCTCCTCAGGGCTATTCTCAAAGTGATTTTCGTGCTCAAGAGAAACGCCAATGGACTGCAAAAGACGATGCCTGTGACGACGGAGACATCGAGAACGTCAAGCGTATTGTTCCAGCAATAAAGATGGAGTTTCCATCCTATGATGGAACAACTAATGCGATTGAATGGCTGCAAAAGTGTGAAGATTACTTTGAGGATCAACGAGTGTTTAGTGATGAAGCACGAGTTCGTCAAGCAACCTTTGTCTTAACAGGAAGAGCATACCACTGGTATCATAATCTCAGACGCTTGGTAACACAGAAGTTAAGCTGGTTTGAATTCAAAAAGATTTGCAAGAGCCGTTTTGGCAAAGCAGACTCAGTCAATCCCGTAGGAGAGTTGTCTAATCTGAGACACACAGGAACCGTAGATGATTACTGTAGTCAGTTTGAAGAGTGTCTTGGGCGACAAACAAAGCTGACAGGAGATCAACAACTCTGGCAATTTTGTGCAGGGTTGACTGATAGTTTAAGGAAGGAGGTTGAATACCTACGTCCAGAGACAATCTTTAAAGCAATGGAGTATGCACGGGATAATGAGTATAAGATTGATAACGACAGAAGAACTCGGTCATTTAGAGGACATCTAGCTCCAACAACTAGATCAATGATGGCCATGAACAACGGGAATGACACAGAAACGGTGATACCTCAACAAGAAGCAAAAAAGGCACCACCGAGGAAATATTTGAAGAAGTTAACTGTGGAAGAAATGGCAGAGCGAAAAGCTAAAGGACTTTGCTTCAATTGTGATGAGCTCTTCACGCGAGATCATGTTTGTAATCCAATGCTTTTTCATATTATGCCGGTCAGGGATGGAGACAATCAAGAAGATGAACCATTTGATGAAGAAAACTGGAAGGATGAATAAGGCTACTAGAAGCATTCCTAGAGTTGGAGCTTGAGGACAAGCTCCTAGTCGAGGAGGGGAGTAATGATACGATAATAATATCTATGAGTTCTTAGTGGTTTTGTTAGTTTTCCTTTTAACATTAGGCTTAAGTTTTGGTATTTTTACTTATTCAGTTTTGTTTAGTCGGTTGTATGAGGATCTATAAAAGGATCCTCAAATCATCAATAAGAATTAACTTCCAAGAATTAACCTTAAAGCTCAAAGAGAGTTTAGGGTTAAGAGGAAGCTTAGCTAATTATCTCTTTCAATCTCTTCTTCTCTTTGAGTTAACGATAGATTACTTAGGTCCAATCACAAGAGCTAGGGCTAAAGAGTTGGCTCGTATCAATATCATAGTAGCGAGGATGTTTTTGAAATGCTATTAGGTAGATGCAAAGCTTAGCTTCATATGATCTATGAGTACTTGGACTAATATTACAGTCTCCACTTTTTCACTTTTACTCTCTATTCTTCGTAAAAATTTGAAACATCAGCTTAAACACTAGGATTCTCAAGGATATTTGAAAACTAGCGGAAGAGATTAAGAGGAAGCGAGTTCACTTACCTGCAAGACCAGCTTGGTGCCTTTCGAACTTGTATGTTGGAGGGAACCTGATAACAGCTTCGCGCATCCCTTGGAAAACATTGCCGGCTTCCATTTCAGCGTGTAGCTGATCTTTTTCTCTTAGCCAATCAAAGCATCTCTGAGAAATGAAATCCCTTGTTTCATCGTAAGTTATATCATCTAAGCGGTAATTAAAATCTCCGAGGAACACGATCATGTCTGCCTCCGATAATTCAGGCCTTGCTTCTGTGTTGATACCCACAGCCTGTGAAAAAATTACTTATTAAGGTCTCTGAAAAAATGGTAGCAAAACTATAGCAATCAAAGGAGATACGTACATTGCCACCACGTGGCACTGAGACACCAAATGAAGCAGCAGCTGCAATAGAGGAGACCAATAATAAGAGAAACCAATGAATAGGCCAAGCAGGCAACACAGTATGATAAGAATATATTTCGTAGCGTACCAGCTCCTTGATTGAGTGAACTAGACAGGCGTGTGAAGGCCATCGTTCGATAAACATGGTCGAAGTCAGCATTCCGCCGATTAACAGCTTCTAAGTGTGCAGCAAAATGACAATTTACAAAGCACAGTATTCGATCATAAATTCTTAGTCGCACACCTACAGCTCCCTAAGAAAGACAAAACTTGTTCTGTCAATAATAGAGATAAGATGATAAAGAAATGGGAAGTGGGCAAGAACCATTCAAGTTAGCAATAGATAGTATTTTAGATACATAGATAATCCAATATTCTCACTTTTGTTGGTACATTTGTGAGCAACTTTTGCCAATTTGGTGCCATACCTTATTACCAATGGCTCGTCCAAAACCACAAGGAACCGCAGCAGCGTCAACATCTCCCACGTGAGACTTAAGATCATTTCTAACCCTGAAAAATGCATTTCCTTTATAAGACTATAACTTATCAAGTTTATCCAAAACTAACAAGGGAAATTGGGAAAACTAATGCCACGGTGAGAAACATGCAGGATAAGTAATACCAGAATCTGTGTTTCTCTCTTTAGCTCTAGTACTGTAAGCGATTAAATATTAATCAAAGAAATCTGAAATGAAATAAATTGTACAAACAACTGAACAAGTTGTTCCTATGCTGTTATGTGAGAATTTTTCGGTATACATTAGTCAAAGAGAAGTTGAGAGAGAACATTTGGCATATGAGGATTAAACGATCCAAATGAGCATATATAACATGAAGCATGCTTCAACAATAAACATTTGTTGTCTCAATAAAAATGAACAGATAGAAGTGTTACAGAAACAGATGTAAAATACTAACCATACACATATGAGCAACCCTGCCAGCTGCCTAGAGCCAACACGAACAAATGATGAACCTTCATCCAAAGTTTTCCCGATCATATCCAGCCACCACTGACCAAGTGGACTACCCTCAAGTCCCACCTGCATTTTCGAGGAAACAGAGTTAAGAAATTCAGAAAATCAGAAGCACAATTTACAGATTGGCTCATAAAGCCCCTTACAAAACTTTGTAACCAGAAAGATAATGAAAAAAAAGAAAGGGTGTGTGTGCCTCTGCATGTATGAGCGAGTGGAGAGGCAGAAAGTTTCTTAACGTGAAATAGCAAAAATCAAAATAAAAGGCCACAGAGATTGTGCAAAACGAAGACCAATCAATTAAGGCAGTAACAAGAGTCCGTTCCTGATGTATAGGATTGGTGGTGCATCATACGCCATAAAAAAAAACACATCGTCCTGTGTAATAGTAAGTATAAGACAACTTACCGTTTCTTTTGCCGCGGACATTGCAAGAACTCCTGCTCCCATCTCAACTTCCTGCAGTCCAACAACTACAATCTCAACTCCAGCGGCAGCACAGCCTAACCAAGATACAAGCGAGTCTGTTGATGCTCTGCCCTCTCCAACATTCCATGTACTAGCTAAGATTTTCAGATTCTCAATCCTTGAATACAAAAATTCTTTCCCAGCCAACTCAGCCCGCAAGACATTGTCAAGGGGACCTGGCGAAGTAACATTCCATCCTCGGATACCTCCATGATTCGCAAGGGTAAATAAATAACCACTACCAATAGCCATTTTTATTACGGGACCACTATGAGCCACCCATCCTCCAAGCAGCTTTCCGTCAAGGTCTAACACCTGAACAGTTCCATTGGAATAACCAACCCAAAGCCGAGAACAAAAAGCCAACATGCAGAGAACACCAGAAGACTGGTATGTGAACTCTTGCAAGCAATTACCATTTCCATCCCATCGCATAAGTACACCGTTTGCAGTTCCAGTCCAAATCAATCCATCAACAGATATGACAATGGCCTCAGTTCTCCTACTATCATCACAAAACCCACCTTTTGCTGCAGCACGGCGAACAGCATCAGCTGCTCCCATAATGGCATTACGAGACCGCTGAAAGAAACCAAGAGAAGATTGAGCTTTCTCTCTCTTTGAAGCACTCGCAATCTTCATCTTTGCCTCTTCTTCAGTCCCAAAATCAGGAAACACGGACATGTCATTCCGATTCTCTACCTGCCCATCAATATTGAATACTTTGATCAAATCCCTTGTGCGAGCATCCCTGCCATTCAATAAACAAACAGGAAAAACAAAAGATCACAAAGTTATACAGGTTAACTTAATACTTGTGCCTGCTAGAAATTGAAAAAATACAGAGCCCACTGACAAGAGAAATGTTAAACAAAAGTAAATAAATTTCCATAAAGTGGACAAAAAACGAGTCTCCATCTTACCACAAAGCAAATGTAAGGGGACTACCACTCCATACTTTTGCCCTTGTGTGATCAGATACTAGGAACATAACATCTGACGTCAATGTATTAGCAAAACCATTAACCGAAGTCTGGCTCCTGGGGTCAATATACGATCTTTCTACTGATAACACAGCCATGTGCCTTTGTTCAAGTTTCCAAGAAAGAGCCTTTTCAAGACCTTCCCAGGGCCAAACTTTAAGAGCGCCTCCCTCAGACCCTGACCATATATCTCCTAGACAATTGATATAACAAAATTTTATCATGAGAACAGGTTTAGCAATTAGTTTCTTCCTATAGATTCGCCTAATCTATAGCTAAAATGTCTACAGAAGTAAACTAGAAACGTACAAAGTCGAAGAAGACTCACCGTAAGCCGAGATGGCAATAGAGAGCACCGGACCACGATGAGCTTGCCATGACAAAGCTTCTTCAACGCCATGGTCAGCTCTAACTTTCCAACCTCTGATCCTCCCATCTCTATGCCCACTCCAAACCACTTTACTACCTTCATCTCCGATCATACAAACAACCGAAGATCCAGTCTCAATCTCAGAAGTCTCCTTATACGGCGCCGTATCCTCTACCTCTAATCCTCGTCCGCTTCCGTACAGTTCATCGAAGTCCCATACCTTGAAACCACCGTCCTCACCTCCGGCCCACAATTGTCTCTCAGTGCTCGTCATCGTCCTCAAAAATCGCCCAATTTGACTTTCCCTTAGCGGATGAGGTCTCACCTCAAGGCTCGGAGGCCGATTCGGATGTACAGCGGACCTAATCGGAACCTTGAAGATCCCGGTTTCACCGCACTTCCCAACGAATTCCGGTAGAGAATCGGAGCCGTCACCGTTCTCCGCTCCGATCCCGTCGAAATTGCCGTCTTCGCTGAGCCTCCGATCGAGGAACTGGATCATGTAGTCGATGCGTTTGTTGCTGTCGTCGACGGAAGGACCTGAAGGGTGAGATTCATCGCCGGAGGAAGATGATGAGGAGTAGGAACAACGGTTGAAAAGCGTGGAAGGAGTGGCCGTTGTCGGCGAGGAGAAGTCGGATTCGTTGGGAGTGGTGAAGAAGGAGAAAACGTCATCGTTTGGATCGTTCTGATGATCTCCCATGTGTTCTGGACTTGAGTTTTACTTCAGCAGACTCGAGAGTCGAGAGAGAGGACGAGGAGAGTTTGTTTCGGTAGCCGAAAGAGATATTTTTCTGATGCAAAATCGCAGAAATGCTTGAAACGTGTTGCTGCGGACCTCTGGTATTTTTTTTTCTCACTTTTATCAATTCAAAAAATTATTTAGTGACTGATAACAAAATTATCTTGTGTGGGTAAAATTTGAGAACCGAACCAAAATTTTCGAATCTAAACCGAAAATTTCAAACTCGCACATCTCAGATTCTCTCAGACGAATATGTACTTTGTTCTTCTTGCACATGCACAGATTCGTCACGTTCCATTTTCCTTGGCTACGAACTGTTTGGTCTCTTTCATTTTTTTTTTACTGCAACTGTTTGGTCTCTTTTTGTACTTGATTCTACATTAAAGGATTACAATCATCCTCCTGTTTTTTTATCCTTTCCATCTTTACGATACAACCATCGGATGCAAAACAGCAAAAGGCCCATTAGGAAGAACAGGCCAATAACATTTCCATGCCCACAAAGTCAAAACTTGCGCTAAGCATAGAGGATGAATCCTATACTATAAAAGTTGGCCATCTCTCTACAGCTGACTGCCACGTCAGCGCGGGAGAGATGGCCACGTGGCACTCCCTAATTTTTTTTTATGAAACGTTTCAGCTTCTCCGGATTGCCTTGTCATGGTATATGCTCTCCTCCTCTCCGAATCGTTCCGACGCCCTCTCAGACTCCTCCCGAAACCGGGATTACTTCATATCTCCAAACGCCCCATCTTCTCTCCTTCCTTCCAACAACGGCTGACTTCTGATCAAGCGGTGGAGAATCAAAGCCCCTGCCCTAGCCAGAATAATCGATCTGGCAAGAGGAAAGAATTCGAGAAGAAGGTGACACAAATTTGGTTTTACACTCGATTCTTCGTTTCAATCAGATTGCTAATCACGCCAGTGATGATAAATCCACACCCCTAATTTCTAGGTTACTGTAATTTCTATGTTCCACATCACTAATTGGTTCCATGAGTGAGCTGAAGTTACTGTAAGTTTGCTTAATCTATTCTTTAAAGACTGATGATTTTGATTAAGATCTCACACCTATAAGTATGTTTGTGCAGAGATTTGAGCTCAAACATGTTAACTGGTACAATTCCAGACACATTTAGGAGTCTGATTAAATATGATTTCATGTAAGTTTTCAAATCATCAAAATCTTAGATGATGATTAACCCGTGACTCAAAAACTAATTCTTTTTCTTTTGGTGCTTTAGGTTTCTGAGTAATAACTCATTAACAGGTCAAGTTCCTCAATTCATCCTAGACACTAAACGAAGCATGTAAGCGAAAAACTAAATTGCCTTTGTATAAGACCGAACATTGAGGTCTCATCTGTCTTATCGGATCATTCATTTCTCTGTTTCAGGGATTTGTCTTACAACAATTTCACTCAGCCACCTACTTTAGGCTGTACTCAGCTTGATGTGTAAGCATTCTTTTTGTTGTTTCATATTGAGACTTTTGAAATTGATGTATGACTTAATATAGTTTACACAAGGAATATAATATTCTATCATGATCGTGGGCTTAACATTGTCTACGTTACTTGTTTACATTTGTTCTCCAATCAGCTTTATTGGTATATAAACTTTCAGGAACTTGATCTCCAGCTACCCTTCAGTAACCGATAACTCGTGAGTCTCCTTTCTTCCTTCCTTTCGGTTTCACAAAACCCGCTTAACCAATGAGAAAATATCTCTTCGTGTGTAGTGCTCAATGGTGCTTAAGAGAGGATCTTCCATGTCCCCGAGATGCACAACGTGAGTTTATACTTAACAGTTAACATTTACATCTTAAAGATTCCAACTTTCAATCTGTATACTCACATCTACACCTTAAAGATTCAAAATTTTCTGGATCAAGAACCGAATGTGTAACATTGTTGATCCTCTTGATCCGGGTTTCTTGCAGATTCTTCTCTGTTCATCAACTGTGGAGGAAGTGGAATCAAGATAAAAAAAGACAAGTATGAGGAAGACTTGAACGGTAGAGGAGCATCATCATTTTTTCCTGTAGCTGAAAGGTCGGGATATAGCAGCTCTGGAATTTGGGTAGGCAATGACTCTGCTCTCTTTTCAGCAACAGACAAATTTAATCTGATCAATGAATCGGTTCCAGAGTACTACAAAACAGCTCGTCTCGCTCCACAGTCACTCAAGTACTATGGACTATGCATGAGAAGAGGAAAAGGAACTTACAAAGTGCAGCTCCATTTTGCAGAGATAATGTTCTCAAATGACCAGGCTTATAACAGCTTAGGGAGACGACATTTATGTTCAAGTGAGTTTTGCAGAACAACAAAGATGAAAACCTTTTTTCAAAATCACAAACTTTTTTTTGAGAAGTATAATGATGTTTTTGCAGGGGAATTTGTTCCAGAGGGACTTTAATATAGCAGAGAGAGCAGGTGGAGTTGGTAAACCATTCACTAGGCAGCTTGATGAAGTTCAAGTGAATGGAAGTACACTGGAGATTCATCTGCAGTGGTCAGGCAAAGGCTCAATTGTGATACCAAAAAGAGGTGTTTATGGGCCTCTCATATCCGCCATAACCATTACACCAAGTAAGTTTTTTTTTTCAATCTCTTTTAAACCAATTTTTTGGGGTGAGTGAATGAATCATGAATGTTCTTTCTCTGTTGTTGTAGATTTCAAGGTTGATACAGGAAAACCATTTTCGAATGGAGCTGTTGCAGGGATTGTAATTGCAGCGTGCGCGATGCTTATTGTTTTACTCCTCAGGCTTGCAGGTTACTTAGGTGGAAAATAAGAGGATGCAAATGGTAAAAAGAAAGAAACATCATTCTCTTGTTCAAGAAATGATCTGAGCCATTTTCAAGATCTTGATTGTTTAACTTTTTGACTTTATCAGAAGAGCTTAGGGGACTTGATCTGCAGACAGGGTCGTTCACATTGAAACAAATCAAACGTGCCACAAATAACTTTGATCCAGAAAACAAGATTGGTGAAGGAGGCTTTGGACCGGTTTATAAGGTAATGATGATTGCTTTGGTTTTTTCTCTTTTCATTTTCACAAGTTTTGTGAGATTGGATTATAAGTACTGATAGGTTTTGGTTAATCAGGGTGTACTAGCTGATGGAATGACCATCGCGGTGAAGCAGCTTTCGTCGAAATCAAAGCAAGGGAACAGAGAGTTTGTGACTGAGACAGGGATGATGATATATGCGTTGCAACACCCTAATCTTGTGAAGCATAATTCATATTGTTTCTCACCAGCTGACGGGTTAGGACCAGTTGAATGTTCATGAAGGTCAAAGTTTTTCTTCAGTATGTGAATAATTCCCTTCAATATATCTGATTACATTCTACTAATGATGAAATATTTCAGCTAAGCCACCTTGCCTTAAGCATTTATGACGTCTCTGCGGATGGAAACCAAGAAAATGAATCGCAGACGCGGGGAGTGATATCGCCATATCGGCCGCGTTTCCGTTGTGTCTTGACGCGAAGAAGATAGAGACTCTGATAAAACATCTTAGATTACAGAAGAAGCCAGCCAAAATGCTACAACGATTATCTCATGAGTATCTTCAAGAGAACTGGACTCGTGTCACTCAACTTCATGGCGTTGGAAAGTAAGTCCTTTGAGATTTCTTCAAAAAATTTGAAAAGTCAATTTTGTGTGTGTTGCAGAAGAGTTTTTGTTCATCATGCTTATTGGAGATTTAATTATATTGACAGGTATCGAGCAGATGCGTAGGCATATTCTGTAATGGAAAGTGGGATTGTCTGAGACCTGATGATCATATGCTAAACAAATGGGATTACCTCTGGATTCGGTATAAAGGTTTATGAGGGTGGGAAGTACCAACGTTGTAAAGTTATCTTCTCTGCTCTGTTTTTTGTTTTTGTTTTAAGACACCAACGTTGAAGAGTTGTAAATTAAAATTTTGTCTTATGGTTCATTAATAGATCTTTAAATCTCTTATGGTTTTAAGTGTTTAATATTGTCAAACACCCATCTTAATACAATATTAAAAGTTAGTCTCTAAATGTATTATCTGTGATTAACAAATTTCACTAATTTTTAACAAGTCACAAGTCACATTTCAATAATTTCAATTATTAGTCTCAAGCATAAGTTTTTTTTTATTTTTATCAATGAGTGATTTTATTTATACCCAAAAACAAATCAAGTATAGATATTTTGGGTCGATACGGTTCGAGTTTTCAGGTTTGGGTTAATAGTCTCAAACCAAAGTGTTTTTTCCTTACGTAGTTGATAACTTAGCCAACTGAGCTTCACTGAAATAAAGAAGAAGATAAAACAAAAAATTGTTTATACATTCAACTTTTGTGCGACTTTCATTCTACTAAATCAACTCAAAGTTTAAGATGATTGATTAATTAACTGAACATGTCGGAGTTTAACCTATATGACACTCAACGTCATTTACACAGTTTTACCAAATTTATATATGATGTCGGAATTGCAACTCATAAGTTATAAAAGGGAGGAAATAAAAAAACTCAAGAAACTAGAAAAACTATCGTATTATTATTATCTATAAAATAAAATTTACAAATATGAAAAAGAAAAATAACAAAATTACCCGCGCGTAGCGCGGGCTCAAACCTAGTCATATATATGAATTGAGGCCAACTCTCTCCATATGATTGACATGTGGAAAAACTTTTAAAGAGAGCAGTCTCTTCGCATTCTTAGTCGTTACAGTTATAATAGGTTTCAAAACCGTCAGTTGCTTCACCTTCCATGTTGTATCAACACTCCATTAATTGATATTGTGGCATGACTTTTCCTCTTCTTTCCAGTCAATAACTCTAAATCTTATACATTTCAACTTATGATAATAAAAATCACTCTATTAATCCAAGGCTTTTACATTTCGGCTTCCATCTTAAGTTATTATTAAACATCTAAATTCTCCTAATATATAGAGAAATGGATTTAGCAAGATGGCGGAAAATCAGAGTCCGTTCTATGTGGTCGTGAGTAAACAAAGAGAGTTAATGGTTCATAGACATGTGGTATGATACAAAAATATATGTTTGAAAGTCAGTCGCTAACCAACAAATAGGAATTAAATATGGATATTATTGGATTATACTTTATAATATTAATCGCAAATCTAAAATTGTTTTCGAGCATTTTTTAAAAACTTTAACAACAACAAAACCCGCGCGTATGCGCGGGCATTAGTCTAGTTGATGATGACATTTATTAAAGTAGAATCTTCTATTATAGAAGTTCTTTAGGGGGTTTTCACATTGTTGCATAAATAAGGAAACCTTTGTATTGAGAAACTTAAGATGAAATGAATAAGATTCAGAACAAAATGGTCATCGATTTTCAGTCTATTTTTTCAAATTGTCTGTATGGTATCATCCCATGGAAACAAGATCCATGGACATGTCCAGCTTACAAGGGGGACAGTCGGTGGCTTACAGGGGGGACAGTTGGTGTGGTGCCCGAGAGTTAGTAAAATAAAATTAGTATAGAAAAGGAGTACAAAAAAATAAGAATTAGAAAAAGGAGCAAATTCAGAAGGCTAGTTCTGATTTTGCCTCTAAGCTTATAAAATCTTTGAGCCGTCTGTCACTGTCCATGGACTCGAAGTATCACAAATTGTGTCACTATTACTCTCATCAAGAAGAACTACATAGTGTAGATAAATCACAGTTTGAAACTTTCCTCTCCGGTCGGCTGTCTTCTTGGTTTTCGCCACCGGGCGAGTTTCCACAACCTACAATCAGTCAATCACTATCAATGTTCCAAGAATCAATGGCATTAGTTGTCAAGCTACATATCCATACAGTGGTGTTTGGTTTCAGGTTGATCAAATAGTGAAGTTGTGGCTGCTTTGTTTCTTTTCCCTGTTGACCAAACCAATGATACACGTCCACAATATCAATATTACCAACAATTGACCAAATTCTCACCAAAATCGTTAAACAAAGGAAAAATCACTAACACTCACTCTTTTCCTACACTGACCGTTTGGTTTTTGTTTATCTAAAATGAGTACACTTTTATTTGTAAAATAAATATTTAGGTATTCGACAACAGTACGGTATCTTAGTAGATTAAATTGGTACAAAAATAATTCATGTATTCATTTTTTTATGTGCTTTAGTTTTTTATACACTCCTTTTCTTGTCACCAAAAAACTTTTATATCAGTCGTTAATTAAATAGATTAACTACATAAACACAAAAATGTTTACAGCAAAATATAAAATTTCCAGTTGTAGTAAGATAGTTTGTTTTCGCATTTCAATTACATGGTTAATGAACATCACGGATCTTAAAATCTACACCTAAACTTCAAATTTTACCAATCCAAACGCAAAAAATCGTCATTTTGTGAACTTGTCTATAATTCTCAATGTGTATATACTAGTTATATATATATATATATATCTTATTCTACTTCAGTTTCATAATACAAGTCGTTTTAATACTTTATTTTTTGTTTATGAAAATATCGTCTTGTGCTTTTGCTGTAGTTTTGATTTTAAACCACTTTTATCATTATTATACTAGGTTGCATGGAAATTCTGTCAGAGGTGTGTTTCCCATTTCCAAAACGTTTACAAAACAAAAATTCTCGGAAACTTGTCAGAAACTTGATTTTCACATTTTCTTAATGAAAACTTAACGGAAACTTACCTTATGTTTTTCGAAATATAAAAGTAAATTATTACAAAACAAAAATAAGATTAAATGATTAATTTGATTTATTAGATGAAACTAGACATTATACAATTTGAGGATCTTTCTCAATGAACCATAATTGAAAACAGTTTTATCATATTATAAAACTAATAATAAAAATGGTTTTGACATTGAACATCAGGTTTAAGATTTATCTTAAGTCAAAATATTTAGTACTACTAGATTTATGTTGATTTAAATTTTTTATTTAATATAATTTATATGTTTAATATATCAATATTATATATTAATATATATATATATATATATATATATATATGTTTCTAATATATTTATCAATATTATATTCTTCAAGATAGGCATTTCACTTTTCAAAAACGTTTGGCTTTAGTGCTTAGGTTTCCATTTCCATGCAACATAGTTGTTATATATTTATGAGAATTTGCCAATTAGAGAAAAGAACTTATAAATGTATTACTTAAAATTTTTAATATAGATATAAATACTTGTAAGGAAATATGTGGGACAATCAAATGACACTTGTAATAAATAAATAAAAACAGAGGCTTCACAATTTTTTCCTTTTCATTGGTTAATAAAGTGAAAAAACTGAGGCACTGCCACTACATGTTTGCCTATAAATATAAAGAGAGAGATTTCTAAGTTCTGAAATCGGAGATTCTCCTCCATTTTTGCTTCTATTTTTTTGTTTTTTTTTTATTAAAAAACCAATTTTGCTATTTCCGTTTTTACTATTCCCATTGTTCTTCTACTGAGAGGAAGAAGAAAAATGAGAGGAGGATCATCAAATATCGCCGGCGTGTTGCCGCTATTCATGCTATTCATCGCCGGAACAATCTCCGCCTTTGAAGATATCGAGAAATTAAGGATTTGGCCGTTGCCGGCGGAAGTTAGCCGCGGCGGCCGAAGAATGCGTCTGAGCGAAGATTTCAAGCTTGTTACAGAAGGAAGCAAATACGGTGATCCTTCGGGGATTTTGAAAGAAGGATTCGATAGAATGCTCGGAGTTGTGAGGCTAAGCCACGTCGTCTCCGGCGATAGAAATTCTTCAGGCTCCAATGGATCTGCTCTGCTTCAGGGACTCCACGTCATCATCTCCTCCTCCAACGATGAGGTTAGTTTTATTCGTTTGTCTTTTTGAACATCAACGAAGTCGAATCATTAATGAAAAGTATATTTTCCTTTAAGTTCATGAATTTTTTTTAAAGAGTAAATGGAAAAGTATTAATGTTCATGATCAAAATATACTTTTCTTTAAGTTCTTACCTTTAAATTACCATAATGGAAAAGTCGAATCTTTACTGAAAATTATAATTTCCTTTAAATTACCATAATCAAATACAATTAAATATTTTTATGGGATGTAGATTGAATCATCAATTTTGAGGAAATTGATTGATTTGTAAATATTTATTATAAAAATATATTAACATAACAACTGCAATAACATAATATATTAATTTATTACCACAAAAAGAACTCATACCAAAAACGAAAAGATATTGAACATAATTTACTGTACTTTTCTATAATTTCTCTAAACTTTGACAAATCTCATTGTTTTTTTCTTCAATTGTTATAAAAATAGCCGAATACAAAGAATAATAAATTTTCTCTAATCGTTTTCCTTCAAGACTTCACCACTCACAACTTACTTACAACTGTTTTTCTTATATTTTGTCTTCAAATATAACTGATAAAAGAATTTCCTCCTGCTTAAAATAGGGTTAGTTAAACAAGTATTTCGAAATTAGATATCTACTTCACGCAATTTTTTCCGTGAGATGTCCATAAAAACTGCTAGATCCAAAGATTTATTGGAAAACTCCATAAATTGTTTGGTCGCAAATGTGTCGATTCTCCAACTTCTTGCTTATTTTAATTTTATTGCTTGGCATTGCTAATTGGTTTCTGACGAGTTGGTTCTGTGATGGTCCACTGAACTCACGGACATCCTCATCGACTATTAAATGAATAGTTCTTGTGGGGAAGCATATTTACATGAGACTTTAAAGTTTTTTTTTTTTTTTTTTTTGTCGAATTGCTTTGTAACTCTATTCTATGTATTTAATTTTTACTTATAAATTCATCAATTGCTGCTACTGACCAACTTATAAATATATAGATACGTATTGAATGTTTTTTTAGTAATAATGCTGACAAGATTGAGTACTAAAAAAATACTGCAACTAAATCACATGAGACCACATCAGTATAATGATTCGGATTCATTACTTGCTTAAGAAAATAACATATCGATACATGTGCTTCCCTTTTTTATTTGAATAGTATAATACTATGTTAATTTCAAGAGTAAGATTGCAGAAATCGATCTTATCTTTAATATCACATTATATTTTAATCAAGTGATAGTAATCCAATGTTCATACTGAGTTATTGTATCTAGACTTTGATCCAAAATCCATCGGTTAGGAAATATGTACGATAATAGCTATATTATCATACCAAAATTTGCAGCATTAGCTTCATTTTATATATCTATTTCTTTTGTGTTTGATAAACTCATTTACTGTACTGAGTTACTCATAAGGTTTCAAGATTATGTACATTCTTTGATGTTCGAGTTATGAGATTAATCATCGAATCATTTGAGCACTACTAATTGTAACATTGTTTTGTTTAGAACCTCACAAAAGTATGGTTTAAAGGAAAAGTTGTGATAATTGTGTTATTCGAGTGGTGCAGTTGGAATATGGAATAGACGAGTCGTACAAATTAGTGGTTGCATCCGGAGAGAAGCCATCTTTTGCACAACTTGAGGTTAGTAGGTCCTACTCATCACCTAAACCTAACTTTCATCATTTTCTCTAACCACTTATATCCATATTGATTTTATTGTAAATTTAGCTTTATAACCCATAAAAGACACCCACTTAAAGATATTTCGTATTTTCTTTGATTTGTTCTATTAAAAAAAAAACTCCTTTCTTTTTTAAATGTAAATATTAAATGTTAGTGGTCATGCTTGAAATGTTAACTTTGAGAGTTTAGCCTCAGACTCTCAAAATGTATAGAATTTTGTAACGCCATATATAGTTTTGGTTTGGCATGTTGGTGTATATGTCGCATATATATATGTAAGTATAACAGTTAGTTAGGGTTTCGATTAGTATTTATGAGAGTTTGGTAAAAAAGTTTGTTAAAAATTAGAGTAAGCAATATTATGTTTTAACTTTTAAAATTATGGTTTTGAATAGTTTGTAAACGCGTCTTAATAAGTCCTTATAAACCTAAGCACGGCCTTGGTTATTCGACATCGGTAGGTCAATTCACTTTGCTGTGATCCTTTGTCGAGTCTAGTTCCAAAACTTTTGTTTTTTCTTATGGTTTTAACTTTTAACCAAAACGTTTTGTTTAAACACATAAAATATTCTATTTTGTTTTCTTCGCCATTGTAGATAATAGAGAAGCCTGTAACAACAGAGATAGGGACATGAGATGGTTGCCTCCACGTGAACTGCATTAACCATGATGGGTTTATTAATGTTGTCTTTTTTAATTTTCCAACGACTATAATACAATTGCATACGCACAATTTCGTTAGCTGCTTATATGTCAATTTTCATTTCCCAAAGTTTTATTCTAGAGAGATATAATAGTGTGATTCCACTAGTGTTGGTCTCTTGTGTTTAATCAAATATTTATAAATACAAACATGAAACTCTCCGTTGATATTTTGTGTTTACAACGCAGGCAAAGAGCGTTTACGGTGCATTGCACGGTCTACAGGTTTGTTATTATTGTTCCAAATTTGGTTATCATATTAAGAAAGGAGTAGAAATTTAGTCACTGATAAAATTAAGTTCAAAAATTATAAATGCAGACATTCAGCCAGTTATGCCATTTTAATATGAAGAAAAAGGTTATAGAGATTCTAATGACTCCATGGACTATCACAGACCAGCCTAGATTCTCTTACCGTGGCCTTTTGATCGGTGAGCAAGTTCTCAATCATACTTACATATATAATATAACACAAACTCCTTCCATCTTAATTTAAGTGCATTTCTATGTTCCAAAATAAGTATCGTTTCTAAAGTATATAATAATTTGATACGTTTTCTTAATTTTTATATATGAAAACTGTATTTATTCCAAAATGAATTTGAGTATATGATATGAGAATGAGACATTGTTTTTGTTACTACAGATACCTCTCGGCATTATTTGCCACTTCCTGTTATAAAGAAAGTGATAGAGTCCATGACATACGCCAAACTCGTAAGCTCTTAAAGAGACTTTTGGTATATTCAATTTTGGTTGGTTTTATGAATCTCATAACTTACAGTACTTTGGTTGGTTTGGTGCAGAATGTGTTACACTGGCACATTGTGGATACACAATCATTTCCATTAGAGATTCCTTCTTATCCAAAGCTATGGAAGGGTGCTTACTCTTCCGATCAGCGATACACCTTTGAAGACGCTACTGAGATAGTCAAGTATGTTCATAAATGATATACAAATATATATCAGAGACTTTTAAAATTGATGCAAAAGCTTAACCAAATCTATATAATATGATTTTGATATATTTGAACATTCCATTCAAATAATTCTAACAAAGTTTAAATATGTATGAGCAGAATCTGATTTATCGAAAACGTTTCTTGTATGTATATGTATAGTTATGCTCGACGCAGAGGGATTCATGTCTTGGCTGAGATTGATGTTCCAGGTCACGCTCTCTCATGGTACTTTTTCGTAATTTTTTTTTTATCATAATTTTTTTCTAATCTCATAATCTCACATTATTTGTGACAATACTAACTATATTAATTTTCATTGTTATTTTATAAATAAAGGGGAAAAGGATATCCTGCCTTGTGGCCCTCCAAGAATTGTCAACAACCACTTGACGTGAGTAGTGACTTTACATTCAAAGTCATTGATGGGATTCTTTCTGGTAAAAATATTTGATTCTTCTCAACATTCATCATATGCATAACCAATATGTTTCTTAACTTCTAATGGAAACATTATCTCTTCAGATTTCAGCAAGATCTTTAAGTTTAAATTTGTACATTTGGGAGGTGACGAAGTAAATACAAGTAATAATAACTTCCTTCCTCTGTTAAACTCATCCCTCCTCTTCTCTATAGTATTATTAGTTCACTCAAAATTCGATTAAAATGTATTTTGCTGCAGCTTGCTGGTCTACAACGCCAAGAATAGCCCAATGGTAATGCCACAATGAAACTCAAGACTTTTTTATAATTCTTTAAAGCCTTTTTTTTCTCATGTTACTTGAACTTTCTAACATGCAGGCTAAAAAAACATCGGAAGAGTGAGGCAGAAGCTTATCAATACTTCGTGTTGCGGGCACAAAAGATCGCTTTGTCTCATGGATATGAAATCATCAACTGGTAACTAGATTCCCTTTTATTAGAAAAAGAAAGTAGATAGCCACAGTTACTATTTCTGACTTCATTTTGCTTATACTATAGGGAAGAAACCTTCAACAATTTTGGAGACAAATTAAGCCCGAAAACCGTGGTTCACAACTGGTAAAATGATTTTATACAAAATAAGTGGAGTACCAATTGTGTGTATAAGAAATGATTCAACATTGACTTTCTTACTTGGTGAATCAGGCTTGATAAAGGAGTTGTTGAGAAAGTGACGGCGGCTGGTTTAAGGTGTATAGTGAGTAACCAAGACAAATGGTATTTGGACCATACAGACGCACTATGGCAAATGTTTTACGCGAACGAGCCACTTGAAAACATAACGAACCCAAAGCAACAAAGTCTAGTACTTGGTGGTGAAGTGTGCATGTGGGGTGAAAACATTGATGCTTCTGACATTGAACAAACCATTTGGCCTCGCGCTGCCGCAGCCGCAGGTACATTTATATATGCATCATCTTATATGAATTTTTATTATTATTTTTGGAAGTTTTACAATCAGTTTGCTAGATTTGAAACAAAAACTCTTTTTTGACTATTTTAAGATGTTCAATATATTTATTAGTTGCAACGCTTTCATCCTAAACATCTTATAAAAGAAAACAGTAACTTATATTACATGCTAATTAGTAATTGCTGAAGATTAACATTATATTGTTGTGTTTGATAGAGCGGTTATGGACACCCTATGCAAAGTTGGCTAAAAGTCCCGACCAGGTAACGACGAGATTGGCTCACTTCAGATGTTTGTTGAATCAAAGAGGAGTTGCAGCTGCACCTTTGGTTGGTGGTGGACGAGCCGTGCCTTACGGACCAGGTTCATGTCTCGCTCAGTGACGATTTCAAAACATTAAAAATTGTAGAGAATGTTACAATCCACCGTACCGTGGCTGAGCACAAGCAACAGCCTGCAATCAAGTGAATTTAAAAGAAAAATAGTTGGAAGTATTTTAATTAGAGACGTTAAATTTTGTTTTTCTTGTCTTTCTTTTATGTTTTGCATGCATGTCCAACTAAAGTGAAGTAGAAGTTTAATCTTTCAGAAGGAGTAGGACTTACTGTTGTTATTACATAAAGTTGGATTTTAGATTCTCTTGGCATCATATAGACAAAGAACGTATGAGGTTGTGGTATTCTCCTAGAGCCCAAATGGGGAATATGTTTCTGTAAGCTGAGTAACTAATCATACAATTCCGATTAAAGACTCCTAGTATCTCCTGATAAAAATGAAGAAGCCAAATATATTTCATCAGGTTAGTGAAGAACATAAACATAAACACACACACACACAACAAAAAAAAAAAAACTTATTGATGCATAGAAACCATTTCAAACTCACTTGTTGTGGGAAATCTCCATCTTCCATCTGAGAGTTGATCAACAAGTTGGCCCCACGGTGCAGTGGTATTGGATCTCTACTAGCCTATTAAAATCCAAAACATAGATTAAAAGCGACCCTTTGCATCTCAATTTCTTCTTACACCAAAAAGAGCATCATAGTAGAGAAGGCTTAGTCTCACCTGTCCGGCTTCAATGAGAGAAAGAAGTGCCCATGATGTGTTTACTAAATGGGATCTGTTCCCCGGAAGATTGGTATACACTTTGTTTTGACATGAGAGGTAGCTCTCTCCCCACCCACCACAAGAAAGTTGCTTGGAGAGCAAGAAATCACAAGCCTTTCTAATACAAAGACTAGTCTCATATGTTTGCCCTGCAGCCAACATTCCTTTGATCCCAAACCACGTTGCGTAGGTAAAGCACACTCCCCAAGAACCGTACCTGCAAAGTTTTATCAGATTAACGTTAGGGAAAATTACATATATAAAAGTATAAAAAAAAACAAATACTTAGTACTGACCATGAACCATCAGGAAGTTGTGTTTTCTCAATAAACTCAACTGCTTTCTTGATGCATCTTTGTATCTCTTTGCTCTTGTATCTTGGATTGGTCCTTGTGAATAACACAAGACCTTGGATTGCAGCTGATGTGCACTCTACGTACCTGCACATTTGTTCACCCTCTATTTACAAGAAGCTTTTGTCTCGAATAGAATTTAGAGAATCTCTAACAATGGTATCTGAATCTCAACATGAGCTTTTCAAAAACAAAACAAAAAAACTAATAAACAAATTAATTTATTGAGTGGATTTTTTTAAATAGTTGAGAAACCACTCTAAACTCTCTCATTTGAGAAACTTTTGGATGGTGGTCTTCAACTATTTTGAGATACACCATCAGTAAAAGTATTATTATTTTTTCTTTCTATAGACCATTGATGGAGGTGTAATATTAGTTTTCATGATCTTACTGATAATCTATAATGATATCCCCAAAAGTCTCTGATGGATTGATAACCTGATATGCATATGCAGATACCAAATGACATTAGTTTCCACTTATCATTACTTGAATACGAACATAGCAAAGAAGAACTAATTTAACCTCTAGCCACGAATATGATCTAGTAAGCTCGTATGACGCAAATCCCCCATTGTTGTTCTGGAAGAAGTAAACTTATAAAAATATGTATGATACAAAGAATACTTAGAAACTGTAGATACTAGATAGTAGACCTGTAACGATAAGATAAAATTAACAGCATCCGACAAATGTTCCTCAGGCATGGCTTCTCCAACCACATTAATCGGCATCTGCGACAGTAGCAACGCTGCCTGCAACGAGGAACTTCTAACTCAGTAGTATTATTTTCTTTTAAAATAACACAGAGAATACTCTAAAATAGACATAACAAGGTCTTTGATCCAATTCTAGTTAACTAAATGTAAAATTTTCTAAAGCAGCATAAATTGTTTTGCGAAAACACTTACTTACCCTAAAAATTTTACACAAGAAATTGAAACGTTATTTTTATGTTTCTTATTTTTCAAATTAAGGCTAAGATTTCTTTGGTTAAGAAAGAATATTGAGTTATGTTTATGTCAAAATTGTGCTATTATTGAGAAAAAAACACATATAGGTCTATGTTTTGAATTAAAAGCTTAAAATTGATATTTTTGGAGTATTGTCCAGGGACATAGCATAAGTGTTGTAGATTTAGATAAGGAACCTTCAAGGCTTCAGCTGCACAGTCAGATACAGGCCAAGGATTGTCTGCAGTGGAGAAACCCCATCCTCCCTTTGATGGGTGTCGATACCACAACCCTGGATCTCCACATGTGTTTCTCATAATCTATTTCATGTCAGAAATCAAGAAAACCAGTAAATTATACAGATTACAAAGAAAGATCTTATAGGTGTTAAGTGAAAATATACTTGAGTGTTCTTGATGTAGTTATGCGCTCTTTTAAGCATCAAGCCATACTCATCAACCAAATTCGCCGCCAAGATTGCTTGGACCGCTAAGGTCATGTCCCACAGCTGAGATCCGTTGTATCCCTAGAATGAACATTTATACATGTAAAATGTGGTTTTAACTAGATTGAATGAATTGAAAAAAAAAAAAACTTGGGACATAACCAAATATTACATACTGTAGTTCCAGGTCTTGGGAATATATGGGCTTCGCCCAGAGCCTCCTGGTAATTAAAATAAGAAGAAAAAAAGAAGATTGAGAATGTACCTGCATTTTCATTCCATCTTCAGCTACCCACAAATAGTCTTTGATTCGAGAGAGATGACATTTAAATGCTTCGGAATCCGGGGCTTCGACCCAGCAGCAAACCATATTCAAGACCTTAAATCCAGTACCAACCCTAAGATCTTGTCAGCAAAAACAGTAATCAAGGCCATAGCTAGATCAATAAGATTTAAGCTGTATTTATAACCTACTTTGTTGACAGGACCAATACAAATGTAGTGACTGTTTTGGTCTTCATAGTGAATGTGCTGCATCACTGTCTTGAGAGCCCTGTTTCGGAGCTTAGACAAGGGCCATCTTTCAAGAAGAGGCTCCCCTAATTTCTTCAAACAACTCCACAAGACATCTTGTATCTTTGGATGTGGATAGTACAAATCTTCCTGCACTTACGTATAAATGAACCAAACCCTAATAACAAACCGTGAAAAACAAATTTATTCTACCTTCGAGCATTGATTGCGGGCGGTGTCCCAATCAATATGGTGATAAGGAACAATGTAGAGCTCTCGTCGAAGGGACAAGATAGTCCCATTGGTACGGCAAACAAATCTTCTTCCGTATAGATATGACATTGGAAGATAAACCATCCTGCAATGGCACCACATTCGACCAGGATGAAAGGGAAGAGCATAAGGAAGAAGCCATAGCTCTGGAGGTAAAGGGTTGTTCCCATTCCAGTCATAAACTCCAAGAACCTGTTTCATAACATCACAGATTCATCAACAGATTCGTCGAGAATACGGTATACAAGAATTGTGTTGTTGGTAAATGGTAACGTACTGAGAGCCATAGCTTGCCCCAAGAGGAAATAAAAGTGGCGCCACCGCGGTGGTGAATCCAACGTCTAGCTGTTTCCATGGCTCCATCACCACCGTCCATTTCTTCCCCCATCAATCTCAGTGCTACGTATGAGAGAGCCGTACAGAACATGGTGCTGCTCCCTTCTATGTGTAGTCCCCATCCTCCATCTTCGTTCTACACATTACTTGTTAAGAAAGTTAGGGCTTCTTCCTATAAGATAACTGTACAAACACGTTACTCAAACAAAAGGGAATAGAATTGGGTTTAGTAAGTGAAACAAGCTTCAATATGACATTTTGTGTGTGTGTGTGTGTGTGACCTGATGGTTATAGAGGTAACGTCGAATTTCGATTTGATGTTGAGTAGTTAAAGCTTCCTCCAAAACTTCCGTCGCATATAAACCGATCACCTGCGTCCAAAATCATGATCGGTAAGTCTATACGGCTTTAAATATAGTGTGAGTGATTTGAGAGAGCTAATTTCAAGATTTCAAGATTTAGAATTATTTAATGCATTTTAAAGCATTACCAGAGCAGGCAATAGAAACAAAGGGCCACCATAGTCACCAGGCCAAAAGCCATCTTGTGATTGTAGTGTTGAGTAGAATCTCAAGCTTCTTCTTAATGTCACGTTCAACACTTCTTGATTTATTTCTTCTTCTTCTCCCTCTTTCACCTTCACTTGTGGAAGCATCTCCCTTCCTCTTCCTTTCTCTTTCCAACACTATGTTCAAGTTTAAAGTTTCACATCAATCCATTTTCAACACATCAGCTCTGTTTTCAACTCTAAGCCAATAGAAGACTTTTCAGTCCAACCCTAGTCTATATCCAAGACATATACTAAATAGCTCCCACCAGATTTAGATGATCAAAAATATGCTAATTTATTAGTCAAACTTAACGTATGTATATACTATAGTACATAAGGTGTATAGGAAAATGAAAATAATTGTACCTGAAAACGGTAGAGCAGATCCGAACTATGCTTAGTACAAATCCGATTGAGAGTAAAGTTAGCACGAAGATCAGAGATGTGATGTCTCTCTTCGGAGGTTCCAAATTGGTCATCATACTCCCAAAACTGTCTTCCAACATGTTCATTCACGCTCTCTTCCTCTCCTTCCGACGACTTCAACCTCCACATCTCTTCGCTCCCTCTTTTTTTTTTGGTCGGACTCTTCGCTCCCTCTTTGTCTATATCTTCAATGTGAGACTTAATTTATAACAAGGTAGTATAGTTTCTTACAAATGATATTATAGTTTTTATTGTGGACTACTTGTTATATATAGTTATTAGTTTAGTCGTTGAGTGCGAAATTGACCTATTAAAGACAAATTAGATTGCCGACAAAAGAATAATAATCAGACAAATTAGGTTTAAAGGGATCTTTCACATGTGAGATAAAGGTATCTTTCTCTATATAACAAGTGCTAGAGTTTCTTAACAATGTCTTTGTCATTCGATAAATAATATATATGATTTCTGACTCTAAGATAAATGCTAGTAAGTAGTAACTCATTCATTTCAACAAAGTATAAATTAATTTTTTAAAGGGTACAATAAAATTAAATTTTCAAATAACCAAGTAAATGAAAGTGTCAATGTAACAAAATATAGATAAAACATATATATCATGAATCTTCTTTTTTTTTTCAAGGCCTCCAGGCTTTAGGAGGTGGTGGGGTTGGAGGATAGAGGGGAGGAACACCATTGAACATTGTGTTCTTATCGATTGTGTAGCCGCCACTACTGGTTAAGGAAACAAGAGCAGCCACGAGACCTGCATTTCCTGAAAGAGTAGGCTCACTCGCATTGTAATTGCTTCGTATGTCATTGAACTGATCGAACTTGTTTGGTCCCCCGACCATAGCTCCTGTGATATTGTGTGGGTTTTGATTCTTTGTGTCTCTATACTTCAGCCCTTCTCTACAGCTTCTTCTCTTCTTGTCCTTTGGAATCGTGGCTCCTCGGTGATGAACGCGTCTTGGAAACTTGTTTCCGAATCCAACCACGTAGCTCATTTTTTTGGGGTTATCTCCAAGAATGTAATCAATCTGATAAAATCATACAAAAGAAAGAAAAAAAAAACATTCAAAAATATGATTTGGTACTACATAATCTTGTAAGCATTTATGTAAAAGAGGATAAAAAAAGATAGGTAGTTGATGATTTTTTAGTTACATATTTACTTACAATTGCTAAAAACCAAACTCATAAATAAACCAAACTTACAATTACAATTACTTACAATTGTTACATATATTATTATTTTTTCATTATGGACCTCATAAAAACTAACAAAAAAAAAACAAAAACATACTCTAGTTTGTTGTGTTGATACATGTTTAGAAAGATTTGGGTAGATATGACTTTTGGACTAGTAGTAAATTAGTAATACATGCATTTTTTTGTACCTTTGTGATTAAAAGTGTCAAAAATATGTCATTTGGACAAATGAGCAAAAGTAATATGCTATAAGCCTATAATTAATCATTACCGATTTCTCAAAAGGTGTTATTATGCACAAAACTCCCTATGGTTGATTTTCTTAAGTAAGTTTTAAGTTTTATTTTTATTTTTCGTAAGTATTTTTTTTTATAATTTTTTACCAATTAATAATCATAGTAGTCTATCTTGCATGAGATTTCTAAAACCTTAAGCATCGGCCCTCGTGAATAGTATGTAGAATGAAGCTTGATTTTTACCTGAGATTTAGCGAAATCTTTAAGAACATGAGTGGAGACAAAGGTAGGGCCACAATACCATCCAGGAACTCCAGTTGAATTCAAATAATCCGCAAACAAAGAAGCTAAGAAAGAAGCATGCGCCACATATTCAAGTGGTCTTGGTTTCCCCATGTTCACTTGAATAAGCCCTCCTGCAAAATTCCTCAAATATTACTCAAAAATTCCACAAAAATTACTCTAAAATTTCAAGTCCTTTTCAACACACACAAAACAGAGAAATATTCAGAGTAATTACTCACCTGAAGTCCGGTTAAAAACATTGTACTGCTTAAGATAAGCACACATGGTGACACCAGTAGCGTTATGGTACCTATTGAGCATGTTCTCATAAGGAAAACCAGGATTCAAGAACAATCTATACCGAGTCATCAACAACATAGCTCCAGGTAATTTGTTATTCCAGCTCGGAACCATTAGCTCCGGTCGATTAGTAAAAGCTTTAGCCGTTTGAGGCACTCTCGGGTCCGTGGCAAGTTGTATGTAAGTCTTGTTTCCAGTGGCGTAGTAAAGCCAAGCACCGGCCCACATTAGCTCGTCGAACATACTTGTTGAGTTGTAGAAGGCCTCACTCGTTGGTTGACCATTTGAGTAGCGTTTGCGTCTGGATTTGCTTCTAAAGAATGGCCATAGAGTTTCTGCTCCTTTTTTGAGTTTTTTGGCGTAGCTTGGTTTGTCTGTGAAGACGATTGAGGCAGCGGCTAAGGCGGATGCGACTTCTGCGCCGAGGTCGGTGGCGGCAGTGGCGGAGAGGACAGGACGATCGTAAGACATGTCTTCTGGTCTTTGCCAGCAGTAGATATCATCAGGTGATTCTGATTCTCTAAGTCCTCCACCAACCTAGACGTCATTGAAACAGAGGTTTTTATCAAAATGGTAATTGTTTATGTTTCTTGGTGCTCAAGAAAGTATATGAACCAAGTTTATTTTATTTTTTCTGTAACCGATTTACTATTATAAACAAGACAAAAGAAAATAATACAAGGCCTTCTGGGAACAGAGTTGAAATATAGGTTTCTTGGTATGCAAGAAAACTGTTTGGTTTGAAATTTACTAGGTGTTACTTTGCTTTTCAAAGTACTAAATGTACTAATAAATTTTTTGATGAGACAAATAAAGTAACGGGAACAAGATATATGCCACATAGGATACAATTTTGAGAAATATATAGCACCAGAGAACCCTACTGCATGGCACGGGTATTCTATGTTTTTTTGGTATTTATTACTTGAATCATATTTTAGAACTGTAATTTTTGTCAGTCCAACTTTTTAATCGTATGAAAATTGTAATAGAATAAGACATTTGGTTTTTCTTACACGAAAAATACTGACTATAAACATTGAATAATAGGATAATAGGAATTTTTTGAATCAGTGTAAGTAGTACAATGACCAATATAATTAAAATACTTTGTAATTATAACCTAAACAACTGACCTAGTGATTAAAATCAATAAATTATTGTTATTTTAAAATAAACAATTAATTTATATATAAAAGAATAGAGTTGTCAAAAATAAGTATAAGATAAGCAAATTATAAGAAAAATATATGCAAATCATAAGTAAAACATTATAAATATGAAAATTTTATCATGTTTCACTAATATATAATTTCTTCTTTAAATTGTATGCTTAAAGACTAAGAGCCCTATACGAGAATAACTATCAATAAAATACGAGAACAAACGAAATGAAGAAAGAAAGGTAGAGAATAGAACTAAAACCTGAGTGTAAATATGATCAGGGCGAGAAGCAGAGTTGTTGAAAGTGAGAAGAAGGTAATCAGTGCCCCATTTGAGAACATCTCTCATGTGATCGTACTCATTGATGGCTTTGAATTTGTGACTATACTCAATGAGGCTCCAACTTAGCATTGTCATTGAGAATGCCATCGGAAAATGAAACTTGGTGTTGCTTCCTCCGTCATAGTATCCTCCGACCAATCCTCCGACCACATCCTTCAGCCCATCCTTCAGCCCCGAATCTCCTCTCCACGGAACCCGCTGATTGGTCTTCGGCAATTTACCGGCTACATTGTATTTTCATTATTAATCTTTCAGTTTGTTTGGTTAATCTATATCAACCAAAATTTATTTAAATATAATCAAACGAATGGAGTTTAAATAAAAATCTAAATAGTGGAACTTTTAGTGATCTTGATGTTAGATCATATATGAAAGTAATACAAATAAATGTTATTTTCTAATTAAAAAGAAACGACTTCAATTACATAATCAATATTTTAGCAATTATATGAGCAGTTTGATATGATCACTATGGTTCGAGTAACCAACGCATGGTGGTCCGGAAGTTAAAAGATTTACACTAAAATTAGGGACCCTGGTTCGAGTATTCCCCACAACGACATTGTTTATTAATGTAAATGGGTAAAATGTCCAACTTTTCACAGATTTATGTGTGTGTGCGTGTTTTTTTTTTTTTTTTAATTTCGGTTTTAGATCTCTCAGTTAGATGAGAAAAAAAAAGAATAGAGTTTCAATTTGTTTCTACAACAAAAACTATTTTTTATCTAATTTCAATTTAGTTCTATTAAATATACATTTAATTAGCAGTGTTAAAAATAATGAATTCCAGAAATATTTTGTTATTTTTAATTGAAAATAATGTTAAAATATTTATATTTGATTTGATAATGAAAAGTCGAAAACCAAAACAAATCAATTCAGAAAGAGTATTCCATTTTGCTTTCCCATTTTGATTTTTTAAATTATTTTCTAGGACGAATATAGATGCAAGTATTGGAAAAATGAATATGTATACAATGTACGGAAAACACAAATTCCATAACGAGCCCTTAGATTAACCAGATTCTAGAAATCAAGATAAAGATTAATTTTGTTTTGTTCGTCCACTCAAAATATCACTGCGTTAAAAAAAATGTTTAGTCCTTGGAAAAGGCCAAATCAAAGATGTGAGCATTACCAAAAGCCAGCTCAGAGGAACAGAATGGGAAAGTGGGAAAATGCGAGGGTTCATGTAATTAGTCGGATAAACGTGCTTCACTCAGATCTTAGTACTTTATTAGAATGTCAACGTGTTGTATACATCATCTTGAAGTCTACCACCTAACGAATGTTTTTATTTAATAATGATAAATGTAATGCGCTTGTGAACATGGAACTATTCAAAGTCTTTGAATTCGGATTCATAATAGTGATAAACGAATGAATCAAGCTTTTTCCAATTAATTCGAATATTGTACATATATTCAAAGTGTTCAACATTTTCTTTGATCATTTTAGAGTCTTGTTTTCCTAGACTTTGCAAGCATTCACATTTTCCATAGATTAAAAAGATATTACGCCATTAACTTTCATAGTGTCTAGCTTCTAGAGACTTTTAACAGAAAACAAACTACAAATTCATAGAACTGATTGAAAAATAAATCAGTGAGAATGTTTTGCAAGATATTATAATATTGTTTTAACAAAAATAAAGGGTTCTTATAATTTTCTTAGTTAGGAAATCTCGTCATCTTATTAAATTTCTAGGTAAATAACCTATTTTTTAAGAGGTAAAACTAAATTCCTGAAACAAAAGAAGACTTACATTTTTGGGCATCGAAAAATAGGATAGCCTTATGGAGGGCAAGAGTGTAATTATCAGACAGAGTAGGGGTAGTCTTAGGACGAGGCAACGACTTGACGATGATGATCGGAAGAGCAACGACGAGGAACAAGACGACGATAGATCCAATGGTCCACAAAAACACCGTGCGGCTCACGGAAACACAACCTAGGTTTACATACTTCTTTCTCTTCTTCTTCCAGCTATCTTGCGGTGCAAGTAACCAGCTTTGTTGTGTCTCGTCCAATTGGTTCCGCTGGTTTTCCTCCGCTAACCGCTGTGAGTGAAGAGCTCCTTGATCCCACTCCGACATGTTCCTCCGCCTCTCTTCTTCCTCCGCCACTGCTCGGTCGCTGTCTACGGCGTCGAGCTTCCCTCCCCATAGATTCCCCGGATGCATCCTAAAGAGCTTTTCAAGATTGGATGATTTGTTTTTTGTTTCTTTTTTTTTTTGTTTGAAGAAGAGATAAATATGGCAAGGATCTAAAGAGTTTTATTTTTCTTCAAAGAACTTAAAGAAGGGTACTTAATTTTGATTTATGATGGGTGAGAGTAATTTATTAAAGAGTGAGTTGACTAAATGGCTTTTTAGGAAATGGGGAAGGTGATTCTATATTTTAGTAGAATTGGAATCGATTTTTTATTTACTTATATTATCACATTACTCTCAAAGACTTTTTTTCAAATAATTTCGGTTTTATTGATATGTGATTGATGTAATGAGATTATAACAATTGAATCGGAAAAGTTGGGGCCGGATTTTTTGATGTCTTCTTTATTTTGGACTTGTTTTTTTATTATGAAAAAACAGTTAAGATTCTTTGAAAATCAAGAAAGTGCGACTACGTGACTTATATAGTTAATATTAATGTTTTGTACTTGGAGGAAAAATATAGTTAACTAGTAGAGTACCCGCACGTTTGTGCGGTGTGACGTTGTTGTTTTGTGTAGAAAATTTAAACCCTAAATCCGAACCCGACAAAAAACCCTAATCAAAAAATTTAAAAACCCAAACTTTTTTAATAGGTCTAAACATGAAAATCCGAAATAAAAAAAATCCCGAAAACCCTGACTGAACAAAAAAAATCTGGAAACTTTTTCACCCGGAACCCGACCCCAATACCTAATCAAAATTTTAAAATACTCAATTTTTTTAATATATCTAAACCCGAAAACCAGAAATCTAAAAAATCCGGAAAACCCTAAACTGAAAAAAAAAATTGAACCTAACCCGAACAGAAATTTTCAAAGAAACCCGAACAATTTCTATATCTCTATATATATCTCTATAAAATTATGTCTCAGATTTTCACCCAAACCCGAACTTGTCTATAAAAACCCGAAAATCCAAAAAGCATATTCTATTGATTTGGAATTATCGTTAGATTATGTTAAGTTTTTTTTGCAGATTTTTAAGAGATGGAAAACGGAAGTTTTCTAAACCATCGGTTTATTTTAAGTTATTATTCTTGTATCCAAACAATTTTTTCCATTTATTCTTCTATCCAAATAGATTTTTCTCTTATTCTTATATCCAAACAACTTTTGTTTCCATTTATTCTTCTATCCAAATAGATGTTTCTCTAATTCTTGTATCCAAACATTAGAATGTACTTCTCAATTAATAATATAAAAATGTTTTGGTAGATGACGTTGGTTTGAAAGCTATATGGAAAGACAAAACGCGTGCTTGATGATTTACAAATTACAAGTTGTATACTGTTAAAAATATATATAGAGATGACTAGAAATATTTAAAAAAAAAATTAAAATGTTTATTAAAATAGTACATGAACTATTTGACTATTTACGTTAACGAGCTTCTGTATTTTCTATATACTATAGGTGAAACAACATTGATTTTCTAAGAATTACCAATTACTACAAATAGAGAAAATTATACGTTTATTTCTAATTGTAAAAGAAAAATTTGAAAAGGTTATAATAAAAGAAACAAAATTTATTTTTAAGAAAAATTTTCTAATCAAGTCATATAATGTAAATGATTTATAAATAACATATTTTATGTAAAAGATAGTGTTAAAATCTCAAAACATTTTTTTTTCAAGTAATCAATAGTGAAAAATTGTATAAAAATGAAAAAAGGTATATAGTTTTGAGTTTTGAACTCCATTGAGAATCATATATACTAGACTAATGCCTGCGCATACGCGCGGGTTTTTCCGTTGTTATAATTTTTAAAAATGTTATAAAATAGTTATATATATTTCTGATTAATATTTTGATATGATATGTAATATTATAAATTCTAATACAATAAAACTCGTGTTTTAGTTCCAACTTACAAATATATATTTTTGCGTCATATTACCCATTTTATACCTAACTCTCCTTGTTTACTCACAACTACATGAAATGGATTATGATTCCCCACATTTAGTTAACAGAGTGCTAACGTGTCCAAAATCCGGAAAAAGTTGAACCTTATTATAAATATGTTTATCCTTTCATGCTCCTTCTAAAAAGAAAAGAATATGAAAGAGTTAATCCAAGATTGGAGGTTGATATTATAATTACGGAGAATTAAATAATAGAAAGAGAAGAATTATAAAGACGACTTATATATTAATCTTACACCCAATAAATTTGTATTTTATTAACTTTTAAACTGGAGAGGAAAATGAAAAGTCCATTCTTCTTTGTTTTTAAATAAAAACTTACTGCCACATATTATTTTCTTCTTTATCCACATGTCAAAAATATGGAGAGAGTTGACCTCTTTTCATATATATGATTACGGTGTGTTATATGTTAATAAGGAAAAGTTAAAAAGTAGAGTAGATGATAAGAGATAAAGGAGTCCATCTTCGATGATAATGGAACAAATAAATGATAGTGAAAATGCATTACAGAAAATATTGAAGCTTTTAATATACACAAAACTAAAATAAATTTTTAAAACCTCCTTTACTGTATAGATGAAATGAATGAGTTAGATGAAAATATTAATTTAAGCAATATGTATGTCGTATGTTATTTGATAAATTAGTTTCATGTTTATACAGATACTTATACAGATTTTCTTAAAAACTAATTTCTTTTTTAATGTAATTATTATATTGTTAACAGTTTTATAATAAGATCCCGCACAACGCACGGGTGTATAAATCTAGTTACTCAAATTATGCTGCAATAAAATTATTAAAAAATTTAGTTTAAGAACATTTGAAGAAATAACAAAAAATATAGTATGCAATAAATCTGTTTGTTTGCTGTTTTTGGACAGTGGGAGGTGAATAATATCAATTGTAATTTCCTCATTAATTCAAATCTTATATATAATTAGGGAGTTGCTCTCTACTCTTAGAGTGTCCACAACAGCAAAAAAAATTAATTAAATTAAAATTATTGATTCAATTAATACATACACTTTAATAATATCATTGAATGATTTATTATTCAACCAAAAATATAAAAATGTATTAAAAAAAGAAATGATTAATAAAAATATAAAAAACAAAAATAAATAAAAATTGGCTGAACTTAATATTTAAAAGATTAAAAGTTAATTTTTAACAGTAGATGCAAAATATTTGTTTTTCAAAGAAAAAAATGTACTGAAAATTTAAAATGTTTAAAATTCATAATAATATATATTATGTAAAAAGTTTCATAATAAAATTTACTGAAAAGTTTCATGGAAAATGTTTAACTGTGAAAGCTAACAGTTAAATTTAAGTAATAAAAATAAGTTATATATAAAATTAAATTATTGATTTTGATGTTAAAAAAACTAAAATATTGACTATTTCTAACATTTATAAAAAAACACTCACAATTTTTTTGTTTGTTTAAATATTTAATAAATAAAAGAAAAACATTAAGAGCACAGTTTGTAAAGTATATAAATGATGATGAACAACCCGCGCTTGCGCGGGGTACAATTCCTAGTAATGGAAATGAGGCTTTTTTGTGGTTGATAGATAAATCTTGTACGAGACTTTTATTTTCTTTGCATGGTTTGGGAAGATTACAATATCTCTACTATATTCTTTGCATGGTTTGGGTTTTGTGCAAAAAAACCAGTAAACTAAATTAATTTTGCAAATCTACCATTCAATTTTATTCTGTGCAAGTCAAACCCCTCAAGTCAAAAGTCACCCGCTAAAGCTAAATAAGCCTTCTCTATATTGTCGACCTGGCAATGTTAAAATCTGTGAGAAACCAAACGGAAAATCAAAAACATAGCATTTTAAAGCTCTAAAAACAACATGTAGTTTACATACAAAAATAGCACACTATTTTTCTTTCTGAGATTATTCCCAAATTGATTTTAGGAAAAAACTTGAAGAAAATTAGGATTTTGTAGCTGAATTTATCTTGCTTTTGTTCTTCATAATTGTTATTAAAATCATCAAAATATATCTCAAATCACCATCGAATTTCATCAGGTCAAAAATATTCTTCCTTAATACTGTAATCCTACAATTTCCTTCTTTCGGTTATAATTAACAATGCATACAATCGAAGAACAGGAGATTGAGATTTGCTCTCGTGCCTTGTCCATTTTTTTCAATTTCATATCTATTTTCATTCGCAATCTAAAATTGGGTTTTGAAATTGAAGGATGTCATGAGATTTGAAAAACTGAAGATTTTATCCCCAATTCTGGGTTTTTGACTGTTCTTGGGTTGCCCAGAAACATAAGACAAAATAGAAGCAGATCATTTGTCAATCTGGTTGGATTCAACTGAGAAAAATTATTATTTTATTTCATATATGAAAGTTTTGCTGCTTGATTTCTAAGAAACTGATGGACGATCAAATGATCGATCAAATTGGTAGTGGAAAGTCAAGCTGCTGAGAGAACAACGATGAATATCCATGGCGGCTCCGATGAACAAAATGGAGTATTAATTTTTTATCAATGAAACTCCTTTTTCCTATTTTCTTTTTCATTTTTAATTGTTATTTAGACATATAAAAACAACGTGTATTTCATCTAAAGAGATTCAAAACAGCAAGATTTTTACTTGACGAAAACGACATAGTTTTATGTTAACGTTAAGTTTTAACGACAAATATACGGAAGGCTTATTTAGCGGGTGACTTTTGACTTGAGGGGTTTGACTTGCACAGAATAAAATTGAATGGTAGATTTGCAAAATTAATTTAGTTTACGGGTTTTTTTGCACAAAACCCATAAATCTTGTACGAGACTTTTCTTTTCTTTGGATGGTTTGGGAAGATTACAATATCTCTACTATATTATTTGAGACATACATTTCTAGAGAAACCCAAAAACCTATTTTATTACAAAAAATATCGAGTTATTTACGCTAAAACGCACTTTTGGCACTTTCCTATCACAGAAACACACTTTGTGACTAAGGTGCACTTTTTGAGAACTTTGTGCCTGTTTTGCCCAAAAATGGCCTTCGGTAAAAACTGTTTTTACTGCACCCTTGTCCCTTCGCCAGAGCTTTTGTCGAATAGCACTAGACTTCCGATTCAGAGAATTGGGTTGTAAATTGATTCACACTAGTATTCCGATTTCCGGAAAAACAGCTCCAGGGAAATCAGAATTATTCAGCTTCCAAACCGACTTTGATCTAGAATTTTGGGTTGCTCGAGTGAATGGGATTATTCAATTTTGAGCAATGTCGGAGGCGTGGCACTGCTCCATTTTCGGGGAGATCAAATAATGTCCATAGATGAAGAGTATGCCGTATTAATGTGGAGGGAGTTGATTATTTTCGGTGATAATCAGACCTGAAATTCTGGGAATATCGTTGAATGGCTTTTATTTTTTTTGCGGAGGTTTGATTTGGGGATTTCTTTTCATGTGTGGACATTAAAAACGCAGCTTGGTACTGATTTGTGGATATGTAACAGTGGATTGAAGGTTAGGTATTCAAATTAGCTGTGTGAACTAGAGTTTGAAGATTTTTTATTCAAATGGCATCTGTGTGGATATGTTTATATGGATAGACGATAATGGACAGTCGCAAACAAATGAAACTGTTTCCGAGGTTTTGTGCTCTATTTTTACATGGACTGTAAGCGAGGTAAAAGCTGTTCTAAGCAATGAAGGGATAGGTTAGGGATGTATGGTATAAACATATACTTTTGCACTGGATAGATGAATATGGATATATGTATTTCAAAATACATGTACATCGCAAGCTCGTAAAGTTGGTAGTTTATAGTGTTCTCTTTGTATGATCATAAACTCTTAGGAACTTATATGGATTAAGTTAAAACTTGTTTTGTGAATATAAGTCTACATTCTATGCAACCATATTCCTTGGTTTTTTCTGTTTTTGATCATTTCAAAATTCTCATTTGGATTTGGCTTTGAAACTTCTTAAATCATAAAGTGACATAGTAAAGGAAACAACAATCTTCTCGTACGTAGCCAATCTAAACCAAACAAAACAGAATAGTAGATAAATAATATTAGAAGCAAATGGAGAGCCTCGTATGGAAACATCCAAATGGAGAACTTCATATGGACACATTAAGACAAAACTAAAGCAAGATTTATGAAGATTGTACATAGGTTTGACTCTGCTGCACCACAAGTGTTGTTGTTGCCATTAAAAGTCTTCTCAGATTGTCATGTTTCTCTTTGTACATATACAAATGCTTTGAGTTCATACAATGAACTTCAAATTTTATAAACAGATATGGTGCTTTGTGCTTTGTACTGTCAAAATCATTACAAGAACCATTATGATGAACCAATATAACAAAATGGACACACCCAAATGGAGAACTTCCTATGGAGTATGGACAAACTAATGTGGACATTCGATAGTGTAAATGAACCAATATAGCAAAAAATGGATACATCCAAATGGACAATCTCATATGGACAAATTAATGGTCCTTGTCATAGGTAGAGATGCGACGAAGGAGGGAAGGTGTATCTCGGGTATGGGGCGCTCAGATCGGAGAAACAAAACATTTATCCAAATAAATGTAATTGGGTGGATTACTATACATGTAGAGGACATGGGTTTAGTAAAAACATTTGGTACGACTAGGAGTCCATTCTGCTCTTGATGAATATGCCCGAGACCTCTAACCATATTCACATTCGTTGGCTTTTTTCTGTTTTTGGTTATTTGAAAACTCTTATTTGGATTTGGCTTTGAAACTTGTTGTAACATAAATGAATCTTAGAAGCAAATGGAGAGCCTCGTATGGATACATCCAAATGGAGAACTTCGTATGGACGCAATGGACACATTAAAACAAATCTAAAGTAAGATATATGAAGATAGTTGTACATAGGTTTGACTCTGATGCACCATGTTGATCCAAACTTTTTCGAAAAACCATATGGATAAACTGTTATGGACAATGGCGTATGGATATGAAAACATTAGAGAAAGCAAACATATATGGACACAAATGATCACAAATATAGACCTATCTGTGTGGATACACTATGGTTTTTTGGTTCATAATTTCAGAGAACACTAAATTAAAGTGAAATGAGTTTACGGAGGTAATTACAATAATGATTCAGTGACCGTTGTGATGATTTTCCGTGATACGGTGAGTGGTCCATGACTCACTTTCCATACTCTTACACAACCTCATATGGACATACTACTCTGAGTTATGCCAGTCAAGTTTGTTGTGTGTATCTCTGCAGATCTAAAACTTCTACGGGTTCAAGTGTTTGGTCCCTTTTACCAATTTCGCCTCCATGTCAGCATTCTCTCATTTCTTCCTTTGACATGAGCTTGACCAGATGTATCAGCTTGTTTCCATTGCCTGAGATTAAACACAAAGTTAACAAAGTCTCAGACAAGTTTTTTCCTTTTACAATTGGGTAACTAAATCTAAAAACAAAAACACTTTGTTCAACCTTAACATCTAAAATAAGATACCGAAAAAGGAAATAATTATCTTCCATCTTTTCCTCCTCGTCCAAGGAATCTCCCTCAAAACTCAGAAGCAACTCCATTTGTTTCTCCTTTAGTCAACGAGGTGCAAAATGACAAGACCCGACATGGAAGAATGAACCATATCCTGAAGCTGATTATTGAAGCTCATTTCACAGAAAATATTCACTTCAGTTCACAGAAATAAAACCATCATAATAAAGCAAAGCAAGATAGAAAAATGGACACATCTAAATGGACAATCTCGTATGGACACATCAAAGTGTTAATAAATCAAGATAACTAAATGGATACATCCATATGGACAACCCCATATGACCAGACCAGCTTGACAACTGAAAATTGAACTTGTATCATAGTTGATATTGCCTAAACTGATATAGTAATATGAGCACATTCAAATGGAGATATTTGTATGGACAATATACTATGAGGAACCATCGTTTTGAACCTCGTTTCAATAGAAAGGCAAAATGTAAACTTCATTTCATGAGATATAGATTTAGTGAACCAAGATAGCAAAGTGGCATCCAAATAAACAACCTCATATGGACAGAGAAACATTGGATAAGGAGATAGGTCTTAAATTACATCCAAGTTGTGTTCTCCATATGTACATATCAATAAAGACAACGGAAGAGCTCTAATGATCCCAACTTACTAAAGAAGCAAAATTGAGAGTGAGAGACTAATCATTTCGGATAGAATACATTGGCTCTGAAGCACTTTTTTGAGTTAATTGAAAAGGGCGGCGAGATCTGAGGTGGCTCTCTTATTCTTCCATCGAGAAATTTCTGCAAAATAGTTAAGAAATTGAAAGAATTAAAACTAGTGATACAATACTACAATTCGATTTGTATATTGTGCCACGCGATTCTGATATCAAGAGATAAACAAACTTAAAGAAAGAGTAGCAGTAGATATTATAGAGTAGAGAGAACTGAATTCTCCAAAAATCCTTTAGCAGAGACCCGATTCACAACAAATGATTATATACCTTTTTGGCTTTTCACGTGTCTGGATTAAAGTGAGAAGCAGAGGGATCCATGGCCTTCGACGGTAACGATTAGGAGGAAGTTAGAGTTTTTAATCATCAATAAACTCAGAAAAGATTGATGGAGGGAAAATTTATTGCTCTAGATTGATGAAGACTGTGTGAGGACTGGAGGAACCTAGATTTTCTGATGCTTGTGGTTGGCAAATCAAAGCACCTCTCGCCGCAAAAATTGAGTTGTATCGGAGACATAGCAATTGTCGGCATGAAAATTTGAAGAAGCAAAAAAGAGAGGTTTTACTGAGAATATAATTGTGATAATTGTGTTGAGTAAGGGTATATTTGTCTTTCTGTCTCATAGAAGTGCACCTTAAGTTGTAAGTGCCTTTTTGTGTTAATTGAAACCGAGAAAGTGCCTACAACTATGATCAAAAAGTGTTTGCAAACAAGATTACGAGGGGCAAATCTGGAATAGAAATACCGAGTCGAGCAAATTTGCTCAGTTTATTGTGAAAACCCGACCCGACGCGAGTCGGAAAGACACGCGGATCTGATGTTACTTAAAATTAACCGGCCTTCTCAAATCAATTTGAAACATTTCGGATAAATCTACCTGAGTATTGAACCGGATCGTCAGTTCAAAATGCGAATATGTGATTAGATCCGCTCCATAATAAATGATTATGAATGTGTGAGAGTAAGTTACGGCTACATAAACACACTTTCTCAAATTAACCAAGCAAAAATAAGAAACTCGCGGGATCTACGGGATAGTTATAACCAAATTTGAATTAGAATACGATTCACGCCAACCATAAGGAAATCATATACGATTAGATATTCTCCATATTAAATGATTATTAACGTATGATCGTAATTACGGCTACGTTAACACACTTTCTCTAATCAACCACACAAAGAGAATATACTCGCGACATATACGGGATAGTTATAAGTTAAATACACAAATTTGAATTAGAGTACGGTTCACGCCCATTGATAAGGAAATCATATATCCCGCGAGTTACATGATTGGAATTATAATGTATCGTGGCTGATTAGTAATTAAATCGTATATTATTATTCGAAAACGGAAACCCTAGAGTAATGCACGACTGGAGCACTATATAAAAACCCATAGAAAGTAAACCGTAAATCATCCACCACCAATATCAGTTTTTATTTTTGCTCAATCAGGGACGTAGTCGATGGTGATGGTTAACGCAATGCCCACCACTTTGTGCAAGAACATGAAGCCGTTCAAGACTGGATGGAGGATTCAAGTGAAGATCTTGCATCTATGGAAGCAGTACGTGACCACTTCGGGAGAGACCATTGAAATGATACTTTGCGATGTTGAGGTAATATCTTTTTTTTTTTTAATGAATGTAAAATTTTATTCAATCAAAAACTTTGTTACATCAAGTGCTTCATTGTTTTGAGAAGAAACAGAAATTTAGTTTACAATTTAAACTCTTGTGGCAAACCAATACATGAGGCTTCCATCATAGCTGTAGTCCCCAAGTAGTCTGATCAAGCTTAGGCGATTTCTGATTGTTTTGTCGAGAGTTATCACCAGCCTCTGTATTGACATCGCTTCCTCCCCATGTCGTCTTCGGTTCCTTTCTCTCCAGAGACCATATACCGTCACATAGAAGGTATATCGGATGACAAATAGTTTGAGACGGTCATAAGTGGGATCTCGTAAGAGTCCAACTATGACATCCCAATCTGTGCTGAAAGAGCTCCCAAGTATACCTATCACAAGATGTTCCCATACTTGAGCAGAGTAAGGGCAAGTGAAGAATAAGTGGCTTTGTGTTTCAATAGGACAGTGGCATACGGCGCAAGAAGCATCGACATTATGGCTCCACTTCATCATACGATCTCCTGTATCCAGCCGATGTAGCATCGCCATCCATACAAGAAATGAATACCTTGGAGTAGCATAGGTAAACAAAACATCATTAGACCAATTGACATGAAGGTGAACCTCTCGAATTAAGTACAATGTATTCTTCAATGTTGAGGTAATATCATCTACTTATAATATATAATACGGTACGTACTGTGCTCACGTGCTAACAGTTTACGATCTCTTAATTTATATGGTGTAGGGAAACAAGATCCACACAAGTGTACGAAAGCAGGATGTTAAGCAGTACGAGAGGTATCTCGAAGTTGGTACCTGGAAGTTCATCCAGAATTTTACGGTGGCGCATGCTACAGACCATTATCGGACAACCAATATCCCGTTTAAGCTAGCCTTCATCAAGGAGAGTTTTGTGACCCCATCAGACAATCTTAGCGACGGTAACTACTTGATGTTGGTCAATTTCAAGCAGATCCATGAAGGCCAGATTAAAGAGTGTATTTTGATTGGTATGTGATGAGAGGATTTTACTGTCAATGTAGTATAGCGGGTGGATGTGGTATGAGATGATGTGCAAGTGAAGGTGGCAAGATATGATATGACAGGTTTTAATCACAAACCGTCAATTCCTCAAGATATCATCATGTCAATGTAGTATTTGAGGTGTCAATCCATAATGGATATGTAGTTGCTCTTTGAAACTATGTGAATGCTTGGAAGTCAAGCCAAATGGTTTAAATGATGAGAATGTAACAACTAGCAACCTAAATGAAAAGAAATGCGAATGAAAGCAGTAAATGAGTGCAAACAGAAGTGAATGCAATGAACTCGACCAGGAGCTCGATCGATTTGGCACAGAAACATAGTATGAAATGAGCTCGATCGAGTTAAGGGTCGAGTTAGGCTTAAAACAGAGTAAAAACAGAGCAACATGAATGCAAAGTAATAAATGTGCGGTTTTTAGACTTGAATGATAAATATTTAGGACTAAAGACGGGGTTTTGCAACTAGAACAAGGTTATACTTAATCGATGCTGCTCTTAAACAACTTGTACTCAAGCTAATCTCTTGGTATTGAACTTCTCAAGCCTAGTTAACCCTTTCCCAAGATGAAAACTATCAATCAAGGCAAGATCTCAGAAACAGGGAGTCAACCAGTGAGATCAAGCCTTGAAGGCTTTAGAAACTTCGTTCAAACTCACCTCTAGCATCCATGAACTGTCACTTTTGTGAGACAGGTATGCTAGAGCTCTTAGTGGGCTTGTTCAAGTGATTATCAACTCATTTCCATGATGATAATCATCTAAAATCGAACACACCATGGATAGTGGTTGTGTTGCATAAAACTCAGCCCAAAAGAGAGAGATTTCTAGATTAAGGACCTAAGAAACAAGGATTAAGCATAAACAACTCCTAATCTAACCCATCTCTAATCCTAATGATGGAGCTACTCACTAAGCATGATTAAGGAAGCAGCATATAGACATTAGATGAAAGAGGAAAGCAAGATTAACAACTTTATTAGAAATAGATAAGCGCAAATAAGCAAGTACAAGGCCTAGATCTAAGATTCATTGAGTATAAGTTCAAGAACACAAAGATGAGGCTAAAAGCTAAAAGAAGAAAAGAAAATTACAAGATTAAGCAAAAGTTCTGATTAATTCGTGGCTCATTGCCTTTTATAGGAAAGTAAACTAGGGTTTGAAGTCAAGGAGTCAAAGGGAAGAAACAATTTTCGGATCTTTGTCCCCTGGAAAGCAGCTCGATCGAGTCGTCTTCTGGCCGGTCGAGCTAGTGCAATGTTGGAAAAGTTTGGCCTAGCTCGACCGGTTGGTCAAGCGGTTGGGTCGAGCTGGGCATCAAGGCGCCACCATTCTTCATCTTGAGCTGCGCGGTCGAGCTGAGTCCCATGCAGAGTCCTTCCTTGCTCCTCAAGTCTCGAATGCTCCAAAACGCTCCAAAAATACCTGTTTCAGGTTCAAACATGCACATGTATGCAAATACAATCCTAAAACTACAATGTATACATAAGAAGAGCAAAAAACCAAGAATTGATTCTTTGGATGATGAAAAGTATGCAAAATATGTGTAAGAGATGGGCTAAATGCATGTAAAATATGAGTACATAAGTATGTCTGTCCATTACGAATCTAATCATAATTTAATGAATAATACCTAAATCACCTTTGTGTTTTACAAATGAACCTGATAAGTTATTCATATCTTGCGGGTAAGACATACTAGGTCAACTCATCAGCGTTGGACTGATGATGGAAGTCGATAAGCAGAAAAAAAAACAGAAAAGCTGGAATTAGAGCTTCGTGATGAATGGTGATTAGTTGATTAAATTGTAGAAATTACATGTTAATAACTGATATACCTCTATTTACATGCTTTTTATACTGTTTTAGTATTGTTTTCTAATGGTTTTTGGCAGGTTTTCTATCTAAAAAGGTAGTTTTACTGTGTTTATAGTGTCTAGAGTCTAAACAGGTGAAATGATGCATTTTGGAGCAAAACCATAGGATTTGCACTTCAAGCCGCTCCATGCACAAGCACCAACTTTAAGAGGGCCCAGAAAAAGATCTACTCAATGGATTTCATCAAGACCAGTTCCCTGCGTGCTCTGATTGAGTTAACTTTCCAACGCAACTGGAATGGCCTCATTTGGATGAGTAGAAAAGGAGTTACAACCAAAAGAGTGAAGACTGTCCAGACGGCTCTATCGAGAATCAGCGCCCAAACCGCGCAGTCCGGCTGGCCGAGAAACGATGTTCCACGCTCGGCCAAATCACATCCGTCCGTCTGAAGTCTCGGCCAAAGTCCAAAACCGTCGGCCGATCACGCATCACGACCCGGGAAACATGTCCCGCGGTCGGCCACGCCACAACCGCTCACGCCAACCGCGCACGACCGCCGCGCGAGCCGGGAAACAAGCCTCGCGGCCGCGCAACCTTCTCGCGTACCACGGCCGATGCGTCCGAGCCGGGAACTACGTCCCGCGTCCGGCCGAGAATTCATCGGCCAAATCTTCATCCGTCCGACCACACGGCCGACCACGAATCCGTCCGGCCACGACCGTTCCGATCGTACGGCCCATGACCCGATCATCCGGCCGATCGTCCCGACCGACCGTCCCAACGCCGCGGTCGACCCGAAGCCCGTTTCCCACATATTTTCAAGCCCGGCTTAACCCTAAGCCGCCTCTAAAGACCTAGCACTATATATATGCTTTTTAGCCTCTTGTGAAAAGAGAGCCGCCCTTGTATTTCGATTTCCTACTCTAAGTTTTATTGCAATCATGTTTTCTTCATCTCTATGTGTGTTTGCTTTGATCATGTCTGAGTAATCCACTAGTTAGGTTGCTAGGGTTACTATTCAATGAGTTGCTTGCATGATCTTTGATTTCAATGATTAGCTAGGGATTATATTAGAGTCTTTGTCTCGTCTTGTGCACTTAACTAATGCTGATTGCTTTACCGCGCATCTAGTAATCCGATCTTAGGTTGATTTGAGCCTCGACAGTGTTGTATCATTCGCCGGACATATTCTTTGACAAGCTAGGTTTCTTAGACTGCGAAAGTTGATCTACTATAATCTAGTGAACTGTATCAGAACCTATTCATTCTAAAGCTTGATTTAATCACCTAGGGACATACCAAAAGTTTAGCGACTAGGTAGATTAACAAAGGAGCCGGAGCCTCGAAAGTGGAATGGTTTTATATTCGTGATCTGTGTTCTAGACGGTTCTTAATATCCCAACATCCCTAATCAATTCATCTATCATTGTTTCATTGATCATTGCTTGCTTCTCTGCGATAGCCCCTATGACCTAGCGCTTTCCTTATTGTTTACAACCTCGTTATACTTGCTAGTTCGGTTCACCATTACAACCTCAATCATACTTTTGTTTTAGCTTGATCCAAAATCCATAGTTTCAAAGTGTACTCAATAGCCAGTCCTTGTGTTCGATACCCATACTTCCGCGATCTGTGCACTTGCAGAGGTCTAGGAGTTTGGTAAAACCTGACTCCACATCAATAACTGACACAAATAAGGGTCTAATGGTTATTGTTCTATATATTTTTAGTGATGATCGCATTGGGTGTACCTTATGGGGTTCAATGGCTGTTGATATGCTGATCGCTGCTGAAGGAGCTGGGGATGACAAATTGATTTGTCGACTTTGATGTGCAAAAGTCAGGGAGTACCAAGGTATTGTCCCATTTTGTACATGTCCTTATCGGTGAGTACCATAATGGTTTATAAATTATATCGATCATAATTTGATGTTTATTGTAATGATGTAGAAGTTAAAAGTCTTGCGAATGGCTACAGTTCATCGTTGATGCTAATAAACCCACCATATCCGGAAATAGCATCTATTGTTAAGAGGTTAGGACACCCAAAATTGCACAAATCATATATTTAAAATGGATTTATGTGTATTTTGAAAGCGTCGAAATCATTTATTTTTTATAGTGTCCCAAACGATGGTTTGATGTTGACACTTGCAACCAGAAAGACCTGACAATCAAATTGTTGTTAAAAAGGAGGAAGATGAGTATTGGAATGTGCTTCCATTGTTTACAATTGGCGAGTTTTATGATTTAGATAGCGTAAGATTAAATCAACTACATTTTCTCACACCTAATTTATTATTACCTTATTAGTATTTTTGTCCTGACAACTTTATGATTGCAGGTTGGTAAATACAAAAATCATGTGTGACAGTGATATAAGGTGGTACTACATCGCATGTCCTAAATTTCAACACAACAAGGTGAAGAAAGTCATTGATGGTCCGAATCAGAAGGTAATCCCAGAGCCAAGCATAAGTGATTTTCTTTGAAGTGCAATGCAAACATTATCAATGTGACTACGAGGTAGGAACTTCACCTCTGAAATTACATAGATGCAAAGGAATATTATATAGTCCTCATTTCTGTGACCAAACAATTAATGAAAATAACTTTGGTGATGCCTTTGACAGATTCAAGTTGCATCTCAAGGTGATGGATAGCACTCGGGATACCAATCTCATGATATTTGATTCATTATCAAGATAAATTGTTCAAAATGATGCATCCGAGTTGCTCGGTGGTGTCTAGGACGAGATACAAATAATATAAGTAGAAAAATGCGGGAAACGTGTTCAGCAAGTATTTTATGTTCCAACGTTTTAGAGATTAAACACATATCATTTTGAAATGGATGTTGAACACTTGAATTCATGTAGATTGATGTCCTGAAGATGTGCCTCAAGGATTACAAGTTTTGATTGGAAAAACTTACCAGTTTATAATAGCCGTGGAGAAAGCTAATCTTTGAGGAGGGCATGATACTTACAAAGTCATCAATGTTGTTTCTGCAAGTGGTATGGTTGATGAAACTGTAGCTCTTACCAATTCTGTTAGAGAAGTTGATCCTTCCGAACTCATTTCTGGTGAACTGGTAAGTGATAACCATCGCATTCAATAGACTACGTCCATTCCGTGAAAAGTACCTTCGCATTCTTTAGTTTTTGGTTTTAAAACATGCTTATTATTTGTGTAGAGTGTTTTGCTGTTGGAGGACAGCAATGACGTGATGCTAATAGAAGGGACTGTCAAAGAGTTTACCCCGACATCGAAGAAACGTGGCGATTTCAATAAAGACATGTCTTTGGAAGATTTGGAAAGTGCAAACACGAAAGCATGTCTCAAAGAGGTGAAGATTGAGAAGATTGGGAAGACGAGAGGAATTGCTTAGAATGCATTGTTTTGAAATTTTTAGTATTTGCTTCTGTTTTCCCATTAAATAACCAACTACCTCCCCGAGTTAGTTTGATGTTCTTTACATTTTATGAACTTTGATTTCAAGTGTTTTAATCAAATACGTCATTTCACATTTCGGTTTAATGGTATGCAACCACTCAAACTATAGCTATCCAATCTACCATGTATATTCACATCTTGATTCACATGATGGTATCTATTCGAGGTTAAATTAGAAAGTGTGTGGTTGATTAATGCAAATATTCTTACAAAGTTGAGAAAATAATAGATGCATGCAAAATTGGCAAGAAAACCAGTTTGACGTTTGCAACACGTCAAGATTCCTACGGCTAACACATTTGTCCCCCTGCCCTCCCTTTTTGGTCCCCTCCCTCTAAAAAACTCCTTTTCCACCCTAACTACCTCTGGTCCCCCTTTTGAAGTTCCTCCTTCGATGGTGGAGCTTAACCCCTCATCTTAATGGATACAAAACTCTTTTTTTGGAATGTTCGAGGCCTAAATGACCCGAACAAGCATCGGCCCTTTTGTGATTGGCTAAATAGCCATCACCCCTTTTTGGAACTATACTGGAATCTCATATTAAAGATTCCAACTTGAACCAACTCATGACTAAGCTCTGTCAAGGATGGAAGTTTACCTCTAATCATCTCTCGGATGATGATGGAAGAATCATTCTTCTCTGACGTGATCCTGCTGCTGTAAGAATCCTGCATCAAACAGCACAAAGCTTAACCTGTCAGATCAGTATCCCTAGCTCGCAGCAATTCACTTACACAGCAATTTATGCTTCAAACTTGAGCAGTGATCGGACTGACCTGTGGGTGGAGCTCCTCAATATTTACCAGTCATTGTCTCTTGGCTCCTCTCCTTGGATGATTGGGGGTGATTTCAACCAAATCCTGCATTATGCAGAACACTCAGACCCAGCAGTCAATGTTCTAACTACAAGAATGACAGAGTTCAGAGACTGTCTCACCCAGTTGGGAGTGTTTGACTTGCGATACCAAGGACCACTCCATACATGGACCAACAACCAGCCTGACTCTCCGGTGGCAAAGAAACTAGACCGCCTACTTGTCAATAGCCACCTAATCAACCTATTCCCTAACAGTATAGCTAACTTCCTTCCTCCCCTCACCTCTGATCACACCCCTTGCCTCATTGACCTGGCTCATACCCTTCCCAAAGCCGGCACCCGTCCCTTCAAATTCTTTAACTACCTCTCCAAACACCCTGACTTTCAACATGTGGTATCGGACGCTTGGATTCAGGCCGGAAGATTTGGTTCCACGCTCTCTCAACTATGCTGGAAACAAAAGACCATTAAGAGATCATTGAGAGAACTAAATAGAGAGAATTTTTCACAAATACAAAAGAGGGTTAGTGAGGCTAACTGTTTGTTACAAGCTGTGCAGGTACAAGCACTCAAATCACCGTCCCAACTACTCTTTGACCAGGAGAAGACGCTTCATGAGAGATGGAACTTCCTTAGACAAATTGAGGAAAGTTACTTCAAACAAAAATCAAGAATCAACTGGCTCAAAGAAGGTGATCAGAATACCACTTACTTTCAAAGAATAGCTCAAACCAGAGTCAGCTATAACTCCATCAGATCCTTCTTGTTACCAAATGGTCACATTCTAGAGGACCCTCTGGAAATGAGCCACCATGCCATCAACCACTTCAGATCGATAATGGGACCTTCGATTCTGCCTCCGCCAACGCTTGCCTCGCCTCCGAGTTGGTTTGTGTCCCTTATCCCATTCAGATGCTCTCCTGATCAACAACGAGCCATGGTCACTCTTCCTCAAGCAGAAGATATAAAAAGGGTTATGTTTCGATTGAATCCAAACAAGTCCTCAGGCCCGGACGGACTTACCTCAGGATTCTATAAGGCGGCTTGGGGAATTATTGGAGAGGAAGTCATTGCTTCAATAAAAAATTTCTTCATAACCGCCTTTATGCTGACTTCAACGAACTCCACCATCCTTACGCTTGTTCCCAAGTTCCCTGGAGCCTCCAAGATCTCAGACTATAGGCCCATCTCTTGCCTCAATACCCTCTACAAAGTGGTTTCCAAACTGTTGGTAGCTCGCTTGAAGCCTCTCCTCCCATCTCTAATCCTTCCCAACCAAACTGCCTTCATCAAAGACAGACTATTAGCAGAGAATACGGTACTGACAGGCGAAATAGTGAATGGCTATCACAAAGACAAAGGCCCCAAAAAGGTAACTATCAAAGTAGACATTGCCAAAGCTTTTGACAGTGTCTCATGGGATTTCCTATTCAACTGCCTAGAAAGTCTAGATATCCCTGACCTATACCTACACTGGCTAAAATCTTGTATCCGTACAACTAGCTTCACAGTGGGCTATAACGGTATGGTCCATGGCTACTTCAAAGGAAAACGAGGGCTGAGACAAGGGGACCCTCTCTCTCCCTACCTATTCGTTATAGCAATGAACTGTTTGTCTCTCATGCTAAACAAGGCAGCGAATGAAGGAAAATTCAGATACCATGACAAGTGTGAGGCATCGAGATTGACTCACCTTTGCTTTGCCGACGATCTTCTCATCTTTGTGGAGGGAACGCTGGAGTCGGTGCAGAACGTCCTACAAGTCCTCCAAGAGTTTCATCTTCGCTCAGGCCTAGCCGTGAGTGTGCAGAAGTCCAGTTTCTTTGCCTCCGGTCTAAGCCAACAGGAATGTGACATCATCAAGTTCTCAACGGGAATGCCCCAGGGATCATTGCCAGTCAGATACTTAGGAGTCCCACTATGCACAAAAAAGCTGAGCCTTGTCAACTGTGAAGTCTTGATACAACAGGTTAAGTCAAAAGTTACCTCCTGGAGTGCAAGATCTCTCTCTTTTGCAGGCCGCCTGGTTCTCATTAAGACGGTGATAGCGGGAATCTCGAACTTTTGGTGCTCCACATTCATACTCCCCAAAGCGAGCATCAAGAGAATAAATTCCATTTGCAGCGCTTATCTGTGGAAAGGAAACATTGAAGGCCATCATTCAGCAAGAGTCTCGTGGGCCACGGTCACACAATCCAAAGACTCAGGAGGGCTTGGGATAAGGGATCTTACCATCTGGAACAGAGCTTGCTGCCTCAAACTGATATGGCTGATATTCTTTCAGTCCGGCTCTGTATGGGTGGCGTGGTACAGAACAGAAGTCCTGCAAGGGAATGTGAGCAATTTTTGGACTGTGAAGCCGCATAGAGACAACTCTTGGCTCGCGAATAAGCTGATAAAGATAAGAGAAGACATCTACCCTTGGATCAAGCTGAAAATTGGCAATGGGCGAAGCAGTAGGTTCTGGTCTGATAACTGGTCCCCTTTTGGAAACATCCGGAACTATCTGAGAGAGAATGGAAGAACTAGATTTGGAATACCGGAGCAAGCGACGGTGGCAAGCTTATTCCGTGAAGATCGCTGGTTATTACCTAGAGCTAGATCAGAAAATCAGGTCAGTTTGCATATTCACCTCACAACTGTGGTCTTTAACGACCAAGAGGATGAATATGAATGGGACATGGATGGGAAGATCTCGACAAAGTACAAAACAGGAGAGGTGTATAAGAAGCTTATTGTAGAGGCTCCAGTCGTGCCTTGGGCAAAGGTGGTGTGGAACTTGGGAGGAATCCCGAAGCACAACTTCCTTGCATGGCTGTTTGTCCTCAATCATTGTCCTACTAGGGATCGAATCACGGGATGGGGGCTCCAAACGGATCTCAACTGCCTCCTGTGTAATGGAGGACAGGAGACGAGGGACCACCTGCTATTTGATTGTCGCTTTAGCTGGTCGGTGTGGAGTAGAACGGCGAGAAGATGCAATATCCAACCGAGACACGGATGGTTGAACTCGGTGGAACAAATGCAATCGTTGGCGGGAGGGAAACTGTGGAATAGGCTGACGGCTCTAGCGTGGCAGGCGACAATATACTGGCTTTGGCATGAAAGGAATGGGAGACTCCACAGGCAGATCTTCATGTCGGAGGACTCACTAATCAGTCAGATTGATAGGCAGGTAAAGAACAGGATCGCAAGTTACAGAGAAGGAAACACGGTCCTGGCTTCAAAATTGCTGCAACTCTGGTTGTCGACGGAGACAACGAGATGATCGACTTTGCTCCGATCGAATTGGTCGAATGGTGGAAGAGAACTCTTCAACTCCCTCTTGTATGTGGGCTTTACTTTGGGCTGGTTCAAGTAGTTAGTAACTAATTTTCGCATTGGGCTGTGAATTAACAAACTAAAGCTGTGGGCTTGTAATGTTTTTTTTTCTTTTCTGCATTAATTAAGAAAATCATTTGGTCAAAAAAAAAAAAAAGATTCCTACGGCTACAGTTTATATTTTTATGTATTGTGAAACACAAAGACTTAATTAGTGTGCGCAGCCTATACCTGCCAAAAGGTTTGATGTGCCTTTTGAAGAATTATTTTCAAAAAGAATGAAAACTTATTTTTACTTTGCAACTTCCTTTAATGTACAAGTATAAATACCATTAGAAATACGTTAAAGACAGAAATGAAACCGTTACCACGAAACCACTAAACCTAAAGAGAATCCATAGAGATATCAAAGAGGAGAGAGAGACTTTTCAATATATTCTCCGCCGAACACATCTCTCACCGGAAACAACCATAAAAAACAAAAAAAATGACAACCATATCTAGTCTGAACCCGCTGAATCCTCGACGGTCAGACGTGTCATGCTGAGTCATCTCCGTTAACAGAAAATCGGAGTTGACTAACGAAATGTTAGTCGATGCTCGTTTAAGCCAAGCAGTGTAAGTTGGGGTATGAAATGGATGATTTTTTTATAGTTGAGGTATGGATTAGTACAACTTTTTAGTTGAGGTAGGGATTGGTGTCATAATTTTAGTTGAGGTAGGAATCGGCTGTTTTTCCCTAAAATAACTCTGTTTTTGTTTGTATACCAGTGGAACGTCTATTAATTGTATAGCCTATAGTGAGTTGGCGTACAAATTGATGATATGTTGTTTAAGAATGGACACAACGAAGTTATTATGATCTTAAACGACTGGAAAATTTTCTACATTCCAAGTAAGTGTCCTTTACAATGTAATTGTCGTCAAATTGGATAACAATATTAGAAAGAAATATTTTACTAAATGTTTCAAACATTCTTTCATTATAAAAGAAACTGGAGAGTACAGGGTCACGTCCGCAGACGGGATATTTAGGTTTGAATTCAATGCAGATTTGGATGATGTTCATGTTTTCAAGAAGAAGTAGTAAGTCCTTTCAGTCATTTATATGATGATATTAGCTTGGGTTTTGTAATGTTTTCGAAAACACTAATGTACACACGTTTCATGTATCCGTTTCGAAGAGAAGGAAAACTCTTCAAGTGAGGAGAGCAGCTCTATTGAGTTATACTCTTCAGAAACCAGTTCTGATTCAAGCGAATCTGATGCAAGCGGCTCTGGTGCTGGAGGTTCTGGTGCGGCATGGAGTGTGGCAGGAAATCCTTCAGAAGTAATAATAATCGATTAATGAATGTGTAACGTGTACTCTGTTTTAGATTCTTTCATTCTGCTCTTGGCGATCTCTCTTCTCTTTGTAAATTTCATATCCCGTCTATATGTTTGGATTATTAACAAAATTTTAAGTTTAATTACTTATTTGTGTTTATGCATGCATATTTTGGTCCTTACGATTATAAATTGCTAAGAGACATTGGTGACACACGTGTGTTTTGAAACATCGATGTTAAATCTTCGTCCTTACAATTATAGATTGATAAGAGACATTTGTAAACTGCTTATTAAAAGACTCAACTTCAACCCAATACACATGTGCTGTTCTAAGTACATGATAGGCAAAACTTTCTGATTTGAAAGAAATTACTTTCAAATATTAAATAATCACAACCAACGATTTAAATTCAACAGTAAAAGTCATATGGAAAGTCAATATATTCCCTGATAAAACTGTCATGACAAGAGACAGCCAATTGGTGGTTATTGTTTGAACCGATGCTATTGAATAAGTAATTATTGCTTATTTCTAACTTATCACAGAAAATTTATAGTTGTAAACGTTACAATTTGATTATAAGTAACCAGAAGATTAGAAACTTTCTTCTTCCACACCCACATACAAAGCAAAAAAGCGACACTTCTTCCCTTCCCCAAAAACAATACACAAAACCAATAGCAACATTTGACAAGATTGACCATCTCTCATCGGAAAGGAGTAACTGGTGCATTGTGGTTAAGGTGGCTAAGACATGGGAGTCGTTTGAGGCTGACGGCTTTGAGTACTTCAATTTATACTCATAGTTGTAGAGATATACCCATGTTAGATAGATGTTTGTGGATCTTACAATATTTATATATATATATATATATATATATATATATATATATGGATATATTATGAACTCCTTATGTATTTAAAAGATAGGGGAAGAAAATTGTTGCGTCTACCAGTCATTTGAGAGAGAGGTTCCAAAGATCTCTATACCTTCATGACTAGAAGTTGATTCACAACTTTACTGTTGTGATTGACCATTCTGAGAGACGCTTGACGAATATCAGAGCGAAGATAGTCCTCATAGAGAGAACATAAGTCTCTCAAGGTGTAGATCCACAGGTTTATCAACCCATGGATTTGGTAACGTTTGAAGACGTGGTGGATGGTACGAGCGAAATTGGTGATTCCTATCCAGTGGGTCAATACACGTTACATTCATGATATTTTCATTATGGTAAACTCTTGATTTGATTTTATTAATCATCTCCATTTTGCAATATGCTTCAGACTTTATAGGCTGTATAAATTATGTGAACAGCCTCTACATCATGATCGATAATTCCATACTCCGGACGGATGGAAACACATCGCCAAAGTTAACATCTTATTTTGATTTTAGGCTTTATGACAACCAGTAAGTAGTATAATTTTGTTTCTTTTTAGTTAATACATTTAAAATCCTCGAATGTTTTAGTAATATTTATTTCATTTTTGCATGCAAAATTTAGGGAAAACCAGATCATGTGCCGTGTTAAAGGAGAGCTTGCTGATCTGTTTTACGAGAAATGGCTGAACGACGGACGAATGAATATGATTTGTGGTTTATACAATTGGAGAGTTAATTGTCAACATGGTAAGTATAAAAGCTATGTTTACTTAAGAAGAAAGGACTATATAATATTATGTAGATTGCCAAAAACAACACGCATAATCAAAAGAACTTGTGACAAATGTTAATTCTCTAATTTAGCTAGAATAAACGTTGAAAATACTGGAAAGATTTCATCGTTCGTCTTCAATCAACCTGGACAATGAATCGTGATGTGGACAGATTAACAGAAGAAACGTTAGTTTCTCTAACCCTTTTCCCACTTTGTTTTTATCTCTATGTAAAACAATGTTCATGTTCTTAGATAAAAACTTAGGAAAATTATATTTTTGTAATCAGGTGGAGGATTACCGCTGAAGCTATGAGTGTTTATGATGGTTCTTCACGTAGTGACAAACTATTCCAGTGAAAGAAGAGAAAGGGACCAAACCTCCAGTGGACATCTTGCTTCGTTGGAAAAAAATAATGTGAAAGTTATTTTTATTTTTATTGCAAACATCTATTATGTGTTTAATTTCTGAATCCACTACTATGCTGCAACCATCTTTGTTATGGATATTAATGTATTTATCTAAGTCTATAATATTTTAAGAAACATTTTGATATTGTTAGCCGTAGTTACTTCATATACACGATTATTGTAGTATTTAAAAAACCAAACAAAATATTGATTATGGTGATTAATTTAGTAAATATCGTAATGATTAAGATTACAAGAATCCATGATTGAGAGGAGCAAGTGGCTCAGTGTAGTCACCTCTGCATCCATCTCGTCTGGAGTTCGACTCCACCTTCCCCCATGTGGGGTTAATTTCCTCATTGGGAGGATTATGGGTTCGTGGGCCGGCCCGTTGTGGCCCACAAACGATGACAAAAAAAAAAAAAAAAAATCCATAATTTGTAGGGAAGAAAAATTAATATGATTGCCTTATCCAGTTTTCTTACAAACTACGGGATCGTCGTAAACAATATCAAAGTAAGTTTGCTTTTATGTTGACGAAATTTCCTCACAATGATTTATTTGAAAAATATCAAATTTCAAAATGTCCCCTTCAAATTAGGTAAATCATATATTTTCTTTGCTGAATTATAGAGATCTACTAAGTAGAAACTACCATTTGTGGAACACTAGCCATTACTGCGAAAATATGCTATATACCAAGCTTAAGCACCCAAGACTAAATAATCAAAACCATACGTGAAAATATTCCCAATCCTTTGCAAAAATGAGAAAGAGAAAGGATGATGAATTACCACCATTGAAAACTGATGTACTTGCATTTTACATAGTTTTAGTACATCTTTTATGCATCTTTTGCATAGTTTTAGCATCCATTAGCATCATATCTTGTTCCTTTTCTCTTCTTGTGCATTCATAGTAGTTTTAGGTTGCATTTGCATACATATGCATGTTTGGTCCTTGAAATAGGTCTTTTGGAGCACTTTGGAGCATATGGGACGTGAGGAGCAAGGAAGGACTTGGCGCATGGACGCAGCTCAACTGGACACGCAAAGGAAGAAGGAGGAAGTCATCTTGAAGACCAGCTCGACCACCTACTCGACCATCCGGTCGAGTTCCTCAACTCGACCGGCCAAGCTTCAACTCGATCGAGCTGAGAAGTCAACAGTCAAACCCGAAAAATGTTGCTTCCCCCTTGACTTCCCTTTGACCCTAAACCTAATCCTCTTGTATTTAAAGGCTCTAAGCCACGAAAAAACAAATCTTTAGCTTATTTTTGTTTTAGCTTTCTTTTAATTATTGTTTTTACTTTTTGCAACTCTAATCCATCTTTGTGTTCTTGAGCTCTTGCTTCTTGAACCTTAGATCTGGCTTATTTCTTTGTATTTGCACTTGCTTATTTCAATAAAAGTTGTTTATCTTTATCTCCTCTTTCATTTAATGTCTTTTCATTGCATTTGCTTGTGTTTTCATTCATGTGTAGTGAGTAGTTCCCATTAGGGTTTGAGATGGGCTAGATTAGAGGATCTTATGCTTAATCCTTCTTGCTTATGTTCTTAATCTAGAAATCTCTCTCTTTTGGACAATCCTTAAGGCTACATGACCACTACCCCTGGCTTGTATGTCATAGGCGATTTCCACATGGAAGTGATGGAAATCGCTTGGAAAAGGTCCACTAAGAGCTCCAATAACTCTTGCTCTCGAAATGGAGTTCATAGGGTTGGATGGATTAGTTTGAGCAATGATCCTATGCCTCCAAGGCTTGATTCTCACTGGCTAACCCCCTGTTTCTGAGATCATGTCTTGGTTGATAGCTTTCACCTTGGGAAAGGGTTAGCTAGGCATTGAGAAGCTCAATATCAAGAGATACCTTGATACAAGTTGTTTAAGAGCAAGATTGATTAAGTATAGTCTTCCCTGATTGTAAGACCCTGTCTTAGACCCTAATATTCGCATTAGCTTGTTAAAGTTCCTGCCTTTATCGCTTTTTACGCTAACTCGACCCTCAACTCGATCGAGCTTGGTTACTCTCGAGTCCTTGGTCGAGCTGCTTGCTTTACTGCTTTCTTTACTTTATTGCATGCATTTCATTTCATTTAGGTTGTTAGTGTTACATCCCCTTTTATCTTTGCTTGACTTTCTTGTGTTTGCATATTCTCATAGAGTAACAATTTCACCCTTTGGATTGATACCCTTATACTTCAATGACTATGATGGTTAAGGGAATTGATTGATTGTGATTGTGTTTGCACCATACCATCTCATCTTCATATACCACTGTTGCATTCCACCTCATTTACATTTCATATCATATCATCACATCACACACAAAATCCTATCATCAATTTGGCGCCGTTGCCATTTGGGTTGAATTTTGTTGCATTTGAGTTTCAATACACTTGGACGATCAAGCTATACCACCCCTGTTCTTTGTATTGCTGGGTTTTTGATTCTTTTTGCAGGTGTATGCGAACTCGATCGAGTCGGTCAACAGAAGACTTGGTCGAGCTAGATTTCACCACGGGTAGAAAGAGAAGTCAGAGAACTCAGAGGGTACAAGAGGAACCTGAGGTGCTTGTTACTGATACCATGGATGTACCAGAGGGGAATGGAAACCCTTTGGGCAATGGACTCGGTCGAGCTAGGCAAACTCGACCGATTGGTCTAGGAGATGCTCCAAACCGCCATCAACAGAGACAAGGGATTGTTCCACCACCAGTGCAGAACCACAACTTTGAGATCAAGCTGGGAATGATCAACCTTGTCAGAACAAGATGTTCCATGGATTGCCAAGTGAAGACCCCATTGACCACCTTGATGAGTTTGATAGGCTTATGTGATTTGACAAAGATCAATGGTGTCTCTGAAGATGCCATCAAGCTGAGACTCTTTCCTATGTCTCTAGCTGACAAAGCTCACCAATGGGAGAAGAGCTTGCCCCATGGCACAATCACCACTTGGGATGAATGCAAGAAGGCCTTTCTTGCTAAGTTTTTCTCCACCGGTCGCACAGCCAAGCTAAGGAGTGAGATATCGAGCTTCATACAGAGGAACAATGAGACTTTTGCTGAGGCTTGGGAGAGATTCAAGGGCTACTGATGATAGGATTTTACGTGGGTGTGATATGATATGAATGAAGGGTGATAAGATATGAGGTGGAATGCAAACAGGGGTGAATAAAGATGAAATGGTGCAATCACAATCAATCAATTCCTCTTAACCATCATAGTCAATGTAGTACAAGAGGTTATCAATCCAAAATGGGAAACTTGTCACTCTTTGAGAATATGAAACAACAGAAAGTCAAGCAAGCAGTAATAGATTTGAAGTAACACTAACAACCTAAATAAAATGAAATGCATGCAATAAAAGTAAACAAAGCAGTGAAGTAGCAGCTCGACCAAGACTCGAGTCGAGTCAGAACAAAGTACCAGCTCGATCGAGTTTAGGGACGAGTTGAGACAAACAAAGCTAAAGGTGACGACTTTAACAAGATAAAGAGAGAATTAGGGTTCAAGACAGGGTTTTGCAATCAAAGGAATCTACACTTAATCAATCTAGCTCTTAAAACTCCTTGTATCAAGGCTTCTCTTGATATTGGGCTTCTCAATGCCTAGCCAACCCTTTCCCAAGGTGAAGGCTATCAACCAAGGAATGATCTCAGAAACAGGGGGTTAGCCAGTGAGAATCAAACCTTGGAGGCTATAGGATCATTGCCCAAACTAATCCATCCAACCCCTTAGACCTCTATTTCTAGAGCAAGAGATATTGGAGCTCTTAGTGGATCTTTTCCAGCGAATGCCATCACTTTCGTGTGGGGAGTCGCCTAAGGACTTACAAGCCAGGGGTAGTGGTCATGTAGCCTTAAGATCTATCCAAAAGAGAGAGAATCTAGATTAAGACCATAAGCTAGAAGGATTAAGCATATGAAACCTCTAATCTATCCCATCTCAAACCCCAATGGGTAACTACTCACTACACATGAATGTAAACACAAGCAAATGCAATAAAAGAGACATCATAAGAAAGAGGAGATGAAATTAAACAACTTTTATTGAAATAAGCAAGTGCAAATACAAAGAGATTATCCAGGATCTAAGATTCAAGAAGCAAGAGCTTCAAGAACACAAAGATGGGATTAGATCTCTAAAAAGTAAAAGACAATAAATTAAAAGAAACTAAAACAAAATAATCTAAAGCTTGGTGGTTTTTTCGTGGCTTAGAGCCTTTAAATACAAGAGGATTAGGTTTAGGGTCAAAGGAAAGTCAAGGGGGAAGCAACATTTTTCGGGTTTGACTGTTGACTTCTCAGCTCGATCGAGTTGAAGCTTGGCCGGTCGAGTTGAGGAACTCGACCGGTTGGTCGAGTAGACGGTCGAGCTGGTCTTCAAGATGGCTTCTCCCTTCTTCCTTTGCGTATCCAGTTGAGCTGCGTCCATGTGCCAAGTCCCTCCATGCTCCTCATGTCCCATATGCTCCAGAATGCTCCAAAAGACCTATTTCAAAGGACCAAACATGCATATGTATGCAAATGCAACCTAAAACTAACATGAATGCATAAGAAGAGAAAAGGAACAAGATATGATGCAAATGGAAGCTAAAACTATGCAAAAGATGCATAAAAGATGTGCTAAAACTATGTAAAATGCAAGTACATCAGCTACACAAGTCAGTGCCCACATCATGGCTTCAACAATGAGTCTTTGCTCGCTACTCTTTATAGAGGTTGCGTGGCAAGGTATAGAGAGATGCTGGACACAGCCAGCAATGGGAACTTCCTTAATCAGGATGTTGAGGAACTCGACCGGTTGGTCGAGTAGATGATATACCCATATCTTTCATGTTTTTATCAAGGTTTTCACTATGTTTTTAATACAAATAATGTGGTTTTTAAGCCCAAGAGGTAGTTTTCTTGTATATTCTGGTTTTGAGCATCATTCAGGTCAAAATAGCAAAGAAGAGTCCAAAATGGAGCAAAAAGAGTCAAATCACCAAGTTCCCAAGTCTAGAGCACCAAAATCTACATTTCTCGCTAAAGACCAAACCGGAGCATCCGAAGTACGACCGCATATTCATGCCTTCCCGACGTCCAAAAGTCATGATTCTTATATGGAAAGATAGATATTTGAGTCATGACCCGCGGCGAAGTGGAAAGAGGTCATTTGGATCACTCGTTGGACCGGAACTTATTTTCTACCAAGACATGTCCGACGAGCGCCTAAGTAGAGCCCATGGAGACTTTGATGGATCAAGAGGCCCGAGATACCGCGCCCAAGGCCTTGGCTCATCTTGACACTAGCATAACTCAATCCAGAAGCTTCCATTGGCCTGAACGCGGCCCATTCAAGAACTTGGAGAGCAAGCTCAAGCGGCTAAAGAGAAATGGAAACTTTCCTCTTCTGCGCGCGCTCAACTTTGCCGACCTAGACCCGCTCTCTACCTATATATACTTGCTTTTAGCCTCTTGTAATAAGAATCACCAGCCGCATAACAAGAAACACTTATTCAATAAAGTTCGGAGCCACTTAGGTGGTCTCCTTCTTCTTTCTTTTCTTCTTTTGCATTTGTATATAGCTTGCATGTTTCAATTTATATAGTCTAGAAGTAGAGATTTCTCCCTAAGGGTGAGGCGTGGTTTAGTCTATATTCCGCCGCCTCTCTCTCTAAGGATTCATGAGACTTCATCTACTATCTAAGACTCATTGTTGAATTATGGATCCTTCCAATGAGGACGTGATATAATGGCCATCGAAAATCGATTGTTAAAAGGGGAAACCCTATGGTTCTCCATCTTTATTTATGCTTAATGCTTGTTGCTAGAGTAGCTAACTAGTGACTTGATTTTAGGTTGATATACTCTCCAAAAGCTTGTTATATCTCCGGACATAATATTTGATGGGCAAATCGTTTTAGGCTACGAAAGTAGACCTAAAGAGTTTTGTGAACAATCATTACTTGGATGTAATGCATGTCTCACTCTACAATGACCAACGAAAGCTGAGCCCATTGGTTTAAGAGACATAGGGGATTGGAACCACGAAAGTGGAATAATCCTTCCTTAGTGTTTTGAGTTCAAAAGAATCGGATTTTAACAAACTTTTCAATCGACTTGGCTCATGTTTTCAAAAGAGTTTTCAATAGTTCAATAATGTTGCTTGTATAGAATTGCATTGTTATTTCTTTTGCGTGTTCTAAACAAACACAAACCCTTGCATCTTTTGATTTAGCTTAGTCATTTAAACTCTATGATTATGTAATGTGTGAAATCCAATCCCTTGTGGTTCGACCCCTAAATACTACAATTATATGTTGTGCACTTGCAACACTAGTTGTCTTAGGGAATTATTACTTGTACTCATCCCATAGATGCCGCATCAGTAGACGGTCGAGCTGGTCTTCAAGATGGCTTCTCCCTTCTTCCTTTGCGTATCCAGTTGAGCTGCTTCCATGTGCCAAGTCCCTCCATGCTCCTATGCTCCAGAATGCTCCAAAAGACCTATTTCAAAGGACCAAACATGCATATGTATGCAAATGCAACCTAAAACTAACATGAATGCATAAGAAGAGAAAAGGAACAAGATATGATGCAAATGGAAGCTAAAACTATGCAAAAGATGCATAAAAGATGTGCTAAAACTATGTAAAATGCAAGTACATCAACACCCCCAAACTTGAACTTTGCTTGCCCTCAAGCAAACAAATAGAACAAGAAAGAGATGAGGTTTGAAAAAAGCTGATTCAACACTTAAAAACATGTCCTCAAAAGCGATTTGCTAAATGTCCAACTTAGAGATTCTAGAATGCAACAAGGTGAGAGATATTCATTAAGATTTAACCATGCTTATCAACATCAATCCCACTTCACAGTCACTCAAACAATGCATTCAAATCAGCAAATCCCTTTAACATTCATTAAGCAAAAACAGTGAACCAAAAACATGCAAGATCAATCAACTCATTTGGTTTCAAGGGTTTATGGGTTAAGAGACAAAGAGGGTCTCTTTTGTATGGTGGTTTAGTAACAGGGATCTCTCAAGAAAGTGGCTTTGCTTTGGCAGAAGGCTAAGTGTTAGAACCAAAGATGATGCAAGAACAGCAGCTCGAGCCGCCTAATCCTAACTCGATCGAGTTCAACACTTAGAGCTTTTTAGAACAAAATCCTAACTACCCTTTTTGGCATTTCGCCTTTGAAACTGAGGAGCTTTGCTCACTTTTCTTTTAAGAACTTCCTAGGGAGAGGCTTCTTGAGGTAACATCTAGCGGTTTGGGATTTTCTAAACACTTAGGGAACTTTTCTTTCCTTTTTGACACTTGAGGCTTTGCCTTCTTTTCATTCTACTTAGAACCCTTTTTACTTCCTTTTTTAACTTCCCAAACCTTTACTAGACCCTTTTTAACACTGCCAACTCCCTGGACTTAACTAAACTCTTTTTCCTTTGGGTTTTTCCCAACTTTTACCACTTTTCTGGTTTTTACACCCAACTCGATCGAGCTCGAGTTGGCACCCCCAAACTTAGCCTGAAAACAATCCCAAGAGAACTAGACAACTAGAACTACTGCCCCTGCCGGTTTAAACACAACACCTTATGCTAAGCAAAGCCAAGAAAGGTTCTCACATTCGCACAAGAGATAATATGGGGTTTGAAATGAAAAGGCTTAGGTTTAAGGTGTGGTAACTGTCTCAAAGATAGAGATCAGCTATCTGGACAAGCAAAAGGGATATGAAAATAGGTAAAGAATGTCCAGATATGTATGTGGTAGCCATGAGTTGAAATCAAATGCAAGCATTGGTAATTAAAGATCAAGTTATGGTTCAAATAGATAGGGAAATGCATCAAATCACAGCAATGGTTGAATGAGATGTGCATGCAGTGATATGATCAAGATAAACATGGTTCTTGCTGCTCAATCAATCTCACCCTAATGCACAAAAGAATCTAAAAACAGGGCACTCAAGAAATCGCAAAAGATGGACAAGTTTTCAAAGTCAAATCAACAATGCAAGTGAAAAATGCAATCCTAAACAAGTCTAACAAATATGAATGCAAAAAGATGAAAATATTTTTGGATTTTTTGAAAATTTTATGATTTTTTTGGTTTTTCTATGCAAAAGATAAATGAAAAACTAAGAACAAAGAAAACAAGGTTAAATCATCTCTTGAACCCTCCCCCAAACTTAAATCACACAGTCCCTTGTGTGAGAAAAATTTAGTGAAAGATTCAAGAGGGCAAAACCAAGAAAAAACAAGAACAAATGCAAGAAAATATGAAATGGTATATACAAGGGTTGGTGTTTGGATACCTCAGTGCCCCCCAAAGAACTGGGAGGCTAGGTCGTGGTCTGGAGATGGTAGACGGCCATCAGGAGCACTCCACTGCAACTGGGTTGCCTCACTCGATCGAGCTTGCGGCTCCTCCTCTCTTCTTCTTCATCTTCAAAGTGGTGTGGCTCCTTGGCCTTGGTGGAGCTGGCTAGCTCGAAGCTGTTGTAGGGGTCCATGGTCTGGGAGAAGTCCTGGTACTGTTGGATCGTACTCGAATCCGGATCTCAAACAGGGGCTCCTCCAGGTCAACTCGACCCTCAGCTCGATCGAGTTGAGTTTCCTCTGTTTGGACTCGATCGAGTCCGGTGGTCGAGCTGGAGCGTCTGGCCTTGGAAGTCTTCCTCCTTCTCTGCGTGTTGTCTTCTCCTTCCCTTGGCTCGAAAGAAGAGGCTCTGTGAGGCTCTTGGGCAGGGAGCCTCCTTGGAGTGGTGAGGAGTGATCTACTCCTAGGAATGTGGGGGCCTTGGACTTCTTCTTCTTGCTTGAAGAACCAGAAACCTTCTTCTCCAAACTTTTGATCTTGCTCACCATCTTGTCCATGGACTTTTGCATCTTCTCAATGGCTTTCCCTTGCCATTTGTTGAACTTTTGGAGAAGTCCAATCCTCTTGTGGCAGCCACAACAGAGGGGTTCATCCTTGGAGCCTCATACTCCTCAAAGTAATAGCACTCAGGCTCACCCAAATCCGCACTCTCCTGGCCTGATCTTCAGCTCGATCCTCAGCTCGATCCTCAGCTCGACTCAGCTCGATCGAGCTCAGGCTCCTCTTCTCGCAAATCATCCTCATGCCCAACTAATGTGTACACAGGGGGTCTGAAGTCAATGTTCTCACCCCTTACTACTGTGGTGAGCTCTGGGTTGGGCAGGAGAAGCTTGGAGGGTCCAGCCAATGGATGTGTGAACTTGAATTGGAACCTCCCATCCAACTCCTTGTGCTCAATGAGAAGGTTGGTCTTGCAAAACTTGATGTCCATCCAACCTGGTTCAGTGGCTCTCTATCAGTTGGGTTCACTCCAGCAGCACACAAGATAGGTGTGATGAGCCCTCCAACACTTAGCGCCTTCCTCTTGATGCTAGTGTTGTAGGCTGTGATCTTGTAGGTAGGAGCTGGTCAAGGAAAGGCATCAAGTTCCCTGTGTCAGATCTATCTCCCCTGATCCTCTTGCCATCGCTTGTGCGTGAGAGAATGGGCTTGATTCCCATGTCAAGAAACTTGAGTTCCCCTCGTTGATTGTCCCGGTGCCTTCCTTGCAAAGAAGGTGTTGGCAAGTGCCTTGTGCACATACTCAAGACTGGGCTCCTGATCTGAGCTGCCTTGGACCTTGAGGAAGAGTACACTCCATCAGCGATTGTAGCCCAAACCCTTTGGAGTTCCTTTTCCTTGAAGTTCCACTTGGTACCCTTCTCCATAGTTGAACCCAAACAAGATCTCCAAGCTGCCTAAAGGTCACCATTCTCTTCTCTCCCTTAGCCAAGAACGTGATCCATCCCAATCCTTGGTCCAAATCAGCTCTATCTTCTCTCATACATGTGGTACCTCATTGAAGCTAGAACTCGCAAGTGAGCTCCTTGTAGGATTCCATGTGATAAGAGAAGAACTTGGCCAAGTGCATGTTCTTGAGACCAACTCCACATCCTCAAAGATTCCAAGGGCCTTCATTGTGTCAACATGTGGGTACTTGGTCTCCACAAGTCCATGGAGAAGAGAGCATTGTAGTGCTCTTGGTACATGGGGAGTTCTTCTCCTCCTCTTGCCTCTCTTGTGGCTCAACTCCTCCATGGTTCATCTTGGTTACTTCTCAACCAATGATTCACCTCTTCTCCTTCCTCTTCACTCTCAGTCTCATCACTTCCTTCTTCACTTGGAGAGCCATTTCCCTCCTCTTGAACAAGGTTCACTCCAATCTCAAACTCCCCTTGCTCACTCTCACTACTAATGGGTCATTCCTCTTCTTGGTTCTCCTTTCTTCCCTCAATCTCTCACTCTCAGACCTCCTCAGAGTAGACATATCCCTCTGCATCAGATTCTTCCATCCTCTGATCATCCTCTTCAAATCGGCTTGCATCTTAAGCCTTCTTTCCCTTGCATTGCTTGATTCACCCTCAACCATTCTCCTCTGTGAAGCGCGCTTCCCTCACTGTTTGTCATCCTTGTTACTCTGTTTCTTCACTAAAGTACCTGAAATGCATCAAAGATTACAAAGAATTAGAGTTGTAATGATCGGTTTGGTCAACTCGACACTCAGCTCGATCGAGTCAAAAAACTCGAGTGACAAACTCGATCGAGCTGGGTGAAAACAGAGTATAACCAAACCTAATTCAAGTATTAAGAGCTGGAAAGGATGCTAATCAATCAAATTGAACCAAGAACAACTAGTAAATGGAACAATGAGCAATTCTAGTGAAGCACATAAGCATCCTTAACCAATACCAAACTCAAATTCAATTTTCAAGCACATGCAACAAGTTTAAAGGCAAAACAGAGGTGAGGTGACAAACTAACAAGACTATACAACAGAGGCGAAATATGAGGGCAATTACTCAAGAACAAGTCCACAAGGGACACATGCAATCAAAAATCAAAGAGAAACAAGCAATAATGGAAATCGAGATTCATAGGGTTCATACCTTGCTTGAATGATGAATTGAAGAACAGTAAACAAAACCCAAGCAAACAATGAAGAACAAGAGGAAATCGCAAAAACTTAAGAGAGAGGTTGAAATTCGATTTCTTGTGGTGAAGAGAGAGAGAGATGAGTTTCAGAAATTTTAAGTGTGGGGAGAGGAGAAGTGTTCGATCGAGTTATGGGGAAGAGGGAGTGTTTGAGATGTGTGGTTGAGATTAAAAGATGAAATAAAGAGGGGACAAGAAGCTAGGGTTTTCTGATCAATTAGGGTAGTGGGGGACCAAAATCAGCTTGTGGGACCCACTCCCTTGACCAAGAAAACGGTTATGAATTTGAAATTCAAAAACTTACCTCGGTCGAGTTGTGGAACTCGATCGAGTTGCCCTGTTTCTTCGAGCTCGATCGAGCTGGCTCCTTGACACCTAAACTTAACTTATTCAAAGGTTAAAACACAAAATAGATAGAAATTGCATAAATAGAATATGTACAAGGATAAACATGGGACTTCCTCCCAAGTGAGCTTGTTTAAGGTCCCATAGCTTGACCTTTACCTTCTTAGGCATTGGTTGAGCTAGTCCCACCATCAAGGGTGATAGTGAGGACTTGAGACAGAAGCTCCTTTAGCTTGGTTGGGTCCCTGGACTGTTCTGAAGTCACCAAGGCTTGGCTCTAGAGAATGGCCTTGATCTCCCCTTGTACCTTATCTTGTACTCAATCTTCCCATTTTCAAACTTGGTGGGGAACAAAGTCATTGTGAGCTGAGATGGCTTGATGAAGGGGCCTGAGCTGGTGGATCTTTTCTTTTATCCCCTGGTCTTGCCTTAGAGGCTACATCCTCCCCTTCTTTTAGAGCCCTTCCTAGTGGCTCATCAAACAAAGCTTGAAGGCTTTCTTCATCAAGCACACAAGGGGCTTGAACAAGTCGATCAGCTCGTGGTCTATCAGAACGTGGAGCTCAACTGGTGAAGTGTGAATGGCCACAGTAGGTGCATGCACTTCTGGTTGATCAATCTGGACTCCAGGAGCCTCAGCAGCAACAATCTCTTCATCATTCAGCAGTAAACAAAAATCTTCAATGACCCTTTCTTGATCCTCTTCTTCAACAAGTCCTTCTTGAGTGAAGATGACCTTGCACTGTTCCTTGGGGTTCTGAATAGCTTTACCAGGTAGTTGTCCTTGCTTTGTAGCAGCAGCAACAGAAGAAGCATGATTCTCCAGAGAGTAAACCCTTGTGTTGAGGTTCTCGATCTTAGAGTTTATTTCAGCTAGCTTCTTGCTTGTGTCCACTACCCCATCAGCTTGCCCTTGAAGTAGTTGCTTTAGCATTGCCTTGAGCTCATTCTCTTGTGAAGGTGCAGGCTGGGGCGGTTGGTGGGGGAAGCCTGGTGGGATATTCATTTGTTGTCCAGGGAAAGTGCCTTGTGGTCCTTGGTAATTGTTCTTTTGACCATACCCATGTTGTGGCACCTGACTCGATCGAGCTGCTTGTTGTTGAGGATATACTTGGTCCTGAGGGTTAGCAACATCAGTGTTGCGGTATGACATGGCAGGGTTGGACTTGTAGTTATAGTATCCTTTGTTGTAACCTCCTTGCCCATTGCTCATGTAGCACACCTCAGCAAATTGTGTATCCTCCCCTTCTTGGACTGGTTCCATCTCCTCAGCAGACACAAAGTTGACTTTCTTCATTGTGGACTGAGCTAGGATCAGCTTATCCAACTTCTCATTCAATGCCTTAACATCTTTTCTCAACTTTTCGTCTGACTCGATCGAGTGGTGGGTCGAGCTCCGGTTGGTGCGATCATACTCTTCTCCATAGCTTCCATTTGAGTTAGCTATGTTCTCCACAAGTTGCCAGCCATCATCTACATCCTGGTTGAGGAAGTTCCCATTGCTAGCTGTGTCTAGCATCTCCCTATACCTAGGCAAGCATCCTCTATAAAGAGTGGAGAGTAGTGATTCATTGTTGAATCCATGGTGTGGGCACTGACTTGTGTAGCCTTTGAACCTCTCCCAAGCCTCTGCGAATGTCTCATTGTTTCGCTGGATGAAGCTGGATATCTCTCCTCTAAGCTTGGCTGTGCGACCGGTGGAGAAAAACTTAGCAAGAAAGGCCTTCTTGCATTCATCCCAAGTGGTGATTGTGCCATGGGGCAAGCTCTTCTCCCATTGGTGAGCTTTGTCAGCTAGAGACATAGGAAAGAGTCTCAGCTTGATGGCATCTTCAGAGACACCATTGATCTTTGTCAAATCACAAAGCCTATCAAACTCATCAAGGTGGTCAATGGGGTCTTCACTTGGCAATCCATGGAACATCTTGTTCTGGACAAGGTTGATCATTCCCAGCTTGATCTCAAAGTTGTGGTTCTGCACTGGTGGTGGAACAATCCCTTGTCTCTGTTGGTGGCGGTTTGGAGCATCTCCTTGACCAATCGGTCGAGTTTGCCTAGCTCGACCGAGTCCATTCCCAAAGGGTTTCCATTCCCCTCTGGTACATCCATTGTATCAGCAACAAGCACCTCAGGTTCCTCTTGTACCCTCTGTGACCTCTGAACCCTCTTTCTACCCGTTGTAATGTCTAGCTCGACCAAGTCTCTGTAGACCGACTCGATCGAGTTCGCATACACCTGCAAAAAGAGACAAAAACCCAGCAGTACAATAGAACAGGGGTGGTATAGCTTGATCGTCCAAGTGTGTTTGAAACTCAAATGCAACAAAAATATTCCCAAATCGGCAACGGCGCCAAATTGATGATAGGATTTTGTGTGTGTGATATGATATGAATGAATGATGATGAGGTGGAATGCAAACAGTGGTGAATAAAGATGAAATGGTGCAATCACAATCAATCAATTCCTCTTAACCATCATAGTCATGTAGTATAAGAGGTTATCAATCCAAAATGGGAAACTTGTCACTCTTGAGAATATGAAACAACAGAAAGTCAAGCAAGCAGTAATAGATTTGAAGTAACACTAACAACCTAAATAAAATGAAATGCATGCAATAAAAGTAAACAAAGCAGTGAAGTAGCTCGACCAAGTCGAGTCGAGAGAACAAAGTACCAGCTCGATCGAGTTTAGGGACGAGTTGAGACAAACAAAGCTAAAGGTGACGACTTTAACAAGATAAGAGAGAATTAGGGTTCAAGACAGGGTTTTGCAATCAAAGGAATCTACACTTAATCAATCTAGCTCTTAAAACTCCTTGTATCAAGGCTTCTCTTGATATTGGGCTTCTCAATGCCTACCAACCCTTTCCCAAGGTGAAGGCTATCAACCAAGGAATGATCTCAGAAACAGGGGGTTAGCCAGTGAGAATCAAACCTTGGAGGCTATAGGATCATTGCCCAAACTAATCCATCCAACCCCTTAGACCTCTATTTCTAGAGCAAGAGATATTGGAGCTCTTAGTGGATCTTTTCCAGCGAATGCCATCACTTTCGTGTGGGGAGTCGCCTAAGGACTTACAAGCCAGGGGTAGTGGTCATGTAGCCTTAAGATCTATCCAAAAGAGAGAGAATCTAGATTAAGACCATAAGCTAGAAGGATTAAGCATATGAAACCTCTAATCTATCCCATCTCAAACCCTAATGGGTAACTACTCACTACACATGAATGTAAACACAAGCAAATGCAATAAAAGAGACATCATAAGAAAGAGGAGATGAAATTAAACAACTTTTATTGAAATAAGCAAGTGCAAATACAAAGAGATTATCCAGGATCTAGGATTCAAGAAGCAAGAGCTTCAAGAACACAAAGATGGGATTAGGTTCTAAAAAGTAAAAGACAATAAATTAAAAGAAACTAAAACAAAATAATCTAAAGCTTGGTGGTTTTTTCGTGGCTTAGAGCCTTTAAATACAAGAGGATTAGGTTTAGGGTCAAAGGAAAGTCAAGGGGGAAGCAACATTTTTCGGGTTTGACTGTTGACTTCTCAGCTCGATCGAGTTGAAGCTTGGCCGGTCGAGTTGAGGAACTCGACCGGTTGGTCGAGTAGACGGTCGAGCTGGTCTTCAAGATGGCTTCTCCCTTCTTCCTTTGCGTATCCAGTTGAGCTGCTTCCATGTGCCAAGTCCCTCCATGCTCCTCATGTCCCATATGCTCCAGAATGCTCCAAAAGACCTATTTCAAAGGACCAAACATGCATATGTATGCAAATGCAACCTAAAACTAACATGAATGCATAAGAAGAGAAAAGGAACAAGATATGATGCAAATGGAAGCTAAAACTATGCAAAAGATGCATAAAAGATGTGCTAAAACTATGTAAAATGCAAGTACATCAGCTACACAAGTCAGTGCCCACATCATGGATTCAACAATGAGTCTTTGCTCCTACTCTTTATAGAGGTTGCTTGGCAAGGTATAGAGAGATGTTGGACACAGCCAGCAATGGAAACTTCCTTAATCAGGATGTGATGATGGCTGGCAGCTTGTGGAAAACATTGCAAACTCCAATGGAAGCTATGGAGAAGAGTATGATCGCACCAACCGGAGCTCGACCCACCACTCGATCGAGTCCGATGAGAAATTGAGAAAAGAGGTCAAATCGTTGAATGAGAAGTTGGATAAGCTTATGTGTCTGCTGAAGAGATGGAACCAGTCCAAGAAGGGGAGGATACACAATTTGCTGAAGTATGTTACATGAGCAATGGGCAAGGAGGTTACAACAAAGGATATATAATTACAAGTCCAACCCAGCCATGTCATACAAAACACTGATGTTGCTAACCCTCAGGACCAGGTCTACCCTCAACAACAGCAAGCTCGATCGAGTCAAGCCCCACAACATGGGTATGGTCAAAAAAGAACTACCAAGGCCCTCAAGGGACTTTTCCTGGTCAGCAAATGCACATACCACCTGGCTTTCCCCACCAACCACCCCAGCCTGCACCTACACTGAGAATGAGCTCAAAGCTATGTTGAAACAATTGCTTCAAGGGCAAGCTGATGGTGTTGTGGACACAAGCAAGAAGTTAGCTGAAATCAACTCCAAGATTGAGAATCTCAACACAAGAGTGTACTCTCTGGAGAATCATGCTTCTTCTGTTGCTGCTGCTACAAAGCAAGGACAACTACCTGGTAAAGCCATTCAGAACCCCAAGGAACAGTGCAAGGTCATCTTCACTCAAGAAGGTCTTGATGAAGAAGAGGATCAAGAAGAGTCATGGAAGAGTTTTGTTTGCTGCTGAATGACGACGAGATTGTTGCTGCTGAGGCTCCTGGAGTCCAGATTGATCAACCTGAAGTGCAAGCACCTACTGTAGCCTTCACACTTCACCAGTTGAGCTCGCACAACAAGCTCGATCGGCAGCTCGATCGAGTCGAACTCTAGCTCGATCGAGTCAGACATCATCTGTCCTCAAGCCGATTTTGCTTGATCCTTACCAGCCAGTTGATCCATCCTTCCGCCTACTCAGTCAAGGCCATAAGGAAGTGATTCACAAGTTCAGAAGAGACCTCAGTGAGATTGGAATTGAGTTGCCTTCTATGGAAAGCATGAGTGAGGCATTTGAGCAAATGAAGATGATTCAAGATGTTATGGCTAACAAGGATAAAGTTTCTGAGCTTCTGGAGATGTCTGCTTACCTCACCCACTACTTTTTACCAAAGGTGAAGGATCAAGGGAAATTCACTCTCCCTTGCACACTTGGGCATATTGAGCTTGACAATGCCTTGGTGGATTCTGGTGCAAGCATCAACCTCATCTCACTCACAATGGCAGAAAAGCTTGGCATTGCTGGAGCATTGCAGCGCCCTACTACTTCAATCATGTTTGGAGATGCAACTTCAAAGTCTCCTCTTGGTGTGTTCAAGAACTATCACTTGAAAATAGGAGAATGCATCATCCAAACTGATCTTACTGTCATGGAGATGGAAGAAGAGAAGGATCTACCTTGCTATTGGGAACCCCTTTCCTTAGCACAGTTGGCGCTTCAATAGACTTTCACAAGCAAGAAGTGATTCTCACAAGGTGAATAGTTTGGTGTCTTATCGCTTGCAGCCTAGAGGATCAGAGTTTTGTGCCACAATTGAAAGCACTCCTCTCAGTTCCAAGAGTCATGAAGTTGCTAAGGTTGTGAAGGAAAAGGTTGAAAAAGAACCAAGAGTTGTGGAGATAAGGTTGAGAAGGACAAAGAGTTGATAAGGACCAAGGATTGAGAAACCACGCCTTGAGAGGCCTAGAGTTGAGAGACCACGATCTGAGAGGCCACGAGCTGATAGACTTGTTCAAGCGCCTTGTGTGCTTGATGAAGAGAGCCTTCAAGCTTTGTTTGATGAGCCACTAGGAAGGGCTCTAAAGAAGGGGAGGATGTAGCCTCTAAGGCAAGACCAGGTGATAAGAGAAAATATCCACCAGCTCAGGCCCCTTCAATCAAGCCATCTCAGCTCACTATGACCTTGTTCCCCACCAAGTATTGAAAATGGGAAGATTGAGTACAAGATAAGGTACAAGGGGAGATCAAGACCATTCTCTAGAGCCAAGGCCTTGGTCACTTCAGAGCAATCCAGGGACCCAACCAAGCTAAAGGAGCTCCTATCCCAAGTCCTCACTATCACCCTTGATGGTGGGACTAGCTCAACCAATGCCTAAAAGGTAAAGGTCAAGCTATGGGACCTTAAACAAGCTCACTTGGGAGGAAGTCCCATGTCTATCCTTGTACATATTCTTTATTTGCAATTTCTATCTAGTTTTTGTGTCTTTAACCTTTCAATAAGTTAAGTTTAGGTGACAAAGGAGCCAGCTCGACCGACAGCTCGATCGAGCTAGAAACAAGGGTAACTCGATCGAGTTCCACAACTCGACCAAGGTAAGTTTTTGAATTCAAATTTTTAACCGTTTCCTTGGTCAAGGGGGTGGGTCCCACAAGTAAATTTTGGTCCCCCACTTCCTAAATTGATCAGAAAAACCCTTAGCTTTTGTCCCCTCTTTACACCATCTTTTAATCCTCAACCACACATCTCAAACACTCCCTCTTCCCCATAACTCGATCGCACAACCTCTCTCTCTCCCACACTCAAAATTTTCTGAAAATCATTCATCTCTCTCATCTCTCTAAGCAAATCCGAAAATTTCTCATCCTCTCTTAAGTTTTTGCGATTTTCCATTGTCATTGTCTTGAATTGCTTTAGTTCTAGCTACTGTTCTAGTTCAATCATCATCCAAGCAAGGTATGAACCCCAAACCCCCAAATTCCTTGAGTTCGATTCCTTATTTTGCTTGTGTCCTCTTGAATTTTGATTGCATGTGTCCCTTGTGGACTTGTTCTTGAGTAATTGCTTTCATATCCATCTCCTGCTATACAATTTTGTGAATTTGCCTCACCTCACCTCTGTTTTGCCTTTAAAACTTGCTGCATGTGCCTCACCTCACCTCACCTATCTAGCTCTTAATACTTAATACCTATCTAGTTTGTCACTCGAGTTTTTTGACTCGATCGAGCTGAGTGTCGAGTTGACCGAATCGATCATTACAACTCTAATTCTTTGTAATCTCTGATGAATTTCAGGAACCTTAGTGGAAAAACAGCATAACAAAGATGACAAACAGTGAGGGAAGCCGTGCTTCACAGAGGAGAATGGTTGAGGGTGAATCAAGCAATGCGATTCATGAGAGGCAAAGGTTGCAAGCCGAGTTGGAAGGAATCAGTCAAATAATCGAAGTTTCTGAGGCTGAGGGGTATGATCAGGCAGCACTGGAATCTGAGAGTGAAAGATTGAGGGAAGAGAGGAGGACCAAGAAGAGGAATGACCCAATAAGTAGTGAGAGTGAAGAAGGAGAGTTTGAGATTGGGGTCCATCATGGAGAAGAGGACAGTGAAGGCTCTTCAAGTGAAGAAGGAGAAGAGTTTAATCAAGAGATTGATGGGGATAACCAAGATGAGCTGATGTACTTGCATTTTACATAGTTTTAGCACATCTTTTATGCATCTTTTGCATAGTTTTAGCATCCATTTGCATCATATCTTGTTCCTTTTCTCTTCTTATGCATTCATGTTAGTTTTAGGTTGCATTTGCATACATATGCATGTTTGGTCCTTTGAAATAGGTCTTTTGGAGCATTCTGGAGCATATGGGACAAGGAGCATGGAGGGACTTGGCACATGGAAGCAGCTCAACTGGATACGCAAAGGAAGAAGGGAGAAGCCATCTTGAAGACCAGCTCGACCGTCTACTCGACCAACCGGTCGAGTTCCTCAACTCGACCGGCCAAGCTTCAACTCGATCGAGCTGAGAAGTCAACAGTCAAACCCGAAAAATGTTGCTTCCCCCTTGACTTTCCTTTGACCCTAAACCTAATCCTCTTGTATTTAAAGGCTCTAAGCCACGAAAAAACCACCAAGCTTTAGATTATTTTGTTTTAGTTTCTTTTAATTTATTGTCTTTTACTTTTTAGAGCTCTAATCCCATCTTTGTGTTCTTGAAGCTCTTGCTTCTTGAATCCTAGATCCTGGATAATCTCTTTGTATTTGCACTTGCTTATTTCAATAAAAGTTGTTTAATTTCATCTCCTCTTTCTTATGATGTCTCTTTTATTGCATTTGCTTGTGTTTACATTCATGTGTAGTGAGTAGTTACCCATTAGGGTTTGAGATGGGATAGATTAGAGGTTTCATATGCTTAATCCTTCTAGCTTATGGTCTTAATCTAGATTCTCTCTCTTTTGGATAGATCTTAAGGCTACATGACCACTACCCCTGGCTTGTAAGTCCTTAGGCGATTCCCCACACGAAAGTGATGGCATTCGCTGGAAAAGATCCACTAAGAGCTCCAATATCTCTTGCTCTAGAAATAGAGGTCTAAGGGGTTGGATGGATTAGTTTGGGCAATGATCCTATAGCCTCCAAGGTTTGATTCTCACTGGCTAACCCCCTGTTTCTGAGATCATTCCTTGGTTGATAGCCTCACCTTGGGAAAGGGTTGGCTAGGCATTGAGAAGCCCAATATCAAGAGAAGCCTTGATACAAGGAGTTTTAAGAGCTAGATTGATTAAGTGTAGATTCCTTTGATTGCAAAACCCTGTCTTGAACCCTAATTCTCTCTTTATCTTGTTAAAGTCGTCACCTTTAGCTTTTTTGTCTCAACTCGACCCTAAACTCGATCGAGCTGGTACTCTGTTCCTACTCGACTCGAGTCCTTGGTCGAGCTGCTTTTCACTGCTTTGTTTACTTTTATTGCACTGCTTTTCATTTTTTTAGGTTGTTAGTGTTACTTCAAATCTACTGCTTGCTTGACTTTCTGGTTGTTTCATATTCTCATAGAGTGACAAGTTTCCCATTTTGGATTGATAACCCTTTGTACTACATCAACTATGATGGTTAAAGGGAATTGTTGACTGTGTTTGTGTTTGCATCTTACCACCTCATCATATACCACTGATTGCATTCCAACATCTCATTTCATATCTTTTCACATCCACACACAAATCCTATCATCAATTTGGCGCCGTTGCCGATTTGGGAATATTTTTGTTGCATTTGAGTTTCAAACACACTTGGACGATCAAGCTATACCACCCCTGTTCTATTGTACTGCTGGGTTTTTGTCTCTTTTTGCAGGTGTATGCGAACTCGATCGAGTCGGTCTACAGAGACTTGGTCGAGCTAGACTTACAACGGGTAGAAAGAGGGTTCAGAGGTCACAGAGGGTACAAGAGGAACCTGAGGTGCTTGTTGCTGATACAATGGATGTACCAGAGGGGAATGGAAACCCTTTGGGAATGGACTCGGTCGAGCTAGGCAAACTCGACCGATTGGTCAAGGAGATGCTCCAAACCGCCACCAACAGAGACAAGGGATTGTTCCACCACCAGTGCAGAACCACAACTTTGAGATCAAGCTGGGAATGATCAACCTTGTCCAGAACAAGATGTTCCATGGATTGCCAAGTGAAGACCCCATTGACCACCTTGATGAGTTTGATAGGCTTTGTGATTTGACAAAGATCAATGGTGTCTCTGAAGATGCCATCAAGCTGAGACTCTTTCCTATGTCTCTAGCTGACAAAGCTCACCAATGGGAGAAGAGCTTGCCCCATGGCACAATCACCACTTGGGATGAATGCAAGAAGGCCTTTCTTGCTAAGTTTTTCTCCACCGGTCGCACAGCCAAGCTTAGAGGAGAGATATCCAGCTTCATCCAGCGAAACAATGAGACATTCGCAGAGGCTTGGGAGAGGTTCAAAGGCTACACAAGTCAGTGCCCACACCATGGATTCAACAATGAATCACTACTCTCCACTCTTTATAGAGGATGCTTGCCTAGGTATAGGGAGATGCTAGACACAGCTAGCAATGGGAACTTCCTCAACCAGGATGTAGATGATGGCTGGCAACTTGTGGAGAACATAGCTAACTCAAATGGAAGCTATGGAGAAGAGTATGATCGCACCAACCGGAGCTCGACCCACCACTCGATCGAGTCAGACGAAAAGTTGAGAAAAGATGTTAAGGCATTGAATGAGAAGTTGGATAAGCTGATCCTAGCTCAGTCCACAATGAAGAAAGTCAACTTTGTGTCTGCTGAGGAGATGGAACCAGTCCAAGAAGGGGAGGATACACAATTTGCTGAGGTGTGCTACATGAGCAATGGGCAAGGAGGTTACAACAAAGGATACTATAACTACAAGTCCAACCCTGCCATGTCATACCGCAACACTGATGTTGCTAACCCTCAGGACCAAGTCTATCCTCAACAACAAGCAGCTCGATCGAGTCAAGGACAACAACATGGGTATGGTCAAAAGAACAATTACCAAGGACCACAAGGCACTTTCCCTGCACTTTCCCTTGCAGCGCCCTACTACTTCAATCATGTTTGGAGATGCAACTTCTAAGTCTCCTCTTGGAGTGTTCAAGAACTATCACTTGAAAATTGGAGAATGCATCATCCAAACTGATCTCACTGTGATGGAAATGGAAGAAGAGAAGGATTTGCCTTTGTTATTGGGAACCCCTTTCCTTAGTACAGTTGGCGCTTCAATAGACTTTCACAAGCAAGAAGTGATCCTTCACAAGGTGAATAGTTTGGTGTCATATCGCTTGCAGCCTAGAGGTTCAGACTTTTGTGCCACAATTGACAGTACCACTCTCAGTTCTAAGAGTCATGGAGCTACAAAGGTTGTGAAGGAAAGGGTTGACAAGGAACCAAGAGTTGGGAAGGATAAGGATGAGAGAGGACCAAGGATTGAGAAGCCACGTCTTGAGAGGGCTAGAGTTGAGAAACCACGATCTGATAGGCCAAGAGCTGAGAGACTTGTTCAAGCCCCTTGTGTGCTTGATGAAGAGAGCCTTCAAGCTTTGTTTGATGAGCCACTAGGAAGGGCTCTAAAAGAAGGGGAGGATGTAGCCTCTAAGGCAAGACCAGGGATAAAAGAAAAGGATCCACCAGCTCAGGCCCCTTCATCAAGCCATCTCAGCTCACAATGACTTTGTTCCCCACCAAGTTTGAAAATGGGAAGATTGAGTACAAGATAAGGTACAAGGGGAGATCAAGGCCATTCTCTAGAGCCAAGGCCTTGGTGACTTCAGAACAGTCCAGGGACCCAACCAAGCTAAAGGAGCTTCTGTCTCAAGTCCTCACTATCACCCTTGATGGTGGGACTAGCTCAACCAATGCCTAAGAAGGTAAAGGTCAAGCTATGGGACCTTAAACAAGCTCACTTGGGAGGAAGTCCCATGTTTATCCTTGTACATACTCTATTTATGCAATTTCTATCTATCTTTATGTTTTTAACCTTTGAATAAGTTAAGTTTAGGTGTCAAGGAGCCAGCTCGACCACGAGCTCGATCGAGCTAGAAACCAGGGCAACTCGATCGAGCTACACAACTCGACCGAGGTAAGTTTTTGAATTTCAAATTCATAACCGTTTTCTTGGTCAAGGGAGTGGGTCCCACAAGCTGATTTTGGTCCCCCACTACCCTAATTCGATCAGAGAATCCCTAGTTTCTTGTTCCCTCTTTATTCATCTTTTAATCTCAACCACACATCTCAAACAACTCTCTTCCCCATAACTCGATCGAACCACCTTCTCTCTCCCACACTCATATTTTTCTGAAATTTCGTCTCTCTCTCTCTCTCCCTTGACTTTCCTTTGACCCTAAACCTAAAACCTCTTGTATTTAAAGGCTCTAAGCCACGAAAAAACCACGAAGCTTTACATTATTATTGTTTTAGTTTCTTTTTAATTTGTCTTTTACTTTTTAGAGCTCTAATCCCATCTTTGTGTTCTTGAAGCTCTTGCTTCTTGAATCCTAGATCCTGGATAATCTCTTTTGTATTTGCACTTGCTTATTTCAATAAAAGTTGTTTAATTTCATCTCCTCTTTCTTATGATGTCTCTTTTATTACATTTGCTTGTGTTTACATTCATGTGTAGTGAGTAGTTACCCATTAGGGTTTGAGATGGGTTAGATTAAAGGTTTCATATGCTTAATCCTTCTAGCATGGTCTTAATCTAGATTCTCTCTCTTTTGGATAGATCTTAAGGCTACATGACCACTACCCCTGGCTTGTAAGTTCTTAGGCGATTCCCCACACGAAAGTGATGGCAATTGCTGGAAAAAATCCACTAAGAGCTCCAATATCTCTTGCTCTAGAAATAGAGGTCTAAGGGGTTGGATGGATTAGTTTGGGCAATGATCCTATAGCCTCCAAGGTTTGATTCTCACTGGCTAACCCCCTGTTTCTGAGATCATTCCTTGGTTGATAACCTTCACCTTGGGAAAGGGTTGGTTAGGCATTGAGAAGCCCAATATCAAGAGAAGCCTTGATACAAGGAGTTTTAAGAGCTGGATGGATTAAGTGTAGTTTCCTTTGATTGCAAAACCCTGTCTTGAACCCTAATCTCTCTCTAGTTTGTTAAAGTCGCTGCCTTTACTGCTTGTCTCGCTAACTCGACCCTCAACTCGATCGAGCTGGTACTCTGTTCCTACTCGACTCGAGTCCTTGGTCGAGCCGCTTATTTTCCTGCTTTATTTACTTTTATTGCATTGCATTTCATTTCTTAGGTTGTTAGTGTTACCCCAAATCTTTACTGCTTGCTTGACTTCCTGGTTGTTTCATATTCTCATAGAGTGACAAGTTTCCCATTTTGGATTGATAACCCTTTGTACTACATCAACTATCATGGTTAAAGGGAATTGTTGACTGTGTTTGTGTTTGCATTTTACCACCTCATCATATACCACTGATTGCATTCCACACATCTCATCTCATATCTTTTCACATCCACACACAAATCCTATCATCATGAGCCAATGGAGGAGGCTGAGCTACAAGAAGTGGAGGATGAGCTCCCCATGTTCCAAGAGCACTACAATGCTCTCCTCTCTATGGACTTTGTGGAGACCAAGTACCCACATGATGATACAATGAAGGCACTTGGGATCTTCAAGGATGTGGAGTTGGTACTCAAGAATATGCACTTGGCCAAGTTCTTCTCTCATCGCATGGAGTCATACAAGGAGCTCACTTGTGAGTTTTTGGCATCGATGAGGTACCATGAGTATGATGAGCTCGATCAAGCTGACTTGGACCAAGGCTGGGGATGGATAACATTCTTGGCAAAGGGAGAAAGGAAGATGGTCACCTTCAGGCAGTTAGAGATACTCTTTGGCTTCACATATGGGGAAGGAACCCATTGGGACATCAAGGAGAATGAGCTCCAAAGTGTGTGGGCTACAATCGATTAGGAAGGCTTTTCTTCTTCAAGGTCCAAGGCTGCTCAGATAAGGAGTCTTGTGCTGAGATATGTGCACAAAGCCCTTGCCAACAACCTTCTTTGCAAGGAAAACCACTGGGGCAATCAATGAAGGAGAAGTCAAGCTCCTTGATATGGGGATTAAACCCTTCATCTCACGCACAAGGGATGGGAAGAAGATCAGAGGAGATAGGGCACACGCACGAAACCTCATGCCACTCCTCGATCAGCTACTCTCCTATAGCACCACAGCCTATAGCACTCGCCAACAACAAGGAAGGAGGCTAAGTGTTGGAGGGATCATCACGCCTATCCTCTGTGCAGCTGGTGTGCAGCTAAACAAGAAGAAGGCAACTCCAGCTGGGTGGATGGACATCAAGTTTTGCAAGACCAACCTCCTCATTGATCAAAAGGAAGTGAATGGGAGGTACCAATTCAAGTTCACACACCCCACGGCTGGCCCCTCCAAGCTACTCCTGCCCAACCCTGAACTCACCACAGTCATCAGGGGTGAGAACATTGACTTTCGCCCCCCAGTTTACACTTTATTTGGGCATGAGGATGCTTTGCGAGAAGAGGAGCCTGAACTCGATCGAGTTGAGGATCGAGCTGAGACTCGAGCTGAGGATCGAGCTCAACTGGAAGAAGATTTGGGTGAGCCTGAATGCTACTATTTTGAGGAGTGTGAAGCTCCAAGGATGAATCTCTCTGTTGTGGCTGCTCACAAGAGGATTGGACTACTCCAAAAGTTCAACAAGTGGCAAGGGAAGGCCATTGAGAAGATGCAAAAGTCCATGGACAAGATGGTGAGCAAGATCACCAGTTTGGAGAAGAAGGTCTATGGTTCTTCATCCAAGAAGAAGGAGACAACACGCAGAGGAGGAGGAAGAGTTCCAAGGCCCGAGGCTCTAACTCGACCACCGGACTCGATCGAGTTCATACAGAGGAAACTCCACTCGATCGAGTCAAGGGTCGAGTTGACCATGAGGAGCCGGAGTACGAGAATCCTGGATTCGAGTATGATCCAACGCCCTACAAGGACTACCCACAGAGAAGATGGAACCCATATGGCCAGTTCAAGTGAGCCAAGCTCCACCAAGGCCAAGGGAGCCACACACACTTCGATGATGAAGAAGAAGAGGAGGAGCCGCAAGCTCGATCGAGGTGCATGGACGTAGTCGAATGGAGTGCTCCTGATAGCCGCTTGCCCTCTCCTGACCACGACCTTGCTTCCCAGTTCTTTGGGGGGCACTGAGGTACCAAACAACAACCCATTGTACATACCGTTTCATTATCTTGCATATTTCTTTGATTTTCCTTGGTTTTTGACTCTTGAATCCTTCATTAAATTTCACTCACACAAGGGACTGTGTGATTTAAGTTTGGGGGAGGGTTCAAGAGATGATTGATGATAGGATTTGTGTGTGGATGTGAAAGATATGAAATGAATGTGGTGGAATGCAACAGTGGTATATGATGAGGTGGTAAGATGCAAACACAAACACAGTCAACAATTCCCTTTAACCATCATAGTCATTATAGTAAAGGGTTATCAATCCAAAATGGGAAACTTGTCACTCTATGAGAATATGAAACAACCAGGAAGTCAAGCAAGCAGTAAGATTTGGTAACACTAACAACCTAATGAAAAAATGAATGCAATAAAAGTAAATAAAGCAGTAGAACAGCTCGACCAAGACTCGAGTCGAGTGGAACAGAGTACCAGCTCGATCGAGTTTAGGGTCGAGTTGAAGAAAAAGCTAAAGGCACGACTTTAACAAGCTAAAGAGAGAATTAGGGTTCAAGACAGGGTTTTGCAATCAGGAATCTACACTTAATCAATCTAGCTCTTAAAACTCCTTGTATCAAGGCTTCTCTTGATATTGGGCTTCTCAATGCCTAGCCAACCCTTTCCCAAGGTGAAGGCTATCAACCAAGGAATGATCTCAGAAACAGGGGGTTAGCCAGTGAGAATCAAACCTTGGAGGCCATAGGATCATTGCCCAAACTAATCCATCCAACCCCTTAGACCTCATTTCTAGAGCAAGAGATATTGGAGCTCTTAGTGGATCTTTTCCAGCGAATGCCATCACTTCCGTGTGGAGAATCGCCTAAGGACTTACAAGCCAGGGGTAGTGGTCATGTAGCCTTAAGATCTATCCAAAAGAGAGAGAATCTAGATTAAGACCATAAGCTAGAAGGATTAAGCATATGAAACCTCTAATCTATCCCATCTCAAACCCTAATGGGTAACTACTCACTACACATGAATGTAAACACAAGCAAATGCAATAAAAGAGACATCATAAGAAAGAGGAGATGAAATTAAACAACTTTTATTGAAATAAGCAAGTGCAAATACAAAGAGATTATCCAGGATCTAGGATTCAAGAAGCAAGAGCTTCAAGAACACAAAGATGGGATTAGAGCTCTAAAAAGTAAAAGACAATAAATTAAAAGAAACTAAAACAAAAGTAATCTAAAGCTTGGTGGTTTTTTCGTGGCTTAGAGCCTTTAAATACAAAGAGGATTAGGTTTAGGGTCAAAGGAAGTCAAGGGGGAAGCAACATTTTTCGGGTTTGACTTTGACTTCTCAGCTCGATCGAGTTGAAGCTTGGCCGGTCGAGTTGAGGAACTCGACCGGTTGGTCGAGTAGGGTCGAGCTGGTCTTCAAGATGGCTTCTCCCTTCTTCCTTTGCGTATCCAGTTGAGCTGCGTCCATGCCAAGTCCCTCCATGCTCCTCATGTCCCATATGCTCCAGAATGCTCCAAAAGACCTATTTCAAAGGACCAAACATGCATATGTATGCAAATGCAACCTAAAACTAACATGAATGCATAAGAAGAGAAAAGGAACAAGATATGATGCAAATGGATGCTAAAACTATGCAAAAGATGCATAAAAGATGTGCTAAAACTATGTAAAATGCAAGTACATCAACACCCCCAAACTTGAACTTTGCTTGCCCTCAAGCAAACAAATAGAACAAGAAAGAGATGAGGTTTGAAAACAAGCTGATTCAACACTTAAAAACATGTCCTCAAAAGCGATTTGCTAAATGTCCAACTTAGAGATTCTAGAATGCAACAAGGTGAGAGATATTCATTAAGATTTAACCATGCTTATCAACATCAATCCCACTTCACAGTCACTCAAACAATGCATTCAAATCAGCAAATCCCTTTAACATTCATTAAGCAAAAACAGTGAACCAAAAACATGCAAGATCAATCAACTCATTTGGTTTCAAGGGTTTATGGGTTAAGAGACAAAGAGGGTCTCTTTTGTATGGTGGTTTAGTAACAGGGATCTCTCAAGAAAGTGGCTTTGCTTTGGCAGAACCTCCTTGGGGTGGTGAGGAGTGATCTACTCCTAGGGAAAGTAGGAGCCATGGGTGTCTTCTTCTTCTTGCTTGAAGAACCAGAGACCTTCTTCTCCAAACTTTTGATCTTGCTCACCATCTTGTCCATGGACTTTTGCATCTTGTCCATGGCTTTCCCTTGCCACTTGTTGAACCTTTGGAGAAGTCCAATCCTCTTGTGGGCAGCCACAACAGAGGGGTTCATCCTTGGAGCCTCATACTCCTCAAAATAGTAGCACTCAGGCTCACCCAAATCCGCATTCACTTGAGCGTGGTCCTCAACTCGATCCTCAGCTCGATCGAGTTCAGGCTCCTCTTCTCGCAAATCCTCTTCATGCCCAACTAATGTGTGAAGTGGGGCTGAAGTCAATGTTGTTACCTCCTACAACCGTGGTGAGCTCAGGGTTGGGCAAAGAAGCTTGGAAGGGCCAGCCAATGGATGTGTGAATTTGAATTGGAACCTCCCATCCAACTCCTTGTGTTCAATGAGGAGGTTGGTCTTGCAAAACTTAATTCCATCCATCCTGCTGGAGTAGACCTTCTCTTGTCCAAATGGACTCCAGCTGCACAGAGGATAGGCGTGATGACTCCTCCAACACTAAGCTTCCTACCCGTTTGAAACCGAGTGCTATAGGCGGTTGTCTTGTAGGAGAGTAGCTGGTCAATGAGAGGCATGAGATTCCCTGCATGGATTCTATCTCCTCTGATTTCTTCCCATCCTTGGTGCGTGAGATGATGGGCTTGATTCCCATGTCAAGGAGCTTCACCTCTCCTTCATTTATTGTCCCAGTGGCTTTCCTTGCAAAGAAGGTGTTGGCGAGAGCCTTGTGGACATATCTCAGCACAGGGCTCCTGATTTGAGCAGCCTTAGACCTTGAAGGAAGAGTATCCTCTCAGCGATTGTAGCCCATACCTTTGTAGCTCATCCTCCTTGATATCCCAATGGGTTCCCTCCCCATAAGTGAAACCAAAAGGATCTCCAACTGCCTGAAGGTAATCACCTTCCTTTCTCCCCTTGCCAAGAACGTGATCCATCCCCAACCTTGATCCAACTCAGCTCGATCGAGCTGCCTATACTTGTGGAACCTCATTGATGCCAAAAACTCACAAGTGAGCTCCTTGTATGACTCCAAGCGGTAAGAGAAGAACTTGGCCAAGCGCATGTTCTTGAGGACCAGCTCCACATCCTCAAAGATCCCAAGAGCCCTCATTGTGTCATCATGTGGGTACTTGGTCTCCACAAAGTCCATGGAGAAGAGAGCATCATAATGCTCTTGGTACATGGGGAGCTCATCCTCTTCTTCCTCTGACTCCTCCTCTTCCATGGGCACATTCTCATTGCTCTCATGCTCACTCTCCTCAACTTCTTGATTGACCTCTTCTCCTTCCTCTTGTGAAGAGTCATCACTCTCTCCCTTCCAATGTTCACACCAATCTCGAATTCTCCCAATTCACTCTCACTGCTGATTGGGTCATTCCTCCTCTTGGTCCTTCTCTCTTCCCTCAACCTCTCAATCTCTTCCTCATCTTCCTTGGTTAGTGTCTTAAGCATTCTCCTTGCTCCTCTGTTATCTCCTCTTTGTGAACGCTGCCTTGCTTCCTTCACCTCTCAACATCTTAAACGGTTGCTTCTTGAAGTTGGGTTCCTGAAATGCATCAAAAACTCAAGGAATTAGAGTTGTAATCGTTGGTTCGGCCAACTCGACACTCAGCTCGATCGAGTCAAAAAACTCGAGTGACAAACTCGATTGAGCTAAGTGAAAACAGAGTAGAACCGAACCTATCAAACAATAAGAGCTGGAAAGGATGCTAAAATCAAATCGAACCAACATCAAGAACTTGGAACAATAAGCAATTCTAGTGAAAACCAAAGCATCTTAACCAATACCAAACTCAAATTCAAGGATTCAAGCACATGCAACAAGTTTAATGTAAAACAGAGGTGAGGTGAGGCAAATTCACAAGACTATATACATAGGAGCAAAAAGAAAGCAATTACTCAAGAACAAGTCACAAGGGACACATGCAATCAAAAATCAAAGAGGAAACAAGCAATGGAGAGGAATCGAGATGAAGGATTCAAGGGTTTAGGGTTCATACCTTGCTTGAATGATGATTGAAGAATCACAGTAGCTAGAACTAAAGCAAAACAAGATGAGAACAAAGAAAATCGCAAAAACTTAAGAGAGAAAGAGGGAAATTCGATTTTCTTGTGGTGAAGAGAGAGATGGAGATTTTCAGAAAATTTAGATGTGGGAGAGAGGGAGAAGTGGGTTCGATCGAGTTATGGGGAAGAGGGAGTGTTTGAGATGTGTGGTTGAGATTAAAAGGTGAATTAAAGAGGGGACAAAAGGCAAGGGTTTTCTGATCGATTTCAGGAAGTGGGGGACCAAAATTAACTTGTGGGACCCACTCCCTTGACCAAGGAAACGGTTGAAAAATTTGAATTTTGAAAACTTACCTTGGTCGAGTTGCCCTTGTTCTAGCTCGATCGAGCTGTCGGTCGAGCTGGCTTCTTTGTCACCTAAACTTAACTTATTGAAAGGTTAAAGACACAAAATAGATAGAAATTGCAATAATAGAATATGTACAAGGATAAACATGGGACTTCCTCCCAAGTGAGCTTGTTTAAGGTCCCATAGCTTGACCTTTACCTCTTAGGCATTGGTTGAGCTAGTCCCACCATCAAGGGTGATAGTGAGGACTTGAGACAGAAGCTCCTTTAGCTTGGTTGGGTCCCTGGACTGTTCTGAAGTCACCAAGGCCTTGGCTCTAGAGAATGGCCTTGATCTCCCCTTGTACCTTATCTTGTACTCAATCTTCCCATTTTCAAACTTGGTGGGGAACAAGGTCATTGTGAGCTGAGATGGCTTGAATGAAGGGGCCTGAGCTGGTGGATCCTTTCTTTTATCACCTGGTCTTGCCTTAGAGGCTACATCCTCCCCTTCTTTTAGAGCCCTTCCTAGTGGCTCATCAAACAAAGCTTGAAGGCTCTCTTCATCAAGCACACAAGGGGCTTGAACAAGTCTATCAGCTCGTGGCCTATCAGACGTGGTTTCTCAACTCTAGCCCTCTCAAGACGTGGCTTCTCAATCCTTGGTCCTCTTCCACGACTCTCTCTTGATCCTCTTCTTCATCAAGACCTCTTGAGTGAAGATGACCTTGCACTGTTCCTTGGGGTTCTGAATAGCTTTACCAGGTAGTTGTCCTTGCTTTGTAGCAGCAGCAACAGAAGAAGCATGATTCTCCAGAGAGTAAACTCTTGTGTTGAGATTTTCGATCTTGGAGTTGATTTCAGCTAGCTTCTTGCTTGTGTCCACTACACCATCAGCTTGCCCTTGAAGAATTGTTTCAGCATTGCCTTGAGCTCATTCTCTTGCGTAGGTGCAGGCTGGGGTGGTTGGTGGGGAAAGCCAGGTGGTATGTGCATTTGTGACCAGGAAAAGTCCCTTGGGGTCCTTGGTAATTGTTCTTTTGACCATACCCATGTTGTGGGGCTTGACTCGATCGAGCTTGCTGTTGTTGAGGATAGACCTGGTCCTGAGGGTTAGCAACATCAGTGTTGCGGTATGACATGGCTGGGTTGGACTTGTAATTATAGTATCCTTTGTTGTAACCTCCTTGCCCATTGCTCATGTAGACACAAAGTTGACTTTCTTCATTGTGGACTGAGCTAAGATCAGCTTATCCAACTTCTCATTCAATGCCTTAACATCTTTTCTCAATTTCTCATCTGACTCGATCGAGTGGTGGGTCGAGCTCCGGTTGGTGCGATCATACTCTTCTCCATAGCTTCCATTGAGTTTGCTATGTTCTCCACAAGCTGCCAGCCATCATCTACATCCTGGTTGAGGAAGTTCCCATTGCTAGCTGTGTCTAGCATCTCTCCTATACCTAGGCAAGCATCCTCTATAAAGAGTGGAGAGTAGGATTCATTGTTGAATCCATGGTGTGGGCACTGACTTGTGTAGCCTTTGAACCTCTCCCAAGCCTCAGAATGTCTCATTGTTTCTGGATGAAGCTGGATATCTCACTCCTAAGCTTGGCTGTGCGACCGGTGGAGAAAAACTTAGCAAGAAAGGCCTTCTTGCATTCATCCCAAGTGGTGATTGTGCCATGGGGCAAGCTCTTCTCCCATTGGTGAGCTTTGTCAGCTAGAGACATAGGAAAGAGTCTCAGCTTGATGGCATCTTCAGAGACACCATTGATCTTTGTCAAATCACAAAGCCTATCAAACTCATCAAGGTGGTCAATGGGGTCTTCACTTGGCAATCCATGGAACATCTTGTTCTGACAAGGTTGATCATTCCCAGCTTGATCTCAAAGTTGTGGTTCTGCACTGGTGGTGGAACAATCCCTTGTCTCTGTTGGTGGCGGTTTGGAGCATCTCCTTGACCAATCGGTCGAGTTTGCCTAGCTCGACCGAGTCCATTGCCCAAAGGGTTTCCATTCCCCTCTGGTACATCCATTGTATCAGTAACAAGCACCTCAGGTTCCTCTTGTACCCTCTGTGTCCTCTGAACTCTCTTTCTACCTCTTTCTACCCGTCTGTAAGACCAGCTCGACCAAGTCTTCTGTAGACCGACTCGATCGAGTTCGCATACACCTGCAAAAAGAGACAAAAACCCAGCAATACAAAGAACAGGGGTGGTATAGCTTGATCGTCCAAGTGTATTTGAAACTCAAATGCAACAAAAAACCCAAATGGCAACGGCGCCAAATTGATGATAGGATTTGTGTGTGGGGTGTGAAAGATATGAATGAAATGTGGTGGAATGCTGATATACCTCTATTTTACACTTTTTATGCTATTTTACTATGGTTTTCTAATGGTTTTCTAGTGGATTCTTGTGTTAAAAGGTAGTTTTTATGGATTTATAGTGCAAAGAGTCATTTTAGGTAAAAAGGTGCATTATGGAGCAAAACAGAGATTTGGACTTCAAACCAGTTCAATGCCACTGCATCAACTTTGGATGGAGCTAGAAAAAGATCTACTCAATGGATTTCATCAAGACCAGTTCCCTGCGTGCTCTGATTGAGTTAACTTTCCAACGCAACTGGAACGGCCTCATTTGGATGAGTAGAAAAGGAGTTATAGCCAAAAGAGTGAAGACTGTCCAGCGCTCTATCGAGAATCAGCGCCGAACCGCGCAGCGGCTGGCCGAGGAACGAATGTTCCGCGCTCGGCCAAAACCATCCGTCCGTCTGAAGTCTCGGCCAAAGTTCAACCATCCGGCCGATCACGATCACGACCCGGGAAGCAAGCCCGCGGTCGGCCACGCCACAACCGCCACGCCACGCCGCGCACGACCATGCCGCGCGAGCCGGGAAAAGCCTCGCGGCCGCGCAACCTATCTCGCGTACCACGGCCGATGTCCGTCCGAGCCGGGAAAACGTCCCACGTCCGGCCGAGAAACCATCGGCCAAATCCTCACCCGTCCGACCACACCGGCCGACCGTGAAATCATCCGGCCACGACCGTTCCGACCGACCACGACCCGACTGTCCGGCCGACCGTCCCGACCGACCGTCCGAACGCCGCGGTCGACCCGAAGCCGTTTTTGAAGCCCAATCCGCACAATTCAAGCCCAAAGCCGGCGCCGACCTAGCAAGATTAGGTCTAGCCGCTTTTTCATACTTAGTGCATTATAAATACTTCTTTTTAGCCTTGTAACTCAAGAAGGAGAGAGACCACAATATATTTACATCTTTAATAAAGTTTTGCTTGCTTTTACTTTGTTCTTGCTTGTTACTCTTTCTAGAGAGGATTCGAATCTCTGTTCTTATGAATATGAATTCGTGTTCCTTCTCTATGTCTGAGTAGTTTACTTGTTAAGTGATAGGAAGTCAAAGGATAGCATTCATGTATGCTTGATGATTGATCACAATTAGGGTTTTACTTATAATCTCCATCTTTGCTTATACTTAATGCTTGTTGTTAATCTGGCCAATTAGCATATGCCTTTAGGTTGATTTGAGCCTCGACAGTGCTGTATCATTCGCCTGAACTAGTATTTGGTGGGCAATCTCTTTTAGACTGCGAAAGTTGATCTACTTGTAGGTTGTGAACAATTGAACTTAATCGAACTAATGCTTGATTTAATCACCTAGGGACATACCAAAAGTTTAGCGACTAGGTAGATTAACAAAGGGGTCGGAGCCTCGACAGTGGAATGATCATACCATAGTGTTTCAAGTTCTAGATTGGCACCTAATTGCAGTAACCCTAATTGATTGATTTCTTGCTTCATGAATTGCTTATCTTAAGACTATCCTATTGCTTAGCCCTTTCTCTCCTATTGATTTCATTCTTATTACTTGCATGCTTTACTTTCTCTGCACTCAACCAACTTATACTTTTGCCCTAGCTTGATCTCAACTTCATAGCTTGTAGTGTGCAATCTGGTCCTCGTGTTCGATACCCGTTTACTACTTCTGACCTGTGCACTTGCAGAATCAGGGATAGGAAAGGGGAAGACCTGATCCCGCGATCAAGTTTTTGGCGCCGTTGCCGGGGACCAATTCGCACCTACAAGCTCTTGCAAGAGAGCTAGTCTAGGGTTTCATCTTTTCCTTTTTAGTTTTTGTTATTTTTCCTTTTTCTTTGATTTGTTTTTCCTTTTTGTTTTTGAGCTTTTCAGGTTTTCCTAGTTAGATATGGAGAAGGAGCCACAAGCCTTCCCTATAAAGGCGATGCCACTTCGCCACATACCACCTCAAAGACCTCTTGACGAACAAGAGATGTCAAGCCCTCAAGCACCACCACCTTCATGGGATAGTCCTCCAAGAACTATCCCTTGAAGACAAGAAGAAACTTCTTCCCTACCTTGAAGCAGCCGACCTGGAGACGTCTAGCCAAGCCGCATCACAAGAAGAACACCTTCTAGCCACACCAGAAGAGGAGATTAACCCTGAGCTGATCGAGTTCGTGAAGAGAGATCAATTCCATGATCTGTTTTCAGAGTATGCGCTGGAGCACATAGATCACTTTGACAATCTTTGTGATTCCTATGGAGTTTTTGACTTTGAGAAGAAGATGATGCTATTCAGCACATCACTAGCTGGACCAGCACTAGATTGGGCGCAGCATGAGCCACTCTCTACAATCGAGTCATGGATCGATTTTAGAGAAGCTTTCTTGAAGAGATTTGCAAGGACCACCTTTCAAATCCAAGTACCACCACTACTCTCATCAGCTGGAGAGAGAGCGTGATGAAGAAGAATGGGGAGGCATACCACCCCATCCTGAAGTCTGAATGAAGAGCTAATCAAGCATGTGGAGAGAATCCTTTCTACAATTCTACTTCAGAGTGTGCAAAGGAGCATCTATGCAACTTTGAGCAGCTTTGCCACGACTATGGACTTGGAGACAACCCCAAGAAGATACAACTTTTCCAACTATCTCTAGCTGGACAAGCCAAAGACTGGGCTAAGTTCAATGCCCAACATGCTTTCAAGACTTGGAATGGATACAAAGGAGCTTTCCTCTACAGATTTGCAAAGGTCCATTTATGTTCCACCACCACGCCCAAGCTATTCACAACACCATCCATCATCACCAGACATAAACAAGACACCACTTTTCCCAAGGGAGAGCTATCAAGCTGCGCGCCAAACCAAGATTGAAGAGATGCTTCAAGAGTACTTGAGAAATCAAGAAGAGAGTACAAAGAAGATGGAGAGAGAATCGATTTCATCCATGAGAGCCTTGGAAACAAATCTGAAGTCCTATTCAAGCAAGTGATCAAGCTTGATGAAGACATTAAGAAGTTAAGAGAGGATCATGATCGATCTTGACCCTAGTTAAGCTTGATGTTGCTTCCAAATATCAAGAGTTGCTGAACAAGAGCATGAGAATTGAAGATACTAGCTATGGCAATAGCAAGCATCTTGGATCAATCTACAACCGCCTACAAGCCCTTGAAGGATCATCTCATGCCAATTACAAGAGAGAGAGGAGTCCAACACCCAACCACCCTCCCTTTTATTGCAATGCCATCACAAGAAGAAGCACTCACCAAGTCCATGAGGACAATGAAGAAGAAGAAAGAGAGTATGAGGAACAACTGAATGATGAAGATGAAGAGCAGAGCATCGACATCAATGCTTCTCCAAAACAGAGCATGGATACACCTAGCCCTAGACCCTCGTTTCTCACCAACACCAGAAGTCAAGCTTCTACACTTCCAAGATTGGAAGCAATGCAAAGACCATCACCACCTACTGAAGAAGAAGATACTTGGCAGTATGATCCCATTGATCCCAACAAGATAAGCCCCATGAAGCTTAAAGAGTTCAATGCTAAGGTGAAATCACTTCCATTCTATGTCACTTTTGAAGAAGCTTGGGATAAACATGGTCTAGTGGAGTTCTTTTTCACAACTAGTGAAAACAAAGAAGAGATACACCAACTTTTTCAGAAGGCACGATTTCCCCATTGCCCCTCATGCAGTCAATCAACCATCATCACCACCATCATCACCACCACCAAGTGGTATGTCAATTCCATATCAAGAGAGAAGCTTGCTGAGTTCAATCAGTTTGTCCAAACTCTTCCAGCCAGCATGTCTTTCCAACAAGCTTGGCGCCACTACCCATTCACCACCTTCTTCCACAACTGCAAGAGAGACACCTGAGGACATCAAAGAGCTTTTTGAGAAAGCTAAAGTTCAGCCTACCTTCAAGACCCTCTACAAGATTGAAGACCCAGGTCAATTCTCTATTCCCTGTCAAGTAAATGGTCATTACTTTGATAGAACACTATGCGATTCTGGCTCTTGCATAAACCTCATGCCAACCCAAACCGCCAAACTCCTTGGCATCACACGCTTGCAACCTGCTCAAATTAGTATTGGACTTGCTAACCATACTATAGCCAAGCCAAGAGGAGTTGTTGTTGATGTTCTTCTAGAGATTGGAGATATCAAGATCCCGGTGGACTTTCATGTCATAAACATTCAAGGAGGATGTGACACACCATTGATACTAGGCCGACCCTTTTTGGCCACTGCTGGAGCTGTCATGGACCTTCCAAACCGGCGAATGTCCTTAGCCAATGTTGACAAGACAGTCTTTTACAAGACCATACCATTCATCTCACCAAACAAGCTGTCTTACCTCATCACTGCCCAAGGCCGCCCAAGAGAGCCACCAGACCACACTCAAGGTCACAATGAGACAAGAACTAAAAGACTATGTCTCAGGCCGTGCCCTTACCCCATCTCCAACTAAGAGATCCTATCAGTCAAGCTAATGACTCAAAAGAAGCGCTGCATGGGAGGCAACCCATGAAAGGTGTTTTTCTTTACTTTTCTTTTCAATTAGTTTTAGTTAATGTCTAGTTTTGTTTTGAGTTTTGGATACAGGAATCTAAGAACCACACAATGGTAAAGAAGATATACCACAAAGAAGAATGTTCATAGTTGGCGCGACTTAGATGGCCGAGCAGAACCTCTCCACGCTCGCCCATGTCCTCTCAAGCCGCCCAACACACCATCCCATCTCATTCCATCTGCATCTCACCCATCCCACCTCACCACACTTGCATTCCATCACTACCATCATTCCACTGCATTCACCATTCTTCAAGTAACACAAATCAGGTTACATCTTTCTTTTTACATTCACAACCACTTTATTACCTCTTTCTTTAACTCCCTTAATTGGATTTTCTTTCACCGGGACGGTGCAAGTTAAGTCTGGGGGGATTGTCGGTACTAATGTGTTTGTTCATGGTTGTTTTGATCTTATAATTGGTTTTTCCTAACCCACTTTTTCAAAACTTCTGTTTTATTGAGTCAAAACCAGTCCGGGAACAATGAACTTGCTTTGAGATTTGATAGTGTTATGCTAACAATCTATGACCCTAGAGCAACATCAGCTGAAGGCACAAGCCTAACAGAAGCTCCTAGAGTGGATCGCATGCTAGCTCAGCGAAATTTCTAAGGTAACCAAGCAATCTAGAGTTAACCTCACCCTTAATCAATCTTAATAACTCTTGTCAAGGGGATTGGCATACATGTCGACAGTTCCTTGCTTGATTTTCAATGAGATTTGTCTAAAGAGTTCACCTCTCTCTCCCATCCCAAATGGTAAGTAATGTTTATGAGAAAAGCTCAAAGAGCACAAGGAAAACAAGTAAGCATGAGGAATGCATATGTCTGTACCTTCATGTCTTATGGAATACCTTATCAAACAAGGAACAAGCTAAAGACTTATCCTGTGGTTGAAAGAAAGGTCAATAGAAAAAATAAAATGATACCCTAGAAAAGTAGGGAGAAATTGACCTTTCAAAGTTCTGATGTGAGAAAGAGAGAGGAAAAGAACTCATTGCACTTCAAAGACAATCTTGGAGAAGATCAAGTGGGTAAGAACAAGTTCAATTGATCGATGTTCCCTTGATAAAGAACTCACGCTTTAAATTTATGCAAGAGGTTAGCAATAGAGAGTTTGGATTGCTGGATGAGACTAGTTGGGTTGGTATTGTTCGCTAAACTTGCAGGGTGTATGTGAAGCTAACCTTATGTTGACTATGTTCTTAGTGGAATACAGGAAAGGAACCTTTCACAGGATTTTCAAAGAAGCAAGGGAGTTCCCACGTTTTTCAAAACCTCTTCACTAGTTTAGATTCTTTTTGCTTGGGGACAAGCAAAGATCTAAGTCTGGGGGAGTTGATATACCTCTATTTTACACTTTTTATGCTATTTTACTATGGTTTTCTAATGGTTTTCTAGTGGATTCTTGTGTTAAAAGGTAGTTTTTATGGATTTATAGTGCAAAGAGTCATTTTAGGTAAAAAGGTGCATTATGGAGCAAAACAGAGGATTTGGACTCTAAACCAGTTCAATGCCCTGCATCAACTTTGGATGGAGCTAGAAAAAGATCTACTCAATGGATTTCATCAAGACCAGTTCCCTGCGTGCTCTGATTGAGTTAACTTTCCAACGCAACTGGAACGGCCTCATTTGGATGAGTAGAAAAGGAGTTATAGCCAAAAGAGTGAAGACTGTCCAGACGGCTCTATCGAGAATCAGCGCCCGAACCGCGCAGTCCGGCTGGCCGAGGAACGATGTTCCGCGCTCGGCCAAATCCATCCGTCCGTCTGAAGTCTCGGCCAAAGTTCAAACCGACCGGCCGATCACGATCACGACCCGGGAAACAAAGCCCGCGGTCGGCCACGCCACAACCGCCACGCCACGCCGCGCACGACCATGCGCGAGCCGGGAAACAAAGCCTCGCGGCCGCGCAACCTATCTCGCGTACCACGGCCGATGGTCCGTCCGAGCCGGGAAAACGTCCCACGTCCGGCCGAGAAACCATCGGCCATTCCATCACCCGTCCGACCACACCGGCCGACCGTAAATCATCCGGCCACGACCGTTCCGACTCGGCCACGACCCGACTGTCCGGCCGATCGTCCCGACCGACCGTCCGAACGCCGCGGTCGACCCGAAGCCGTTTTTGAAGCCCAATCCGCACAATTCAAGCCCAAAGCCGGCGCCGACCTAGCTAGATTAGGTTTAGCCGCTTTTTCATACTTAGTGCATTATAAATACTTCTTTTTAGCCTTGTAACTCAAAAGGAGAGAGACCACAATCTATTTTACATCTTTAATAAAGTTTTGCTTGCTTTTACTTTGTTCTTGCTTGTTACTCTTTCTAGAGAGGATTCGAATCTCTGTTCTTATGAATATGAATTCGTGTTCCTTCTCTATGTCTGAGTAGTTTACTTGTTAAGTGATAGGAAGTCAAAGGATAGCATTCATGTATGCTTGATGATTGATCACAATTAGGGTTTTACTTATAATCTCCATCTTTGCTTATACTTAATGCTTGTTGTTAATCTGGCCAATTAGCATATGCTTTAGGTTGATTTGAGCCTCGACAGTGCTGTATCATTCGCCTGAACTAGTATTTGGTGGGCAACCTCTTTTAGACTGCGAAAGTTGATTACTTGTAGGTTGTGAACAATTGAACTTAATCGAACTAATGCTTGATTTAATCACCTAGGGACATACCAAAAGTTTAGCGACTAGGTAGATTAACAAAGGGGTCGGAGCCTCGACAGTGGAATGATCATACCATAGTGTTTCAAGTTCTAGATTAGCACCTAAGTGCGGTAACCCTAATTGATTGATTTCATGCTTCTTGAATTGCTTATCTTAAGACTATCGTATTGCTTTCCCCTGGTTGAAAGACCCTGTCTTGAACCCTAATTCTCGCTTTAGCTTGTTAAAGTCGCTGCCTTTATTGCTTTTTACTTCAACTCGATCGAGCTCGGTACTTTGTTCCAACTCGACTCAAGTCCTTGGTCGAGCTGTTGCTCTACTGCTTTAATTACTTATTGCACTTCATTACTGCTTCATTAGGTTGTTAGTGTTACCCCCATATCTTTTACTGCTTGCTTGACTTCCTGGTTATTTCATATTCTCATAGAGTGACAGCTTCACCCATTTTGGATTGACACCCTTTATGCTATAACGACTATAATGGTTAAAGGAAATTGTTGACTATGATTGTGTTTGCATCTTACCACCTCATCATATACCACTGTTGCATTTGATCGCGGGATCAGGTCTTCCCCTTTCCTATCCATGATTCTGCAAGTGCACAGGTCAAAAGTAGTAAACGGGTATCGAACACGAGGACCAGATTGCACACTACAAGCTATAAGTTCGAGATCGAGCTAGGGCAAAAGTATAAGGTTTGGTTGAGTGCAATAGAAGTAAAGGCATGCAAGTATTAGAGAATGAAATCAATATGAGAAGAGGGCTAACTACACTTAATCATCTAGCTCTTAAAACTCCTTGTATCAAGGCTTCTCTTGATATTGGGCTTCTCAATGCCTAGCCAACCCTTTCCCAAGGTGGAAGGCTATCAACCAAGGAATGATCTCAGAAACAGGGGGTTAGCCAGTGAGAATCAAACCTTGGAGGCCATAGGATCATTGCCCAAACTAATCCATCCAACCCCTTAGACCTCTATTTCTAGAGCAAGAGATATTGGAGCTCTTAGTGGATCTTTTCCAGCGATTTCCATCACTTCCATGTGGAGAATCGCCTAAGGACATACAAGCCAGGGGTAGTGGTCATGTAGCCTTAAGATCTATCCAAAAGAGAGAGAATCTAGATTAAGACCATAAGCAAGAAGGATTAAGCATATGAAACCTCTAATCTATCCCATCTCAAACCCTAATGGGTAACTACTCACTACACATGAATGTAAACACAAGCAAATGCAATAAAAGAGACATCATAAGAAAGAGGAGATGAAATAAACAACTTTTATTGAAATAAGCAAGTGCAAATACAAAGAGATTATCCAGGATCTAGGATTCAAGAAGCAAGAGCTTCAAGAACACAAAGATGGATTAGAGCTCTAAAAAGTAAAAGACAATAAATTAAAAGAAACTAAAACAAAAGTAATCTAAAGCTTGGTGGTTTTTTCGTGGCTTAGAGCCTTTAAATACAAGAGGATTAGGTTTAGGGTCAAAGGAAAGTCAAGGGGGAAGCAACATTTTTCGGGTTTGACTTTGACTTCTCAGCTCGATCGAGTTGAAGCTTGGCCGGTCGAGTTGAGGAACTCGACCGGTTGGTCGAGTAGGTGGTCGAGCTGGTCTTCAAGATGGCTTCCTCCTTCTTCCTTTGTGTATCCAGTTGAGCTGCGTCCATGCCAAGTCCCTCCATGCTCCTCACGTCCCATATGCTCCAGAATGCTCCAAAAGACCTATTTCAAAGGACCAAACATGCATATGTATGCAAATGCAACCTAAAACTACATGAATGCATAAGAAGAGAAAAGGAACAAGATATGATGCTAATGGATGCTAAAACTATGCAAAAGATGCATAAAAGATGTACTAAAACTATGTAAAATGCAAGTACATCAATGATTTAACCTTGTTTTCTTTGTTCTTAGTTTTTCATCTATATTTGCATAGAAAAACCAAAAAAATCATAAAATTTTCAAAAAATCCAAAAATATTTTCATCTTTTTGCATTCATATTTGTTAGAATTGTTTAGGATTGCATCATTCACCTCTGTTTTAGTTGTGCATTGTTGATTTGATCTTGAAAACTTGTTCATCATTTGCGATTTGTTAAGTGCCATTTTTCTAGATTCTTTTGTGCATTAGGGTGAGATTGATTGAACAACAAGAACCATGTTTATCTTGATCATATCACTACATGCACATCTCATTCAACCATTGCTGTGATTTGATGCATTTCCCTATTATTTGAACAATAACTTGATCTTTAATTACCAATGCTTGCATTTGATTTCAACTCATGGCTACCACATACATATCTGGACATTCTTTACCTATTTCATATCCCTCTTGCTTGTCCAGATAGCTGATCTCCATCTTTGAGACAGTACCACACCTTAAACCTAAGCCTTTTCATTTCAAACCCCATATTATCTCTTGTGCGAATTGTGAGAACCTTTCTTGGCTTTGCTTAGCATAAGGTGTTGTGTTTAAACCGGCAGGAGCAGTAGTTCTAGTTATCTAGTTCTCTTGGGATCGTTTTCAGGCTAAGTTTGGGGGTGCCACTCGAGCTCGATCGAGTGGGGTGTCAAAACCAGAAAAGTGGTACAAGTTGGGGAAAAAAAAAGAATAAAAAAGAGTTTGGTTAAGTCCAGGGAGTTGGCAGTGTTTAAAAAGGGTCTAGTAAAGGTTTGGGAAGTTAAAAAAGAAAGTAAAAAGGGTTATAAGTAGAAGGAAAAGAAGGCAAAGCCTCAAGTGTTCAAAAGAAAGCAAAAAGCCCGAGCAGCAGCGCCAAAGGCCTTGATCGAATAGAGAAGAGGCCTGGCTAATGTTTGGAGCTTTCCTTGGTACAATGTCGGCCCATACACGACGTGGAGAAGAAGGCTTTGCTCATGGGAAACTTTCCTTTTCCGGCATGAAGAAAACCCTACGCGACTTCGCCCATATATACATGTTTTTAGCCGCTGAAGAAGAGAGAATCGAGCGTGTGAGTTTGTGAGAAGAGAGTCTAGAGAAGAGAGAAGAGAGAAGCCCTAGGAGATCGTCCAAGAAGAAGGAGGCGCCGCTCAACTCTTGTTCTTTCTTTTTCATTGTTTCCATTTCTATAAACTTGATCTTAAGAGTTTTCAAGGGAGAATCCGACTTTGTTCATCAATAGAGAAGCTTTCTTCATCCCTTTATCTCTTTTAATACTTGCATAATGTTTACAATCATGCTTTGCTTGCTTGTTTGCATCATGGCCGAGTAGATCTCTTAGTTAGGCCGAGGAGATCTATGGTGGCCGTGATGATTTGATTGTGTTGCAACTTATTGGGATTTATCTTATGGATCTTCACCTTTACTTGAGCTTAATGCATGATTACTCTACCGTACATCTAGTAATCTGATCTTAGAGAAATAGAACCACGACAGTGCTGAATCTAGATCTCAAAACTAGTATTTGGTGAGCAATAGATCATAGCCAACGAAAGCTGAGTTATGGTTTATTGTGAACAATTGAATCTTGATCACCTTTAATGCATGTTTGCAATTCTAATAGCCAACGAAAGCTGAGTATATTAGGTTGTTTTAAACATAGTGGTTGGAGCCACGACAGTGGAAAGACCATACACTAGTGATTCATGTTCAAGACGGCTCTACACACATCCCATGCAACTATCTTTTCATCATTGCTCCATATGATTGTCCTTTGCCTAACTCTTGTTTTAAATTGTTTACAACCTCACTCACATTCTTTTGTTTTGTTTTCTCATTCTAGGTCCAAAACCATCTCATATTGCGAGCTAGCTACAAACCAATCTCACAAGGTGTTAAGCGAGAACACTTCCTCCTCGTGTTCGACCCCGACTACAACACGGCTGTGCACTTGCAGCTCATTAGTTGGGTTTATAAATTGTGAAAATTTGAGGCAATCTAAACCCGCCATCACTCCTTTTCTTCTTCCTCAAAGCATGTGTGGCTTCCTTGGCCCTGGTGGAGCTTGGGTTGCTGAAACCAGCCTTATGGGTTCCAGTTGCTCTGTGGGTATTCCTGGTAAGGTGCCTGATCGTACCCAAATCCAGGGTCTTCGAATTCTGACCCCTCAAGATCAACTCGACCATCAGCTCGACCGAGTTGAGTTTCCTCTGTGTGGACTCGATCGAGTCCTCTGGTCGAGTTGAGCGTTGGGCCTTGGAACTCTTCCTCCTCCTCTGCGTGTTGTCTCCTTCTTCCCTTGGTTCGAATGAGGAAGCTCTGTGAGGCTCTTGGGCAGGAAGCCTCCTTGGAGTGGTGAGAAGAGATATACTCCTAGGGAATGTGGAGTCATGGGTGTCTTCTTCTTCTTGGATGAAGAACCAGAGACCTTCTTCTCCAAACTCTTGATCTTGCTCACCATCTTGTCCATGGACTTTTGCATCTTTCTCAATGGCTTTCCCTTGCCATTTGTTGAACTTTTGGAGAAGTCCAATCCTCTTGTGAGAGCCACAACAGAGGGGTTCATCCTTGGAGCCTCATACTCCTCAAAATAATAGCACTCAGGCTCACCCAAATCTCACTTCCTGGGCTGATCCTCAACTCGATCCGCAGCTCGATCCTCAGCTCGATCGAGCTCAGGCTCCTCTTCTCGCAAATCATCCTCATGCCCAACTAATGTGTACACAGGGGGTCTGAAGTCAATGTTCTCACCCCTTACTACTGTGGTGAGCTCTGGGTTGGGCAGGAGAGCTTGGAAGGGCCAGCCGTGGGGTGTGTGAACTTGAATTGGAACCTCCCATCACTCCTTGTGCTCAATGAGGAGGTTGGTCTTGCAAAACTTGATGTCCATCCAACCTGGCTCAGTGCCTTCTTATCAGTTGGGTTCACTCCAGCAGCACACAAGATAGGGTGATGAGCCCTCCAACACTTAGCGCCTTCCTTGTTGATGTCGAGTGTTGTAGGCCGTGGTCTTGTAGGTGAGGAGATGGTCAAGGAAAGGCATCAAGTTTCCTGTGTCAGATCTATCTCCCCTTATCCTCTTGCCATCGCTTGTGTGTGAGAGATGGGCTTGATTCCCATGTCAAGAAACTTGAGTTCCCCCTCGTTAATGGTCCCGGTCGCCTTCCTTGCAAAGAAGGTGTTGGCAAGTGCCTTGTGCACATACCTCAAGCACTGGGCTCCTGATTTGAGCAGCCTTAGACCTTGAGGAAGAGTACTCTCCTCAGCGATTGTAGCCCAAACTTTGGAGCTTCTTTCCTTGAAGTCCCATTGAGTCCCTCTCCATAGTTGAACCAAACAAGATCTCCAACTGCCTAAAAGTATCCATTAGCCCCAAATCCTTGGTCCAAATCAGCTCTATTCCTCATCATACATGTGGTACCTCATCGAAGCTAAGAACTCACAAGTGAGCTCCTTGTATGATTCCATGTGATGAGAGAAGAACCTCCCCAAGTGCATGTTCTTGAGTACCAACTCCACATCTTCAAAGATTCCAAGGGCCTTCATAGTTTTGCATGAGGGTACTTGGTTTCCAAAAGTCCATGGAGAAGAGAGCATTGTAGTGCTCTTGGAAACATGGGGAGTTCATCCTCTCTTCAGCTCCTCCTTGGCTCATTCTCATTAACTCTCCTGATTAACCTCTTCTCCCTTCTTCACTTAGAGAGTCATCACTTTCCTTCTCCTCCCATGTTCACCCCAATCTCAAACTCCCCTTTCGCTCTCACTACTAATGGGTCATTCCTCTTCTTGGTCCTTCTCTCTTCCCTCAATCTCTCAATCTCAGATTCCACTCTCCTGAGTACCCCTCTGCTCAGACTTCCATCCTCTGATTCATCCTTCCAAATCGGCTTGCATCTCCTCTTTCCCTTGCATTGCTTGATTCACCCTCAACCATTCTCCTCTGTGAAGCACGGCTTCCCTCACTGTTTGTCATCTTGTTATGTTGTTTTCAACTAAGGTACCTGAAATTCATCAAAGATTACAAAGAATTAGAGTTGTAATGATCGGTTTGGTCAACTCGACACCCAACTCGATCGAGTCAAAAAACTCGAGTGACAAACTCGATCGAGCTAGGTGAAAACAGAGTATACCGAACCTAAATCAAGTATTAAGAGCTGGATAGGATGTTAAACAATCAAATTGAACCAAGAACATCAAGAACTTGGAACAATGAGCAATTCTAGTGAAGAAAAGCATCCTAACCAATACCAAACTCAAATTCAAGGTTTTCAAGCACATGCAACAAGTTTAATGGCAAAACAGAGGTGAGGTGAGGCAAGTTCACAAACTAATAGCAGGAGAGGGAATATGAAAGCAATTACTCAAGAACAAGTCCACAAGGGACACATGCAATCAAAATCAAAGAAAACAAGCAATAGATAGGAATCGAATAGGATTGAGGGTTTAGGGTTCATACCTTGCTTGGATGATGTTGAATTAAGAACAGTAGCTAGAACTAAAGCAATTCAAAACAATGAACAAGAGAAATCGCAAAAACTTAAGAGAGAGAGAGATTTTCGATTTTGTTGAGAGAGAGAGATGTTTTCAGAAAATTTTGAGTGTGGGAGAGAGAGGGAGGTTCGATCGAGTTATGGGGAAGAGGGAGTGTTTGAGATGTGTGGTTGAGATTAAAAGATGAATTAAAGAGGGGACAAAAGCTAGGGGTTTTTCTGATCAATTTAGGAAGTGGGGGACCAAAATTAACTTGTGGGACCCACTCCCTTGACCAAGAAAACGGTTAAAATTTGAAATTCAAAAACTTACCTCGGTCGAGTTGGAACTCGATCGAGTTACCTTTGTTTCTAGCTCGATCGAGCTGTCGGTCGAGCTGGCTCCTTTGTCACCTAAACTTAACTTATTGAAAGGTTAAAGACACAAAAACTAGATAGAAATTGCAATAAAGATATGTACAAGGATAGTCATGGGACTTCCTCCCAAGTGAGCTTGTTTAAGGTCCCATAGCTTGACCTTTACCTTCTTAGGCATTGGTTGAGCTAGTCCCACCATCAAGGGTGATAGTGAGGACTTGAGACAGAAGCTCCTTTAGCTTGGATGGGTCCCTGGATTGTTCTGAAGTCACCAAGGCCTTGGCTCTAGAGAATGGCCTTGATCTCCCCTTGTACCTTATCTTGTACTCAATCTTCCCATTTTCAAACTTGGTGGGGAACAAGGTCATTGTGAGCTGAGATGGCTTGATGAAGGGGCCTGAGCTGGTGGATTTTCTTTTATCACCTGGTCTTGCCTTAGAGGCTACATCCTCCCCTTCTTTTAGAGCCCTTCCTAGTGGCTCATCAAACAAAGCTTGAAGGCTCTCTTCATCAAGCACACAAGGGGCTTGAACAAGTCTATCAGCTCTTGGCCTATCAGACGTGGTTTCTCAACTCTAGCCCTCTCAAGCGTGGTTTCTCAATCCTTGGTCCTTATCAAACCTTCCTTCTCAACCTTATTCTCACAACTCTTGGTCCTTTTCACAACCTTGGCAACTTCATGGACTCTTGGAACTAGAGGAGTGCTTTCAATGGCACAAAAGTCTGACCTCTAGGCTGCAAGCGATATGACACCAAACTATTCACCTTGTGAAGAATCACTTCTTGCTTGTGAAAGTCTATTGAAGCGCCAACTGTGCTAAGGAATGGGGTTCCCAATAGCAGAGGTAGATCCTTCTCTTCTTCCATCTCCATGACAGTAAGATCAGTTTGGATGATGCATTCTCCAATTTTCAAGTGATAGTTCTTGAACACACCAAGAGGAGACTTAGAAGTTGCATCTCCAAACATGATTGAAGTAGTAGGGCGCTGCAATGCTCCAGCAATGCCTAGCTTCTCTGCCATTGTGAGAGAGATCAGATTGATGCTTGCACCAGAATCCACCAAGGCATTGTCAAGCTCAAGATGCCCAAGTGTGCAAGGGAGAGTGAATTTCCCTTGATCCTTCACCTTTGGTAGAAAGTGGTGAAGTAAGCAGGTTGATTTGGTGAGTAGACTCTCAGAAGCTCTGAAACTTTATCACTGTTGGCCATAACATCTTGACCATCTTCATTTGATCAAATGCCTCACTCATGCTTTCCATAGAAGGCAACTCAATTCCAATCCCACTAGGATCTCTTCTGAACTTGTGAATCACTTCCTTGTGCCTTGACTGAGTAGGCGAGGACGAGATGTCAACTGGCTGGTAAGGATCAAGCAAAATCGGCTTTGAGGACAGATGATGTCGGACTCGATCGAGCTGCCGATCGAGCTTGTTGTGCGAGCTCAACTGGTGAAGTGTGAATGGCCACAGTAGGTGCTGCACTTCTGGTTGATCAATCTGGACTCCAGGAGCCTCAGCAGCAACAATCTCTCATCATTCAGCAGTAAACAAAACTCTTCCATGACTCTTCTTGATCCTCTTCTTCAACAAGTCCTTCTTGAGTGAAGATGACCTTGCACTGTTCCTTGGGGTTCTGAATAGCTTTACCAGGTAGTTGTCCTTGCTTTGTAGCAGCAGCAACAGAAGAAGCATGATTCTCCAGAGAGTACACTCTTGTGTTGAGATTCTCAATCTTGGAGTTGATTTCAGCTAGCTTCTTGCTTGTGTCCACAACACCATCAGCTTGCCCTTGAAGCAATTGTTTCAGCATAGCCTTGAGCTCATTCTCAGGTGTAGGTGCAGGCTGGGGTGGTTGGTGGGGAAAGCCAGGTGGTATGTGCATTTGCTGACCAGGAAAAGTCCCTTGGGGCCTTGGTAGTTGTTCTTTTGACCATACCCATGTTGTGGGGCTTGACTCGATCGAGCTTGCTGTTGTTGAGGATAGACCTGGTCCTGAGGGTTAGCAACATCAGTGTTTCGGTATGACATGGCTGGGTTGGACTTGTAATTATAGTATCCTTTGTTGTAACCTCCTTGCCCATTGCTCATGTAGCACACTTCAGCAAATTGTGTATCCTCCCCTTCTTGGACTGGTTCCATCTCTTCAGCAGACACAAAGTTGACTTTCTTCATTGTGGACTGAGCTAAGATCAGCTTATCCAACTTCTCATTCAATGCCTTAACATCTTTTCTCAATTTCTCATCGACTCGATCGAGTGGTGGGTCGAGCTCCGGTTGGTGCGATCATACTCTTCTCCATAGCTTCCATTGGAGTTTGCTATGTTTCCACAAGCTGCCAGCCATCATCCACATCCTGGTTGAGGAAGTTCCCATTGCTGGCTGTGTCAACATCTCTCTATACCTTGCCAAGCATCCTCTATAAAGAGTAGAGAGTAGATTCATTGTTGAATCCATGTGTGGGCACTGACTTGTGTAGCCTTGAACCTCTCCCAAGCCTCAGCGAATGTCTCATTGTTCCTGATGAAGCTGGATATCTCACTCCTCTAAGCTTGGCTGTGCGACCGGTGGAGAAAAACTTAGCAAGAAAGGCCTTCTTGCATTCATCCCAAGTGGTGATTGTGCCATGGGGCAAGCTCTTCTCCCATTGGTGAGCTTTGTCAGCTAGAGACATAGGAAAGAGTCTCAGCTTGATGGCATCTTCAGAGACACCATTGATCTTTGTCAAATCACAAAGCCTATCAAACTCATCAAGGTGGTCAATGGGGTCTTCACTTGGCAATCCATGGAACATCTTGTTCTGACAAGGTTGATCATTCCCAGCTTGATCTCAAAGTTGTGGTTCTGCACTGGTGGTGGAACAATCCCTTGTCTCTGTTGGTGGCGGTTTGGAGCATCTCCTAGACCAATCGGTCGAGTTTGCCTAGCTCGACCGAGTCCATTGCCCAAAGGGTTTCCATTCCCCTCTGGTACATCCATTGTATCAGCAACAAGCACCTCAGGTTCCTCTTGTACCCTCTGTGACCTCTGAACCCTCTTTCTACCCGTTGTGAAAGTCTAGCTCGACCAAGTCTTCTGTTGACCGACTCGATCGAGTTCGCATACACCTGCAAAAAGAGACAAAAACCCAGCAGTACAATAGAACAGGGGTGGTATAGCTTGATCGTCCAAGTGTATTGAAACTCAAATGCAACAAAATATCAACCCAAATCGGCAACGGCGCCAAATTGATGATAGGATTTTATGGTGATTGCCATTTGGGTTGAATATTCTTGCATTTGAGTTTCCAATACACTTGGACGATCAAGCTATCACCAGTTGCTCTGGTGATAGTCCTGGTGAGGCGCCTGGCGCCTGATCATATTCAAACCCAGGATCTTCGAATTGTGGCTCCTCCTGGTCAGCTCGACCTTCAGCTCGATCGAGTTGAGTTTCCTCTGTTTGGACTCGATCGAGTCCTATGGTCGAGTTGGAACTCTTCCTCCTCCTCTGCGAGTTGTCTTCTCCTTCCCTTGGCTCAAATGATGAGGCTTTGTGAGTGTGTGAACCGAAATCCGCACAATAGATTCAAGAGATGTTTTGAGAGAGGAACTAGAAATTCTAAGTATAACACAAACGAAGATCCAAAGATGGTTGTTTTATTGATGTAAAGTGTAAAGTGTTTTGCAATGGAAAAGTGATGATCGAACTTGTTTAGTTCGATCTCTATTTATACAAGACTTAGAACCGACTCTTGGCCAGATTCTCTAAAGATTTTCTAAAGATCTATTGTTATCCTTTGCGGCGCCGTCAACTCTACGTTCGTAGTCATCTAGGGCGAACTACGGGTCTCTTACGGGCTTCAACTCGAATCGTCAAAGATGGATGTTGGTTCGGCCCAAAAAGAGTTATAGTCCGACCCATTCTCTACGTCGCATGGTTCGTGGACGTGGCTCTTCGTCGTGCTGCATCTTTGGCGCGAACTGCGGTTTGCAGCGAGTTAGATCGTCGTCCGTAATGTCCGCCACAGCTCGTCGTGACGTGGCCCGCACTAACGCAGCTCGCGGTACTGCAGCTCTCCACCTCTCGCCAAGTGCTAGCTTCGTCGTCGAGCTCGATGGGGAGTATTCCGACCCCAACAGTTAGCCCCCAGCTCTTCAGTCTTAAGTTTAAGAATGATGAGCTTTATGGTTATCATCGAGCACGACGTTCGAGTGAATCTTGGCTCGCGAGGTCCTTCTGCTTGCTCGCTTCTTCTTTTTTTTAAAAAGTTTCCTACGGTCCATGTCTTGTAGCTCGCCGTTTTGCTTTGACTCGTGCCACGGTCTCTTTCACAGCTCGCTCGCATGGATAAAAATATTTCACGCGGAGCTCGCTTGATACGAGCTGCAAGCTAAAATTCGTCTTGCGATCGTTTCATCGCTGGCGTCCATTTCACCTGGCGGGTTGCTTTGATCCTTCTTGGGCCTTCTTATCAATTTGGGCCTATGTTTAATTGAGGTCCTTGAAGAAGATGTCTCGAGCCTCGGGAGATGCGAACTCTTTTCTCCTTCTCTTCTTTAAAGTCTCGTGCTTCCTTCTTCTTCAGCCACAACTCTCGTTCTCCATTCTCTCTCTAAGGTAAATTATTCTTTTTCTCTCTCTAGCTCTCGCTTCTCGCTTCATTATTTTTATTTTTTGGGTTCCGCCGTCGAGTTCGCCGGGGATCTTGGTTGTTCTTCGTGTTCTTCGCTAGGTCTTGTTTGATGTGAGTTTGGTTTTGTCGAGCTGGGATCTCTTGGAGAACAGCAGCAAGCTTGATCGAGTCAAGCCCCACAACATGGGTATGGTCCTAAAAACAACTACCAAGGCCCTCAATGGACTTTTCCTGGTCAGAAAATGCACATACCACCTTGCTTTCCCCACCAACCACCCCAGCCTGCACCTACACCTGAGAATGAGCTCAAGGCTATGTTGAAACAATTGCTTCAAGGGCAAGCTGATGGTGTTGTGGACACAAGCAAGAAATTGGCTGAAATCAACTCCAAGATTGAGAATCTCAACACAAGAGTGTACTCTCTGGAGAATCATGGGCAAGGGCAAGCTGATGGTGTTGAAACAATTGCTTCAAGGGCAAGCTGATGGTGTTGTGGACACAAGCAAGAAATTGGCTGAAATCAACTCCAAGATTGAGAATCTCAACACAAGAGTGTACTCTCTGGAGAATCATGCTTCTTCTGTTGTTGTTGCTACAAAGCAAGGACAGCTACCTGGTAAAGCCATACAGAACTCCAAGGAACAGTGCAAGGTCATCTTCACTCAAGAAGGTCTTGATGAAGAGGAGGATCAAGAGAGAGTCATGGAAGAGTTTTGTTTGCTGCTGAATGACGACGAGATTGTTGCTGCTGAGGCTCGTGGAGTCCAGATTGATCAACCTAAAGTGCAGCTACTCATGCCTTTCACACTTCACCAGTTGAGCTCGCACAACAAGCTCGATCGGCAGCTCGATCGAGTCGAACTTTAGCTCGATCGAGTCAGACATCATTGTCCTCAAGCCGATTTTGCTTGATCCTTACCAACCAGTTGATACATCATCAGGCCGCCTACTCAGTCAAAGCCATAAGGAAGTGATTCACAAGTTCAGAAGAGACCTAAGTGAGATTGGAGTTGAGTTGCCTTCTATGGAAGCATGAGTGAGGCCTTTGAGCAAATGAAGTTGATTCAAGATGTTATGGCTCACAAGGAAAAGTTTCTGAGCTTCTGGAGATGTCTACTCACCAAATCAACCTGCTTACCTCACCTACTTTCTTACCAAAGGTGAAGGATCAAGGGAAATTCACTCTCCCTTGCACACTTGGGCATATTGAGCTTGACAATGCCTTGGTGGATTCTGGTGCAAGCATCAACCTCATCTCACTCACAATGGCAGAAAAGATTGGCATTGCTGGAGCATTGCAGCGCCCTACTACTTCAATCATGTTTGGAGATGCAACTTCAAAGTCTCCTCTTGGTGTGTTCAAGAACTATCACTTGAAAATAGGAGAATGCATCATCCAAACTGATCTTACTGTGGAGATGGAAGAGAGAAGGATCTACCTCTGCTATTGGGAACCCCATTCCTTAGCACAGTTGGCGCTTCAATAGACTTCACAAGCAAGAAGTGATTCTTCACAAGGTGAATAGTTTGGTGTCTTCGCTTGCAGCCTAGAGGATTCAGACTACTTTGTGCCACAATTGAAAGCACCCTCTTAGTTCCAAGAGTCCTGAAGTTGCAAAGGTTGTGAAGGAAAGGAAACCAAGAGTTGTGAGAATAAGGTGAGAAGGACAAGGAGTTGATAAGGACCAAGGATTGAGAAGCCACGCTTGAGAGGGCTAGAGTTGAGAAACCACGTCTGATAGGCCACGAGCTGATAGACTTGTTCAAGCCCTTGTGTGCTTGATGAAGAGAGCCTTCAAGCTTTGTTTGATGAGCCACTAGGAAGGGCTCTAAAAGAAGGGGAGGATGCAGCCTCTAAGGCAAGACCAGGTGATAAAAGAAAGGATCCACCAGCTCAGGCCCCTTCAGTCAAGCCATCTCAGCTCACTATGACCTTGTTCCCCACCAAGTTTGAAAATGGGAAGATTGAGTACAAGATAAGGTACAAGGGGAGATCAAGACCATTCTCTAGAGCCAAGGCCTTGGTGACTTCAGAACAGTCCAGGGACCCAACCAAGCTAAAGGAGCTTCTGTCTCAAGTCCTCACTATCACCCTTGATGGTGAGACTAGCTCAACCAATGCCTAAAGAGGTAAAGGTCAAGCTATGGGACCTTAAACAAGCTCACTTGGGAGGAAGTCCCATGTTTATCCTTGTACATATTCTCTTTCCCACACTCAAAATTTTCTGAAATCATTCATCTCTCTTCTCTCTAAGAAAAATCCGAAAATCTCTCATCCTCTCTTAAGTTTTTGCGATTTCTCCCTTGCTCATTGTCTTGAATTGCTTTAGTTCTAGCTACTGTTCTAGTTCAACAATCATCCAAGCAAGGTATGAACCCTAAACCCCCAAATCCTTAAGTTTGATTCCTCTCTATTGAATGTTGTTCTCTTGAATTTTGATTGCATGTGTCCCTTGTGGACTTGTTCTTGAGTAATTGCTTTCATATCCTTCTCCTGCTATTTTTTTGTGAACTTGCTCACCTCACCTCTGTTTTGCCATTGAAACTTGTTGCATGTGCTTAAAATATTTTAATTTGAGTTTGGTAATTGGCTAGGATGCTTTGTTCTTCACTAGAATTGCTTATTGTTCCAAGTTCTTGATGTTCTTAGTTCAATTTGATTGTTTAGCATCCTATCCAGCTCTTAATACTTGATTCAGATTCGGTTATACTCTGTTTCACCTAGCTCGATCGAGTTTGTCACTCGAGTTTTTTGACTCGATCGAGTTGTGTGTCGAGTTGACCGAATCGATCTTTACAACTCTAACTCTTTGGAATCTTTGATGAATTTCAGGAACCTTAGTTGGAAAAGCAGCACAAAAAGATGACAAGCAGTGAGGGAAGCCGTGCTTCGCAGAGGAGAATGGTTGAGGGTGAATCAAACAATGCAATGGAAAGGAGGCTGAAATTGCAAGCCGATTTGGAAGGGATGAATCAAAGGATTGAAGATTCTGAGGCAGAGGGGTATGTTACTCTGAATTGGAGTCTGAGAGCGAGAGATTGAGGGAAGAAAGGAGGACCAAGAAGAGGAATGACCCCATTAGTAGTGAGAGCGAGTAAGGAGAGTTTGAGATTGGGGTGAACATTGGAAGAAAGAGGTGATGATCTGAAAAGTGAAGAAGAAGGAGAGGAGGTCAATCAAGAGGTTGATGAAAGTGGCCAGAGTAACCAAGATGAGCCCATGGAGGAGGCTGAGCCACAAGAAGAAGGAGGATGAACTCCCCATGTACCAAGAGCACTACAATGCTCTCTTCTCCATGGACTTTGTGGAAACCAAAACAATGATGACACAATGAAGGCTCTTGGAATCTTTGAGGATGTGGAGTTAGTCTTAAGAACATGCACTTGGCCAAGTTCTTCTCTCATCGCATGGAGTCATACAAGGAGCTCACTTGTGAGTTCCTAGCGTCGATGAGGTACACAAGTATGATGAGCTCGATCGAGCTGAGTTGGACCAAGGCTGGGGATGGATAACATTCTTGGCAAAGGGAGAAAGGAAGATGGTCACCTTCAGGCAGCTAGGAGATCTTGTTTGGTTTCACTTATGGAGAAGGAACCCATTGGGATATCAAGGAAAATGAGCTCCAAAGTGTGTGGGCTACAATCGCAAGGAAGGCACCGGACACCATCAATGAGGGAACTCAAGCTTCTTGACATGGGAATCAAGCCCATCTCTCACGCACAAGCGATGGCAAGAGGATAGGGGAGATAGCAACACAGGAAACTGATGCCTTCCTTGATCATCTCCTCACCTACAAGACACAGCCTACAACACTCGACATCAACAAGGAAGAGCTAAGTGTTGGAGGGCTCATCACACCTATCTTGTGTGCTGCTGGAGTGAACCCAACTGATAAGAAGGCCACTGAACCAGGTTGGATGGACATCAAGTTTTGCAAGACCAACCTCCTCATTGAGCACAAGGAGTTGGATGGGAGGTTCCAATTCAAGTTCACACATCCATTGGCTGGCCCTCCAAGCTTCTCTGCCCAACCCTGAGCTCACCACAGTCTAGGGGTGAGAACATTGACTTCAGACCCCCTGTGTACACATTAGTTGGGCATGAGGATGATTGCGAGAAGAGGAGCCTGAGCTCGATCGAGCTGAGGATCGAGCTGAGTCAAGCTGAGGATCGAGCCAGGAATGAGGATTTGGGTGAGCCTGAGTGCTACTACTTTGAGGAGTATGAGGCTCCAAGGATGAACCCCTCTGTTGTGGCTGCCCACAAGAGGATTGGACTTCTCCAAAAGTTCAACAAGTGGCAAGGGAAAGCCATGAAAGATGCAAAAGTCCATGGACAAGATGGTGAGCAAGATCAAGAGTTTGGAGAAGAAGGTTTCTGGTTCTTCATCAAGAAGAAGAAGGCCCATGGCTCCCCACATTCCCTAGGAGTAGATCACTCCTCACCACTCCAAGGAGGCTCCCTGCCCAAGAGCCTCACAGAGCCTCTTCTTTCGAGCCAAGGGAAGGAGAGACAACACGCAGAGAAGGAGGAAGAGCTTCCAAGGCCAGACGCTCCAACTCGACCACCGGACTCGATCGAGTCCAAACAGAGGAAACTCAACTCGATCGAGCTGAGGGTCGAGTTGACCTGGAGGAGCCCCAGTTTGAGAACCCGGATTCGAGTACGATCAACGCCTTACCAGGACTTCTCCCAGACTGGAACCCCTACAGTTCGAGCAGCCAGCTCCACCAAGGCCAAGGGAGCCACACCACTTCGATGAAGAAGAAGAGGAGGAGCCGCAAGCTCGATCGAGTGAGGAACCCAGTGAGTGGAGTGCTCCTGATGGCCGTCTCCATCTCCAGACCACGACCTTGCCTCCCAGTTCTTTGGGGGGCACTGAGGTATCCAAACACCAACCCTTGTATATACCATTTCATATTTTCTTGCATTTCTTTTTTTTTCTTGGTTTTGCCCTCTTGAATCTTTCACTAAATTTTCTCACACAAGGGACTGTGTGATTTAAGTTTGGGGGAGGGTTCAAGAGATGATTTAACCTTGTTTTCTTTGTTCTTAGTTTTTCATTTATCTTTTGCATAGAAAAACCAAAAAAATCATAAAATTTTCAAAAAATCCAAAAATATTTTCATCTTTTTGCATTCATATTTGTTAGACTTGTTTAGGATTGCATCTTTTCACTTGCATTGTTGATTTGACTTTGAAAACTTGTCCATCTTTTGCGATTTCTTGAGTGCCCTGTTTTTAGATTCTTTTGTGCATTAGGGTGAGATTGATTGAGCAGCAAGAACCATGTTTATCTTGATCATATCACTGCATGCACATCTCATTCAACCATTGCTGTGATTTGATGCATTTCCCTATCTATTTGAACCATAACTTGATCTTTAATTACCAATGCTTGCATTTGATTTCAACTCATGGCTACCACATACATATCTGGACATTCTTTACCTATTTTCATATCCCTTTGCTTGTCCAGATAGCTGATCTCTATCTTTGAGACAGTTACCACACCTTAAACCTAAGCCTTTTCATTTCAAACCCCATATTATCTCTTGTGCGAATGTGAGAACCTTTCTTGGCTTTGCTTAGCATAAGGTGTTGTGTTTAAACCGGCAGGGGCAGTAGTTCTAGTTGTCTAGTTCTCTTGGGATTGTTTTCAGGCTAAGTTTGGGGGTGCCAACTCGAGCTCGATCGAGTTGGGTGTAAAAACCAGAAAAGTGGTAAAAGTTGGGAAAAAAAGGAAAAAGAGTTTAGTTAAGTCCAGGGAGTTGGCAGTTTAAAAAGGGTCTAGTAAAGGTTTGGGAAGTTAAAAAAGAAAGTAAAAAGGGTTCTAAGTAGAATGAAAAGAAGGCAAAGCCTCAAGTGTCAAAAAGAAAGAAAAGTTCCCTAAGTGTTTAGAAAATCCCAAACCGCTAGATGTTACCTCAAGAAGCCTCTCCCTAGGAAGTTCTTAAAAGAAAAGTGAGCAAAGCTCCTCAGTTTCAAAGGCGAAATGCCAAAAAGGGTAGTTAGGATTTTGTTCTAAAAAGCTCTAAGTGTTGAACTCGATCGAGTTAGGATTAGGCGGCTCGAGCTGCTGTTCTTGCATCATCTTTGGTTCTAACACTTAGCCTTCTGCCAAAGCAAAGCCACTTTCTTGAGAGATCCCTGTTACTAAACCACCATACAAAAGAGACCCTCTTTGTCTCTTAACCCATAAACCCTTGAAACCAAATGAGTTGATTGATCTTGCATGTTTTTGGTTCACTGTTTTTGCTTAATGAATGTTAAAGGGATTTGCTGATTTGAATGCATTGTTTGAGTGACTGTGAAGTGGGATTGATGTTGATAAGCATGGTTAAATCTTAATGAATATCTCTCACCTTGTTGCATTCTAGAATCTCTAAGTTGGACATTTAGCAAATCGCTTTTGAGGACATGTTTTTAAGTGTTGAATCAGCTTGTTTTCAAACCTCATCTCTTTCTTGTTCTATTTGTTTGCTTGAGGGCAAGCAAAGTTCAAGTTTGGGGGTGTTGATGTACTTGCATTTTACATAGTTTTAGTACATCTTTTATGCATCTTTTGCATAGTTTTAGCATCCATTAGCATCATATCTTGTTCCTTTTCTCTTCTTATGCATTCATAGTAGTTTTAGGTTGCATTTGCATACATATGCATGTTTGGTCCTTTGAAATAGGTCTTTTGGAGCATTCTGGAGCATATGGGACATGAGGAGCATGGAGGGACTTGGCACATGGACGCAGCTCAACTGGATACGCAAAGGAAGAAGGAGAAGCCATCTTGAAGACCAGCTCGACCACCTACTCGACCAACCGGTCGAGTTCCTCAACTCGACCGGCCAAGCTTCAACTCGATCGAGCTGAGAAGTCAAAGTCAAACCCGAAAAATGTTGCTTCCCCCTTGACTTCCTTTGACCCTAAACCTAATCCTCTTGTATTTAAAGGCTCTAAGCCACGAAAAAACCACCAAGCTTTAGATTATTTTTGTTTTAGTTTCTTTAATTTATTGTTTTACTTTTTAGAGACTCTAATCCCATCTTTGTGTTCTTGAAGCTCTTGCTTCTTGAATCCTAGATCCTGGATAATCTCTTTGTATTTGCACTTGCTTATTTCAATAAAAGTTGTTTATTTCATCTCCTCTTTCTTATGATGTCTTTTATTGCATTTGCTTGTGTTTACATTCATGTGTAGTGAGTAGTTACCCATTAGGGTTTGAGATGGGATAGATTAGAGGTTTCATATGCTTAATCCTTCTTGCTTATGGTCTTAATCTAGATCTCTCTCTTTTGGATAATCTTAAGGCTACATGACCACTACCCCTGGCTTGTATGTCCTTAGGCGATTCTCCACATGGAAGTGATGGAAATTCGCTGGAAAAGATCCACTAAGAGCTCCAATATCTCTTGCTCTAGAAATGGAGGTCTAAGGGGTTGGATGGATTAGTTTGGGCAATGATCCTATGGCCTCCAAGGCTTGATTCTCACTGGCTAACCCCCTGTTTCTGAGATCATTCCTTGGTTGATAGCCTTTCACCTTGGGAAAGGGTTGGCTAGGCATTGAGAAGCCCAATATCAAGAGAAGCCTTGATACAAGTTTTAAGAGCAAGATTGATTAAGTGTAGCCTTCCCTGATTGTAAACCCTGTCTTAGACCCTAATTTCTCATTAGCTTGTTAAAGTTCATGCCTTTAGCTTTGTTTTCTAACTCGACCCTAAACTCGATCGAGCTGGTACTCTGTTCCACTCGACTCGAGTCCTTGGTCGAGCTGTTGCTTACTGCTTTCTTTACTTTATTGCATTGCATTTCTGTTTCTTAGGTTGTTAGTGTTACCACCTTCTATTTACTGCTTGCTTGACTTTCTTGTGTTTCATATTCTCATAGAGTAACAATTTCACCCATTTTGGATTGATAACCCTTATACTTCAATGACTATGATGGTTAAGGGAATTGATTGATTGTGATTGCACCATACCACCTCATCTTCATATACCACTGTTGCATTCCACCTCATTCATTTCATATCTTCTCACATCCACACACAAATCCTATCATCAGTGATATACTGATGATATGATTTGTGATATACTGATGATATGATTTGTGTGTGGGTGATGAAATGATGTAAGTGATATGAGGTGGAATGCAAACAGTGGTGAATAAAGATGAGATGGTATGGTGCAATCACAATCAATCAATTCCTCTTAACCATCATAGTCGATGTAGTATAAGAGGTTATCAATCCATAAGGGTGAGATGTTGCTCTATGAGAATATGCAAACACAAGGAAGTCAAGCAGACAGTAAAGATGATGGAAGTAACTCTAGCAACCTAATGAAATGAAATGCAATGCAGAAAGTAAAAGAAAACAGTAAATGAAAGCAGCTCGACCAAGGGCTCGATCGAGTAGAAACAGAGTAACTGAGCTCGATCGAGTTGAGGGTCGAGTTAGCGTAAAAACAGAGGAAAAGCGATAAAGATACGAACTTTAATACGATAATGCGAAGCTAGGGTCTAAGACAGGGTCTTGCGACTAGGGGAAGACTATACTTAATCAATCTTGCTCATTAACCACTTGTACTCAAGCTATCTCTTGGTATTGAGCTTCTCAAGCCTAGCTAACCCTTTCCCAAGGTGAAAGCTATCATCTAAGGCAAGATCTCAGAAACAGGGGGTTAGCCAGTGAGAATCAAGCCTTAGAGGCAGTAGGATCATTGCTCAAACTAACCCATCCAACACCTATAAACTCCATTTCGAGAGCAAGCATATTGGAGCTCTTAGTGGACCTTTTCAAGCGATTTCCCAACACTTCCATGAGGAAAATCGCCTAGACTCATACACGCCAGGGGTAGTGGTCATGTAGCCTTAAGGCTTGTCCAAAAGAGAGAGATTTCTAGGTTAAGAACATAAAGCAAAAGAGATTAAGCATAAGGATCCTCTAGTCTAGCCCATCTTGGACCCTAAGGATAACTACTCACTACACATAACGAAATACACAATCAAATGCAATGAAAGAGACATAATATGAAAGAGGGAATCAAACTAAAGAACTTTTATTGAAATAAGCAAGTGCAAATACAGAAAGATAAGGCCTAGATCTAAGGTTCAAGAGCAAGAGCTCAAGAACACAAAGAGAGGCTTAGGTTTTGCAAAAAGTAAAAATACAATTAAGAAAAGCTAAAACGAAAATAAGCTAAAGATTGTTGTCTTTTTCGTGGCCACAAGCCTTTAAATACAAGAAGGATTAGGTTTAGGGTCAAAGGGGAGTCAAAGGGGAAGCAACATTTTTCGGGTTTGACCATTGACTCCGCAGCTCGATCGAGTTGGAACTTGGCCGGTCGAGTTGAACTCGACCGGTTGGTCGAGTAGATGGGTCGAGCTGACTTCAAGACGGCTTCCTTCTTCATCCTAAGCTTGTGCGGTTGAGCTGAATCCATGCACCAAGTCCTTCCTTGCTCCTCACGTCCCAATGCTCCAAAGTGCTCCAAAAAGACCTATTCAAGGATCAAACATGCACATGTATGCAAATGCAACCTAAAACTACTATGAATGCATAAGAAGGGAAAAGGAACAAGATATGATGCTAATGGATGCTAAAACTATGCAAAAGATGCATAAAAGATGTACTAAAACTATGCAAAATGCAAGTACATCATATACCTCTATTTTACATGCTTTTTAAAACTCCAAAAAATGTTATCGTTACAACGAAAACGAAAATACAATAACACCAAAGCCAAAAAAACAACTGAGGCTACAAAGATGAAATAAGCTCACTCCTCGACCTGCTTGTCGAACCACTTCCTGAACTTCAACTTCATCTTTGCCTCTGGCTCCCAAGTCTCCTCTGTAGAACCACTGCAATCCCACAAAATCCTCAGTAAGGGAATCCTCTTGTTCCTCAGAACCTTTTCCCTCCTCTCTAAAATCCTCACAGGCACTGCCGGCACTGTCAAATCTGGCTGAAGATCCTCTGGAATCCTAGCCACTAACTCCTCTGTAGGGTGAAGACACTTCCTCAGCATCGACACATGAAAAACCTTGTGAAAGGCTTTCATAATCTCAGGCAACTCCAGCCTGTAAGCCAATGGCCCAACTCGCTCCACTACTGGAAACGGACCCATAAAACGCGGACTCAGCTTGTTCTCTGCTATGGATCTGTTAGGACCCCTCAACATAGCCATCTTGAGATAAACTCTATCTCCAACCTGAAACTCAAGCTCTCGTCTGCGTCTATCTGCATAACTCTTCTGCCTGTCCTGAGCCTCCTTCATGTTCAGCCTCACAACACGGACCTTCTCTGTCGTCTCCTGAACATAAGTAGCTCCATACATGCTGCGCTCCCCCACTTGGGTCCAGCATAGGGGTGTCCTACATGGCCTCCCATACAAAGCCTCAAATGGAGCCATGCCAATACTCGCCTGAAAGCTGTTGTTGTATGCAAACTCAACTAAGCTCAGGTGATCTGCCCAATGGCCACCCCAATCCAACACACACATCCTCAGCAAATCCTCCAAAGTCTGAATAGTCCTCTCTGACTGACCATCTGTCTGCGGATGATAAGTTGTACTCAGATGCACCTTAGTGCCCATCTCTGCCTGAAAAGCCCTCCAAAACTCTGAAGTGAATCTGGGATCACGGTCTGACACAATACTAGCTGGCACTCCATGCAGCCTCACAATCTCTCGCACAAACTTCCTAGCCAAAACAGCAGCTCCATCTGTCTTCTTGATGGCCAAGAAATGTGCGGACTTAGTCAACCGATCCACAATCACCCAGATAGCATCGAAAGTCCTCGAAACAGGTAGTCCAACCACGAAATCCATCGTAATCCTGTCCCACTTCCACTCGGGAATGGGTAAATTCAACTTCGGAATCATACCTCCGTCTACTCAACGCGTCCGCCACTAGGTTAGCCTTGCCCGGATGGTAGTTAATGCTCACCTGATAGTCCGCCAAGAACTCAACCCAGCGCGTCTGTCTCGCGTTCATCATCGGCTGAGTGAAGATATGCTGCAAACTCTTGTGATCCGTGAAGACCTGTACTGTCTCACCTAGCAAGTAAGACCTCCAAATCTTCAACGCGAAGATCACTGCTCCCAACTCTAAGTCATGTGTAGGACGGTTACGCTCACTGCCCTGCCACTGTCTCGAAGCATATGCTATCACTCTGCCCTCCTGCATCAGCACACAACCAAGACCAATGCCTGAAGCATCTGTATACACCATGTAAGGCTTCCCTGGCTCGGGTAACGCCAACACTGGTGTAGTAGTCAACATCTCCTTGAGCTGACTAAAGCTCTCCTCACACTCAGCTGACCAAACAAACGGGACATCCTTCCCGGTCAACTTCGTCATCGGCTGCGCCATGGTAGCAAACCCCTTGACGAACCTCCTGTAGTATCCTGCCAAACCCAGAAAACTCCTGATCTCGGTGGCACTACTAGGTCTAGGCCAATCTCTGATAGCCTCAATCTTAGCCGGATCCACAGAAACTCCCTCTGCAGAAACAATGTGGCCAAGAAATCCCATCTCTCGCTGCCAGAAACTGCACTTGCTCAACTTAGCAAAAAGCTTCTGCTCCCGAAGCTTCTCCAGAACCAACCTCAAGTGAGTCGCATGCTCCTCCTGACTCCTCGAGTATACCAGAATATCGTCAATGAAAATGATGACAAACACGTCCAAATACTCCCTGAACACGTCGTTCATCAATCTCATGAAGGCTGCCGGCGCGTTAGTCAAACCGAAAGGCATAACCACAAACTCAAAATGCCCATAACGCGTCCTGAAAGCAGTCTTCCTGACATCTGCCTCATCTATCGGGATCTGATGATACCCCGATGCCAAGTCAATCTTGGAGAACCAAGTAGCACCCCTCAACTGATCCAACAACTCATCAATCCTCGGGAGTGGGTACCTGTTCTTCACAGTGACTCGGTTAAGACCTCTGTAATCGATACAAAGTCTGAAACTGCCATCCTTCTTCTTCACAAACAACACCGGTGCTCCCCACGGTGAAACACTCGGTCGAATGAACCCCTTAGACAAAAGGTCCTCTATCTGCTTCTTCAGCTCTGCCAACTCAGCTGGCGCCATCCTGTAAGGCGTCTTCGATATCGGTGCTGTCCCCGGCTCTAACTCAATCGTGAAAGGATCAGACCGAGATGGTGGTAATCCCTTCAGTGACTGAAAGACATCCTCAAAATCCTGGACAACCTCAATATCTCCCATAACAACTCCAGCTCCTGACTCAGACATAGAAATCGTCGCCAGATACGCCTCACAGCCCCGCTCTAACAACTGCTCGGCCTGAATAGCAGATATCACAATACTCCCGGAAGTCGGTCTCACTCCCTGATAAACCAACCTCCCTGCATCTCGCTCGAAGACCACTCTACCTCTGTAGCAATCCAGATGAACTCTGTAGTGTGACAACCAGTCCATCCCGAGAATAACGTCATACAGCTCCACCGGACTGATGACTAAGTCTGCTGGCATTGACTGCCCCGCAATCTCGATCTCGACTCCTCTAGCACGGCCCAAAGTAGACAAGAATCCACCTCCCGCCACCTTGACCATGCCCGCGCTCTCGCCCGCGCTACTCCGGATGCCACTCTTCTCGGCACGCTCCGGTGTAATGAAGCAATTCGATGCTCCAGAGTCGAATAAAACGTGGGACTCAAAACCGCCCACTAACAAGGTCCCTACACATTCAATTGCGTTGAGAACCTCCACAAGACTATCACAGATAAAAATGACTAACAGACAATAACACAACAACAAATTCTATACTAAGAATTTACAAAGTCTGAGTCGAAGATTTACCTGTGATCTGCCCGGTCTGACTAGTCCCGCCAGTCTCCACTGAAGAGTAACCCCGCGGCGCCGGTGCAATCTGACCCAACGGCTGCACTGCTGCGATCTGACTCACTGGCTGAGCCGCTACTGGCTGAACCGAAGCCACCGACATACTCCGCAACTTAGGACACATGGGCTTGATATGCCCAGGCTCCTTGCAGTAGTAACACACCCTCGGTGCTGACTCCCTCTTGGGACAACTCGAAACACGATGCTCCGTGCTCCCACACCCAAAACACGAACCACGAGGAAACTGACTAGCACCAGAAAACTCTCTCTACTCCTCTTCTGACCCTGCGCAGGCAAACCGCCCCTGCCAGAACCAGAACTGAAACTCGAACCACCTCTGCGCTGCTGCTGCTGCTGCTGATGCTGACCCCGAGGCTGGGTAGCAGGAGCAACTGCTGACGGCACAGCCACCGGAACCAACTGGCCCACTCAAGATCCGCCTCAACCGACGCGGCCAACTCTACCAGACTCGCCCTCGAAGTGTACATACTACTCTGCATAGCGTCCGAATATCTTGCGAAGTCCCTCCAGAAACCTGTTCGTCAACTGATGCTCAGCTCCATGCCAAAGCCGCATGCACCAACAGACGGCTGAACTCCGCATCATACTCGCGTACAGTACGCGAACCCTGCTCAATGCCCATAAACCGCATCTGAAGACGATCACGAGCCTGCCTCGGGAAATACTTGGCGTTGAACTCCACAAGGAAGTCGCCCCAAGTCCAAAATGCCCTCCGGCCCACCGCGGCCTGCCACCACAAATGAGCATCGCCACTCAAATAGTGGACCGCTAACTCCACCCAGTACTCCATAGGACAACGGATCGAATGAAAGTTCCGCTCCACTCTCTGACGCCACGCGTCTGCCTCCTCCGGACCAACTCTGCCCTCGAAGAAAGGCGTACCAATCCTCTGCATGTGGCCCATAAACTCCAAATAACGGTCACACCCGCACCCACAGCCTCGGCTGCGCAACGTCTGCAGCAACATGCTGCACCTCTGCCACTGGCGGTACTCCTGGAGCCCCCTGTGGAACCACCGGCGGAAAACGAGCCAATAGCTGCGTCAGCAACCCCACCACTAAGTCATCACGACCCGGAGCCGGAGCGCCACCCCCACCCGGAGCAGCCCCCGCTCCCAAACCAACACTCGCACTGGCATCTGATATATCCATATTTTACATGTTTTTACTAGTATTTTCATATGTTTTCATAAAGGTTTTATGCCTTTGGAGGTAGTTTTCTTGTATTTGTTGGTTTTGGAGTATCTTAACAGGGTAAACTATCAAAAAGGATGCAAAAAGGAGCAAAAGAGCCTCAAACCATGATCCATGCAAGTTTCCAAGTCAAGAGCATCATTTTATCTCCAAGTGTTAATTCTCGCTACCAGCAGAACGAAGCTTCGGAAGTTTGGCCGCGAACGGAAGAGTTCCCGACGTCCAAAAGTCACGATCTTGATATGGAAAGATAGATACTTGAGTCATGCATCACGTCGAAGTGGAATGAAGCCATTTGGATCAACCATCAGGCCGGAACTTATTTTCTACCGAGACATGTCCGGTTATCGACCAAACGGAAGCCCATGGAGGATTTGGAGTGTCTAATGGCCCGAGCAGCAGCGCCAAAGGCCTTGGATCAATAAGGGAGAGGCCTAGCTAATGTTTGGAGCTTTATTGGTGCAATACCAGCCCATACACGACGTGAGAGAAGAAGCCCGGCTCATGGGAAACTTTCCTTTTCCGGCACTTCAATACCCTAACCGACCTACAACCTATATATGCAAGTTTTTAGCCTCTGAGAAAAAGAGTAGGTGTGTGCGCCGTCAGAGAGAAGAGAGAGCCGTCCTGGAGAACAGAAGAAGCAGAGAGAAGAGGCGTTTCTCAAGATTCAAAGACTCACACACACACAAACCTTTACACTTTGTTCTTTCCTTTTCTCTTAAACTTTGTTATTTTGGATTTGAGATTTCAAGGGAGATTTCGACTTGTTCTTCAATAGAGAAGCTTTCTTCATCCCTTATCTCTTTTAATACTCACATAATGCTTTCATACATCTCTTGCTTGTTTGTTTGCATCATGGCTGAGTAGTCTTATTGTTGGGTTCAAGAGTTTTCAAGGGATTCATGGATTGATCACTAGGTTGTTAGATTCGGGATTATTGATTGAGTTCCTCATCTTGATTTGTGCTTAATGCTTATAGCTTTGACTGAACGTCCTGCTACTGCCCTAGAGTTGATTTACTTTCCGAAAGCTTGATAAATCACTTGAAATAATCCAGATGAACAAATCACCATAACCTGCGGGAGTAGAATTATGATGCTTTGTGGAACATATTGAATTTGGATTGTTGTGCTTGTTTAACCACTTGATTGCCTATGGGAGTAGAGTAATCTTAGGTTGTTTAGACATATTAATTGACCTTGCGGGAGTAAGTTGATTATCAATTCATAATTCAAGTTCTTGACCATATCTATTGATTCCTTGTTTAACTATCCAAATAAACCAATCCTTGATGACCTATGAATTCTCTTGTGCCCAATGCTTTCCCTATTGATTTTATTTGCTTGTTTCACTTGATTTCAAGCTCACTCATTGTTATTTTCTTCACTGTTCACAGCTTTAAAAAAACCCCCATATTTTAGTTTTAGCTAAGTTTTAATCTCATAAACTCATAGTGCAACTTTTCTGGTCCTTGTGTTCGATAACCCATACTACCAACGATCCGTGCACTTGCGGTATCTACTAATAGTTGGGTAAAACTTATCCCACATCAAGTAGGATGAGAGAGAAACCATTCCCTTAGTTGATGCTCCAACCAACTAAGAAGAGGCATAAAGTCAAGCTAAAGACTTTAAACAAGCGCTTTGTGGGAGGCAACCCACATGGATTAAGAACCAAAAGAAGACCAATACAAGGAAGTGTCCCACCCAATGTTCCCACCCATGTACAAGGCGAAATCTCCATTTCAGGTAAGTAACTTTTTCTCAATCATTCATTAATAACCATCTCTGATCTTAAACCTATGAGCATTTGAACCATTGCACTTCACTAGCTAATTTCCATGGTTTAAATTGCTTAATATTGATGGTTCATGAATGAGAAAATGTCTTAACTTGTCAAAATCATTTCATGCATTGATATCACTTATATTAAACTATTTTAGAGCTTTGGGATCTCTCATTCAAGACCCATCATGTTTCTATAGTTTATACTTTTTTTGGCTTAGATTGGCAAACCAAACTCATTACTTGGGATCTCAATCTAAGGCCGGATTTTTAACAGTGATTTAAATTGTTTTCCAGGACTTAACTATTTGGCAGGATAGATATGAAGGAGAGTTGCAGTAGCCAACCAAAACCACAAAGCCTATGGCGGCTTAAAGGAGGTTTCAAAGAAGGTTCATACCCAATCACAAGGAACAAGGCGGACACAACCTGGTAATGATAAAGAAGGGTTATAATATCACTTTGGTCGAAGAAAATCTCAATTGGCCCCAGGGGATTTGAAGAAATCCCATCCGGCCCATTTCCCTCGGCCATGACGTGAGCATGAAGAACAACCCTCGGCCATCTCCCAAACCATGTTTCTAAAGTTCACTAAACTTCACCGGAGGAAATAAAATGACATTTTGGTCGGCCCATCCAAAAGATAGGACGGTGAAATGTTCACGGTTCAGGAGATGGGCCAAGGAGCCACATACGGTCCATGGCGGGCAAGCAAAATGGCCGACAATCCAAATCACGGCATATGCGCGCCCACCGGCTGGAAAACACTTATGCAGGAAGAAACGAAAACAAACGAGCCAAACTATGGATGGCCAAGGAAACTCCTTCTTGGAGCCGAATTGTCCATCTTGTGAAGGAAGCCTCAATCCACTCGTTCAAATGCTCTCAAACTTCACCAGATGCTATGAAATACCAGGTTGTTCGATTAAATTTCAATATAGTTCATGAAATTCTTAACGGTTTGTTCTGTAGTTCACAACACTACCTTTTGGCCGGCCGGATGTACCAATCTCGGCCAAAACACAAACCGGTGTGAACCAAGGCCTGAAATTCAAAACTCACCGACCAATATTGCCTAAAGAAGTCTACATGAACTCAAACCGGATCTTATCTTTATGACAAATTGGTTGACCTTTGGTAACATCATCCTAAACCTTTTCTTTTCAATTTTTCATTTTGAACTTTCTGTTTTACCTCTCTTAATCTGATTTGCTTTCACCGGGATGGTGCAAGTGGGACAAGTTGGAAGAGGAATTCCTAATTCTTACACGGATGAGACTGATCACACCTGATCAGTGAAAAGTTCTGCGTCTTGAGATCCTAATTGCCATGGTTCCGCTGCATCACAAGGAGAAATTTTGAGGAAGTCTGGGGGGATTACTAACTATGTTTGTTCATTTTGGTATTTTCTTTTGCAATTTTTCCCTTTTATCGAGTCGTTTTTATTGAGTCAAAATTTTGTTGAGAATCATGACCTTATCTTGGATCTAACCATGGTTGTACTAATGTTTAAGTGACCATTGAGCAGTTCTTGGCAATACATCTACCACAGGTACACTATGAGTTGATCGATCTACCAAAAACGCCCACATCTCTAAGGACTTGAGAAGGATCCATCTTTGACTCCGCCCTTAATGAACTTAATCTTCTCAGCTAGGGGCTTGGCATACAAATGGCATGATTCCTCATCCTCTCCATCAAATGAAAAAGTCTTAGTGAGTTCGTGCTTCCCTCTCTCTCCCCTTCAATTTAAAGAAAAAGCATCAAGGTCCAAGTAACCGGGGATTCGGTGGCAAACACCATCAATACTCGCGTCTATGGAAGGCCTATGGATCCAAGTAACCGGGGATTCGGTGGCAAACACCATCAATACTCGCGTCTATGGAAGGTCCAAGCAAAACCTCTATAATAAAGAGAAGAGTTGAATAAAAAATACTTGCTACCCTAAAAAAGGGATGAATCAACTTGAAGAAGTGAGAAAGAGAGAGGAGAAACATGGAGTAAAAGACAAGTGCCTAAACAAGGGGATGAGTAAAGAGTCTAAAAGCCGGCTGATCGATACTCCCTAGTTGAGACCACACCTTTAGAAATAAAGGAGTCAAGGGTGGCGAATTTGGATGGTCTAAGGAGAGGTGGATTGCTTTGGGACAATCGCAAAACTCATGGTATGTACTCTTGTTCTTAATTCAAAATTTGCCAATGCTGTTTTGTGTGGATTACTAAAGTATAAGTCAACTTGGATTTCCAAAAGATTTGAGAGTTCTTCATGTTTTCAAACCTCTTTTCCTGCTTAGTTTGCTTGAGGACAAGCAAAAGGCTAAGTCTGGGGGAGTTGATATATCCATATTTTACATGTTTTTACTAGTATTTTCATATGCTTTCATAAAGGTTTTATGCCTTTGGAGGTAGTTTTCTTGTATTTGTTGGTTTTGGAGTCTTTACAGGGTAAACTATCAAAAAGGATGCAAAAAGGAGCAAAGAGCCTCAAACCATGATCCATGCAAGTTTCCAAGTCAAGAGCATCAATTTATCTCCAAGTGATAATTCTCGCTACCAAGCAGAAACGAAGCTCCGGAAGTTTGGCCGCGAACGGAGGCGTTCCCGACGTCCAAAAGTCACGATCTTGATATGGAAAGATAGATACTTGAGTCATGCATCACGTCGAAGTGAAATAAGACATTTGGATCAACCATTAGGCCGGAACTTATTTTCTACCAAGACATGTCCGGTTAGCGACCAAACGGAGCCCCTGGAGGATTTGGAGTATTTCAGCTCGGCTCTGATTCTCGGGTCGGGTCAAACCCATTTCCCGATGCAGACAAATTCTCACCCTTTCTCGTCGATCTCCGATCATCACCACCATCAGAATCAGCATCATCCATAGTTTTCCTTCGTTCCCGACCATATGATCTCCGGCAGGATCCAACGGCGGTGGAGCATTCAATCTGACTTCAACATGTCGACACCCTCGGCGGCGCCGAAACCACCGTGGCCTCCGCGGGGTTCAGGGTTTAGGAACAAACAGGGGGATCCTTCAGTTCAATTCAACAAACAATCATCATCATCATCAGTCTTTTCTGGCTAATCTGCGGAGGTTTCCATCGACGGAAGGTGGAGGAGCTCCACAGTTCTTATTCGGATATTTTAACACTTGAGTATTTAATTGTTTTTATTTTATGAGATAATGTTATTTTAGTTCGGTTATATTTGGAATTCTACAACAAAAGCTGCCTTGTTACTCGTGAACGACAAGTAATACGAATAATAAAAAAAGGTCTAGAACGACATATAAAGTGAAACGAAGGGAGTAATATTTATAAACTCCAATAATTATTAAATACCATTTTCCAATTATTAAATAATTATTAATAATTAAAACTTCATTTCTCAATTATTAAATAATTCTCATAATTAAATAATAAATTTCCATATATTTAAATAATTAAAATAATTATTTTAAACCATTTAATTAATTAAAATACTCATTAATTAATTAAATATGAATTTAACCAAATAACCAGATAACCAGATTTAACCAATTAAATAAAATCAATTTAAACTAATTTTAATTTCAATTGAACCGGACCGAACCGGTCAGTGTCGACCGAGACTAGTTCCAGAGGTCGATTCTTCCTTCAACAAAATATCACGAAAATCACATAAAACACCAAATCCACACGAATTACACCCAAAAAACACTAGATAACACATAATCAACATGAACAACTCAAGAACAATTAACCAATCAAACCAAATCTAGCGATTGCGGACCTACAGTCATGCACTCACCTCAAATCGGATTGAAAACAGAGAGAGGGGGATGAGAGAAGGAAGAACAGCAACAAGGAGCCTCAGATCGACAAAGAACTCCGGATTTCAGCTCGAAATCACCTCTCTTCTCCTTCTCCAGTCCGCAAAACGACAAAAGAGAGGAAGAGGAAGCGGCTGCGGCTTTTTATTTCGAATTCTAGGGCTTCCTGGGCCCAAACCGGGCTAAACCGAACTTAAATCGAACCAGAAATTGATTTTAACCATCGGTGTCGACCGACACCACCCTGGTGTCGACCGACACCAAAGAAAAATCTCAATTCTTTGGTCTACGGATGTTACAAGACAGGTTATCATAGGAGTCGGAGCCACGACAGTGGAAATGTTTTATATTCGTGTTCTGTGTTCTAGACGGTTTTATCATCCTAATATCCCTAAATCATATTATCTATCATTGAATCTTGATCATTGCTTACTTCTCTGCGATTAGCCCCTGTTGACCTAGCGCTTTCTTCACATTGAATTCACTACCTTGCTTAATTTTTTTAGTTTTAGTTACAATTAAAACCTCAAAAATCCATACTATTGTTTTAGCTTGATCCAAAATCCACATCTTCAAAGTGTACTCAATAGCCAGTCCTTGTGTTCGATACCCATACTTCTACGATCTGTGCACTTGCAGAGGTCTAAAAAGTTTGGTAAAACCTGATGCACATCAATTGGTCATCAATATAATTCTAACTATAGTATTATTCACATTTCAATTACTTTTACAGGGTATTTAGATCACGGTGACCCAACGTATAGTTGTGACAAATGTGGTGTTATATTCTGGTATGAAGAGCGCCTTAAGAAAAGAAGGAATTCAAAAAATCCAAAGTTCTCTATGTGTTGCCTTAGCGGAAAAATTAAGTTACCCTTGCTAAGGAATCCACCTAAAGTTTTGAGGGATTCGCTGATGGACGATGACGAGCTAAGTAGGCACTTTCGTGAAAATATAAGGTCTTATAACATGCTTTCTGCGTTTACGTCTCTTGGAGTGCAAGTCAACAAATGTATACCAAATGGACGGGGGCCTATGTTTCAGATTCATGGTCAAAACTACCATTTGATTGGTAGTTTGAGACCTGAGGAAGGGGATTATCCAAATTCTCACAACTATATACTGTTGATACTGAAAATGAAGTGCAGAACATAGCTCTTGTTATGAGGTAATATCTTGAAACTGATTATAAAGTAATCTGTATAAAATGAGCAATTAATTTTAAATAAACCCCTCATATATGTCATTCATCCTTTGTAGCAAGGGCAAGAATACGCAAACAGCCAAGAAAAAGAATGAGTTCAGAACCAAAATCATAGAAAAGTTAATGCACATGTTAAGAGAGGTAAATCCTTATGTAGAAGTGTTCCAGATGGCGAAAGACAGATTAGAGACGAATGGAGAAGAACCATTCCACATGAGGATTATAAGGGATCATCCATGAAAAGATGCTAGGACCTACAATACTCCCACTGCTTCGGAGGTTGCAACTTTAATTCCATGTGATTTTCACCTGGAAATGCCTGAATGTGACATCATTTTAGAAGAGAAACCCACCGGAAAGTTTCAGCGCATCAGTGAAATACATACATCTTATCTAGCATTGCAATATCCTTTGGTGTTTTCATACGGTGATGATAGATTCAGAATCAAGACAGAGAAAGTATTTACAGGAGTGAAAGGGGGAACACCCAAGCAAAAGCAGAGTCTTAGATAGTTATTTTCATATCGCATTATGGAAAGGCTAAACGAAAGTCAGACTCTTCTACGCTCTAACAGATTGTTTCAGCAATTCTTATGCGATGGATTTACGATGATTGATCAAACAAGCTCTCTTTTATCAAATACAACCTGTCCAATCTGAATCAATGGATCACAATTCACTTAAGGCAATGTTGAACTCAGGTACAAAAGAAATGGGGGAGCAAGGAAATCGTATTCTGCTTCCAGCTTCTTTTGTTGGCGGGCCGAGGTATATTTAGCAGCAATATTACAATGCTATGGCAACATGTAAGCACATTCAACTGCAATCCCAAGTGGCTCGAGATCACCAGATTTCTTAAGAAGAGGAACTTAGTCATCGACGATAGGTCAGATATTGTTTGCCGAGTTTTCAAAATGAATTTGGACGCTCTAATGAGAGATTTAACTGACGGAAACCATTTTGGAAAATTTTCTTCAGGTAACATAAAACCGACCCTTTTAGGACCATAATGTTATTGTTTTATCGTGTTTTTGCATTATCTTTAGACCCACGAATGATTTCCATCTTCCCATTTCATTTTAATGAATAATTTTCCATTTGCGAGTTTCCATATCAACTCATGAAGAGTATATTAATTGTTTATTTCACGATTATCGTGATTTAAGTTAAGAATACCATAGGAAGTGATGTTTAATAATATTTTACTCATATCTAATTATGGCACATTCAATAATCAATTATGTAGTATCTACTAAAATGAATCTTTTCATATTGACACTGTGTTTAAGTAATTCTTCTTCCCAGGAAATAACAATATTGACGAGCTATAAGACAATAATTTCATTAAAATCCGATTAGTATCAAATCAAATTACTTAATATGCCGCAACTCTTACGATATAGGCCGACCACTTATGACTCGATTTAAAGGCCCCCGCTAATGAGATCAATGCATATGAACTCCAAATTGAGGATTGCTGCATTTTTCCGTAATATTAAACATTACTCTCCAAATATAGGAGATACACGAATACAATGGCATATATTTATGTTTTAATATTGTATCATTTATATAAAAATGTGAGTGCTTCACGGGATACGATTACTTGCGGCAATACATACCCTAAAATGTACACAACTCTATAATTATAAATGGATACAAATGTGTTTCATGTTACGGCGCCTTTTCACATATCTCTCTCATTTTCGACTCTGAAGTTCGATCAAGAAAAAACACATTCAAACAACATGGCGTCTTACGAGATGGTAGCCGATTTTCACTCAATGGTCACAAACTCGACGTTAAGAGTAATGGTTTTAACGAAGTGGTTTAATGTTGGTGTCAGAGGTGTCGAAGGATTAGATGTAATGGTGGTCGACGAAGCAGTAAGTTATTTAAAACAGAGTACTATGCTATCAAAACAAAATTGCACTTACCATTATTGATACTTTCTCATTTAGGGTACCAGGATCTAGGCGTCCGTAACAAGGAATGACTACGTTATCATGTTTGATGACCAAATCGAGGAAGGCGAATGGTACAGCCTATCCAAGTTCTCTGTCATGATTCTCATGTTCAAAACCGAACAACAATTCACGGATTATGCATTATCATGGAATATAACACTAAGATCCACAAAATACCAAGAAGAGCATCGAGCTATGTAGTTGAACATCGTCCTTTTACATTTGTGGTGACCTTGCGTGCTGATTATGCATTACCTATTAATAAGCCCTCTTTTTAAAAAAATCATTCTTTTTAAACAAGGATTTGATATCAATTTCACATCGAACTAATAAGATCATTTTGAAATATAATTTGTATTACATATTTTTTAGGTGTAGTCTCTCATGTTGGGGATCTTCACACAGTCAGAGATGAGATGTTTTGTGGACGAAATAAAAGAAAATGCAAAATCAATTTCCGGATCTGTGATCTTCAGTAAGTACTCTAACAACAAAATATGGGTTTTAACTAATCATATACTCCTTTTGTCCCATATTATAAGCAGTTTGAGAAAATGTATATGTAATTATCTGGATGTATCTGGACTTAAAACACATCTAGATACATCTAGATAATTGCAGATACATTTTCCTAAACTGCTTATAATATGGGACAGAGGTAGTATGAAATACAGTGCTCTGATGGTCACCTATTTTCTCTAGGAATCGTGAAATACTATGTTATGCAAGTGGAAAACTCGCTAACAATTTCTATGAGGTGTACCATAGAATTCCAAATGATGTTGTAGTATGTGAGTTAATCGATTGGAAAGCTCTATCGAACAAAGGTAAGGTCTATATAACGTTTTATACTGTTTCATCCATGTAACAATTCTTTGTATAGTGTTTAATGGTGTTCTATTTACACATTAGGATGGAATCATGTTGTTGATGGAGGTGGCATGTCAAGATTCGAATTTGATCCACATTTCCCCATTGCTCAAGAATTGAAGGAGAAGTAAGCATTGAATTAACAATAAGCTTAATACATTAGAGATCATATAACTCATTACTAATATTTTTACAACTCGTATATTGTAACAGGTTTATGATGACCTCTCAGCATAGGAAATCACCATCACACACCGTTAACACTTCGGAAGCACATTTTCATCGATCATATTCGCATTGGATGAGAAGAGAGTGGTTCACAACAACAAAAGTTCAAGGAATCATGTTGCCCCATGATTCATTTGATTTTTGTACCCATTTTAATGTTTTAACTTTTTAATACCTCTTTGATTCTGTTTACATTCCAAACACATTAGTTTAATGCATTTCATTACTATTTCATAACTTTATTCCGTCTTCAAGCTCTTTAACTATAATAATACACTCAATCACTTTGATCCTTTAAACTACAAACGTCAAAAACCAACCTCAAATACAAATTATACCAACCATAACAACAGTTTGTCCCGCACATTGTGGATAAGTAAATGAATGCGGTCGAGATTGTTTCTATGTTCCCCTAATATATATTGGTTAAAATGCTTAGGTATGCATCTCTTGTGTTCTTGATTAACAATAGAAAACTTATCAAATTGCAAAACAAAACTTAACAGTTTACCAAAACAAGGCTGTGGAAAATTGGTACTCTCGAGATATCTGATGAAGCATATTCAAAATCACTAAATCAGAATGAGTTATATAGCTATTGGACTTTGCATAGTTATGACCATTATATGGGCTTAGGCCTCTCTTTCAGACTTTTCTTGGGTTTAAATAATAAAAATCGCCTTTTTGAGGAGGTAATCAAATCCTATGTTTTCTTTTCTTACGTAACAATGATTAAGTTTAACATAGACTTTCATGCCTAAGAACCTCATTTAGTTGTATTTTCTCTTACCAAGTAACAAATATCTCTTTCATTTTAATAGCGACTATGAGAGCTGTATTCATCTGTGTTTGATTTTTTTTTTTTTTTAAAAAGACAAAGTGGTGTATAATTTTATTCTACGGAGGGAGAAAACGAGAGACAAGTCTCATCAGAATGTGTTACTCTATTCGACTATTCCACATCAATATCAAAACGATATAAGAAAATTACACGTTCCAAATCATCTCTATTGGTCCATTTTTTTCGATATATGAACTCGATTTGTGTACATGGATGTGGATATAATAAAGTAAGCTGCTAAAACGCTCCCAGGCACGAGTCCCAAAGTCAACCACAATCACTATTCAACTTTTGAATTCTCCTACTGTTCCGATCTAAAAGGCTTCTTTTGATGGTGGTTGGAAAGGGAAAATGACCCGTTTTCTCCACTAACACTGTTGCTGCGTGATGAATGACCGAGGATGTTGGAAGTTATGCTGCCTTAATTGCCCTAGAAGCTCCCCAACAAGAGTCCTCCCTCCACTCTCCCCTCCTGGCTATTAGGAGATAATCCTAAGCTCCTCCCTCTAACAGCTATAAGGAAGTGGACGACACTCGGTTATCTCCTCTCTCAAGTATATTTATGATACTTGAAGTAACAGTTATGCTTCTATCTCCCTGGAACATTTATTGCTTTCAGGGTTGACCAAATCTTCTCAGAGAATATCAGAGGCGAAGTCAGAAGCTCTGGATCTGTAGTAAAGACTCACTTTTCTCTCTCTTCAGAAGTAAATCTCCCCAGATCGAATCTTGTGGCGGTAAATTTTTCTCAGATCTAAAAAATCTGTAGTAACTTTTCTCAGATCTACCAGATCTGTAGTATCTTCTCACCCTTGGGTGTAGTATTTGGCCCGCTCGACTTCATCTGGGCTTACCAACACAAGCTTACCCACTATTCAGAAGCAATGAATCGACGACTATTTTATTCGGAAAAAAGGAAAGAGCCCAGCTATTCCTCAACCACCTCCTAGGACAGCGAGAGTCAAAGTCCCGTTTTTTGACAACTTAAAGCTCTTAAAGAAACACTCGCTAACCCTGATTGGAATGCTTACAAACCCTAAGATACAAAGGGTCGGGTCCCTCATCTCCTTCTTCACTGACCACTGGAAAGTGTCTACTAAGCCCGTTGGTGCAGATCTAGGCCAGGGACAGTTCCAATTCCAATTCGCTAATGAGAAAGACCTCCAACAGGTCTTAGACGATAGGCCTTATCACTTCGCCTACTGGATGCTAATCCTCCAACGTTAGGAACCAACCACGGCTACCACCTTTCCATCTCAAATCCCCTTCTGGATCCAAGTACAAGGCATACCAGTCCACTTATGGTCAGAAGAGACACTCCGAAGCATAGCCAATTATATAGGCCACTATGAATCAATGGAGATCACTGCAACTACGGCAAGGATGAAAGTACATATCGATGGCCTACAACCTCTGATCACATCTTCAATGGTGGAATTCGAAACTGGAGAAGAAGTGGAGGCCACACTAATATACGAGAAACTGGAAAAACATTGCATTAAGTGCATGTCTCTGCTCCATGATGCAAAAGACTGCCCCACCTTCAAATCAGAGGAGTTAAGAGAAGAAGCGGCACCCTCAAACCCTCCGAGATATCCCCCAAGACATCGGGATCATAGGGGTTTCGAACCTATCCGATATCGGACTTCACAAGACCAAACAGGGAGCATAAGAGAGCTAGATCAAGGTTTCCGCAGTTCATCACCCCGCCAAGCTAACCAAGCTGAGCTGTCTAAAGAAAGATCTGGGTCGCAGAACTCGAACCGAGGCTACAACTATATACCCAGATCAAGAGAATTCAGCAACCCTGATAGCTCTGCTCTAAGACATTCTGATTTGAGAAACTCACTAGATGCATCCAGATCCCAATTCTCGGCCCAATCCCGTCGCTATGAACGATATGAGGAGAGAAGACAGCCACCACCCCAATCAAAATGGGTCGAAAAAGAGAAAGTGGATACAGAAATCAGAGAGAGATTATCTGGAGATCTTCACTCTGCTATTTCTGGCAGCTCCCGTCAGAGAAGACCTCCTCTGGATACACAATCCCCTAGAATTTCACCTGACCAACTCCCCCGAGAAGCTTTCAACGCTGCCTTGAACGAGGTTAGAGACGTTATGCACCAATACTCATCCTGCGCTGACCCGTCAGAAAGTGCAGCCAGAAAGGAGAGACTGAGACAGGCAGAACAGAGAGGCCAAATAGAAGAGACAGCAGCTCAAATGGTGAGAGCCTCAATGGCAACCCAAACACAAGACACCCTACCGGTGGAAAACCCAGAAAGCCGATCCGTAGAGCGAATTCCGGCTACGCAAAGACTAGGACCAGCGGTCTCACCTGAAAGAGTGATAACTGAGGAAAACCACTTGCAAAAGTCAGCAGCGTCTAAGAGAAAGCCAGGAAGACCACCGGGAAGGAAAAATGGAGATAAGGCCAAGAATAATACCTTGATCGGAGCGTCGTCGAGAAAAAGAAAAATCCAGCAAACTGCTCTCTCTCCCAGAAAGAGGAAAGATTCCGATTTATCCAGAAGATCAAGAGCCTCACTTGATTCCGATTTTTAAGGAAGAGGAGAAGACGGATTTTGAAAATCCGAGTTCTTCTTCTTTATTGCTGGGATCATTCTCGGGATACTTGGAAGTTGGACAAAGGAAGTTCCCGCTTGTCTAGATGTGTGGCTGGTTCTGCGTCCCGAATTCAGTGATATCGAGCAATTAGAGAATCAACCCCTTGATCTTGTGAGTATCTGTGGTTCGAAGGATCCGATCACAGACCCATACTAACCTTCTTCGACCCTAAAAGAATGAAAAGGCGCAAGAGCTTCAGATACGACCGCCGTTTAAAGGATAACGAAAAAGTGACAAACCTGGTTAAAGCTAGATGGGAGGAAGATGCGAACCAAAGCGTTCAGGAGAAAGTCGCCAAGTGTCGCAATGCAATCATCCATTGGAACAAAGAGCAACACCAGAGCAATCAATAGCTTATCAACAAGCTAAAACAAGATTTGTAGGTGGAGTTAAGTAAAGCAATACCAAATGACCCACTCATCCTAGCCCTCAACGAGAAGTTAGAGAAAGCTTACTAGGCTCTGGAGGCATTCTGGAAGCAACGAAGCAGACAGTTGTGGCTGAACCTGGGGGACCAGAATACTTCTTTCTTCCATGCTTCGACAAAGCAAAGGCTTGCAATTAATAAACTATCAGTAATAGAAGATGAGACTGGAAAGGCAGAATTTGAAGAAGATAAGATAGTCCAAGTGATTACCAAATATTTTCAGGATTTTTTCAAAGCACAAGTAATCGTGAGCCCAGCACAGAACTTGATTGCAGTCAATGAGGCGCTATCACCCACCATCTCTGAGGAGATCAACCAAGAGTTAATCAAAGACCCCACTCCAGCAGAGATAAAAGAAGCAATGTTTGCGATTCACCCGGATAAGGCTCCCGGACCCGATGGCTTCTCGGCCAGTTTCTTCCAAACGAACTGGAATGTAGTGGGGCAAGATATAGTGAAGGAAGTCCAAGCCTTCTTCAGCTCTGGTACTTTGCCAAGAAGCACCAATGATACTCACATAAGACTTATCCCGAAGATCACAGGACCTAAGAGAGTCGCGGACTACAGACCCATTGCACTCTGCAATGTCTGCTACAAAGTGGTCTCTAAAATCCTGACCTGGAGACTCCAACCGGTTTTGAATGGGATTATTTCTGAAAACCAGTCAGCTTTCGTTCCCAAACGAGCCATAGCAGATAACGTCCTAATAACCCATGAAGTCCTCCACTTTCTAAAATCATCAAAGGCCAAAATCTCCTGCACAATGGCGGTGAAGATAGATATGAGTAAGGCTTATGATAGACTAGAATGGGTTTTTATTCGACAAGTGATGCAAAGACTAGGGTTTCATGAAAGATGGATTGGGTGGGTAATGCATTGTATTACATCGGTCACTTACTCGTTTCTCATCAATGGATCACCGAGGGGCTTTGTGAAACCTTCAAGAGGAATCAGACAGGGAGATCCCCTTTCCCCTTACATCTTTATCCTCTGCAGCGAGGTACTGTCAGGACTCTGCACGAAGGCGCAACGATCAGGAAAGCTTCAAGGGATCCGAGTGGCAAGAGCAAGCCCAAGGATAAACCATCTTTTGTTTGCCGATGACACAATGTTTTTCTGCAAAGCAAATGGGAAGAGCTGTAAGGCGCTGAAACACATCCTAGATAAGTATGAAAAAGTTTCTGGGCAACAGATCAACTTTCAGAAGTCAGCCATTACCTTCTCGCAGAAGACGCCGCCGGCAACTAAGTTATTAGTCAAGAGCAGACTACAAATCGAAAAGGAGGGAGGCACAGGCAAATACTTGGGACTGCCAGAACACTTTGGCAGAAGAAAGAAGGATCTGTTCACCGCCATAGTAGACAGAATCCGGCAAAAAGCTGCAAGCTGGTCCTCAAGGCGTCTCTCTATTGCGGGAAAGTTAGTCATGCTGAAAAGCGTGTTATCAGCAATGCCAACCTACACCATGTCGTGCTTCAAACTTCCACAATCGCTCTGTAAGCGTATACAGTCGGCCCTCACACGCTTCTGGTGGGACTCCTCCCCTGAGAACAAACGTTTGGGTTGGGTAGCGTTGAATAAAATGGCAAAACCAAAGTTCCTTGGAGGGTTAGGATTCAAAGATATTAACATGTTCAACGATGCACTACTAGCTAAACTCAGCTGGAGAATCCTAAACAAACCTGAATGTCTGCTGGCAAGGATCCTAAAGGGGAAGTATTTCAGACGATCTTCCTTCCTGGAGAGTACCATACCAACGACTGCTTCACATGGATGGCGTAGTATCCATATTGGAAAGGAACTTCTCACCAGCAATCTTGGATGGGTTATCGGAGACGGACAGAGCATTAGAGTTTGGCAGGACCCTTGGCTATCTCTTGAAGAACCTCTCCGACCTACAGGACCACCAACATAAGCAAATCAAAACCTCCTAGTGGCGGATCTATTTATACCAAATTCTTTAGCTTGGGATGCTGAAAAATTGGAATTCTTACTCCCTGAGTACAAGGAAAAAATTCTCACCTTGAAACCAAGTCTGCTTGGACCCGCAGATAAACAGATTTGGCTAGGACACCCATCTGGGACCTATAGCACCCGGTCAGGATATCTCACCACTTCAAAGCTTCACGAAGCTACTCGGGCATCACCAGCTATGCCTGCAATCAATTGGAACCAACAAGTTTGGAATGTCAAAACCTCACCAAAAATGCAAATGTTTATCTGGAGATCTTTACATGGAGCTTTACCTGTAGGAGAACAGCTGGAAATCAGGAACATTGTGACAACAACAACCTGCTGCAGATGCAATGAACCAGAATCAATCCTACACCTCCTTTTCCATTGTAACTTCGCCCAAAAAGTCTGGAAATTGGCGCCTTTCCCTCAGGACTTCATCTCGACGCTGATAACATCTCTGAATGAAGGACTGAATGCTGTCCGAAACCAAGTTACCCTCCCTCCTGTTGGACTTGACAGGGGAAAACTATACCCTTGGATCCTTTGGGCTATTTGGACATCCCGAAACCAGAAGATCTTTGAGAATAGGATATTCACGGTGGAGGAAACTATCCTTAAAGCTACTTGCGATGCAAGGGAATGGAATTTAGCCCAAATCCCTGTGATAGGCAAAACTCGTTTTCTCTCAGGAGTAAATCGGGCTAATCACGGTGTGGGGACTATCGTTTGCTGCACAGACGCAGCTTGGATGATGTTTGGTGCATCCGGATCTGCAGGACTCGGCTGGATTTTCACCGCCGACGAAGGGCAAGTCTCTTCTTACTCCTCAGCTCACTCTTTTGTTTCTTCGGCTTTGGTAGCTGAAGCTTTGGCAATTCGGGAAGCACTCTTCAAAGCAGTGGAATTAGGATTCACATCCCTGATCCTCCAATTTGATTCGCTCATCCTGATCAAAGCGATCAATTCTCGATCTCCTCTGTTGGAAACGCATGGCATTCTCGCAGACATCGTTTTGATCGAAAAGTCGTTTATTTCCCTTAAGTTTAATTTTATCCCTCGCCTAGATAACACTGTGGCGGACTCTGTAGCCAAACAGGCTCTGTGGGCTTTTCAAAGCCTTTTGGGTTAATCTTAATGAGAAAAATTAGTTCGTAACAAAAAAAAAAAGAACTCGATTTGTGTTTTGGTAGATCACTACTATAAGAACTTGAAATATTTTTGGTTGCCAATATAGCATGAAATGAAAAAAAGAGTTTTTTTTGTTCTTCTGATGCGTACTTGTACCATTGAGTCACCCTGATAGAAACTATATGGGTTAACAAATTTTTAGTTAAAAGTCTATAAAATGTAAGTTCTGTAACATGTCACACTATAAAATTTAGCAGATTAAAACTAATGTTTTGGCTAAAATACTTCGTTAACCAAACAAACTATTTTCATCATTTTTGTTAAAAAAAAAATTATTTTAATCATTATTTTTCTTGTCACCATGAACATCCGGAATGAAGATGTTCAATTGTAAGACTAGTCAAAGTGAATAGCTCTCTTAGCTGTTCCAGTTCAACTATTCTTAGAAGTATTCGATTTTACTATTTTGGTCTTACTTTCTGATACTTGAATGTTCAGGTAACGTTTTCAAAACTGGAGGTGATTAAACTTTCTGATCACAACAAAATTATATAATATTAAAAACCTTGTAAGAAGCGTAGGCCCGAAGTGTGGAAAACATTGTAATTTAAATCCAAGCTAGCTAGTTTTAATAAGAGGACGCAATGTATATATCTTATATATAATTAGGGAGTTGCTCTCTCCATATAGAGTGTCCACATCAGCACAAAAAATTCATTAAATTGTTTTTAAGATATTTAATACATGACTTTTCATATTTCTTTGCATATATTTATATTTTAAATATAAATAAAACTAAGAAAAATACACAACTAAATTACTTAATTAATATAAAATATGTGATAACTTGATGTTAAAATTTATCAAAAAGTTTGAATATAAGTAAAAATATATGTAACTTGAAATGGTATATATTTACCTTTTTATTAAAAGAATTTATCCTATTTCAAAATGTTATAATGTGTTTACAAGTTAAAAAGTTGAATATAAATTAATTAAGATAATAAAAAGCCAATGAGAAATTAGAGTTAGAGTTTATTTAAAAAAAATAGAAGTCGAGTTTTTATATGTAAATTTAATTGCAGTGAAAAACATGAAAATTTTAAGGATTGTGATATGTTTGTCTCAAAATATAATTAATATTTACAAAACTAACATAATAGAAAATAATCAATGGTTATGAGGCTCATATGCTACCACAACAAAGTAGATATGTAAAAAAGTATATATATTATTTTTTTCATCTTATTTCGGGTCCAAATGCTATTTTACATTATGCTTACAAATTTTAACGTTGAGTCCAATGCATATGCATGTTTATAGTCTAACAGAAGTAAACAAACATAATATTTATAACATGCTAAAATTTTAGAAATAGAAAACTCGAGATAAAGTGGGAGTGTTAACATCCTAATAAAATAAAATAAAAGACAAATTGTTCATATTTTTAATGTTAGTGATTGGGTTAACTCAAAACATAAACAAAAAACATGAAAGTTAATACAAAACCATCATAATTCAAATCAACAAGTATAGATAAAACTAAACAGAAAACTATCGCAAACAACCCCGCGCTTGCGCGGGACTTCAAATCTAGTCTAGTACAATATACAGTAATAATAGAAAACTATGAAAATGATACTCCCTCCGTTTCATAATAAGTGTCATTTTGACTCTTCACTTACCCAATGTATATAGATATTAATGGATGTATTAAGACTCAAAATACATCCAGATACATCATTAAATAGTCCAGATTCATTTTAACAAAAAAACACTTATTATGAAACGGAGAGAGTACAAGCCAAACATACTTATTATGAATATTAATTGGAGCGGAGTGGTGTAACCATCCATATGGTGTAAATTCTATGATTTTTGGACCCATTGTTATAAACGAAGGAAGAAGACAAAGAACATGAAGACATGAACAGTTTGATTTATATAATAAATGTTATGAACAATTAAATAAAAAGGAATGGTTGTCGTTTGAAAATGGGTACGAGTAAATAGTGTTGCAGACTCTGCTCATACAGTAATTACAACAATGCAATATGCAACCACGACCCACTTGCTTCTATTCATTTCCCATTCATGCTATCTGCCTCTCTCTCTCTCTTTCTCTCTCTCCAAATTGACTAATGTTTTTGTAAGATAAAATCATTTATTCTCTTTGCACGCTTCTTCGTTAGGTTAGGTTTTCTACGTAAAAAGTGATGATAGCGGTTTAATGGTAGAGACCAATTAGATCTCAATATAGCTATTCGAGTGTTTAACCGAATACAACTTTTTCTTAGCCTAAGTTATACCAAAACTTAAAGAGAAGTAATGGAATAAGAAAGTGTAAAATCTTCACAATATCTCTTAGACGAATTTTTAATAAACTTGTGATAGTACATAAGGTACAAATACAAATTGAATGAGTTCGTTGTAGTGAATTATTTGGCACTCTATTCGTTGAGAGGAACCATATATGAAAAAAAAGTTATTACGAACATATGACACTGCCATATGTTAAATCTTTTTATAAGTAACACTAGAAGGTTGTATTGTTGCTAACTTGATGTACAAAGAGAACATTTTCTACATAAACCAACTAAAATAGACTTCGATTACTTACAGTAACATTTTCGAGGGTTTCATTTTAAAATATGCAACAAAATGGAAATCAATATCCATACGTAGTCAATCTCCATTAACAAGAAAAGAAGAAGAAGCAATATATAGATCGACTAGACGACAACTTAATTGTGTAATTGATATTTCGATCTGATGTCTTGAATCTGTCCTCAATTATTAACATCGAAATGTCTAAAACCTAAAGCTTCTTAAAAACAGTGCCTCTGTCCCCAACCCAAATACATCATATTAATTTCATCCTTTTGATGTATTTTTCCTTAGATTTGGAAATACAAACTAAAATGCATAGAGAATAGAACCTAATCTTAAAGGGATTAACAATGATGGGTTAAAGATAACAAAGAAGGCGTCTTTTTTTTTGTTTTGTGCAAATACTTGGTTATCATTTAATTAAACCGGTTCATTACAAAGATTAGCCAAAGCTTGTTTCGATAACAAAGAAGGCGTCTGATATCAGTTTATAAACAATAGAAATAGCGTTTAATTTCCCGTCGTTTGACTTTGCCGTGTAATCGTTCTATTTTTAATTAATGAAAGAGTTGTTCAAAAAAAAAAAAAAAAAAACAATAGAAATAGCTTCTAAGTGAAATCTCTTTAAATGGTTAACTCTCTTCGAATGTCATCATTATTGTTTCATGCACACACTATATGATTCTTTTGGGTTAATGTAATAAAGCATATATACAGTCCTGCATATATATATATATATATCCATTATCAAAATTTATATACAAACGATGTTCTTGGTCATGTGTCCTAGTTTTCTTGTAGATGAAAGTATATATAAATAAGAGAAGTATATATAGATATGGATATAGCAGAAAGACAGAGTCCGTGATTACTTAGTCTCTCTCTCTCTCTCTCTCTCTCTCTCTCTCTGTCTATATATCGACACACCATAAAAGTTGTTCTTTCTCTCCGTTTCCTTAGCCTCTGCATCTGGGCGATTTTCTCTTTCTATCTCCCTACACATTAGGGAGGTACTGATCCTAAAAACTCATCATCTTTCTATGCCCTCCTCTTTTCTTTCACTTATTTTTCATTTCTTTGTTTTTTTCTTTAACTTTGCGCAAAACTAGCGAGTCCAAAAAGACACTTGCATGAGCGTAATATATTACTAATATAATATAAAATCATATAATACTGTATTAAGAGGAGGAGAGAGAAGAGAAGAAAGAAGATGGCAGTAGATTCCTATTGATTTTTTATGTAAGGAAACATGAAAAAAAGGGTTTGACCAAAGAAACTCGTGGCTGGTAAGTTTCATTACCATCGTTTTTATACTATCATTTAATTTACTTTGATTTTGTATATGTGAATTTTTTGTCAACCATATCATATAATATAATCGTATGGTTACCATAGAGTATAATAATAGTAATAACAAAATGCTTGGTTACTGTATGTAAATCCCTAGACAAAAAGAATAAGAATAAAAAGAGCAAAATTCTTCATCCCAAGATCCATCAGGAGAGTCAGAGTCAGACCCCATCTCTCATTTCATCTCTCCTTTTCACATTTATTTCCTTCTTTCTTTCTTTAACTTTTATTTTATTTTGAAAGTTAATACTTAATACCAATAATATTACATTTATTGTTATTTTTGTTGTTAGAGTCTATGCTAGGGTCCAAGGGTTCATCCCAAGATCCCCTCTTCTTCTCTTTTCTAATTTTCTTCTTGGAAACTCTAAACTTCTTCACATGGAAATCAATTCACTCTACCACCAAATCGTATTACTATTGAAGGTATGTTTATAGTTATTTATTTTTATAAATTAAGTAATAACAATAACTAGTACTAGTCTTATGACTCTTATCATATTTATGAGCTCCTTTTTCTTTACAAATTCATATATTTAGTGGAGTCAAAAATAGAAAACTTAAGCACAAGATGAGCTTTTGCCCATCGAGAGCCTCAAAACCCAAAAGTCTCATCTTCACGAGATCCAATCTTTTGCTTTTTAGTTATTAATTACATCTTCTTCCTTCTCTTCTCTTCTTCTTCTTCCCTCTCTCACACCTACCTATCTAAGCAACACAAAGAACACCATTGTTCCCATCTATTCTATTCCTTATATTTCGCCAATCCATCCATACGCACTCCATCTATAAGGTACAAATTAAAATCAAATTTCTTTCTCTCTTTAGTTGTTTTTCATATAATCATTTCAAATCTCTCAGGTTGTCTCTAGACTATTAGGTCTAGTTACCAAAATTTGACTAGCAATCATATAGCTACAACTCCCTCTTTTATGTACACATAGCTATAGGTCTTTTGGGATGATCTTTTATATCTTCCTAGCATATATTATATTTGGTATATACCTTTATGTTTGACTTCAGAAAAGCACCTTCATGTTGCAAATTTTATTTTCTGATTCCCCTATTTGTTTTCAACAGTTTGACAAGAAGGTTCGAGTAAATATAAAACTATATATATAATAGCATACATGTGCATACATAGTTATGTTTGTGTGTATATATAGTAGTCACTAAATATCTTAAATACCAGCTAGTAATTGCATAGTTTTCTTATTTTACAGCTTTTTGTATTCAGCCCCAAATAAGAGCTTAGAGAAAAGCAGAGAGGATCTCCTTTTACTTTCCCCTCCGAGAAACAGAAATCATATCCAAAGAAAACTTCTTTAATTGAGTCGCAGGTAAGCTTTATTAATCTAGAGATTCAACAACTTCTCTAATATCATATCTTTCTTTCAATTTTCGTCACCTAAATCATATTTGATTATAAAAATAGAAAAAATAAAATCTCCAAATCACATCACTTCACAAAATAATTTTCATGATATCTTCTTTCCGTATATATATAATAATAACTTCTTTCTCCAATAAAAATAACCAAATATCAAAAACCCTAATTTTTGTTCAATTGAATGGCGGCTTTGTGTAGGGAGAGAGAGACTAGTAATAAGGATACATAATCAAGTCATAAATAATGGCATCTTCATCAACGAACTCACCATGCGCAGCCTGCAAATTCCTCCGGCGAAAATGCCAACCGGAATGTGTATTTGCGCCGTATTTCCCACCGGACCAGCCACAAAAATTCGCAAACGTTCACAAAGTCTTTGGAGCAAGCAACGTCACAAAGCTTCTCAACGAGCTTCACCCTTCGCAGCGTGAAGACGCAGTGAACTCATTAGCCTACGAGGCCGACATGCGTCTCCGTGATCCAGTCTACGGCTGCGTCGGAGTCATATCTCTCCTCCAACATCAGCTTCGTCAGCTTCAAATCGATCTCAGCTGCGCCAAATCAGAGCTCTCTAAGTACCAAAGCAGCCTCGGTATCCTCGCCGCCACACATCAGAGCCTTGGCATCAACTTACTCGCCGGAGCCACCGATGGAACAACTACTGCGGCCGTGAGAGACCATCACTATCACCACCATCAGTTTTTCCCTAGAGAACAGATGTTTGGTGGGCTTGATGTTCCCGGCGGTAACAACTACGACGGAGGGATTCTGGCTATTGGACAGATCACTCAGTTTCAGCAGCCGAGAGCGGCTGCTGGAGATGATGGTCGCCGTACTGTTGATCCGTCTTGAGATTTAGGGTTTTGGTGGTTCATTCGTCGTTGATCTTGCTTGCCTCTGGTTTACTGATGAATTATATTTCAAGAAAAAAATATTATTAATGTGGAACGAAACCAAAAATATTTTAATCGTACGGTACGTCTCTCTTGATGACATTAATTTCAGTTTCTATGTGTTATTATTATTGTTATTATCACTTAGATATATGATGATAAATATTACTTTTGAATTTCTTTTAATTTCATGGACAACAACGCCTTTTTTATTGTTCTCTCGATTTATATATGTCATATAGTTTCATTATATATATAGTACATAATTCAAAATAACTCGATTCTAATAGGAATCTTCGTATCATCATAGATATCTCGAGCAAGATATATAGACCTAATTAATTTCAGTTAAAATTTGAGGTGATCTTTTAATAAATTATATAAGTGTTAGACTCCTAAAGTATTTTTTTAGTAGTTTACTACTAGAAAGTCTACTTCTAAAGTATATAAATGATTATAAATATATAGTGTGACCAAAAAAAATTGTAGTGTTTGTGAAGGTTACTTATTAAGGAAGGTAGTCTTATTTAAAGGAGAAATTAAGTCAACGAGTATGATGGAAAATTAGTTAAATACTCGACAATAAGGGAAGATAATTTAAAATGCGAGGTCAGTTATTGCATATTCCCTGTGGTAATCTAAACAACAAATGAGCAATATTATGAGAAACAAAACTCTGACAAAAAGTTTGAAATGGAATGTGAGATACACTGTCAGCGTCAAGGATAAGGATTTGATGCTAGGGAAAGGCAATACTATTACTAACATGAACATGAAACAGTTATCTACTTATATAAACCCACTAGCTCTTTCTAGGCTTTCTCTCCAAGTCTCATTCATATATTTATCATGGCTCTGTATACACATGTGCTATTAGTTACCAATTGTAACATCACTAGCACGGCCGAGACTGAATATTTGACTATTTTGTTATACTAATAATGTAATAATCTAATATATGCGAAAAAGTATTTTTAAATATCACAGAAATACTTGAAACAAAATACAGTGAAGATAAGATTTTTACGCTGGAAAGGATTAAGGCGTTTTTGCAGAAGTTTTTTTTTTCATCTTGAAAAATGGCCTTAGAATAAATGTTGAGATTTTAGTGAACCAAGTTTGTCGTTTTATCTCGTTTAGAATTTCGGCAACTGCAGTTACAAGTCAATAGAACGCTCGTTAGTCGTTATGAGGTTTATGCATCCAATTTGATTACTAAATTTTTTGTAGTAACTTAAATAAGTTGAATAAGAATAAGTAGAAGTTAGTTATCTGTTTTTAATTTATTCATTTGCTACACATAAAAACAACGAAACAAGAAAGATATTGCATTTCCAAAACCATTTCCAAAATGAGTATTGCATTTTTAAGATATTTTATTTAACCAAAAAAAAAAAAAGTTGTGAGGTAATACTAATACTGCAAAATATTTGGGCTGATTGGTTGTGTGTGTAGCTTTGTATTTTTTGCTGTAGAGTTTAGGCTGTAGATTTTTTTGCTATAGATGTAGATCATAGTGCTGTAGAATTTTTATTATAAATAATTTCTTATAAAATATCTGTAGCATTAAAAATAAATAAAATATATTTAGGAAAGAAATATTAAAAAAGAATATAGAGAGTGAAATTAAGGAATGAGAAGAGAGAATTTCCAGAGCTCTTAAATTTGTGCTCTGGAAAATTTCAAAGCCAAAATATTTTCATATTTAAAATTATGGCTTTGAACTTAAAAAATGAAATCAAAACATAATTAGTTTAACACTAGTGCTCTAGCCTCTAGAAATAATTATTGCTTCACAAAGCACTCATAGTATTTACCAATCACACCAATTATTCTTTCTTTTTCTATGATTGCTTTTAAAAGAAGGAAACGTCGTTTAGTTAGCACGAACGCGTTTCTTATGTTCTTAGTTTAACAATGCAACTGTATCTAGTCAATTGCATTTAAGATACATAACAATGATGATTATAATTAGATGATCTGTTCGTTAATAAAGGTAATTAATGAAAAGTATCGACACAATTCCCAGTGTTGACCAAAATCCCCCAAATTCCCAGAGTACTTTTGAAGAAACCCTAAAGTAAAGGATTGTCAAACCATTTTTGTCCGCCTTGCACCTGTCGCCCGCAAGGTTGCATCATCTTTTTTCTTTTACTTTACCCAAAAAATAAGAGAGAGAGATATATGATAAATTAGTTTTTTTTTTCTTTTACTTTCATTACCAAAAAGGTTTACGAAAACAGTCCTTTCAAATTTAGTTGCACATACTTTAAAACAAAATCAAATTCGCGGGCGTGCAGTTTATAAAAAAAAAGTATTTACTAAAAAAAGAAATATTGATTGATGAATAATCTCAAAAGTATTTTAAGTTTTTTCCTACCAAAAAAGAAAAAAGTAGTTTAAGTTTTTTTGTTTTTTTGGTTCATCCAAATGGCAAATATACTGAACCTTTAAGTTGTAAGATATTGCAAAGTACTAGTATTATTCATGTGAATTAGTAGATAAAGCTTATTTTTCTAAATAGCCAACAATTTGACTAAAAAGACACGTGACAGAAAACTGTAGCAAATATAATAATCTTTCCAGATGATGTTCTACTGGCAAAAAATATATGTACCATTCGTTTGATAAGCCATTTCTCTAACTGCTAAAAATCATTAACAAAAAATAAGAGAGACAATTCATCAAATATATTTGAAATTATATTATTATTTATTCTAAAATATTCAAAAATACTATTGATATGGACTCTTGTTTTCGGCCCATTTAAATACCCGGAAAGAGGGGCTATCCGTGAGTTGCACCTCTCTTAGGGATTAATCTGAGCTCTTCCATTGATTTGAGATTTATCATAAATTACAAAACAAAAAATTATTCAAAAACCTCCCATAGAACAAAATAAAGGTATTTAATATTTATTTCTAATTGATAAGCTATGTTTAACAGTATCAATTTTAAATTCTAATTAAAATTTTGACTTGAAATTCCATAAAATAATTTATATTTTTTAAAATTAAAATGTAGATGTTTTGGCTAGGCACAATGAACATAAATTTAAGAAATTTAACATGGTCATATTTTAGATATTATTAATTAATCAACCCACCCAGTTTGAAAGTAAATTTATGTTTTGGTCAGATATTTATCATGATTAGATGACAAAAGAAGCATTTTAGTAATTACATTTTATTTATGATTTCTAGGTGATGACACGTCAGCATTTTTGTTGATTGTGAGTATGATATCTGGCATATAAAAAACAAAAACTTTTCAACTATTTCAAGACTTTTCAGTTTACGCATTCAGTGTATTCTCACGTTTAAGTAACAATTCTCAGTAAAAAATATGAAATTTAGGGGGTGTTATTGGATGTCGTATTTGAAATGAACTGAAATAGATTTACAATCCACTGTTATTCAATCAAGATTTCAAATCCGGTTTTAAAATCCAGTGTTATTCGATATATGATTTATAATCTTTCATTAATAGAGTTTCAAATCCAGTGTTATTAAATCAAGATTTCAAATCCAGATTTCAAATCCACTATTATTCCAAACTAAATGACTTTTAAAATCATTTGTTTATTGAGTCATTTGAAATGACTTCCAATGGATTTGTATGAGTAAATTATAAAAAAAGAATCCATGAGATATTGCAGAGATTTTAGAATCAACTGAAATGGATTCTTAAAATAACACAAATTTTTAAAATCTAATGGATTATAAAACCTATTTCAGTTTATTTCAAATACAACATCCAATAACACCCCCTTAGTGTTCGGAGATCCAAATAAAAATAATAATAACTAAGTATTCATGAAATCTATTTACAAATTTATGTGAAATTTTTTGTTCAGTTGACTATATATATAGAGGAAATTTGGATCAATGTTACACAAATTTAAAATATTTTAAAAACTAACACCTCTTTTTTTCGGAAATAAAAATTCATTAAAAGTTATTTATTCATTTAAAATTAAAATTTCTATTGAAAATTCAGTTAGTGTAAAGATAATTATGTTTATTGTAATTAAAAAAAAGAAGGACAAATAAACTATTATGAAGATCTGATTTGAAATTTAAAATATTAGATAAATAAATAACATGTTTTTAAATTTAAAACATCTCATAAGCTTTTTAGAGAATGAAACCGTAGTCAATTCTTTGTTACAAAATGGCTGTGTTCTAAAACTCGGGCAAAACGGTCGAGGACTCGGTGGTAATGCGCTCGGCGGCCTCCAACCGCCCAATTTTCCCCTACTAGGTCAACAACTCGGAAATCTTCGAAAAAAACAAATTTTCATTCGTTTTGATCTTAAATCACCAAATATATGATGGATCTAACATTATTTACTATGAAAAGTAGATTTAATAAGCAAAAAATGATGAAAACTGTGAAAAAAATAAGAGAGGCGGCGAAATTAGGGTTGCAGAAAGATGAAAAAGATAAGGGTATAATGGTAATTTTCTAGTCATTAAAACTAAAACAGAGAAAATACTGTCAAAATGAATTTATGGGGATCAAACCAGTGTCTCTAGCAAAGAGTACCTCACTATAAACCACCGGGCCACTTAATATTAATCTATTATCCCAACGAAATAATATATATACTATATATGATTAAAAATAAAACTCCGAGTACTCCCCGACTTATTTTCGATTTTTGCAAAAGTCGCTACTCCCATACTGAGCGCCCAGTACCGCCCAGCGAGTTTTTGAACACAGCAAAATGGTGCTGATTTTTGGAATTTCAAAATGAATCATGAAATTTTGTGATGAATTACAATAAAAGAGATAATTATTTCAAATCAGATATGAAAATGATTGATAATAATGTTTCTGATATATAAGAAATTTAAGATATCTAAAATTAAAATATATTTAATTTTTAAAAAGCTTTTTTTTTTTCTTTTTAATTATAATTTCGAAAAACTGAATATTGATTTTATTGTCTTTTCACTTATTAAAAAGGTTATAGGGGTTATTTTTAAAATTAGAAAAACTTTTTAGAATATTAAACTATATATATATATAAATATGCTAGAACATTATGTGCATATGATAAAATTATAATGGGTATGGATCGGGTAAAGATAGTTCATCTATCAAAAAATAGTAGTCAAAGTATATTTATAAATTTAGGATCAAGTAATAGTTCATATAAAAGCTGATAATCAAAATCATTATTTTAAAAATGGCAAATTTAAAATAACTATACAAAAAATATTGTAGATCATTAATATCATAATAGGATTTTAAAAACTAAATAGAATAACTTATATTTAAATTAAATTAATAAAGTTTAAAATTTGGTATAATTTTAATTCTGCACATCGCATGGGTCAAATTTCTAGTAGTTATAACTTATAAGAGTAAAACATTTGACCAAACTAAAAGTTGGTATAAAATCATAAAAAAATATATTTCCGAGAACCAAACAAGCCCTGCTGACATGTCAAATATGAGAACTGGAACAAGACAATTCTACAACGGACGATTCTACCATCTTCGAAGCTCCCCGGCCGACGGCTCCACGTGCACCATTTATGTAGACCTCCTGTAAGTTTGTCTCCAATAATCTGCATAAATTATTCGCAAATCGCATTCGCCGAAATTCGAAACCCATACCTCCTGGTGTAGAAGCATTAAATCCCTTCAACCGCTAGGCTAAGGGGCTTCCACTGTCACGGCACAATAGAATTGTTTTTTTTTTGACAAAGCACAATAGAATTGTTAACGCAAAGATATAAATTATCTCACGTATAAGAAGATGGCAATATGCCAAAATTTCAAAGATTAACTCCAAACAAAAGAGTCAAGATGAATAGAATTGTCCTAGAAGTTAACGGAAACAGTTTCACAAAACGAACCTAGTAGCAAGCAAAGTGACTAATTGGAGAATATGCTGCCATGCGAAAAAGTTCAAAAATCCTTTGTCATTAATCTTCAATACTTTTTGAAAAGTATTGTTCCTTTTTACCTTATTTTATTTTCACAAAAATAGCTCACAAGTCATTCATACAGGCAGAGGTTTTTTTTTCTTTTATGTAATTGCCATGTTTTAATTTTGTTCGTGTTTACAACTAAAATAAAAGTTGAGATTCAATGAACGAAATTTGTCGTTTTCTTTCTCGTTTAGAATTGTGGCAACTGCAGTTACAAGTGAACAGAAAGCTCATAATGTTGTTCTGCATCCAATCTGATTACTAAATTTTTGTTGGTAACTTAAAATATGTAATTCTTAACCAGAAAATAGTATATATATATGAATCAGAAATAAAATTAATTTTGTTGGTTGGAGGGTTGAATTTACATCCGAGAAAGTAGTCCAATTCCATTTCATATATGTATTTTGATGATAAAAAAGAATAATCAAAGTTCCATATTTCCTTTTTTTTATATTGAACTAAAGTTCCATATTGCTATTTAAAAAAAAAAAACAGGCAAAAGGTGTCGGAAGTGTACTTAACTTATAGTGTGATAGCAGATATAGCTAGGTACAAGTTCGTGGAACATTTTGCTTCATGAATCCAGCCAAAACCTTTTTTGTGATCTTCTCATTTCATTGCAATTTTTTGCGTTTTTTTCTGGGGGACAAACTGCAATTCTTTTGCTTTATGATATATATTATCTTTAAGTTTTTTTTTTCTTTCTATTCTCTCAACAAAGAGCGACCCCCCCCACCCACACATAATATGAGAGACAATGTTCATCTATGGGGCATGTTTTTTTATGTATATACAATTCATGATTAAAATTTCGAAAAAAACAAAGTTGGGTGGAGTACTTTCAGAAAACGATTGAACTGTTTATTCAAATGTATATACATGCTGCATATATAGAATATAAATATATAATACAAAGGAAATTACTGTATTATATTGCAAGGTTATTTTTATATAGTTCAACTACATGTACACTTTGCTAAGCTTTAATTTTGGAATGCAGATTCTCGTTAAGTAAAAATCAGTTTCGTCTTCACATGTATTATTATAAGGATGAAAATTGCTGCGTCTACAATGACTCAATGTAATCATTATTTCATTTCTTTCTGTTTGGATGGTAGTTTTCTTTTGTTATAAATTAACTACTAGCTAGTCTAATGCATTTTTTTTTTTTTTTTTTTTTTTTTTGTAACAATCCGTTGATGCAATTCTGACATGACATCTAAAACATCATATAAATGAAGGTATGAAACACAATTTTATCACTCCACGAGTATAAGTAAAACAGTAATTTCCTTTTTATCGATATGTAGTTGGCCTAACGAGACATGTTAATATGATCACAGAACAAGGCATCCTAGGTTTCATAACTCTTAACTTGGCAAATGAGATAGCTAATGTATATTGAGGAGACTAGGAGAGTATAAAGCAATGAATGAGTTAGTTTTGAGAAGAGTGAGAGAAAGAGAGAGAGAAATGAGTAAATGCGAAAGCTCTAAAATAGTTAGGGGAGGAGAGGAGACTGTTAAGCAAGAAGGGTTTCCTAAAAGAAGAAAGCCAGAGAGACGAAATAGAAAAAGACAAAAATTTCGACAAAAAGGAAAATGAATAGTGGTAGTTGAGATATGAGCCTATTCCATTTATTATTTAATCCCTTTTCTTTTATTTTCTTGGCCTTGCATTGAAGATATTCTTTTTATATATTTGTAAGTGTGACAGATGGCTAAGGATATGTCATTTGAGATGGAGAGATCATCATTTCTCATTTATTACCATCTCTTGCATATTTTACTTGTCCATCGATGTTTCTCAATTTTCTTTATGAGTTTTGAATTTTGCTAGATTTTGTGTTGTGTCTATTTAACCTTCGCAAATTTTTTAACTAATCGGAAAAGTAGTATAGTCGTGAACAATCGTATAGTATTTTAATGAAAATCAAAATTGCATTTTTGTAGTATGATTCATTCTTCTGTTTCCAATCAAATTCATTGATGAATGTGAAAACATTGTTCTGATAATGATTTTGCCTTACCTTTTTTAATCATAAATAGCTTAACATTTTCTCGTTACCCAATAATTGATTAACATTTCCAGAAATATGATACGTTAAATGTTTTAGACTTTAGAGTATATATTAATATGCATTACTTTTGAAAGATGTGAGTTGTGGCCCTAATTAAAAGCTAGATGGAGAGAGATCAATAATGAAGAAAAAACCAGCAGGGAAGCTGCTTTGCTTTTCGCTCATATCACATCACGCACAGAATTTATCAGATGCTACTGATTTGAAAGACGTAGTCAATATTTATTTTATAATTTTTTATTAACAAAAAATAATATAAAAAGACAGAGTTTAAGATGACAATGATGACGTACTTTCGCAATGATGCTCTTTGTCTTAAATGCATCGCGACTCTCTATCTCTATTTCTCTCCATCGTAATGTTATTGTACCGCTGACGCAAACCACATTCATTTTTTTATTACTTTGTTCCTTTTGTCGATGTGAAGATCAAATATGTCATGTGTGTGAGCTTTGTTTTATAATGAGAGCGTCTTAAAACTGATCATAATTAGATTGCTGTTTCCTTTTACTGAACTTCCAGTTTTTTTTTTTGGTTAAAACTGAAACTTCCAGTTCTAAACACTTTTAGATGCTACTTCAACTATAAACTAGCGTTTAATTTTTGAAGTGTTTAGAGAGAGAGAGAGAGAGGAGTCTCTCAAATAGTAATAATAATACGTTTTAGAACATTTTAATGTGAAAAACTCACCTTTAATCTATACCTCAAAATCTCCAATGGTAAAATCTTCATATAGTTTCTCTTTGATTTTTCACAATATAATATTAATATTTTAATTTTGATTAAATAATTTAAATATTTTTTAATTTGAAAATTGATTTTATAGTTTCTATTTGATTTTTCACAATATAATATTAATATTTTAATTTTGATTAAATAATTTAAATATTTTTTAATTTGAAAATTTGAACTTAAATTATAGAACTTCTCACTATTCTTTTTTTACACATATCAAATTATATCTTAAAACTATTAATAGTGTATAGCAATAATAAAACCATCAATGTTAATACATTTAATAATAATAAAATGTTAAAATTTGGCTGTAATAAAATTTATTAAAACCTTTGTTTAGATTTTCTATTTATAATTTAATATTTCTTATTGTATTATAATAATACCAATTTAGTATTCTTGTCTAAAAAGTAAACGAATGTTGATTAAAAATAATATAAAATAATGCATAATGTAACTTGATAGATAGATAAATTTGTTTTAGGATTTATAAAAAATATAATATTTCACAAATTAACATTATATAGATAAACCTGTGTTCAAAAAATCGGCAATTAGTAATCGGGCGGTCGAGCAGGTAGTAGAGATTTTTATTTTAAAAAGCAGAATTAAATCGGGGATTAACCAGGGCAGAATTTTACATTATTTTTTTACATTTTTAAACATTTTCACATATATATATATATATGTAAATAACACATAAATATGATACTTAATATTCCAAAAGATTACAAAAGATTAGATATTGTTATAATCCCAATTCACATCTATTACAAAATATCAAAAATAGTTCCACTCACAATAGAGAGCAATAAATATTGTCTTGATCAATTGAGAACATACAAAAATATAGTAAAAGGATTGTAGTTCTTCATCATTTTGTTCTTCATTGATCAAGTAATAAAGGTGCAATAGACTATTAGACTTAGATGTGTTAGATCCTAGAAGAAGTTGCTATTAACTTGAAACAAATGTGAAAGAGATATGTTACAAATTGAACTTGTACACACTAAACCAAAACATATAAAAGAGACACACATAGGCCATAGCAAACTTTAAAACGAAAACCAGATCACGACACATAAGACCTTTCGTGTCCAAACCAAAACTAAATAACTACAACAAATCTTTAAACCATCAAATCTTTGAGAAATCACTACACCAAAACCAAACCGCTCAAAGCCTTTAAAGACATCACTACACCAAAACCAAATCGCTCAAAGTCTTTAAGACATCACAACACCAAAACATCTTTTGTCCAAATCAAACTCGGAAACTAAAACCAAACAATATGCAAGTACTTTAGTAGAAATCCAATGAAGATAAGAGATCAGCGGCTGTAATATTCACTTATTCAATGACTATAGAGAAGAATGACAAAAAAAACAGAACATGAAGCCAATGAGTGATGCAGGGGCATCGTTCATGAAGCTTCTGAGATAGAAAGCTTCTTTTCCTTTTCTCGTATGGTTTTCCTTTTCATAGTTAAGTTTGGTTTTTAGCACTTTTCCTAATTTCTTTATTAGTAGTTTTCCTTAAAGATTTTAAGATCAGCTCTATAAATAGAGATCGATCTCTTCCATTGTAATTCACCCTTTGATTGATTTAATAAACATAGCTTTTCAAGAATCTCTTTCTCCTTATTAGGGATAAAAATTTGGTTCTCAACAGAATAAGAAAACTTTGATCTTTAGGAATTCTCACTAAATAAAGATCTCTGCACTATCGTAGCGAGAGATACACCAATGAGGATGAAAAAAGGAGAACTATAATTTCAATAATTACAAAATGGAATGAGAAAAGAAAACGTACCCATGTAAGCAAATGGTGTGTCATGAAAAAGGGGGTCTTCATCATCTTCAAACTCCATGTCTCCATCATCCTCTCCATCCGATACAAAATCATCATCATAAAGGGCTCTAACCCTTGAAGCTTGAGTATTAATCCCAAAATGACCATCATCATCTAGCTCTTCATGCCGATCAACAAAACCATTCTTCAACAGTGTCTTCATTACCAACATCAAATATAACATCAAATTTGCCTTCTCTGATTTGTTTGTTCTGCTCCCTAAACAATCTTGCATTGGATATAGACAAGACTGTTTAGGAGATTTACATATAGTCTATTCCTTTTCTTCATGTAAATCTGCAATCCTAGACTAGATTTAAAGAGTATGCAATGTAAAAGAGATGAAACAAAGTATAGAGATTTAAAAGTCTAACCGCTCTAAAGCTGCTCCAATTTCTCTCACAACCAGAAGAACTAGAGGTCAAATTAAAGCAAGAATCCTCTTTGCAAGCTTTTGCAAATGGTGTTTCACATCAATAGGTTGACCACCAAACTCATGTCATTTAGTCAGGTAGAAATGCATCATTCACTATAAGCTTAAGAGTAAAGTATAGAGAAATACAATTAATAACCGAAAACAAATGTGGATCAACTTTTTATCCTTCTTTTCACATCCTTTTTGAGCTAATGGCAAGCCAAAATAACCAGACTTGTTTCTATATAGCTGAACTTCTTGATTGTCAACTTCATTTTGCTTATTAAAGTCCCCATAGTAGAATTTCTCAAAACAAGCAATAAATGCTTGCATGACTTCCATATCATATAAGCCCGTTTTTTTCCGTAAAAGTAGAAGGGATTCAGAAAGTAGGCAGAAATATGGAGAGGAGTATCCACCATGCCTTTCATTTTCTCATCAATAATCTTGATGATAGGTTTGTAATTCCTCTCCACATGCTCCGTAGCTTCCTTGATCAAGTTCTTAGCTTCCAAGATCTCCCCATAGATAAACCCAAGTGAGGGTATCTCTGCATCTGCCAGCTTAGAACCTTCACCAAAGGACTGGACACTTTCAAGACAAGTATCATACTTGACCAAAATCCGATGCCCATGACTGTTTCATATGAAGTTTTTCCCTTCACACTCTTGGAATGAACACACTTCTGCCACTCATCGCTGCCAAACATCTTCTTCAATGATGCCTTTTTTTCATATAAACTGTGAAGAGCCAAGAACAGGTCACAAACCTTGTTTCTCCTGGTCGCACTATGTCTCTCTTATGTGTATGTGCTCGCATCATCGCTAAGGTTCTATGATGCGAGATGGTGAGACTTTTGGCTTGATCTATGAGTTTAGCGATTCCTGGCAGCTTTGAAATCCCCCCAAGCATAAGATCCATTGTGTGAGCAGCACATCCACTCCAAAAGATATTCGGCCTCTTCACCTTAAGAAATTTTACAGCTACCACATTGTTGGTTGCATTATCGGTAACCACTTGCACAACCTTCAGAGCTTCTACTTCTTCGATAAAATTATCAATATATTTGAATATATATTCACCAATGTGAGAATCCTTAGAAGAATCTTTTGAACTAAGATAACATGTACCTCCTCTTGAGTTGACACAAAGATTCATGATGCTTCTTCTTTTCATATCAGTTCACGCATTAGTCATCACAGAGCAGCCATCATTATCCAACTCTTCCTCTAGGTGTTTAAGTTTTTCCTTTGTCCTCTTTTGCTCTTCGTTAAGTAGTGGTTCTCTCAGCTGATATTGATTAGGAGGCTGCCTACCAGGTCCAAACTGTCCTAATGCTTCGCAAAATAGCCTGAAATCGTCATTGTCATTAATTGCATTGAATGCAATGTTTGATTTGTAGATCCACCGAGCACAATACTGATGCACCTTATGTGATTTTCCTTTGGAATCACATCATGGAGACTCTTGACTTTTCTGATCAGCAGAAGTTGCTTCATGGTTAATAGTTGTAGCAAAGTTATCCATCAGACCTTGAAAGTGAGGATTTTAACAACGACCAAGCTCTCTTTCATGCTCCTCAATGACACTATCCTTGCTAAGATTAACCTCTACCCTCAAATCTTCATCATTCTTTCTCTTCTGAATCTTCTTGTTTTTGGCTTCTAGAAGCACTTTCATACACTTCTCTTGATCCTCTTCACTTGACCGTCAACATAAAGCAACGTTCCCCTTCACATTTTCTATGTGCTCCTTCATTCGGAATATACAACCAGTCATCTCTTTCCCACATCGCACAAATCATAAATTCTCTGGATTTGTGTGATCACACATACATCCATAATCCCATCCGATGTCAGCAGAGTTTTTCTTCAGAGAGTGTAGAGGAGTCTCCTCTGTCGGTGGATCATCTTTAGACACTAACGTCACCATAAAAAAAACAAAAACAAAGAGTAAGTGATATATCCATATTTTACATGTTTTTCCTTAGTATTTTATTATGTTTTAAAGTATTTTCAATAAGGTTTAATGCCTTTAGAGGTAGTTTTCTTGTATTTGTGGGGTTTGGAGTCTTAACAGGGTAAACATAAAAAATGATACAAAATGGTCCAGCCAAGTTTCCAAGTCAAGAGCATTAATAAAATTCTAAGAGGTCGATTTCCATGATCGGACAGATCCGGAGCATCATAAGTATGGCCGCAAACGGAGGTGTTACCGACGTCCAAATATTATGATCTTGGTCTTTCTGGATAGATATTTGAGTTAGGAATCATTGAGAGGTAGATATTATTTGGAGTTCACATCATGGAGATACGCCCATTTTACCGAAGACATGTCCGTCTGGCAAAGAAGCAAAGCCCATGGAAGATTTGATGGTTCCCGCAACCCGGTCCACTGCGGAATAGGCCTTGACTCATCTAAACATAATCCTAGCTTGTTCCTGGTGGACTCCTTGGCGTGATCTCTGCCCATACATGCTCAAAACAAAGAAGCCTGACTCACCGGACAGTTTTCTTTTCCGCCACTTCATTACCCTAACCGACTCCACCCCTATATATACATGTTTTTAGCCTCTGCAAAAAGGAGTGTCTTGTGCAAGAGGAGAGCGGCCGTCAAGGTCAGAGACTAGCCCTAGAAGTCCGCCACCAAGGAGGAAGAGAAGAAGGACGTGCCGCTCAAGTCTTGCACTTGCACAAAATCATGTTCCTTACATTTTATTCTCTTTTCCTTTTCTTTGCTAAGTTGTAATCGGATCCGAGAGCTATCAAGGGAGATTCGACTTTTTTCTTAAATAGAGAAGCTTTCTTCATCCCTTATATCTTCTTAATACTTACATAATTCTTTCAATCATGTCTTGCTTGTTTCTTAGCATCATGTCCGAGTAAATACGCTTGTTAGGCCGAGGGAAATCAATGGTTGCATAATATGATTTGATAAAATGATTGCATAAATGAGATTCTATATTATGGTCCTTTACTTTTGATTATGTCTAATGCATGATTGCTCTACTCTACATCTAGCAATATGATCCTAGGGAAATAGAACCTCAAAAGTGCTGCATCTAGTTCCCGGAACTAGTATTTGGTGAGCTAGGCATCTTAGGCAACAAAAGCTGACCTAAGGAGTCTAGTGAACTCTATCATTACTTTTTCAGTTAATGCATGTTTTCAGCTTGTAATAACCATCAAAAGTTGAGTCTATTAGGTTGAATGAGCATAGTGGTCGGAGCCACGAAAGTAGAAAGAACATACCATAAAGTTTTGTGTTCAAGGCGGATTCTAATGACATTCATATGCAATTATCATTTCATTACATGCTGATATACTCAAAATTTGCATACATTTAACATTACATTATGCATAGTTTTGTGTATCTTTGAGTCCCATTTCATAGCATTTAGTGTAGATTTCATCTACTTAGGTTCATTTAGCTCTTAGGTTAGCATTTTGCATATCCATGGCATTTGGGGTGCTTTTATCAGGTATCTGGAGCCTATGGCAAAGGAGCAGACTGGAGGTGATGATCGGAAGGTGATCAGAGCTAGCAGGAGTCCAAAGGAGTTTGGCGGAGCGGAGCCTTGAGCACGAAAAACAGAACACTTGAGGAGTTTGCTCAAGATACGTTTAACTGCGAAGTCAAAGCTAAAAATGTTGACCGAGGCTACACTTTCCCTTCCTCTATATAAACCCTTAAGATCTAAGTTTTTAGGCCTCTTTTATCTGGTAACCAGTTTCTCTCCAAGAAAAACACTTTGTTCTTGGAGATTATTTTGTAAGCTTTGATTTGAATCTTTTTAAGTTTAAAAAATATTTAAGTTTGTTAATCTTGTCTTAATGATGATTTCAAGCTTTCTTGCTTTCTTTACTTGCGATTTGAATATGAGTAGCGAGTAGTTTTCCTTGAGGTTTCAAGGGTGAGATAAGGAAAGGTCATAGCTTTAGCTTCTTGTTGACCTCTTTCCTAATCTTGCTCGACCTGCTTTTCTCCAGCTAGAATGTTATCTCTCCACTTCTCTTTGAAACTTGAAGTCGCAAATCTAGGCTAGCACACCCAGAAGGTGTTTACGATAATGCCTAAGAGAGCTAGTTTGAGAAAGGAATGTTCCCAACCTAAGAGATTGGTTGTTGGAACGTTCATTGTGCTATTTGAGATTAGGTCTTGCTAAAGCTTGTTGCTTTGAGCCCACTAGTGAGAGCTAGGCTTGGGGTACGAACCAACAAAGCGACCTGACCACGAGAGTGGGTGGTTTACTTAAAGTTTAAGCACAGAGCTTGCGTCTTGCTCAGCTTAGAACTAGTGGTCTTGAGCTAGCGTGACCTCAACTGAATCTCACCCAAGACACCTCCTTTCTTTATATTTCATCAAGTTTAAATCTTTTTATCGTTTCATAGCTGCATTTGCTTAAAGTTACAATCTTTAGTTACAACAAACAAAAACTTTTTCGATTGCACTTGAATATAGTCTTTCTTTGCATTTCACTTGCATAAACTTCACAACATATGTGGGTGCTGAAAACCACATTCGAAATTTATAGGTTTTGCAAGGAAGAAACTTAGGGAGATTTAGGGCTAGATTTTGATGTAAGTCGAATGAATCGTAAGCAAGGATTTGGCTAAACGGATTTGTATTAAATGGATGAAAATGGTTACAAGAATTCTCAGAAGAGAGATAGAACTAGTCTCAAAGGAAAATACAAGGTAAGAAAGATAGTAATTAGGTCTGAATTGATCCAAAAAGAGTCCTCCTGATCCGACTGACTTCCAGCTCCTTTTATAGCTCCCGAAGCAGCTACGATCCACCTCCGCGTATCTCGCCACATGCAGCTAACGATCCCGGTGATCTCGGACCAGACCGGATTTGAAGGAGATCTTCTTTGACTTCGTCTTTCTTCGTTATGCCGACCTGGTCCTTGATCGAGCTGGAGCTCGTCTTTACATAGACCAGAATAGCTCGGATGGCATTTAACTGGCTACAATGGAGTTGCTTGGTGGGCTCGAGGTCTTCTTGCTGGGCTTGAGTGGGCCTGGACTTCAATCTTGGATCAAGGTAATGGGCCCTTACGGGCTAGATTCCAGGTGTGGAATCTGGGTCCAACAATTGCCCCCCAGCCCTTTTAAGTGAGTTTCGAACTTAAAACATGCGGTTTGATTTCGAATTTTAAAATTCAAACTTTGCCGGGCTAACTTCGAATTCCTCGATTCGGTATATTCGAGCTTATCCGCAATGGTTTGAACGGGGTAAAAGATCGCGGGATCTCGTCGTTGGAAATTGCTTTAGGCATTTAATTTTCTTTACTTCGTAGGTGAAGATAAGATCTGGCCGTTGAAACGAGGTGAACGGTCGAGATTACAAGCAAATCTTGTCAACTCGCTGCAATCTCGCGAACCGAGCTCCTCGAAGAACGATATTTGCGTGTTACAGAGATTCGAAATGATTATGTTTTCGAATCGGACGGTTCAGATCAGGAGAGCGAAGAGTCCGCGCGGCTGAGATCTACTGGGACCCACAGCAACTCACATCATCAGCCCGTCGCATGCAAGCGGTTAAGATCTGTGAGTTGTACGGTCGAGATTCACGCAGAAAAATCGGATTCTTTGCGATCTCTTCAGCAGTTAATTAATGCTGAATATAAACTCCCAACTCACTCTTCTCTTTAACCGTGCCCACGTTCGAAAAGGTAACTTCTCCTCTCTCTTTTACTTATTTATTTGCTTTTCAGTTTTAGATTAGATAACTTCCAAATTCTTGAAAATATCGAACCTTTGCAAAACTTTAGCGTTTTAGGTTGTTTCGAATTTCGGATTTCTCCAAAAACTTTCTCAACCTTTTTTCCACCAACTCTTTCCTCGATTATCATGTCTCCGAAGACAATCAAGCAAGAGAAAGAGAAAGTGGTCACTCTCGGCGACGACGAGGGGAAGTTCACGCCGCATCCCGAGTCGACGTTCGACGCAGAATCTCTCGATGAGTTCCGGCGTGATTACGGGGTCCCCGAGGAGATCGAGCTCGCTTTCCCGGCTGAGGGCGAAGATCCGGAGCATGTGCGTCTCCGGGGTTCTGTTGCGCCGGGTATAATCAGGCAGAGTGGGAATCTGAGAGTGAAAGATTGAGGGAAGAGAGAAGGACCAAGAAGAGGAATGACCCAATAAGTAGTGAGAGCGAAGAAGGAGAATTTGAGATTGGGGTCAATCATGGAGAAGAGGAAAGTGATGTCTCTCCAAGTGAAGAAGGAGAGGAGGTTAATCAAGAGGTTGATGAGGGTAACCAAGATTAACCAATGGAGGAGGCTGAGCCAGAAGAAGTGGAGGATGAACTCCCCATGTTTCAAGAGCACTACAATACTCTCTTCTCTATGGAGTTTGTGGAGACCAAGTACCCACATGATGATACAATGAAGGTGCTTGAGATCTTCAAGGATGTGGAGCTAGTGCTTAAGAACATGCACTTGGCAAAGTTCTTCTCTCATCGCATGGAATCATACAAGGAGCTCACTTGTGAGTTCTTGGCATCGATGAGTGATGATAGGATTTGTGTGTGAATTTATGCAATCACAAGAAAGTCAAGCCAAATGATTAAAAAGAGGAATGTAACAACTAAACAACCTAAGGAAATGGAATGCAGTGCAATAAATGAAAGGAAAGCAGTAAAGCAAACAACTCGGCCAAGGACTCGATCGAGTGGGAACAAAGTAACCAAGCTCGGTCGAGTTGAAGGTCGAGTTAGCGTAAAAAGCGATAAAGGCAGGAACTTTAACAAGCTAATGCGAAATTAGGGTCTAAGACAGGGTCTTACAATCAGGGGAAAACTATACTTAATCAATCTTGCTCTCAAACAACTTGTATCAAGGTATCTCTTGATATTGAGCTTCTCAATGCCTAGCTAGCCCTTTCCCAAGGTGAAAGCTATCATCCAAGACATGATCTCAGAAACAGGGGGTTAGCCAGTGAGAGTCAAGCCTTGGAGGCAGTAGGATCATTGCTCAAACTAATCCATCCAACACCTATGAACTCCATTTCGAGAGCAAGGTTTATTGGAGCTCTTAGTGGACCTTTTCAAGCGATTTCCAACACTTCCATGTGGAAAATCGCCTATGAACATACAAGCCAGGGGTAGTGGTCATGTAGCCTTAAGGTTTGTCCAAAAGAGAGAGATTTCTAGATTAAGAACATAAGCAAGAAGGATTAAGCATAAGGATCCTCTAATCTAGCCCATCTTGGACCCTAAAGGTAACTACTCACTACACATGAATGAAAACACAAGCAAATGCAATGAAATAGACATTAAATGAAAAAGGAGATAAAGATAAATTTTATGAAATAAGCAAGTGCAAATACAAAGCAAATAAACCTAGATCTAAGGTTCAAGGAGCATGAAGCTCAAGAACACAAAGAGAGATTTAGGGTTGCTAAAAAGTAAAAGATACAAGATTAAAGATAAGCTAAAATTAAAGATAATCTATTTTGTTGTCTTTTTCGTGGCTTAGAGCCTTTAAATACAAGAGAGATTAGGTTTAGGGTTGATGTACTTGCATTTTACATAGTTTTAGTACATCTTTTATGCATCTTTTGCATAGTTTTAGCATCCATTAGCATCATATCTTGTTCCTTTTCTCTTCTTATGCATTCATGTAGTTTTAGGTTGCATTTGCATACATATGCATGTTTGGTCCTTTGAAATAGGTCTTTTGGAGCATTCTGGAGCATATGGGACAGAGGAGCATGGAGGGACTTGGCACATGGACGCAGCTCAACTGGACACGCAAAGGAAGAAGGAGAAGCCATCTTGAAGACCAGCTCGACCACCTACTCGACCAACCGGTCGAGTTCCTCAACTCGACCGGCCAAGCTTCAACTCGATCGAGCTGAGAAGTCAACAGTCAAACCCGAAAAATGTTGCTTCCCCCTTGACTTTCCTTTGACCCTAAACCTAATCCTCTTGTATTTAAAGGCTAAGCCACGAAAAAACCACCAAGCTTTAGATTACTTTTTGTTTTAGTTTCTTTTAATTTATTGTCTTTTACTTTTTAGAGCTCTAATCCCATCTTTGTGTTCTTGAAGCTCTTGCTTCTTGAATCCTAGATCCTGGATAATCTCTTTGTATTTGCACTTGCTTATTTCAATAAAAGTTGTTTATTTCATCTCCTCTTTCTTATGATGTCTCTTTTATTGCATTTGCTTGTGTTTACATTCATGTGTAGTGAGTAGTTACCCATTAGGGTTTGAGATGGGATAGATTAGAGGTTTCATATGCTTAATCCTTCTTGCTTATGGTCTTAATCTAGATTCTCTCTCTTTTGGATAATCTTAAGGCTACATGACCACTACCCCTGGCTTGTATGTCCTTAGGCGATTCTCCACATGGAAGTGATGGAAATTCGCTGGAAAAGATCCACTAAGAGCTCCAATATCTCTTGCTCTAGAAATAGAGGTCTAAGGGGTTGGATGGATTAGTTTGGGCAATGATCCTATGGCCTCCAAGGTTTGATTCTCACTGGCTAACCCCCTGTTTCTGAGATCATTCCTTGGTTGATAGCTTTCACCTTGGGAAAGGGTTGGCTAGGCATTGAGAAGCCCAATATCAAGAGAAGCCTTGATACAAGGAGTTTTAAGAGCAAGATTGATTAAGTGTAGATTCCTCTGATTGCAAAACCCTGTCTTGAACCCTAATTCTCTTTAGCTTGTTAAAGTCGCTGCCTTTATGCTTTTTCTTCAACTCGACCCTAAACTCGATCGAGCTGGTACTCTGTTCCACTCGACTCGAGTCCTTGGTCGAGCTGTTGCTCTACTGCTTTATTTACTTTCTGCATTTCATTTCTTTCATTTAGGTTGTTAGTGTTACCAAATCTTTACTGCTTGCTTGACTTCCTGGTTGTTTCATATTCTCATAGAGTGACAAGTTTCCCATTTTGGATTGATAACCTCTTATACTACATGACTATGATGGTTAAGAGGAATTGATTGATTGTGATTGCACCATACCATCATCTTTATTCACCCTGTTTGCATTCCACCTCATATCTTCATCACATCCACACAAAATCCTATCATCAATTTGGCGCCGTTGCCGATTTGGGATATTTTTGTTGCATTTGAGTTTCAAACACACTTGGACGATCAAGCTATACCACCCCTGTTCTATTGTACTGCTGGGTTTTTGTCTCTTTTTGCAGGTGTATGCGAACTCGATCGAGTCGGTCTACAGAAGACTTGGTCGAGCTAGACTTACAACGGGTAGAAAGAGGGTTCAGAGGTCACAGAGGGTACAAGAGGAACCTGAGGTGCTTGTTGCTGATACAATGGATGTACCAGAGGGGAATGGAAACCCTTTGGGCAATGGACTCGGTCGAGCTAGGCAAACTCGACCGATTGGTCAAGGAGATGCTCCAAACCGCCACCAACAGAGACAAGGGATTGTTCCACCACCAGTGCAGAACCACAACTTTGAGATCAAGCTGGGAATGATCAACCTTGTCCAGAACAAGATGTTCCATGGATTGCCAAGTGAAGACCCCATTGACCACCTTGATGAGTTTGATAGGCTTTGTGATTTGACAAAGATCAATGGTGTCTCTGAAGATGCCATCAAGCTGAGACTCTTTCCTATGTCTCTAGCTGACAAAGCTCACCAATGGGAGAAGAGCTTGCCCCATGGCACAATCACCACTTGGGATGAATGCAAGAAGGCCTTTCTTGCTAAGTTTTTCTCCACCGGTCGCACAGCCAAGCTTAGAGGAGAGATATCCAGCTTCATCCAGCGAAACAATGAGACATTCGCAGAGGCTTGGGAGAGGTTCAAAGGCTACACAAGTCAGTGCCCACACCATGGATTCAACAATGAATCACTACTCTCCACTCTTTATAGAGGATGCTTGCCTAGGTATAGGGAGATGCTAGACACAGCTAGCAATGGGAACTTCCTCAACCAGGATGTAGATGATGGCTGGCAACTTGTGGAGAACATAGCTAACTCAAATGGAAGCTATGGAGAAGAGTATGATCGCACCAACCGGAGCTCGACCCACCACTCGATCGAGTCAGACGAAAAGTTGAGAAAAGATGTTAAGGCATTGAATGAGAAGTTGGATAAGCTGATCCTAGCTCAGTCCACAATGAAGAAAGTCAACTTTGTGTCTGCTGAGGAGATGGAACCAGTCCAAGAAGGGGAGGATACACAATTTGCTGAGGTGTGCTACATGAGCAATGGGCAAGGAGGTTACAACAAAGGATACTATAATTACAAGTCCAACCCTGCCATGTCATACCGCAACACTGATGTTGCTAACCCTCAGGACCAAGTATATCCTCAACAACAAGCAGCTCGATCGAGTCAGGTGCCACAACATGGGTATGGTCAAAAGAACAATTACCAAGGACCACAAGGCACTTTCCCTGGACAACAAATGAATATCCCACCAGGCTTCCCCACCAACCGCCCCAGCCTGCACCTTCACAAGAGAATGAGCTCAAGGCAATGCTAAAGCAACTACTTCAAGGGCAAGCTGATGGGGTAGTGGACACAAGCAAGAAGCTAGCTGAAATAAACTCTAAGATCGAGAACCTCAACACAAGGGTTTACTCTCTGGAGAATCATGCTTCTTCTGTTGCTGCTGCTACAAAGCAAGGACAACTACCTGGTAAAGCTATTCAGAACCCCAAGGAACAGTGCAAGGTCATCTTCACTCAAGAAGGACTTGTTGAAGAAGAGGATCAAGAAAGGGTCATTGAAGATTTTTGTTTACTGCTGAATGATGAAGAGATTGTTGCTGCTGAGGCTCCTGGAGTCCAGATTGATCAACCAGAAGTGCATGCACCTACTGTGGCCATTCACACTTCACCAGTTGAGCTCGCACGACAAGCTCGATCGGCAGCTCGATCGAGTCCAACTCTAGCTCGATCGAGTCCGACCTCTTCTGTCCCAAGCCTTTTTGCTTGATCCTTACCAACCGGTTGCCGCTTCCTCGTCTCGCCTACTTAGTCAAGGTCACAAGGAAGTGATTCACAAGTTCAGAAGAGATCTCAGTGGGATTGGAATTGAGTTGCCTCCTATGGATAGCATGAGTGAGGCATTTGATCAAATGCAAATGGTCAAGGATGTTCTAGCCAACAGTGATAAAGTTTCAGAGGTCCTACAAGAGTCTACTCATCAGTTCAACCTGCTTACTTCACCCACCTTCCTACCAAAGGTCAAGGATCAAGGGAAATTCACTCTCCCTTGCACACTTGGGCATCTTGAGATTGACAATGCCTTAGTGGATTCTGGAGCAAGCATCAATCTGATCTCTCTCTCCATGGCAGAGAAGCTAGGCATTGCTGGAGCCTTGCAGCGCCCTACTACTTCAATCATGTTTGGAGATGCAACTTCTAAGTCTCCTCTTGGAGTGTTCAAGAACTATCACTTGAAAATTGGAGAATGCATCATCCAAACTGATCTCACTGTGATGGAAATGGAAGAAGAGAAGGATTACCTCTGTTATTGGGAACCCCTTTCCTTAGTACAGTTGGCGCTTCAATAGACTTTCACAAGCAAGAAGTGATCCTTCACAAGGTGAATAGTTTGGTGTCATATCGCTTGCAGCCTAGAGGTTCAGACTTTTGTGCCACAATTGACAGTACCACTCTCAGTTCTAAGAGTCATGGAGCTACAAAGGTTGTGAAGGAAAGGGTTGACAAAGAACCAAGAGTTGGGAAGGATAAGGATGAGAGAGGACCAAGGATTGAGAAGCCACGTCTTGAGAGGGCTAGAGTTGAGAAACCACGTCTGATAGGCCACGAGCTGATCGACTTGTTCAAGCCCCTTGTGTGCTTGATGAAGAGAGCCTTCAAGCTTTGTTTGATGAGCCACTAGGAAGGGCTCTAAAAGAAGGGGAGGATGTAGCCTCTAAGGCAAGACCAGGGATAAAAGAAAGGATCCACCAGCTCAGGCCCCTTCAGTCAAGCCATCTCAGCTCACAATGACTTTGTTCCCCACCAAGTTTGAAAATGGGAAGATTGAGTACAAGATAAGGTACAAGGGGAGATCAAGGCCATTCTCTAGAGCCAAGGCCTTGGTGACTTCAGAACAGTCCAGGGACCCAACCAAGCTAAAGGAGCTTCTGTCTCAAGTCCTCACTATCACCCTTGATGGTGGGACTAGCTCAACCAATGCCTAAGAAGGTAAAGGTCAAGCTATGGGACCTTAAACAAGCTCACTTGGGAGGAAGTCCCATGTTTATCCTTGTACATATTCTATTTATGCAATTTCTATCTATTTTTGTGTTTTAACCTTTCAATAAGTTAAGTTTAGGTGTCAAGGAGCCAGCTCGACCGACAGCTCGATCGAGCTAGAAACCAGGGCAACTCGATCGAGTTCCACAACTCGACCGAGGTAAGTTTTTGAATTTCAAATTCATAACCGTTTTCTTGGTCAAGGGAGTGGGTCCCACAAGCTGAATTTTGGTCCCCCACTACCCTAATTGATCAGAAATCCCTAGCTTTTGTTCCCCTCTTTATTTCATCTTTTAATCTCAACCACACATCTCAAACACTCCCTCTTCCCCATAACTCGATCGAACCCACTTCTCCACTCTCCCACACTTAAAATTTCTGAAACTCATCTCTCTCTCTCTCACCACAAGAAATCGAATTTCAACTTTCTCTCTTAAGTTTTTGCGATTTCTCTTGTTCTTCATTGTTTTGCTTGGGTTTTAGTTTACTGCTCTTCAATTCATCATTCAACAAGGTATGAACCCTAAACCCTTGATTCCTCCATCTCGATTTCCATTATTGCTTGTTTCTCTTTGATTTTTGATTGCATGTGTCCCTTGTGGACTTGTTCTTGAGTAATTGCTTTCATATTTCTCCTGCTCATAGTTTTTGAATTTGCCTCACCTCACCTCTGTTTTGCCATTAAACTTGTTGCATGTGCTTGAAATTGAATTTGAGTTTGGTATTGGTTAAGATGCTATGCTTCACTAGAATTGCTCATTGTTCCATTTACTAGTTGTTCTTGGTTCAATTTGATTGATTAGCATCCTTTCCAGCTCTTAATACTTGAATTAGGTTTGGTTATACTCTGTTTTCACCCAACTCGATCGAGTTTGTCACTCGAGTTTTTTGACTCGATCGAGCTGAGTGTCGAGTTGACCAAACCGATCATTACAACTCTAATTCTTTGTAATCTTTGATGCATTTCAGGTACTTTAGTGAAGAAACAGTGTAACAAGAGATGACAAACAGTGAGGGAAGTCGCGCTTCACAGAGGAGAATGGTTGAGGGTGAATCAAGCAATGCAAGGGAAAGAAGGCTTAAGATGCAAGCCGATTTGGAGAGGATGATCAAGGATGGAAGATCTGATGCAGAGGAGTATGTGTACTCTGAGGAAGAGTCTGAGAGTGAGAGATTGAGGGAGGAGAGGAGACCAAGAAGAGGAATGACCCATTAGTAGTGAGAGTGAGCAAGGGGAGTTTGAGATTGGAGTGAACCTTGTTCAAGGAAGAAGGAAGTGATGAGACTGAGAGTGAAGAGGAAGGAGAAGAGGTGAATCAATTGGTTGATGAGAGTGAGCAAGAGAACCAAGATGAACCATGGAGGAGGTTGAGCAGAGAGCAAGAGGAGGATGAGCTCCCCATGTACCAAGAGCACTACAATGCTCTCTTCTCCATGGACTTTATGGAGACCAAGTACCCACATGTTGACACAATGAAGGCCCTTGGAATCTTTGAGATGTGGAGTTGGTCTCAAGAACATGCACTTGGCCAAGTTCTTCTCTTATCACATGGAATCCTACAAGGAGCTCACTTGTGAGTTCTTAGCTTCAATGAGGTACCACATGTATGATGAGAAGATAGAGCTGATTTGGACCAAGGATTGGGATGGATCACGTTCTTGGCTAAGGGAGAGAAGAGAATGGTGACCTTTAGGCAGCTTGGAGATCTTTTGGGTTCAACTATGGAGAGGTAACCAAGTGGAACTTCAAGGAAGAAGGAACTCCAAAGGGTTTGGGCTACAATCGCTGATGGAGAGTACTCTTCCTCAAGGTCCAAGGCTGCTCAGATCAGGAGCCCAGTGCTTGAGATATGTGCACAAGGCACTTGCCAACACCTTCTTTGCAAGGAAGGCACCGGGACAATCAATGAGGGGGAACTCAAGCTCCTTGACATGGGAATCAAGCCCATCTCTCACGCACAAGCGATGGCAAGAGGATCAGGGGAGATAGATCACACAGGGAACTGATGCCTTCCTTGAGCATCTCCTCACCTACAGACATCAACGAGGGAAGGCGCTAAGTGTTGGAGGGCTCATCACACCTATCTTGTGTGCTGCTGGAGTGAACCCAACTGATAAGAGAGCCACTGAACCAGGTTGGATGGACATCAAGTTTTGCAAGACCAACCTTCTCATTGAGCACAAGGAGTTGGATGGGAGTTCCAATTCAAGTTCACCATCCATTGGCTGGCCCTCCAAGCTTCTCCTGCCCAACCCAGAGCTCACCACAGTAGTCAGGGGTGAGAACATTGACTTCAGACCCCCTGTGTACACATTAGTTGGGCATGAGGATGATTTGCGAGAAGAGGAGCCTGAGCTCGATCGAGCTGAGGATCGAGCTGAGTCGAGCTGAGGATCAGTCCAGGAGAGTGCGGATTTGGGTGAGCCTGAGTGCTATTACTTTGAGGAGTATGAGGCTCCAAGGATGAACCCCTCTGTTGTGGCTGCCCACAAGAGGATTGGACTTCTCCAAAAGTTCAACAAATGGCAAGGGAAAGCCATTGAGAAGATGCAAAAGTCCATGGACAAGATGGTGAGCAAGATCAAAAGTTTGGAGAAGAAGGTTTCTGGTTCTTCAAGCAAGAAGAAGAAGTCCAAGGCCCCCACATTCCCTAGGAGTAGATCACTCCTCACCACTCCAAGGAGGCTCCCTGCCCAAGAGCCTCACAGAGCCTCTTCTTTCGAGCCAAGGGAAGGAGAAGACAACACGCAGAGAAGGAGGAAGACTTCCAAGGCCAGACGCTCCAGCTCGACCACCGGACTCGATCGAGTCCAAACAGAGGAAACTCAACTCGATCGAGCTGACGGTCGAGCTGACCAGGAGGAGCCCCAGTTCGAGGATCCGGGATTTGAATACGATCCCATGCCTTACCAGGAGCCTCCCCGGAGTAGATGGAACCCCTATGGACAGTACGAGCTAGCCATGCTGATATACCCATATCTTTCATGTTTTTATCAAGGTTTTCACTATGTTTTTAATACAAATAATGTGGTTTTTAAGCCCAAGAGGTAGTTTTCTTGTATATTCTGGTTTTGAGCATCATTCAGGTCAAAATAGCAAAGAAGAGTCAAAATGGAGCAAAAAGAGTCAAATCACCAAGTTCCCAAGTCTAGAGCACCAAAATCTACATTTCTCGCTAAAGACCAAACCGGAGCATCCGAAGTACGACCGCATATTCATGCCTTCCCGACGTCCAAAAGTCATGTTTCTTATATGGAAAGATAGATATTTGAGTCATGACCCGCGGCGAAGTGGAAAGAGGTCATTTGGATCACTCGTTGGACCGGAACTTATTTTCTACCAAGACATGTCCGACGAGCGCCTAAGTAGAGCCCATGGAGACTTTGATGGATCAAGAGGCCCGAGATACCGCGCCCAAGGCCTTGGCTCATCTTGACACTAGCATAACTCAATCCAGAAGCTTCCATTGGCCTGAACGCGGCCCATTCAAGAACTTGGAGAGCAAGCTCAAGCGGCTAAAGAGAAATGGAAACTTTCCTCTTCTGCGCGCGCTCAACTTTGCCGACCTAGACCCGCTCTCTACCTATATATACTTGCTTTTAGCCTCTTGTAATAAGAATCACCAGCCGCATAACAAGAAACACTTATTCAATAAAGTTCGGAGCCACTTAGGTGGTCTCCTTCTTCTTTCTTTTCTTCTTTTGCATTTGTATATAGCTTGCATGTTTCAATTTATATAGTCTAGAAGTAGAGATTTCTCCCTAAGGGTGAGGCGGTTTAGTCATATTCCGCCGCCTCTCTCTCTAAGGATTCATGAGACTTCATCTACTATCTAAGACTCATTGTTGAATTATGGATCCTTCCAATGAGGACGTGATATAATGGCCATCGAAAATCGATTGTTAAAAGGGGAAACCCTATGGTTCTCCATCTTTATTTATGCTTAATGCTTGTTGCTAGAGTAGCTAACTAGTGACTTGATTTTAGGTTGATATACTCTCCAAAAGCTTGTTATATCTCCGGACACAATATTTGATGGGCAAATCGTTTTAGGCTACGAAAGTAGACCTAAAGAGTTTTGTGAACAATCATTACTTGGATGTAATGCATGTCTCACTCTACAATGACCAACGAAAGCTGAGCCCATTGGTTTAAGAGACATAGGGGATTGGAACCACGAAAGTGGAATAATCCTTCCTTAGTGTTTTGAGTTCAAAAGAATCGGATTTTAACAAACTTTTCAATCGACTTGGCTCATGTTTTCAAAAGAGTTTTCAATAGTTCAATAATGTTGCTTGTATAGAATTGCATTGTTATTTGCTTTTGCGTGTTCTAAACAAACACAAACCCTTGCATCTTTTGATTTAGCTTAGTCATTTAAACTCTATGATTATGTAATGTGTGAAATCCAATCCCTTGTGGTTCGACCCCTAAATACTACAATTATATGTTGTGCACTTGCAACACTAGTTGTCTTAGGGAATTATTACTTGTACTCATCCCATAGATGCAGCGCATCAAGTTTTTGGCGCCGTTGCCGGGGATTGCATCATAAACACTTGCATAGTCTTGTTTAAAACTAAGTCTAGATCTTGGTATTTTCGAATACTAACTTTTTCTTTTTAAATCTTGTGTTTATAGGTACTTGGAGATGAATCACAACACCAACATCCACTTTGGGAACCGGACACTGATCCCACACGATCTCCACGGCCGGAGTTACCAAGACCCAGCCATAAGCATCGTGCCACATCCGTTCCCTCCCAACCGCGCTCATCCGACGTTTGAAGGACCTAGCCGAGACGAGCATCATTACCATCATCATCAAAACCGACCTCCGGTTTATCATCAACCACCTAGACCAGTGTTGCATTCACACCACGACCATGTTCTCAATAGGCGGAGAGATAGCCATTTCGATGCCGTGCTTGAGGGTTTCATGGAGAGCCAAAGAAGAACTAGCCGCGACATTGAGACAAAGCTAGAGTTCACGCGATACGAACTAGATGGAAGACTTGGAGAACTCTCTACCCAAATAGAGAGAGTAGAGTCAAGATGCTTGGACATGGAGGAAGATTTGAAGAAGCAAGGCGAGGCCATTGAAGACAATAGGAGAGCGATACACTTTACCAAAGTTTCTACCAAGGAGATGGATAATCACTTAGATGAGAAGATCTCAAGTCTTGATAACAACCTCGATGGCACCACCAAGAGTCTCAATTCAATAACAGCAGTAGCTCATCAAGCTAAGAGGGAGGTAGCCGAAGTGACACTAAAGGAGAGGCAATGTTACTCGACAATGCTTACATTGGTGGAAGGGCAAAAACAAGTGAAGGCACAAATCCGAGATTTACACATCTCTCTAGACAAGAGGAGCCAAGATATTCAAAGAAGAGCTAGAGGGCTTGAAGACAAAGTAGATGGAGTCTCCAAGGAAGTCAAGGATTTAACCACTCGCTTAGCCAACTTGGAAGAGAAGGTCTTGACCGAGACAAAGACGACCGTTCCTAAGCAAAACTATGCCGCGCCCGTCTTTACTATAAGAGAGACCGACCCAAGAGTGATTTGGGATGAAGAAGAAAGTAGAGCTGATCAAGAAAGAGCCACGAAGCTAACCACTGGAACAAGAGAAAAGATAGCACCAAAAGGAAGAACCCTTACTCAAAGATCTTCACAACCGCCTCCCACCAAGGAGAAGAGGAAGATAAGATCATCACTTGAAGAGATCATAGATGATTTCAACTTTATGGCGAGGAGATTCTCTTGAGTGCCCTGTTTTTAGATTCTTTTGTGCATTAGGGTGAGATTGATTGAGCAGCAAGAACCATGTTTATCTTGATCATATCACTGCATGCACATCTCATTCAACCATTGCTGTGATTTGATGCATTTCCCTATCTATTTGAACCATAACTTGATCTTTAATTACCAATGCTTGCATTTGATTTCAACTCATGGCTACCACATACATATCTGGACATTCTTTACCATTTTCATATCCCTCTTGCTTGTCCAGATAGCTGATCTCTATCTTTGAGACAGTTACCACACCTTAAACCTAAGCCTTTTCATTTCAAACCCCATTTATCTCTTGTGCGAATGTGAGAACCTTTCTTGGCTTTGCTTAGCATAAGGTGTTGTGTTTAAACCGGCAGGGGCAGTAGTTCTAGTTGTCTAGTTCTCTTGGGATTGTTTTCAGGCTAAGTTTGGGGGTGCCAACTCGAGCTCGATCGAGTTGGGTGTCAAAAACCAGAAAAGTGGTAAAAGTTGGGAAAATCCAAAGGAAAAAGAGTTTAGTTAAGTCCAGGGAGTTGGCAGTGTTAAAAAGGGTCTAGTAAAGGTTTGGGAAGTTAAAAAAGGAAAGTAAAAAGGGTTCTAAGTAGAATGAAAAGAAGGCAAAGCCTCAAGTGTCAAAAAGAAAGAAAAGTTCCCTAAGTGTTTAGAAAATCCCAAACCGCTAGATGTTACCTCAAGAAGCCTCTCCCTAGGAAGTTCTTAAAAGAAAAGTGAGCAAAGCTCCTCAGTTTCAAAGGCGAAATGCCAAAAAGGGTAGTTAGGATTTTGTTCTAAAAAGCTCTAAGTGTTGAACTCGATCGAGTTAGGATTAGGCGGCTCGAGCTGCTGTTCTTGCATCATCTTTGGTTCTAACACTTAGCCTTCTGCCAAAGCAAAGCCACTTTCTTGAGAGATCCCTGTTACTAAACCACCATACAAAAGAGACCCTCTTTGTCTCTTAACCCATAAACCCTTGAAACCAAATGAGTTGATTGATCTTGCATGTTTTTGGTTCACTGTTTTTGCTTAATGAATGTTAAAGGGATTTGCTGATTTGAATGCATTGTTTGAGTGACTGTGAAGTGGGATTGATGTTGATAAGCATGGTTAAATCTTAATGAATATCTCTCACCTTGTTGCATTCTAGAATCTCTAAGTTGGACATTTAGCAAATCGCTTTTGAGGACATGTTTTTAAGTGTTGAATCAACTTGTTTTCAAACCTCATCTCTTTCTTGTTCTATTTGTTTGCTTGAGGGCAAGCAAAGGTTCAAGTTTGGGGGTGTTGATGTACTTGCATTTTACATAGTTTTAGCACATCTTTTATGCATCTTTTGCATAGTTTTAGCATCCATTAGCATCATATCTTGTTCCTTTTCTCTTCTTATGCATTCATGTAGTTTTAGGTTGCATTTGCATACATATGCATGTTTGGTCCTTTGAAATAGGTCTTTTGGAGCATTCTGGAGCATATGGGACATGAGGAGCATGGAGGGACTTGGCACATGGACGCAGCTCAACTGGATACGCAAAGGAAGAAGGGAGAAGCCATCTTGAAGACCAGCTCGACCACCTACTCGACCAACCGGTCGAGTTCCTCAACTCGACCGGCCAAGCTTCAACTCGATCGAGCTGAGAAGTCAAAGTCAAACCCGAAAAATGTTGCTTCCCCCTTGACTTTCCTTTGACCCTAAACCTAATCCTCTTGTATTTAAAGGCTAAAAGCCACGAAAAAACCACCAAGCTTTAGATTACTTTTTGTTTTAGTTTCTTTTAATTTATTGTCTTTTACTTTTTAGAGCTCTAATCCCATCTTTGTGTTCTTGAAGCTCTTGCTTCTTGAATCCTAGATCCTGGATAATCTCTTTGTATTTGCACTTGCTTATTTCAATAAAAGTTGTTTAATTTCATCTCCTCTTTCTTATGATGTCTCTTTTATTGCATTTGCTTGTGTTTACATTCATGTGTAGTGAGTAGTTACCCATTAGGGTTTGAGATGGGATAGATTAGAGGTTTCATATGCTTAATCCTTCTTGCTTATGGTCTTAATCTAGATTCTCTCTCTTTTGGATAGATCTTAAGGCTACATGACCACTACCCCTGGCTTGTAAGTCCTTAGGCGATTCTCCACATGGAAGTGATGGAAATTCGCTGGAAAAGATCCACTAAGAGCTCCAATATCTCTTGCTCTAGAAATAGAGGTCTAAGGGGTTGGATGGATTAGTTTGGGCAATGATCCTATGGCCTCCAAGGTTTGATTCTCACTGGCTAACCCCCTGTTTCTGAGATCATTCCTTGGTTGATAGCTTTCACCTTGGGAAAGGGTTAGCTAGGCATTGAGAAGCCCAATATCAAGAGAAGCCTTGATACAAGGAGTTTTAAGAGCAAGATGATTAAGTGTAGATTCCTCTGATTGCAAAACCCTGTCTTGAACCCTAATTCTCTTCTAGCTTGTTAAAGTCGTGCCTTTAGCTTTTTCTCAACTCGACCCTAAACTCGATCGAGCTGGTACTCTGTTCCTGACTCGACTCGAGTCCTTGGTCGAGCTGTTGCTCTACTGCTTTATTTACTTTCTGCATTGCATTTCTTTCATTTAGGTTGTTAGTGTTACCAAATCTTTACTGCTTGCTTGACTTTCTGGTTGTTTCATATTCTCATAGAGTGACAAGTTTCCCATTTTGGATTGATAACCTCTTATACTACATGACTATGATGGTTAAGAGGAATTGATTGATTGTGATTGCACCTTACCATTTCATCTTTATTCACCACTGTTTGCATTCCACCTCATCATCTTCATCACATCCACACAAAATCCTATCATCAAGGGTCAAAGGGATGTTAATGATAAGATTTGTGTGTGGGTGTGAAAGATATGATATGAAATGTGGTGGAACGCACCTCCAAGGAGAGTGCCAAACGCGCAGCATCCAAGGCACCAAACTATGGGAGACTTTGATTCGTCCGATGCTTTCTTTATGGATCGGAATCCAATCCGACCGCCTCTACCTCCAAGGAACGATTTTGAGATCAAACCGCAGATCATTGCCTTGGTGAAGCAAAACCAATTCCATGGTTTGCCCACTGAGCATCCTCTTGATCACGTCGACACCTTTGAGGAGATATGTAGCACAACTCGTGTTAATGGAGTATCGCCGGATTACTTCAAGTGCAAGCTATTCACTTTTTCTCTAAGTGACAAGGCGCTAAGATGGGTAAAATCTTTACCACCTCAGTCCATTACAACATGGAATGAATACAAGGGAGCTTTCTTGAACCAATTCTACACTAAGCAAAGATCCAACTCTATAAGGAGCAAGATTTCTGGTTTCAAGCAAGATTCAATGGAGTCATTCTATGAAGCTTTGGAGAGATTCAAAGAGTATACAAGAAGCTGCCCTAACCATGGCTTTTCAGAAGGTAACCTTTGGAACATCTTTTACAATGGGATTGATCATAAATACAAGCTTTCTCTCGATACCGCGAGCAATGGTAATTTCATGACCAAGTCGGTGCCGGAGGCTAAGCTTTTGATTGAGAATCTCGCTGCTAGTGATGCCAATGCGTGCCCTGACTACAATAGAAGCGTGAAGACCACGAGCTCATCAGAATCAGCTCAAATCTCGGAGCTAAGGAACATGGTTTCACAACTACTTAAAAGCCGACAAGGAGTTCACGCCATTGAAGATGCCCTAGCCACAAATGAAGACACTCTTATGGATTTCATGAGAGATGGCGCTGAAGAGAATCTAGAGGAAGTCAACTACATTGGAGGAAACTATGGGAATAGAGGATTCAATCCACCATTTCGCGCGCATCCAAACCTATCATACCGGAGCAACAATGTGGAGAATCCAAATGACCAAGTCTACCCCAATCAAGGAGCGTATCAAGGAGGCCAATACCAATCCAAGCCACAGCAAGTCTATCCAAGAGGGATGTACCAAGTGAAGCAACCATTCACTTTTTCTCAAGAAACAAATCCAACCCAAACCGGAGAGAAGGTTGACGTGGCTTGAAGAAATACATGGAGGAGCAGAGATTGATCACCAAGAACCTATATGAGAAGCTTGATCACATGTTTGGTGATCTAAGCAGCAAGTTTGGGTCTCTCTCTACTCACGTTCAAAAGCTTGAGGTGCAAATCGCTCAAACAGCCGAGGCGGCCAAGAAACAAAATGAGGTAAACACTCAAAAATTTTGTAGTGTTGTCTCATCTATAGATGGCACTATTGTTCCTACACTATCTCAAGGGGAAGAAGAAGAAAATGAGCCTAAGGAGAGGCACAAACCGGAGAGATACAGTTGGGAATCAAGAAGAGCTTACAAGAGAAGACTTGAAGGCAAGCCACTACAAAAACAAGAAGATCCGGGGAAGTTTGTGATAACTTCAAGTATCAATGGCATTCAACTCCACGATTGCCTATGTGATACTGGTGCTAATGTTAATCTAATGTCTCTTGCACTTGCAAAAGATTTGGGATTCAAGGAATTCAAGAGCCCCAAGATAAGAGTCGAGTTCGCGGACCTATCGTGCATGGAACCTTATGGAATGCTTGAAGATGTCATGATGGAAATAGGGGGTCGATCGGTCCCAACTGACTTTCAAGTCATGATTTGGGAAGGCTCAAAGAGGAATCAACTGATTCTTGGAACCCCATTCCTTGCTACAGCTGGAGCGGTCCTAAACTACTTTGGGAATCATCTATCTTTTGGCCACATCCGGCAAGATATCTTTTTCCCAAGTGTAAATTTCAGGTCAGTGCCAAGTGCGACCAAGCTACCACCAGAAGAAGCCACTCTCATTACCAAGAAAGAAGCTATGCTGCATGAGAAAGAAGAGAGAGTGAGCGCTACCCAAAACCAAAGGAGAAGAAGAAAACATTGGAGCCGAGGCATGAAAATGTCTTTAAGGAAATAAGCTCATCTTACTTCCAACCTTTGATGAGTATGGAGCTGAAGAGGAGACTAATGGTGCACCTAATCTCTTTCACAAGATAAGAATCTTTACACCAAAAGATTCGGAGCTTAAAGGTGACCAATCCATTGAAGAGAAGCTTGAGAGAACTATGAAGCTTTTCCCCAAGGCATTGGTTTTCAAAGATGATGTGAGAGATGATCATGGCGCGACAAAACCACTACAAGAAGCCACTGAACCGGAGAATGGAGAAGCTAAAGGGATCCTTTGCCCTTCAGCCACTCTTCACCACGATTGAAAGAAAGAGAAGGAGTCAAGCTAAATGACTTAAAACAAAAGCGCTTTATGGGAGGCAACCCATATGGTTTTTAACTATCTATTTCTATTTTGCAGGAGTTTTTCAAAAATCAAACAAAAATACAAAAATATTTTCTTAGGATGAAGACCCAAAGGAGACCAAACAATGGAAGTGTCCCACCCAATGAGCCCACCCTTGTACAAGGCGTTTCTCTTCCAAAAGGTAAGTAAACTCTCACCTAGTATTCATTTCTAATCACTCTTGATCTTCACTTGAAAAATCGTTTAAACCATTGCACTTTACAAATATATTTCATGGTTTAACTTGATTTACTTTTGATGATTGGAAAGAATACATAATCACTTGTCAAAACTCATTTCTCACTGAAATTACAAGAGATTGAACTATAGTTTGAAATTTGGATCATTGACCAAGACCAAATAAGAATTTATAGTTTGTGCTTTAATCTCTTGGATTGTGAACTTCAAGTTGGTCACTTGAGGATCACAATCTGAGAAACCATCTAATCATGATTTCAAGTGTTTTGCAAGGAGTTACCATTTGACAGGAAGGAGAAATAAGCAAACCTATCAACCACCTAAAACCAACATGCATATGGCGGCCAAAGGGAGGTTAAAAGGAGATACATAGGCCATCACACGAAACAAGGCGGCCACCACTTGGGAATGACACAGGAGGGTTATTAAAACAATTCGATCGAAGAAAATCTCAATTGGCCCGAGTGGATTCGAAGAAATTCAATCCAGGACATTTCTCTCGGCCATGACGCACAAGGAGCCAATTACGGCCAACTCCTAAACGGCGTGACCGAAGTCCACCAAACTTCACAGGCGACCATAAAATCACATGTTGGTCGGCAAATCCAAAAGATAGGACGGAGAAATCATCACGGATCATGAGATAGACGACGGAGCTCATTCTGGCCGATGGCGCGCAAGCAATATGGCCGACAAAACCAAATCACGGCATAAGGCGCGCCAACCGGTTGGAAAACTCTTCTTTGAGCTTAACTAACACTTTTATGCAGGAAGAAACGAAAAGGAACGAGCCAAACTCACATGGCCAAGGAAACTCCTTCCCGGAGCCGACTTGACCATTTTGTGAAGGAAGTCTCAATCCCCTCGTACAAATGCTCCCAAACTTCACCAGAGGCATAAAATACCAGGTTGGTCGATGAAATTTCAATATAGGTCATGAAATTTTTGACGGTTTGTTCTGTAGTTCACAGCACCACATTTTGGCCGACCGAATATACCAATCTCGGCCAAAACACAAACCGA